GGAGAACTGTATGTGGCGCCGACAGTGCCAGCGGGCGATTGCCATCCAGCACCACGGTCATTTTTTACCGCCGTTGCGGCTCAAGCAGGCCGGCACAATCAACGATCTACCAGCGGAGGACTACGCGAAGATCTTCTGCATCTCCCGCAACCTGCATGGCGGTAACGCCCCCGGAAACAATTGCAACGAGGTGCATGTCAACAACACCCGCCAGGAGAAGGCTACCCATGCTGGTACGGAGGATAAATTCCACACCAAGCGGCTCACCGAGATGCTCCTCCAGCTGGAAACGTTGTACAAAAACCGCAGGTCGCTGCAGTTTCCCGCTACGCAGATCATCCAGCCCATGTACAACAAGGACTTGGGAGTCAAGGGCGCCACGACGTTGGGCTACCGCGGCGGGGAGGTGGAGGCGATCATCGACGGGGGGATTTCTTCCCAACACGAGCGAAAAGCGCACGAGCGGTGCTCCGTGACTTTCTGGCATTCCGCCGACATGGCGCAGAAACTGCAGGAAGAGGGTTGTTTAATCGTCCAGCACATGGTGACGCACAGGCACGGCGCTGTTACGGGGCAACACCTCGGAAAGGCCGTCGGTTTTTACCTCATCATCTGCCCGCACACGGAGAAACTGAAGGCCTTCGCTCCGGATGAGTTGCACGAGTCCCGGTTTTTCTGCGCCGCGCCGTCGCAGCTGCGGTGGTTAGACGCGAAATTCTTGGCGCCGGACATGTGTGAGTGCCCGCTCTATTTCGAGATTCCGATGGGACCATGGATCGAGCCAGTCGACATCGTTCTGGAGAAGTTCCTCGACCTCACCGTCGACGAACAGTACGCGCTGACGAAGGACACCGTCAAAGAATTCCCCAAGTTGTCGAAGTTTTACTGGTCGCGGATGCCGGAGACGGCGCGGAAGAAGGCGTATCGCTACGCCTACGAAGGCGGGTTTGCGCAGCGACACATGGACGAGATCGAGAAGAGGTGCAAACCGAAACTGATCATATTCGGCAAGGACGGCGACGAGTTCCGGCGGGAGCAGCAGCAGAACAAGGTGGACGAGTTAGCCGAACAAGCTGCCAATGATAAGCGGGTGCACCAGGAACAGGTGAATAAGCGGGACTCGATGACACCAATGCAAAAATCACTACTATCTCATCTCGTTTTGTATTGCGCAAAATCACGCATGACAAAATGCATGACAAGAAAAGTTCTTCACTCAAAGCTCCGTGCTGTTTTTGCATGACAAATATGAAAATGCAAAACGAGAAGAGATGGTAGTCGTTTTTGATGTGATAGCCCGACGGCAAGACAAACAATCACACCCGGCTGCCGGCGCAGAAGGTCATCAAGTACTACGGCAAGGTCGAGGGAAAGACGAAATTGTTAGCGGAGGTCCGGCCAACGCGCTCGTCTGCCCACATGGACGACATTTTGCGGCTGCGGTGGCCGACGGATCACGTCGTGAGATCCGCCATCAAGTACGCAACCGCGCCCAGCAAGCCCGACGCCATGGCGAACGCCGAGAGCCTGCTGTTGCCCAAAGTGTTGACGTCGTACGGCTTGCTGAGGTCGCAGGTAACAGTCGAAGTCGATAAGTGGGAGGAAGTGGACTATGACGTGTATGGTTTTGATGATTACGGATACCGAATCCGCGAACCGCCGGCAAGCAGCAGCTCCAAACCGACCGGGTTGAGCGACAACGTGAACAACCGGAACAAGCGGAATTCTTTGGGTGGTGATGCTGAGTTTCTGGATGATGGTGATACTAAGAAGAAGCAGAGAAAAGGTTAGGTCGTCAGCATATGTCTACTTGATTCAGTATTGGTCTCCATGTTTCTTTACACAATTACTACAGTGAAAAACATATTTATACACGCGAGTAAGTACGATGAAACTATATCAGTGATCATGAAGAGACAGACCCAACAGCCACTACCTTTCCCTCCTTTTTCAGGAGGAATTTTCATCAGGATTCACGATAATACTCATTGCTGCACTCCAGCAATGGGAAAATTTAGAAATCGCCTATCTGTGAATAGGTTAACAAAATTCAAACTGCAGCTGTGCAGTTTATAAAAATTTGATTACACAAAAGATGAAAAGTATGGAAGTGCTGTCGAAGAACGACAGCAATGCAAATTATTAAAAAATACAATTGAAAAGATAGTGAAATAGTAAAGAAAAGAAGCACTATCAGACATTACCCGAAGGCGCGCCACATCTATCCGAAAAGTGCAAAACTTTTCGTGATGAAAAATTAATTTTTGTATACCTTTCGATTTATTTTCCCACCGGTACTACTTGTAATAAGTCACACCATCAAAACTGCTCTCATTCTGACCGGGCCCTTGCTCTGGAGCTGGAGCTTGTGCTGTTAGTGTTGTCTATTTTCCGCTTTTTCGGTGCAGATTTTGCCAGTTCCGGGTCGGTTTGTTGTGTTGCTGTCGTTTGCGAAGTGTCGGCTGTGTCGGTTGTCGCGTTCAGGACCAATAGGATTTGGTCAGCAATCCGATCGGCAGGTACGAACCAACTCTCGAGCCACGTCCTGCGCGGCTTTTTAATCTCGGTCATCAGCGCCGGGTAGGCTGCCAAGGTAGTTGTCCCGAACTCCCTGTGGATGGATAGAAGTACTCGGTTGAAAACGAAACCCAATAGATGGTCGCGCTTGCACATGAATAAGCTGCACATTACTGCTACGCATCACAAGTTTCAACATTGTTGTAGTTTTTCTGTCATTTCTACTTCTGCTCTACTGTCCTGGCACGATGTAGAACCACGCCCACCCTAGAAGCACGCTATTTATACTTATCCGGTTCGTAGATAAATCCATGCTTCCGCAGCTCTTCCCACGGGATGAGTGCGCTGCTCTTCAAGGGCTTCCCGTAAAGGTGCCTCTCGTCGAAGGATCGCGCGTGCAACAGCAAGAAGTCCGCGTCATCAACGCGGTAACATTCTCCGTTGGCTCTGTGTTATGTGTTGTTGCTGTATTCAAAGCGAATAGCGAGGCCGGCTATGGGAGCGGTACACAATGGCGTCGGGCAGTTGAAAAAGTACAAAAATGCCTTGTCATCTTGCAGCGCAAGGCGATCGGCTCTCCCTTCCGGTCTGTGCGCCACACCAAGTTCTTCTCCTGCACGCGATAGAGAGTTCCATCAGGATCGCCTCTCTTGACGATGCACCGATCAAACCCGCCGTATTCTCGTTCGGGGGTAACGTACTGCAATCCACTACCGCGGAGCTGGTGCTCAAAGTAATCACGAGAATCCGCCTCCCTCAAGGTAGCCGCACTGTAAACGTGCGCCCTTGGGTCAAAGGGAGCCAACAAATGCGGACGTGATTGGAGCAGGTTCTGGAGGTGTGCCACGAGGTTGGCTGGCGGTATGTTTTCGCTTGGGTCGTTCAGTGAGTAGCCGTCGTAATCCCGTTGTCTATGGACAATGTGAACGAAAACGTCGGCCGCGTCGTCGCTCGTGATACCAATAAGAGTGAAGTTGTGCCAGGCACTCTTGTGCCCGTTTAGTGCGAGTCTGATCTTTCGCTCCCAGGCGTCGGCTCTGGAACTGCCACCCTTGATCTGCACCGTGGCCCAGAGCTCCACCGTGTTCAAATTTTGCGTAAAAGTGTCGTCCTTATTTGCCACTAGGACGTCACTACTTAACTCGTGGGTTCGTCGGACGATGAAATGCTGCTCCAATAAGCGAATAAATTCACTAACGCTTTTGTCCTCCGCGTTCTTTGGAATGCTGCCCATCAAACAGCTGCACGACGTTCAGATGCAAACAAAATCAACAACGTACAGCCTCAAGCGTGACCTAAATCAGAGTGAGAGAAAGTATGTGGCTCAGAGTAGTCCTCCGGGTGGGGTGTTTCTAAATCAGCCTACTATGATCACCAAATCTCAGGGCCCTGCGATGTTCATTCCCATCACGTAGTAAACGCCTACCCTTATTGGTATAGTATCAGACCACTCCCTCTACGTTCTTGCGCATCACATTCATTGCAATACTAGACCGATGGGCCATTTCTGTGTTGTTGTTGACATTGATTCATCTGATAGGACCGATCCAGTAGTGTCGCGTAGAGCTAGCATCAAAAACATGGCCTCCGTCGCCGATCTTCGACTTGTCTCGCCGCCGTTCCGACACGAATCCACAATGCTACATAGCTTATGGTTAACTAGCTAACTCAGATAAGACTATTATAGTTCAAGCATAATCAAGCTGCATGACCAATCAGTTTGGTAGCTAAACATGCACTGGAGTACTACCATAGAACATAATATGAAACATGCATACAAAAATTTTTGAACTTTCTCGAAATAAACGTTTTGCCCAAGCCATAAATAGTAACTTGTAATGCATAAAATCGCTACCAGCTGGAAGCCCACTTTCCCAGCGGTGCATGACAAATCTCGGCACCGCCTAAATCCAGTTTGTCATGCTGTTTAGGCACAGAAGGCGTCTTTTGTCGTGCTACTTTAGCAGCTCTATCGTAGACCCCAAACAGGGTGGCAGTAGGCCTCACTTGCCATCTCTGCAAGAGAGGCACTTCGTGCCTTACAGTTTATGCATGAGAAATTATTTCAACTCTGTCGATTTCAATCCTGACCCTTCCATATGGGACTGGAGAAAAATCGTGTCCGGCTGTCCGCATTCCACGACTTTCACCGGCATAGTTGAAGATTTCGTGTGTAATTATTCTTGTCCAATCACGAGGAGTGAGGTTGTAATTCTGATTTCAAATTTCCTGTCGAGCAGGAGCTCCACCACGTTGAGCAAAAAGCTGAAGGCTGACTGAAGCTAAGTCACGATTTTGTGTAATCGGTCCTGCTGTCCAGAGCAACAGTAGCAGCGAAAACGATTTCGATTTCGATCTGAACGACAACGATAAAAAGTGCGATGTCGATGAATTTCTCGACGACCAAAGCAAAATGCTTCTTGTACTTACAACTAGAAGAGGACAGGCGCGAAAAGTATGACGACGAACATCTTTCTACAGCACTCCAAATAACTCGGGCCCGTTTATTTTGCGACTGCGACAAGAAGAACATATTTCAGATACAAATTTCAGTACAGGAACCACCTGATGCACAGCAAGATGGACCTGTTACCACGGTAGATGCGATGAAAGCGGTCGGGCTTCGCACCGCCCCAGCAGTAGACAATCTTGATCCCACTGGAAAACGCTCTCCATCAATTATCTGTCGCTTTATTTATCTTAATCTTTCGCGAATACCCATCTGGCGCTTCCAAACTCGACAATCGTCTTTCCGGAAAACGTGTGTCCCTCCGCCGCGAGTTTCTTTTTCTGAAGTAGAGCTGCCGACATGGTGCCTTCGCCCCCTCCTCCTGCGTTCTCATCCCCGCCGGCAGACTTTGCTTTGCTTGAGCTTGGCTTGTCCTTTGCCGCCTTGATGTCTTTGCTGGTTTTATTGTTTTTGTCATTGGACTTCCGAACCGATTTTTCTACCTTCATCTTCTTGTTCTCAGCGGACGAAGTTGCTATCGCCTTGCCCTTCACCTTCTCCGCCTCCCTGACCTTCTCATCCACCACCGCGCCGCCCTTCAATGAGATTCCGCCGCTGCTGTTCACACACCGCCACCAGGGCACGTCGTTCACATCGCAGTCCCGCATGTATGAAATGCAAAAGTGTCTGGGTCTGGAAGAGTGTGAACTTGTCATGCAGGTTTTCCATGACTCTTGAGGTCTGGAATGCGGCACCTAGCACGACAGAGTCTGCGACGTCTCTTTCATGCCTATCCTGCATGAGAAACTCCCTCCCAACTTGGTCGAAAGTGGACAGCTACTTTTGGCACTCATGCAACACAGACTTTTGCATGGTTCGGATTTAGTATGACAAGTTGCAATCTTCCAGACCCAGACATTTTTGCAATCCATAGCATGGCGAATCCGACGTGTCTCGCGTGGTTGGGGAGTTTGAGCGCGACGGCAACGTCCTTGTAGGTGGTAACTTTTCCAGCGGGGACTATGACTTGCTCAAGCGTTACAATCTCAAACGTTACAATAGAATCTGGAATTTGTGTTGCATGATGAGCATGACAGACTCGCACAGCGCTCCACCTTTTGCAATACAAATTTCGCCAGATTGTAGTGGTTTTTGGGGCTCCGGAACTTGTCATGCGCAATCCTATGAGGGTTGGCTAGATCCTGCACTCTTGCATCACAGATTTCCATATTATATTGCAAACGTTTGAGATTGTAACACCTGAGCGGGTTATAGGGACCTGCTTCACTTTCTCGTACACGAGTTGAGGGAAGAGCTTCCTGGGAGGGGAGGAGCTTCTATTCTGCATCTTCCCGTTCTGCTGTTTATTTTGGTCGTGACGCTCTTGATTTATTTTGGGAGTACTAGTGGTGGTGGTGGTTTTCCGCTTTTCAGTAGTGTTTTTCGAAGAAGACGAGGAGGAGCTGGGCGCTGAGGTCGAAATGGACGAGGAGAATATTGCCATAGTTGATTTCAATGCGGTTGCTTCGTTGCTTTCTTAATGGTCTGCGTGAGAAGAAAGAAAGATCATATTCTAGGAAGGCTCGACAAAGTACTAGCAGAGCAGTGAGGACACGACCAGTCGGGAATGAATCAACTAGGCAAGGTCGCGGTACTGCAACGAACCTTCTCGCAGTCGTTTGGTAAGTACATTCCGCTCAAGACTGAAACTGCAGCTACGGTCTACAACTTCAAAGAGAACACATCAAAGCGAAACAACGTGAACTTCTTTCGCAGCAGCCAGCAGCCTGCTCATCAAGAAACACTAAAGATTGTGAGGATGTTGATGTTCATCATTTTACTACGTGTCGATAGCTTTGTCGCTGAAGTTTCGTCCAAATAAAGAACTTATTTGTCATTTGATTTTGCATCAGTCTGCAAAAATTCTGTTCGCTTGTGCTTGATCTTCCCGATGAAGATGTTGCTTTCATCAACTTGTTCGACGGAGATTACCACCGAAGCGGATGCAGAAACAGCAGTATAATTTGCTGCTCGTCCGCGTCAGCATGCAGACGACGGCTCCTTGTTATTCCTTGCTTCAGCTTCCCCCAGCGATTCCCAGCGTCTCTCTGAGCAAAACACACGACCAGTCGCTCCTCGTCATACGCCGAGGTCGTCTGCTTTTTTTTGCAACCACCGAAAAGCAAGTGTGCAGGAACGTAATATACGAACTTTTTCGGGCTGCACGAAGATGTTCTTCTTCTGCTTCTTCAACACTCCTAGTTGTTCTCCCCCGCGCCCCATTCGCCGGTCCCCATGTTTTTCGTGGACCGCCCATCCACTACCGGGTTCTGGGCCTTCATGTAGTCGTTGTCGATCCCGACGTTCCTGATCGTGTGCTGTTTCGCCGCCGCGCGCGATTTCTTGATCGCGGCCTGAAACTCCTCAATCAGCGCTATGTCGCTGTCGCTGAACCCGAGCTTTTGCCGGTCGTAGAAAACTTCTTGGAAGTACGGGTCGAGCAAAGGTCGCAACGCGAGTTTTTTCTCCCGTATGTTGAAGAGGGATTCGAGGATCATGGCAAACTCCCGACGGAGAAAAGCCTTCATGACCGCGTCGTTTGGCGGACGGTAGCGGTAATTTTCGTCCTCGTCGTTCTCTTGGTTCTCGTTGACTAAATTGTTCTCTGCTTGGGAATCGACAGAACTGGCACCGGGACCGGGCTTGTTCTGCTGGGACCTGAGATTCGAGGTTTTTTGAGGGGGGAAATTGAGGATTTGGGAGAAAGGAGATACGCCTCATTGTTGAAGACCTCTTGCAGGAAAGCAGTCATCAAGCCGCTGGTGCAATAGAGGACAACAATGCAGCACAACCAGCACACTGTGGACCCTGATGAAGCAGGAAGATTCTCACAAATTGAACAAAAAATCACGTACATAATTGAATAAATTGGAACGCAACTCTTTTCTTTGAAATCAGATTTCAAAAAAAAATCAAACTACCTATTGCCGTCCCCGGAGGACTTTGCGTCCAATTCCTGCTCCTGCGCGAACAACTGGTCGTGGTTGACTTTCCCCACTGCCGCGCCGAAAAAATCATCCTCGTCGGATTCCTCCTCGGAGTTGTCGCCTGCTCCTGCGGGGGAAGATGAAGCTGCAGCTGCTTGTTGGTGGGGCTCTTGATCTGCTGGTTCATCTGGTGCAGCTGCACCAGGCCCAAGACCTTCTTCCTCTATTCTTCTTCTTTTAGGGGAACTAGAATGATCTTTGTCAGGTATAATTCTAGCATTACCCCCACCGTAATTGCTGATCCCGCCGACGACAGACACAGCGTCCTCTCCCGCGACCGACATGTTGTCTTGATGTTCCGCCAGCATTTGTTCCTGCTGCAAAATCTCCGCGGAAATGTCGTGCATCGCATTTTCGCCGTTTGTTGTTCCCGCTGCACGACCAGCTGCTCCAGTAGTGGAGGAGGAGGAAGAAGATCCGCCAGCGATGTTGCTCCCGAGATTGATGTTCGACGCCGTGCCTCCATTCTCCCCAACATCGTCTATCTCCTCCTGCTTCACCACGCCTGTGGTCTCCGGCGCGACAAACGCGGGAAACACCGTGTCGGCGTTTTTCGGCAAACAAACGTTCCGCATTTCCTCGCTGTTGTTGAACTCCAAATCCGGTTGGATCACTTCGGCAACGAATTCCCGGACGAGTTTCATGCACCGTTCCATCTGGAAGCTGTCGTCCGACTGTTGAATCTTTAAATGGTTCAAGATCAACTGCCACAAGATTTTCACCAGGGGGAACTTCTCGACGAAGTCGATGTTCAGCTCCAGCATCTTTTCAAACACGATCTTCACATCGTTGAAGGATTCATAGTGCTGGCACGCGTGGCCGGTTTGGACCAAGCGCTGTATGGCTTCAAACGCGTAACACCGATTATCCCAATCCATCTGTTCCTCCACCCACCGTTTCAAAAACGGCATGGATTTCGTGAACCGCGGCCGCTGCTCGATGTGCTGCAAAACCCGCTTCAGCATGTCGATCGCGTCGATGGGTTTGTTCATGACCGTCGGAAGTTGCTTCTTGATCTTCTCCGCTTTCAGTTTCAAATACTGCCGCTTCATTTTCATGCGGATTAACTGCTCCTTCGTCAAGGGGCGGCCGTTTTGTCCGGGGAGCAGCGCAACTCCGTGCTTGTTGTACTGGTGTTTGGAAAAGTGTAACCTCCTCGCGTCCTGCTCCTGCTGCCGTATTCGCGCGATGTTCTGCGCGTGCTTCTTCATCTCCTTGGATTGGTGGTTGTAAAATCCGTCTAGCTCCCTTTCCTTCTATGACAGTACACAACTCCCCCTCCCCCTTGTTTGTCATGCAAAATACCCAATCCACCCCTTGCCTCTTGGCGCTGTTTGCATGAGAAGTTCTGGTAGCCCAAATAGCACTACACTCCAGTGCAGATTTGTCATGCAAAACCGGCATTCTTGCTGATGCTTGTATTGCCGCTCATGCTACACAAATGAGGGGGAGGGGGAGCTGTGCACTGTCATACCTTCCGCGACCGGCCCAGCAGCTGCTCGGCCGGCTTGTTGAAGCGACGCTGCACCTGCTCGAAAGCTTCGTTGAGCTGTAGTTGTTTTTTATAGGGTTTTGTTGGCGTTGTAGCAGCACTACAAGCAGATCACATTATTTCGTAGTCGTTCTGCAACTGCATCTGCTCATGGAATAAAACTTCATCTTTAAATAACGCGACTGCGAGGTCCTCGTCGCTGTGGCTGTGGTCCTACATGAAATATTAACACAGACTCAAATAGAAACCTGCCGTAAATAAACCAGCCAGCAAATACTATACCTTCGCAGCCTCGTACTTCTTCGCGTCTGCATCTTTTGTTTTCCCAGTCGCCTGCAATTTCGCGACTTCCTCTTTCAAAGCCTTCCATCTTTTTTTCACCCTTTGTCGCACGCGCTCCAGATCCGCCTTCGTCTTAATCTGGAATTCCTCGAAGCCAACCAGCTTGTAGCAATCCATTTTTGAGATTTATTTTTGGTCTTCTGGTCGTGTCTTCAAGAGTGCTCGTTGATGATGGTTTTTCGATACTAGTACCAACAAAATTGCGGAGCGTAGGCTTAGGAGCCGTAGTTGCCGTTCATCAATTCAAGCGTGCATTTCCATTTTTGATACCAAACTCCTATTGTCACCATCAAGGTGGTCAACATGAACATACTATTTCTAGGACGAAATATATGGGAACAGGTTGGATTGTAGGTACGCTTGGGGTAATACGTTGAAGGGGATGAGGCATCAATCTATCTTCAAGTTTGGAAAAAACGGCGCAAGGGGATGAAGAACATATCATCTGTGTTGGGTTGGGAGTTGGTCCTGTTTCATTGTTTGAGTCTTTTCTTCACAAAATCTTCTGCAACATTTGCATTTGAGAACGACTACTTTCTGTTTCTGTTTTTCCTGTTGCATGCGAAGGCGCAACTTATCGTTATCGGAGACGAAGCCAGAACTTACTTATTTGTTTCTTGATCCTCGATTCTACTTCAGAATCGCATGATGAAATTTTGTGATCCGTCCTTCTGATTTCATTTTCAATTATTCCGTTTTGTTTCTTCCTAGTTTCTGTTTTCACCGTCAAACATTCCGACATCCCAGGATCTGCACGAGGAACACACAGATATAGTATCGCGGACTCCTCGAAGATGAGCTACCGTTCTTGCTCAGCACCACAACTTCCGCCCGAGGACGCCAAGAACGAATGTCTTCACGTGTTGTAGTTGCGCTGCGCATTTTTGCTTTATTCTGTCAAATGAGTTCTTACGAAAACTTCCAAATCATTTTCAAGTAGAATCTGATCGGCAACATCAGGCAAACGTGGTAATCAAATTTTTCCCGTATTCAACCATCACCCTGTCCATGTTTTTTCGCATGTTTGCCACTTGAGTTATCAAATGCAAAAATGTCTGGGTCTGGAAACTTGTGATGCTGGGTGGCGTATCATGAGGAGGCCACAAGTGCTCGCTCAGCATGACAAGTTTCTGAGCTTCTAGGTGTTGCCTATTCTGCATGACAAACTGCGTTTCTACATGACAGAAAAATGGCGCTCTTGGGTAACGTACATGACAGATTTGAGAGTCATGCCAGAGTAGCATGACAAACATGCACTGTTCCAGACCCAGACATTTTTACACTTGATATGAATCAGATTTTGATGATTCCTCATGTTTGACAACGAAGTGGTGTTGGTCAAGCCAGTGTAAGCAGATGACAAAGCATCAGCAGACAGAAAGCCGCCAGAACTCATTGTCGTATAATTCCCACTGGCGTTCCGCATCACAATCTTTGACACCGTCTCCGCCGGATTTGCCGTCTTCACCCAGTACCCGTGCAATGTGTTCCGTTCGAAAAACGGAAAAAAGTCGAGTTTCAGAGGCTGCCAGACTTCATTGGACGATGAGAATTGGTTGTTGTCATCGAGCGTGGGGGAATCGGATTCGGACATGGAGGAACTGGACGCGGAGCTGAGAGCCCGTAAATGCCCGCCCGTCGTGTAATCGATAACGTGCCCGTATTTCGTCATTGTAGTGGAGGAGGAAGAGCCGGTACCTGTTATTTTCAGTGGGTAAAACTTATACGTCGACAAGTTCAACAAAAAACGTACAACTACCTAGCCATCAAGTGAATGTGGACCTTGAAATATTCACATGACAATCAAATGCTTGTGCCTGATGAAACTCCGCATCCGCAGTGGAAAGGAACATTGAATGCGTCAGCTATCTATCTCTTTGTAAACACATCTATATACCGTGGTCCATCTCCCCGGTAATGCTTTTCCTAACCGGCGGCAAGCTGACGCTGAGCAGTGCCCGCAAGCAAGCCAACGCACACGTTTCCGACAATAACCCCGGGCCGTAGGCGGAAGCACTAGAAGACGACATTGAATCGCTACTCGCCGCATGATTGTAGTGAATGACGCAGACCTTCAGCGTGAAGTGCCAATAGCACTTTTTCTCCTCGACTGTGATCGTGTTTTTGTTCAAAATCTCTTTCGACTGAAACAGTTTGCGCAGCTGGTCGCACAGGGTCAGATTCCCGAAATCCTGCGGTCGGTAGTTTTGAGGTTGATGTTGGTGAGCAGCGGTGGAAGAGGAAGACGCTGCCACACCTGGTCCTCGTCCCATGGGACTACATCCATGATCCTCCTGTTCCTGCAACAATAATTTCGCGACCTGTTCCGGGCTTCCTCTAACCGTCTGCTGCGGTGCTCCTGTGCCTGTTGTCTCGATTTTCCGCCTCTTCTGCACGTGCTCGGCGATCACTTGCTCTGGTGTTTTATTGACGCCCACAGACGCGTCAGACGTGCCTGATGTGTTTCCTGCGTGCTCCATGGCGAACGATCTTGTCCCGCCGTCAGTCATATTTGCTGCTCTTCGTTTACTCTCTTCATATTCCGCGCTTCCCATCTTTTGGAATCTTCTGCTCCGAAACGGGTCCTCTGAGCTGTACTTTGGGAGTTCGTCGACGTAAATCTCCAAGTCCCGGGGAAAATCTTCCACCAAATTCCCCTCGACAATACATGCGACCTGCGTGTTATGGTACCACACGAGGGCGGACCCGAGGCTCTGGCTGTGGAAACCCACTTGCACCGTCGGGGACAGGATCTCCGTGCTGTCGGTCAGGGAGTTATCATTTTCGTCGTTTCCATGTTTATCTATTTCTCCGGGTGGGCTCTGGATGTTGATGACAGCATCCCCATTCTCCTCGAAGTCCACCTCCATGGTCATTTTTCTTGTAGTACTAGTTTGTTGTTGTAAAAAACTATACAACTTGATAGTACTAGGTAGCGGGAGGAGGTCGATCTAAATGCATCAAATCAGCGCATGAAAAGAAAAAGATGCTTCTGCTGGGTCCTTGCGAGCAGATCAAAAAGATGAGACTATTAAAAAGAGGATCGTCTACAAGTCGCACGGTGATCACTGTTTGTTTCACGAAATGTTCACAAATCAAAATATGTTAATATGGGCTCTGTCTTAATCTTCTCCCAGATCCTTCATTCGGGCACGTACTAGTCCTACAGTTGTTGATCGCATTTACAATTTTCATTTTCGGTGAAAGCCAGAACATTCTAGTAATGGTGTCTCATAGTTTTCAGAACCAAATTTGCCGATCCTGCTTGCATTTGACCTTTCAGATCTTCATCTTCTCGTGCCTGCATGAAGTTCTTCGCATATTCGTACTATTTCGTTGATCATTCATCGTGCGGCTGGCAATAAAGGCAACTAAGTTGTACACTATCAATAGGACCGACAGGTACCACTGTGGTGTCTAACACTATGGCAGAACAACAGGCCTCCAGGCGCGAGTGCAAAAATTATCCATTTTCGTACGAGGAACACATGTTCACCGCAATATCCAGCAGTAGAGTTAGCGTCATGCACGTGGTCGCAGAGCAATTACAATAAATGCTAGTATCTTACACGAGAAGAAGATCGAGAAGTAGAAAAGTATTCATCGCAGTTATTTCAGGCTCTGTCTAGCAAGCCAGGCGTCCGCACGAAGTTCCGAATTCTATTGAAACCACATGATGAACTCCTGCAACATCCTACATGGCTAGAAATAGTAGAGAACTGTAAATTTAATGTAAATATCGCCCAACAAGAACTCAATTTCAATTAATTTTGCACACGTTGTAGTTGTACATGCAGTTGTACTTCTACTTCATTCCTCTTCCAGGATAATAGGAATCGGAATATCGCTATGGCTATCGAAACGCCCCACCACTGCCATTCCCTCCACCTCCGACTCCACGACGTCCGAAATCTGTTCGCCTTACCACGCGCTCAAAATTATTTAAGTTAAAATACATCCGACGCGGGTGCCAGGAATTTGTGTTGCTATGGTAGGGATTGTTGTGTACAACTGAGTTGCTAGTTCTATTGTGGTCTATCTGAGATGAGGAACTATTGTTCGGCGGTCCAGGACCACTTATGTTATACCCACCTGCCCCCGTGCTATCTTCTATCTTCATCTTCTTACTCAGGTAATATTCCTCCGCGTGCCTGTATCCGTACTGTCTTCTCAACAGCGACAAACAGCAGCCGCACAGCAGTCTTTTCACCACGAAGTTCAGTAGGAGTTTCCGGATGAGCAATTGGTACAAGGTCAGAACCAAAGGTTGGAAGAAGCTTTCCCAAAAGGGGATGACTGTCGTGAAAACTTTTTCCAAAAAGTTTTTCTTCCGCCACCTTTTTGCACTCGCCGCCGCGCTGATCTTCCGCGACAACCCCGTTCCGCTTCCGTGCTGAAAGATCAAGCCAACGTCCTCCTCGTCGTCGTCCGTTTGGTTCAAAACAAAGTTTTCGATCATATCAATTGTAAAAGTGTCTGGGTCTGGAATGTTGCCAAGTTTATCATGCATATTTTGCATGACCCAGGATGTCTGTAATGCACGGCCTAGCATCACAGATTTTTAGAGGGCTTCCTGATGCCTACTCCGCATGCCAAATGCCCTCCCCGCGTAGCACAAACTAGACTCCTCTTGCTGGTCATGCAATACGGATTTTTTTAGAATCCAAACGCAGCATCACAAGTTCCAACTTTCCAGACCCAGACATTTTTGCAATCCATAGATCACAACTTTCAACACTTCTTGCAGAATTTCCTCCACCCCCAGCCAGTACCAAATGCGGCTGAAGCAGGATTTCTTCCGGTTTTTGTACTATGACCTGCTCAAACGTTACAATCCCAAGCGTTACAATAGAATTTGGAAATCTGTGATGCAAGAAGTGCATGATCTAGCCAAGTTTCATAGGATTACGCATGACAAGTTCCGGAGTCCCAAACCGCACTACAGTCTGCCAGTGCCAGTATTTGTGCTGCATAAAGTGGAATGGTCTGCGAGTCTGTCATGCTCATTATGCGAGACAAGTCCCAGATTCTATTGTAACGTTTGATATTGTAACGTTTGAGCAGGTCATATGTACGCCAGGTGTTTCCTGTGCTCGAAGTTGTTCTGGAAGTTATCTTCCGGAAACCTCGGCTTTTGTACTAGATTCTGGTCCACCCGGCTGATTTCCTTAAATTTCGCGTGAAACAGCACCGCCGGGACCTTGAACGTACCGTCGGGGAAGCACCACTTCTTGAACTGTTTCTTTTTGAACTCCAGCTCCTTCGCGCGGAGTTCGATTTCCTTCTTCAGTGAAGTGCGGCGCTCCGATATCCACAGTAAATTTCCCGTACACGTACACATGCGGTCTCTGCATGAAAGAACTTGGCTTCCATCCTAGTCTAGCATGACAAGTTTTCGGCTTTAAATTGGTGAAATTTGTGATGCATCTTGTACATGTACGGAAAATTTGTATTGCGTATCCGACTCCAGCATGACGGAAACGTAATTGATCGTGCGGAGTTCCTCTTGCTTCAGATTCAACTCCGACTGCAGCTGTGTCAATTCCTGCACCGTGATAAACCGATTCTCGATCTGGTCGCTGCCGATCATGGTGTTTGCTGATGTCGTTCTTGATGTGCTATCAGAAGTTGTACTCGCCGGTCCTAAAAGTTGTGATCCGCCCTTAATATTTTGCTGCTGCTGCTGTTTCAGCGATTGCTCCTCTTGTTCCGCGGCTGTCAGCTGCACCGTTTTCACGGCCGGGCACACGTAGCTGCACACTTCCGTGATCGTTTTCCCGCTGTACTGATCGACCGCTATCAAATGCAAAAATGTCTGGGTCTGGGAGGTTGCCGGGTTTGTCATGCATATTTTGCATGACCAATCGCGCCTGTAGTGCATGACTTAGCATCACAGATTTTTGGAAGGCTTTCTGATGCCTATTCCGCATGACAAATGTCCTCTCCGCGTAGCACAATCCGGGCTCCTCTTGTTGGTCCTGCAATACAGATTTTTTTAGAGTCCAAAGACAGCATGACAAGTTTGGATCCTTCCAGACCCAGACATATTTGCAATGCATAACCGCTAGAACCGAACAGTTGATCAGAAACAGCTCCCGCAGTCCGAGGTTCTTTTCGTGCAGGGGAGAGGCTTCGTTGATGATGTGCTTGATCGTCAGAATGCCGCCGTTCGGGCTGTGCACCGTGAGCATCGTATGGAAGTGTCAGGTTTGAAATCGTCAAAGTTGAAATAGTTTGTCATGCATAAAGCGGAGACCAGTTGGAAGACCAATTTCCAAGCGGCGCATGACAAATTTTCTGAGCACCGAAATCCAATCTGTCATGCTGTTTGGGCACAGAAGAGTGCTTTTGTCATGCTCCTTTAGCAGCTCTATCCCAAACCCTAAATAGGCTCGAAATCTGCCTCACTTGCAATCCCTGCAAGACAGTCTTTTCGTGCTTTGCATTTTATGCATCACAGATTCTTTCAACTTTGTCGATTTCAATCCTGACACATCCATACATCGGGAGAAGTTGGTATTGCGCCGGGTGGTATCAAATGCAAAAGTGTCTGGGTCTGGAATAGTGGAACTTGTGATGCGTGTCTTGCATTCCTGGAAAATCTGTGTTGCATGAGCAGCAAAAGAGGAGCTTGCTTTGTCATGCAAAAACGCAATTTGTAATGCGTGGTAGGCATCAGCAGGCCTCTCTAAAACTTGTCATGCCTGGCTGCCATTAATACAAGCGCTTCAATCATGCTCAATTCAGCATCACAGATTTCCAGACCCAGACATATTTGCAGTGCATAGGTGGTCCTGTAAAAGTTGGTCGATCTCGGTGTTGGATGGTTTATTGCCTGTCGTGTCTAGTACCTGCTCGCCACCGCTATTTGTAGGCTTTGTACTAGATGAGGAGCCACTGCTGCTCAAACTGGTGCTGTTCGACAAAACTTGTGCCTGCAACTCGTACATCAGCCCCGACCGCGTGACCAACTGCAGCACGATCTTCGGCTGCACCAAAATCACGTTCTCCCGGATCACCATCAAGCGCAACACAAGCTCGGGGTACTCCAGCCAGTCGCTGTCGGGGTAGTAGAATTTTTCATCTGGAACAGGATCGGCTCCTCCGGGAGGTGGTGGTGGTTGTAATCCTGCAGCCGAGAATGGAACACTTGTGTTCCCTGCTCCTCTCGGCGAAGTTGTACTTCTATCTGCAGGCGCCGCTAAGAGTCCTCCCCCTGGCCCCATGCGCGGGCTGAGCAGTTGCTGCAGCTGGGGAACGCCTTTTGTTTGCATGGCCGGTCGTGCCCCCGCAATTGTAGAAGTTTGCGCTCCTGTACTAGCTGCAGGAGGTGCTCGCTCCGCCGTTGGGAACGCCGGGGGTGCGACGGCAAGAACCACTGCATTTCCTTTGGCTGGAGGTAGTTGGAGCAGGTGTTTTTCTTTTTTATTCATTTTACTGGCACCAGCTGCAGATGTTGATGATGATCGGAAAGCGGAAGCATCTTCGTCGCCCGCTGGTGGCACCATTTGCGCCTTGTGCTCGCCTTCGTTATACAACACCAGCTGTGGTCCACCTTTTGAAGGAGACGAAGAGGTGGTTATTGAGGTTTTCGACTTCTTCACCTTAGCCGGCCCTCCGCCCGCCAAACTTTTCGTCGTGTTGTTTGGAACATCCGCAGCTCTGTTTTCCACTACTATCTTTGCAGATTTCTTGCTAGAAGTACCGCCACTCGCCGGAGAACTTGTAGTTGCCACAGCAGGAGCGGTCAAGATATTACCGTCTTGGTCTGGAGAAACACTTCTGCTGGTTTTCTTCGAAGATGCTCCACCTGGATTCCTTATCGCCGCAGAGGTACTAGGGCCTCCTGCTACTAGGGACGAGCTGCTATTTCGTAGTTGCGATGAATCTGCTCTATTCGAAGAAGTCACCCTCCTGTCACTGCTGCTCGCAGTCGCGCCGGAGGTTCTATTCTTGCTACCGACAGTCTTATCGTCGTTCGCTGCAGCAGCTCCCGAAGCCGGCAGCGAAGAAGCTGATCGGCTTCTTTTCGATTTCAACGCTTTTGTTTCTGCTCCTGTGCTGTTGGACGTGGTTGGTCCAGCAGGTTCTACTTTTAGACTGGAGGCTCTACCAGCATTGCCTATGGTGTTACCCGCAACGGAGGCCGAGCCGGGGGCGTGGGCAGCACTGCCCTCAGGATGCGGAGCAGCTTCCTTATACTCCAAATCGCTCCTTGCAGGGGATGTGGAGACAAACTTGTCCTCTACTTCCGAAGACAGCGCCCTCGCCTTCGCTGGCGCTGCGCCTGCAGGTCCTCGCGGCATGTCAGGATTTTTATCGCCACCTGCACCAGCCCCCACCAACGGCAATTTCGTGCCGTTTGTGTCTTTCTCCTCATCTTCATTCCCACCCGGTAGATGAAGTGTTAAACTCGTCCCATTCTGTAGCGGCCCCCCGGATGCTGGCGAGCCACTGCTGCTGCTGCTCTCCTGACCAGGAACTACACCGCCTGCCCCACCACTCGTCCCACCCGCCGCGTTGCTATTTGCTTTCGCTGACAACAGCATGCGGTTAAGAAACGCCAGGGCGCTGCTCGTCACAATAATTGGCTCGGGCTCGTTTACCGGCATCAAAATGCGGTTTTTGATTTTCCCTTTCGGCCCCTTCAAAGGTTTGATATTCACATTCTGCTGGCTTGAATGATCTTGATTGCCGCTTGCTGGTGGAGAAGCTTTCATACTCGAAGACGCTAGTAGAGATCCTGGCCGGGGACTTCTATTTGCAGTTGTTAAGGACGAGCCACCAGCGTTTTTACTGTTGGATCGGATCCGCACCATCTCTGTCACACTCTTGCTGGTGGTCGTGTTAATATTCGCGACTACATTTGGCGTTGGTCCTGGAGGTTGTACTGAGTTGTCAAATATCGTCGGTTTCAGCACTCCGTCAGACACGCAGCAGGCGTGGGAGAAGCATATGGGGTTCTCAAACGTTACATCCTCAGCTGTTACATGAAATTTGTAATGCAAGAATGGCAAAAAGTGAAAGGGAAAACGTTGTGCCTTTTGCATTACAGGTTTGGAGCAGATTGTAATGCTATCTAGCGCGTCGGGAAGTTGTCATGCGGAGAAGGCTTGATCGCGGTAAAAGTGATAGTGTTTTTGCATGACAAATCATGTAACAGTTGAGAATGTAACATTTTGAGAACGCCATAAAGCAAAGTTGCTGACTCGGCTGCAGAAACCTCGCGACGATAACGCCGGTGAGCAGCAAGAGAAAGATAATCTGCAGATAGTGCTGTAGGGACAAAACGGTGAGCATGACGAAGGTAAGGAAGTTGTCCCGGCCTCGCTCCCCATCGGGGTGAATCAATTCGTCCGCTTCGGTGGTCTGGAAGAAGCTCAGACTGTTGGTGGCCTTCAAGCTCAGCATGAAGAAGTGCCGGAAGGTCCGCTCGCTCGGGGGGGAAGGAGACGACCACAGGGGGGATGTGGAAGTAGATGTTGTGCCCGCGGTGGTCAAGGACGTGGTCGTGGAGGACGCGTGGTCAGCAGGATCACCATCTCGTCCCGCCCTGAGCGCCAGAACATCTTCCAACAGGTCGTACATAAGCCAGTAGAGCAAGCAGGACAAGCCATAATTGACCACCGCAAACACGGTGACAAACCCGATTTCAAAAGCCAACACGTAGGTAATCAGTTGCTTCATCGAGATGCGGTTGACACAAAAGTCCCAAAGGAAATCCCCGACGGCCTTCGTGGACGTCGACAAGGGTCCGGCCAGCATCTGCCCCCGCCCGGCACCACCGCCCTGATGGAACAGCCCGCCGTCGGCCGCGGAAGTAAAGGCTTCGGTGTCGCCCTCCCTGAAAAAGAAGTCGTCCATAAAGTAGCGCCACAGGTCGTTCCCCGGTCGATTCACGTAGCGCGCGATGCCGCCCTTGGTGCCGAAATGGTTCTGCGTCTGGCGGAACTCGTTGCGCCGCGTGATCAGCTCGTGCCCGTTGTAGTACACATCGCCCAGCGGGTCGGCCACGATGCTTTCTCCGTAGAAGTTTTTCCGCAAAAGCGCTGCCGCGGAGGAGGGAGAACTGGACGCCGCGCCGCCCAGCTCCAAGTCGCCAAATTCTTCCGAGTACACCTCCTTGATAAATTATCCAAGAAAAAAACTGTGTTAGTGTAACTTTGGTTTCTTTGGTTGACAGCATCACAAATTTGGTCTACATGACAGAGAAAGCCTGTCATGCGCGGCTTGTAAGGGAAAACACTACACGTGATAGGAGGACTCCATGGTTGTCTGGCATGACAGGTGTAACTCTGATGCATGTTCTGCATTACAGAGTTACACTTACACAGGTTTTTTCTTGGATATAAATTTGTGCTTCTCGCTGGCGAACTTCTGGATGGCCTTGACGCGGGCGATGGTGAGCCCCTGCCGGAAGATGCTCGTGGCGGGAATTTTGCGGTTCTGCTTCTGCTCCTCATCCGTGTTGATTTGCGGATCATGCTCCTCGGTGATGCTATTCAGGCTTAGCATTTTTTTTGTTTTTTGTTTGCGAACAAAAATTTATCAATGCGTCGAAGTTGTAGTCCGGGTCGCCACGTCGATGAAACACAAACAGTGGTGTTAAACTTACAACGATAATATATTCAAGTGCGAAAAATGTATAATTTACGCCCCGTAGCTGACAGCGTCGCGCAAGTAGAAGTTGTCATGAACTTTCTAAGTGAAATCGTGTTGAGGTTCTCACTAGAAATCCGGGGGCCGACGGCGCCATCGGAGGCTTTTGTTCTTAAGCAACAAAGTCATGTTGACTGCCGGAGATTGTAGTTCGGGCGGTTAAATGCTGTGCTAAATTCTAATTTCTGAAATAATCTTATTCTTAGATGGATATAGAGGAAGCTGCATGGGGAATATTCTAGGTGCATGGCAAATACATCTTAAGTATTCCATTCCGTTTCGCGGGGGAGGAGGGGACTAACTAATAATTTTTATCACCGGAAGGCCACACGGATGTCATACTTGCTGAGTCGACGGATGAGCGACGGTCTCTGCAAATACGTTGTTCATGTGGTGGTGCTCCTGGCCCCCTGCTGTAATGATTTTTTTGAAATTGAATTTCAAAAAACGCAACTTGTTCATGAAAGAAAAAACAGGACAATGTCAAACAGTTTCTTCTACTGGAAAATAAATCTTATACGAAAACGTCAACGGGGGGCTCGATGTGGTGTAAAACGAAGCGCTACCAGCGAGAGCGACGTCGTACGATCACTATTAGTATTCATCCGCCTCTGTCCGCCGATTGGTGAATCGGGCTTCACGTCGGTGTGAACGCTGAGACTAGTTACGCAAACGACCGAGAGATGGACGAAGACCACGACCTGCGGTAGGAAAGAAGTACGTCAAGAAGTAGAGCTGCTAGCCGGAGGCAACAGAACGACGAGAGTCTTTAAACCGACCGAAATCTGCTGCTGCACGAGCAGCGAACCGAATGCTCGCGCAAGTTTATTTCATTGAACGGCTCGCTGTCGCTGTACGAAGACCGAATGTTTACTGTTACGGGTTTGGACGAGCACGAGGACCGAAGGTTTACTGTTACGGGTTTGGACGTGGACCGAATGTTTACTGGAGGTTACCAGATGAGGACGAGACTGTACGCACGACCGACTTGGACTGGATCTACTTATTATCGCACGACTGATGAAGAGAAAGAGCCTTGGCGCCAGCTGTTGTCTGTCTAATTTTTGGTGTACGAAATATTCACAGTATTTCGTGTCTTGATGATGATAGTACACATCCGGTCATCGAGTTTTGACTTTGTACTGCATTTTCTTTGACGACGAATCCGGAAAAGCCGATCATGGAGAATATGACCAACAAACCCTGAACAACTACGTCGATGGAAAATGCAACCAAGTGTTTGGATGCGGAGTGGGAACGGACGATCCTTCCTTGTGGCTGAACCACCAGCAAAGTTGCGTCGCGCTACATCCGCCCCTCTTCTTGCTTCTTCTTCTAAGTACCAGAAGCAGAATCTTTATTCTTCACTGTGAAACAAAACTCTTTCTCTCAATCTTCATGGCAACTCGAACTCTGGTTTTTATATATGACCTTCACGCCTGCCTCGCGCTGCGGCACTCCTTGTTGTGATCGGTCCTTACTTGGTGCCTCATCAACTCACAATCAAAATTATCTGCACTCTTCAGAAAAAGGTCGATAAAAAAGGGGAGAAAAACGATACGTATCTCAAGCTGAGTCGGTGGCTGTGCACTGAAATAAGTTTGTTTGGAAAGCAATCAATGCGAACTGGAAAATAGAAAAGAAAAAATGATGTTAGGCAATCGAATGTAAACTTGTAAATTAAAAAAAAATATACATGCCTATCAGGAAAGTACAGTCTCAGTCGGTTGAGCTTGTATGCCCTGCTCGTGCTTTTGCTTCATGTTGACTTAGACTGTACTATCTCAGAGCCCCACCGGCCCTGCAGTGCGTTGTCCGAGGTCAGTTTTCCTCTGGAGTGTGCCCTTCCTTCAACAGCAGCGCTTTCAGTGAGTCGTTTGATAAAGATGATCACTACGGAGCGGTAATTTTCCATGCCTTCATCTACAGCTGATTGGGAAGTTGTAGAAAAGCGCTGCAGTAAATTTGCACATAACGTTATTGAAATAGACCACAGCTGCTCGTATTGTTATTTTCAAGGTCGTGGGCGAATTAATTAGCAGCACTTGGAGTCCGTGTGTTTTTGTGGCTGCCTTTGTTGAGCCGAGGCGCTGGGCAGATTTTTTTGACGCGCAGCGGTGGCCGGATCAACAACAGATGCCGACTGCAGCTGCGACTGACTACTAGTACCCGCGCCGGCGCCAACTGCTCCACCCGGTCTTAACGCCGCGGGCGCTGCCCCTCCTGGTCCCAGCGTTCTGGCCGCGGGCGCGGCTGTACCTCCTGCCCCCCCTGCCCCGCCCGGTGTTGCGACCGCGCGCGTCGTTGCAGCTGCCGCTACTGGTGTTGTTCTTGTTGGTAAACCGCCCGAGCTGACTTTACCGGCCTCTCCGGGCACCTGTGGTGAAGCGACTGTCCGTGTCGGTGTCCTCCCTGTTTCATCGCCTCCTGCTAAGGGTGCTCCTACCGGGTGTGCTGCTCGGGGTGCGATTTCTGAAGATGCCGCAGGCGCAGCAGCGGCTACTGACACTGTAGGATGAACTGGTGACGCCTTAGGAGGGGGTGATGGACCCCCCAGACCACGCAGGTCGGGTACCGTGCGGCGATTACGTTCTGGCGCCGGCGGCACCCGACGACTGCTTGCTTGTTCTGGTTGCCGTACCGCCCCACTGGCGAGTTGTGCCCCGGTATGGGCAGCTTCGCCACCTTCAGGAGCGGTTTTTGTGGTGCTGCCACCCGCCTCGTGTTGCAGTGGATTTGGTTGCGGTTCTTCTTTGGCAGCATCGTTCATGCTGACTTTGCTTAAAAATTCCCTGAGTTGCTGATTGCAGAGCTGGAGCTTGTCAAGGTCTTTCTCCGTATTTCCGTTATTCGCTTCCGCTTTGAACTGCTCTAAAGCAGCACGTGCCAGCTGCGACATCTTCTTTCGACGCGGCCTCGGCTCCTCTTGATTCTCCTTGTTTGGCGTGCTGGACCCGCCTGTATACAAAGGAAAACCCCTACCACTATCGGAGCGGTTCAACTGATAGCTAGACTAACAGTCGGAGGACGACACCCTTACTTCACTTTACAACAATCTTCAATGCGAGGAGAGCGTAGATATTTGCAAAAATGAACTTTACCTGAGTGGATGCGAAAGTCGACGTGGAAGTCCGTACATACATTTAGAAATGAACTACCGAGACCGTTTCAGCAGTGGGGGTTTCCGTTTTCATAGTCTGTGATGTCCTCGGTCTTGAAAACTTGGGTAATCCCTTGGAACATCACGTCCACTGATATATCTACTTTTTCGTACATCTCGGCTGGAAGCCCCAGGTCCGCATGTAGTCTCTTGAGCGTCTCTTCATCATCATGATCCCTGATCAGACGTTCAATTACACCCTCGACCACAGCAAACAGCGCAAGCACTTGCGGACCGGGGGCAGACAACGGCACCGGGCATGTTGCTGGTGGTTTTCCTGTTTCTACTTGTCCGGATATTTTGCAATTGTGATCGGGACTTAGCCAGTTACCGAGGACTTCATTCACAAAAGGCCGTCCGATGTCGTCATTCTGGAGGGTCGAAGTGATAGAACTGTGATTGTTATCAAGATTCCGCTTGTTTTGACCTTGATGGCCGCCTTCAACCTCGACCTTGATGGCTTCCACGATCTGCCGACCCACGCCAATGAAAAGGAGACTAAAATTTTCATGTTCTTGCTTCAACAATTCGCTTTGGAGCTGCGACATCAACGTTTCCGGCGACAGTCCTCGATTGATCGCGTCATCGTGGACCACGCTTGCCCAGAGAAAAATCCGCTCCGTGTCCTTTTGCCGGAGAAAGGTGAACAACTCGGGGAAATAGCCCTGGAGAGTATTTTCAGCAGTTGACATGCAGCATACAACCCGCTGCATTTGCCGATTCAGTTCCCTAAGTTTCATGTTCGCGAGGATCTCGATGGACCCCTGATAATCTTTGAACTTCTGCTGCCCTTCTGGAGTTGTACTATCTTCCGACCCATATTGCTCGAGAAGTCTAGCGAGGACATACTTATCCATGGGGCTATGATTGCGTTTCTTGCTGCTGCTGTGCTGCGACGCGTGCTTGCTATGCTGTAGAAAGGCTTGCTCTTGCAGCGGATTGCCATCGTGTGCGTTGTAGTACTCGTGGTCTTGTCTTTGCTTGCGGTCTAGACCTTCCGCTTCTCGGAGGGCACTTCTGCTTTCATCCCTTGTTCCCCCCGACTGCTCCTCGGCCGGCGCAAATGTTTTCATTGGACCAGACGACCTTGCACCGGGCGCCGAGGACGCTTGTTCCGTTTCTCCTGGAAATCCATTTATGCAATGCAAAACTATGTATCGTAATCGTATCTATTTGATATTATAAGCAAATTTTCGGCAGAACAAAAAGAAAATAAAAATCGCATAATGCTGCATTTTATTTTGCCATCATACTCATAGGAACAAGTAGCTTGTCCATGCAATCTTCATGCTGCTGCAACTACAAGTACGAGTACGACACTAACACAACTTTTACACAGGATACTATTTTCCTCGCGCTGAAACAACATGTCGTGCCCTATACAATCATGACCGTCCGCGCAATCCAGACTCGACACTGCATCCACCCCGACAGGGTTGGCTGATGCGGCTACGGCGGCTGCGGTATTTGTCGTCGCCGACTCGAACCCCGTGCGGAGATGAAGTAGGTGTAGGTGTTGAGATAAATTCATTATCAAGTGCAAACATGTAGTCTGGGTCTGCGCGAAAGTTCTGACTATATGCTAGCTGCGTCTCCGTGAGAAGCGGTGGACGTCATCAATACAATATTACCCAGCGAGGGACGCGAAACTTTGACCTTATTTGGAAGAAGGGCTGTATACAGCGAGCAGCTCGCATGAGAGATGGCATATATAAATGACAAACGGCGTTGTCATCGGGAGGTGCTCACTCGCTCCATGCATCGCAGATTCTCGCTTCCCTCGAAAAATAGTAATTGCGCAACACAGGTTCACTCGCATTCTTTGTTCAGATCCAGACACATTTGCACTGAATATGACACACAGTTTCGCTGAAGCCACCACCGAACCTTATTTCCTGTTCGACACCACCGTTGCAAAACCCCAAGCGGAACAGAACACCACGACCGCCTCCTAGCAGAAGAAATGCGAGCGAGCAGAGAATGACGACAGTGGCAACCACGAGTAACAAACGCGACACGCCGATGATCTGGGAGAAGGTGAAGGAGTGGTGCTTTGCTACAATTCGACTTTTGGTCGTGGCACTGCTGCTCGATTTTCCTTGTTCTCTGTTCGTCATTTCCACCCTTTTCTCCAGGAAATTGCGACTGCGCAATGGTGCGCCTCGCTGCGGCTTCGATTGGCGTGAAGGTGAGGCCCGGTTCGCTCGGAAACAAGGGAAAAATCGTCGAGGGCAGCACGATGCATAGAGGGAGGTGGGTGGTTTGTCATCATCTACTGCTGCACGTGGACGTGCAGGATCCTCGAGTGATCTGGAAGGAGATCTTGTTTCAGCTGTGCTGGCACCGAGACTCTGGTCTGCTTCGTCCGGTGTCGTAGAAGTAGTTCTTGTGTTTAAATTCATTAACTCGGGCCGGTCTACGTCTACTTCATCTTTCTCCGACAAGAACTCCGCGGTGGACAGGCGAGAGTTGTAGTACAACCCTGTGAGTAGTGGTGCTGTTATTTCGGCTTCGCTGTCTTCATTTTGCGCTCTTTGCAGCTCCCACAGCCGCTCGTCATCTGCAGTTTCGTCGTCCTTTACAACGAACACTTCCAGTAGGGCAACCTCGTCCCTGTGATGCAATCTCGTCTCCGTCTCGTGCATTTCGTCAGTGGCCTATGCATTGCAAACATCGTCGATCCATCTGGGCGTGGAATAATCGAATCCGCCCGGAACTCGTGTTTTGTGTAAGGCATGGCTCCTGCAGAGTCATATCATCTAGCGAAGACGCACATAATTCCGCAGTACTGAAATAAGTAAGCCGTGGATATATCAAGACTATGTTGCAGGGGAGATCCACCCTTCTTTTCCCGAAAGTGGAATGACAATGAGTAAGTAACCGAGAATGAGAGCGGGACGAAAACTTGTCATGTTGGGGTGCGTTTTTTTTTTTTGCCGTCACTTCATCAACTACATGACTTTCGTGCTTATCCTTGTTCCACGAGTCAGGATGTAAGAAACTTTCCTAACCCAGAGGAGTCAACATTTTGACACGATTTTCAATTGGTACAACTTCTTTTGTCATCGTCATCTCGGAGGTCGGAATGGAGAATGTTGTAGAGGAGCTGCTACGTCTTGCACAACTCCGACTGCCTTTCAGTGCTGCTCCTCATCTGCGGTTCTCCTTCTACTTTTCGTCTATCACATCGACGACGCTGACGAGTTGTTCTTTAAGCGTAGTACATTTTGTACCGCTGAGTCAGGTGCCTTCGTACTGTAGTTTCTTCTTGTGCATCTTAAAACTAAGTGGATGAGCAACTTAGTAGTGATTGTAATAGTAAATTGGGGAAAACATTTGCTCGCGCACGTGCTGAGATTAAAAAGAAATATATACGCGAAAAAAGAATTTGATTATGGGGAAAAAATCCTTGGGAACTGCAACTGCTGGGCTCGCAAACAAAAACGCCACGAAAGCAGCGATCATATCAGTGCGCTTCCGGCAGAAAAAGCAAAAGTTGTCGATTGCAAGATACGAGAACCTCACAAAACGACCACGGACAATATTACGGCGTCACCAAGGAGGCGGTAGAACGAAAATAGCGAAGAACCGACACTAGCAAGAGACGCTTCCGTTCTTGTTCCGGCCAACCGAGGATTCTTGACATACTCATGATGTTCTCGACGCAAGACAAAAGTACTTAAGCCTATCGATGAGTCCAAGTTTTTACCAAATCGATGAAACGACAGCACACAGAAGTTTACACAGATGTTTCTTGTTTGTACGGTACCGATTTCGCAATGCGAAATTACAACAGTAGACCACGACATGCAATGTTGACGCTGGGGAAGAAATGCACGATTCGAAAAGTGCTACATCAGGAGAACGAGCACCGATCAGGTCTAGTGATGTTCTTTGAGGATGACGACCGACGACCGACGACCGAATGGGCACTGCAGGGCTAGCAAAAACACGGAAGCAACGACATTTTTACGTCGTGTCGGCGGAAAACGACCTTAAAGTCGTTCTTGACAACAGTGTACAGAAGGTGACGACGAAAGTGTAAAGCGAAAGTGAAACAACCAGAACCACGAATATCACAGCGGCGTCGTCAACCTTCTGAAGACGCAAGTACGCAAGCAGGAGCGAACCGACACTAGCAATAGATGCTTTTTCTCATCTCAACCGACTCCTAAATCCATCCTCTTGACGCGGCAAGAACGACCTCACACGACGAAGCAAATAACCGAATATATTCAAGCCTGTTCGTGTTCTACAGATGTGAAAGAAACGACAACGAGGGCAAGCTTATGCGAGCTGAGTTTAACTTTTGCGAGATGAAGTTATGCACACAAACCGAGCAGGGGATGAAAGCGAGTAGTACCGATGTCGTTGTAGGTCAAAAGACAATACAACAGCTACACCGACACGATCGATGGATGAAAATAAAACCAAGAGGCGGGTGGTAGATGCGGAGTGGGAACTGGCATACGACCCTTCCTTGTGGGTAAACCACCTGAAAAGTTGCATCCGCTCTTCTTCTTATTCTACACCTTATTTACTCTATACTGTGAAACAAAACTCTTTTTCTCAATCTTCATGGCAACTCTGGTTTTTATGTATGAACCTCGCGTCTGCCTCGAGCTGAGGCACTCCTTGTTGTGATCGGTCCTTATTTGTTGTTGCCTCATCAAGAACTCGATAATTAAAATTATCTGCATTCGAATGATTCTTCAGAAAAAAACAGGTCGATAAAAAAGCAAAAAAAAGGTGCATCTACATATGTCAAGCTTAACAAGAAATCGATGTTTGTACACAACTCAAAGTTTATTTGAAAAAGAGGAAAAAAAGGATGATGTTATGAAATTGAAAACGAATGTAAACTTGTTTAAAAAAAAAAATACATATATAATCAGATAAGTATAGCCTCAGTTGGTTGAGTTTGCATGCCCTGCTTTTGCTTCTTGCAATGACTTAGACTAACTATCTCAGAGCCCCCCCGGCCCTGTTGCCGGTTGCCTGACATCGAGCATCCCGACATCTTGCGATTGCTGAAAAGGAAGCAAGCTCCCACGAATATTAAGTGCACTGCTTTGTAAAATTCAGATGAGAAGTGGAAGCTTCGCACTGTAGCAAGCAACCTGTCATTTCTCCTTGTGATTGCATAGAGCATTCTGAGCCTCCAGATTGCTTCTTGTGGCCGCGAAACGTTTAACAAGAACTGATACGGAATAAATTAACAAGTAGCCAACGCATGGTGGGGGCCTACTCTGCCCTATTTGCACTTGATCGTGGCTGGTTACGCGGCACAAAGCTGCAAAGCATAGCACTTATGAAAAATGATTGATGGATAAGTAATAGGTGGTTTATTTCGGCGCTCTTAATATGATTCTTCGTTTTCTCGCGCTGCTTTGTCCGAGGTCAATCTTCCTCTGGAGTGTGCTCTTCGTTCAACAGCAGCGCTTTCGAAAAGTCGTTTGATTAAGATGATCACTATGGAGCGGCGATTCTCCCTGTCATCTACAGCTGATTAGGAAGTTGTAGAAAAGTGTTGTAGTACATTTTGTACGTTCCGTTATTGAAGTAGACCACAGCTTCTCGTATTTTCAAGGAAGGTGGACAAATTAATTTATTAGCAGCACTTGGAGTCCGTTTGTTTTTGAGCCCCCGTCGAGGTGCGGGACACATTATTTTGAGGCGCAGCGGGTGCCGGATTAACAGATGCCGATTGCGATGGACGAATGCCCGCAGCAACGCCCCCTGCTCCCGGAGTTGCGGCTGCGGGCGTCGGCCGCGCACCTTCGCCCCCAGGTCGCGACGCTGAAGCGGCTGCCCCCGCACCACCCCCACCTACCAATCCGGCTTCCGGCATTAGCGCGGCCGACCCGCCTCCTGTGCTGCGCTGCGCTCCATGTAGTTGATCCGGGGGCCCCCGGGGCGTGGTGCCTCGTGGACCGCCTGCTGGTTTTGCCCCGTCATTGTCTGGTGGCGCCGGACGATCGGCCGCGGCTGCAGATGGGGACGCACGGTTGGCTGCCGGTGGTGCGCCGGGTAGTCGTAGTGGTTTCTCAACTACATCACGTCGCCCGACGTCGCGAGGAAGCGCTGGCGCAGGCGTCTGCGGCGGAACTGGAAGCGATTGCTGTCCAGCGTCCTGCTCCTTTACCCCGACGCTGACCAGAAAATCATGAATTTGCTCCTGGCAGAGCTGTGCCTTCGTCATCTTCTTGCGTCCTATCTCCTCCGCGAAGTCCGTCTCGAACTGTACCAGAGCGGCATGCGTCAGCTGCGACATGTGTTCTTTCCGCTTTCCCCGAGCTCCTGGCGGAGTCGTTTCCAAGCTGGCGCTGTGATCTGTGTCCTTGGTCCAGCGCCATGTGTCATAGACCTTTGTAATGTAGGCAATCATAATGTCGTCGGTTACGTCATCTTTAAACCCCATGGCCTTGCGTAGTTCGGCGAGGTCTCCCGCCATGAGGAGCCGCGCAAGCACTAGCTCGACCAAACGCAAAAGCTATCATAATCAAAACGATTTCCGCCCGCAGACAGACTCATGCACAACAATGCACACACCTTCTGCAGCTGCAAAACTGTGACTGTCAATGGATGGTAGTGACGAAGCTGAAAGTAAAGTCTCATGCCTAACAAAGCAGGTTTCTCACTTCTTTTGGCCTGCTTGGCTAAAGTGAATCAGCAACGCTATCTATCTGGTGAACTGCCCTGCGCACTAGAGAGGGGCTTCGTCGCTGCAGGGCTCCTAACTGAAGCTGAAGATGAGTGACTATCCGTGCCACTGTGCACTATACAAGGTCGCTTATCATCATAACTACGCAGAGCAGTTTAAATTTTATTTTTACGGTAACGGACTGCGGAAGCTGATGTTTTAAGTTTGATACAAGAGCCATCACTTGCGGACCAGGCGGCGTCAAATGCTCCGGGCATGATTCTCGATTGGTTTTGCAATTTTTATCGGGGCTCACCCAGTCGCCAAGCACATCAGCAACAAACATCTGCCCGTTGGGGTCGTTCTTCAAAAACGAGGTGACGACATCTTCCTGTTCGCCTGCGGATGACGTTTGTACTACCGCCGAAGCGATACCGTCGGCCACCCGCTCGAAGAGGTCATGCTTCTCCTTCTCGCCGTCCTTCGCCAGTGCTATCTCGATGTTGAAGTTCTTCTGCTCCTGCAACTGTTGTGGCGTGGCGCTATCATGGACAACGCCGGCCCACAAATAAATCCGCTCGGTACCCTCCTGCCGGAGGAAGGCAAACACGGCCGGAAAAAACTCTTCGAGTGTACGGCCTTTCGCGTTTTCGTCCACCAGGTCCGGGTTTAGCGCCGCAAGCTCCATGCTTGCGAAAATCTCGACGGGCTCCTTGAACGTCTTGAATGCCCGCTGGCGTCCCTGGTCGTCCTTCAGCGCTTTTTGCTTCAGATGGGCTTGCGTCCGACTTTCGACGAGCCCCTCTGTCAAAGCATGCTCCACCATTTCCGCGCCAAAGTATACCCCAACAAGCGCAGCAGCCTCCTGTGCATTTTCTCGAATTTGTGCCGCCCGGTCTACCGCCCCTCCTACCCTTTCAGCTAGGTGTGTCGTCCCGCCGCCGATATCGATGTCGCTACTAGGACCAAGAAGATAGACATCGTGAAGTACTTCAGCCGCGCTGCGTAATGCGTCGGAGCCGGCCCCGGCGTCTCCCACGACACCCTCTGCAGACGGACCAAGAACATGATGGCCGCCAATATCTCCAACAACTCCCCGTACGGCATCCCCCCCTCCTCCGCCTCCAAGATCTCCACCAAATACACCTGCTCCGTCAACTCCGCCATCCGCGCCTGGTACGGCCGCCGCGGCGACAACGGACCCTCCGCCAAGATCCCCGCCTGCAAGGGCCGCGACGCCATCGGCACCTCCTCTAACATCCCCGCCTGCAAGGGCCGCGACGCCATCGGCACCTCCTCTAACATCCCCGCCTGCAAGGGCCGCGACGCCATCGGCACCTCCGCCACCCATGTCTGGGACGCTCGGGGTGTGGCCGGCAGAAAGTGGGCAGTCTACACCCTTAAGGTCTACGTCTGGACCTGGACATGTTGATATGGAGGGAAGAAATAGAGGAACTCCACTCGTCCCCCCTCACGATCCCCTTTTCGCTATAGTTCGCTCGCTGTCGCTGGCTGTCGGCCACATGTGCCTGCGAGGGTCACACGCGCAGGCAAAGAAGTGCCTAAGCCGCGCAACAAAAAACAAGGCGGCGGTGGAGCGCTTCTCGACTTCACGGTCAGATGAGATCAAGACTGGCCGCGCCGGACTAGAAGGCGTATTTGGATAATTTGGACGCGAAAAACAGAAAATAAAAAGCGCTGAGACGAATCAAACACGCCAAGCGCCGACGTGACCCACGTCGGCACTTGGCCTGTACCCAAGGTGGGCGCCATCACCATGACAGACATGACACGGAGGGAATGTGCGCCCAGCCGTTTCTTTGCTTCGGCGCCATGGGGTCGAATATGAAACATTCCTCATAATTACTTCGTCTTCCATATTTATTTCCCCCCCACCACCACACCCTCCGAACTCCTTGTCTAAGAAGCTGGAACATCATCATAATCAAAGACGCCCCGAGAGCCCAATCCACCAGGCACCAGCGCAATCGATATATCAAAAACCTGCAAACTATTTTCAATTTGGGATTCGCCTGGACTTGACGTACCACACCTTGGTCGGCTACTGCTTAATGCAGATCAAGATCTCCATTTCAGGCGCTTCCACTCCATCAATGAAGTCCTTTCGTGTATGGGGTTCTTCAGGGGGTGCTTTTACATTATGTTATTTGAGCAAACGAAGATTGGGCCGTCGTCGTGGTCTATCACATCAGAAAAATGAGTCAAGTCAAAAAAGAAAATCGGTTGTCGTCTTGCCATGCGTGGCAGCGATGGATCCAGCAAGACCTAGACGCCATCCCCATCGAGCACGACTGTTTTGAATTAAGCTGACGGTGACAAGATAAATACGCATTTACTCTTATGTTTTCCATGTGTCCAAATTTCTATTTCTTGGCCAACAGAATAAACTACAACTAACATGTCGGCGCACAAAAAATGACATAAACGAGGCGTCACCTACATACACTCACGTGCACGCCCATACACTTTGCCATGACGACATACAAAATTATGCTGACTTGACTCAAATTATGGTTTTTCCGATAACAGTGCGCCGCGTTGCAGTTCCTGGAAGTCTTGGTTCTGGTGCAGGGGCTCGCTGTCCGGGTCCTATCACGGAAAAACAAATCTACGTACTCTAGTAGCATTCCACACAGTGCAAGCGGGGGGGCCACGACATCAATCTTTGTCCCCGCCCATCTACTTCGCGTGTGAACGTTATGAACGTTCAAAATAATCTAAAGAGCAACATCGTAATTCATTAGGTGCTTTTATTGTCCTGGTTTCTAGAAGGCTGGGGGTGGGGCTTCAACATAAAAAAGGAAACTACCTCGGGAAGATCCCGGGTTACTTGTTTCATTTTTGTGCTGGCAGTTGGTTCTACACGAACGACGCTGGCAGCCATGCAGTGCACCATGATCGATCAAAAAGAGAGCTTCTATGGGTTGTTCCCCAGCTGCACAAGAAGAAGAACTGCAAAGGGACAGGGAGTGCTGAAACAATAAATAAATTTATTTTCCGGGATAGATCCTCCATTTCCGTGAGTACGTCCGAATTCTGCTCTTCTTCGTTTTCCTCCTTCGGGTCCTCCATTACGCGCAAAGAGCCATCGATCTGTGGCTGTGCCGTGCCGTAGAAGTCTACTTTCTTGCCCTGTTCTTGCACCCGCACATCTCGTCTTAACTGCGGGTAACGGTATTGGAGGAGGTGAGTATCATGTTTGCTGTGCTGTAGAGACGCATGTTTGCTGTGCTGTAGAAAGGCTTGCTGCGGATTGTCAATTTGCGCGCGCTTGTTGTACTCCTCGTGCTTCACACGATGATCTGCCGCTCCCGCTGCTCCTCGGACACTGCGTTCGTAATCCCTGCTTCCCACCGACTTTTCCTCGGCCGATATCCACTGCAAATAATATGTCTGGGTTTTCACTGGAAAGTTGTAAAGATGCTAAAGAAGTTTGTGCATGATTGACATTGACAAAATGACAGGATTACGCAGCAACGCATGACAGATCTTCAAACCGTCCGAAGGCTAAGGTACGTAAACAATAACACGCACGAGAACTTGCGTTTTATTTAAGTAGATGAAAAAGAAACAGCACTATGACTATTCCGCAAGACGCATTACCAAGATCGGGAGTGTAATAGAGGGTGGGTTCAGCATGATTGCACAAATCTTGCATTCATGCATCTTTCGGACCAGACATATTTGCAACGGATAGCAGGCGCACGTGCACTAATTCGGCCAGATGAACTTTCGCCGGGCCGCGTTGAGGACGCCTGCTGTGGTTCTATGCATTGCAAATACTAATGTCTGGGTCTTGCGAGTTCTTGTGCTGCTCATGCTCTCATCACAGAGTAGCCATTTTTACCACCCACGGCATCACAGCATCAATAAAAGTAATATAAATATTGTAAGTGTTTCGGTTTCCTGCTCACGCATTCGAGATAAGATTCAACAGTCATGTGAGACAACAAGCATGACAAACTTACACTTTTGTTCCAGATGACCCAGACATATTTTATTTGCAATGCGTAATACCCTGTAGTTCCACGCAATCCTGCGGACCGGCGCAAAATCCCAACAAGTAGGACACTACGCCACCGCCCCCTGGCAGAAAAAATGTGAGTGAGCACAAAATCACGACAGCTGTTGTAACCACGAGTAACAAACACGACGCGCCGCTCTGGGAGCCGCAGGAGAACCGGTGCTTTGCTACAACTCTCCGACTTTTAGTGGTGCAGCTGCTGCTCGATGAATAGAGGGCACCTCCACCAGCGGGTGGTTTGTCATCAGCTTCTGGACGTGGGCGTGCAGGATCCTCGCATAATCTTGAAGGAGATCTTGTTTCAGCTGCTCTGGCGCCGAGACAACTCTGGTCTGCTTCATCCGGTGCTGTCGTAGAAGTAGAAGTGGTAGCTGAGTTCAAATTTATCAGCTCAGAGTGGTCCTCTGATGTTCCATCTTTCTCCGACAACAACTTCGGGATGGGCAGGCGAGAGTTGTAGTATCCTGTGAGTAGTGGGGTCGTGATTTGTTCCTCGGCTTCGCTGTCATCATTTTGCGCTCTTTCCAGCTCCCACAGCTCTTCTTCATCTGCAGCTTCATCGTCGTCGTTTACAACAAAAACCTCCAGTAGGGCAAGCTTGTCTTCCCTGTGGTGCCAACTCGTCTCCGTCTCGTGCTCTTCGTCAGTGGCCTATGCATTGCAAACATCGAACGATTCATCTGGGCTTGGAACATCAATTGCCCCGGAACTCGTGTTTTATCTATGTAAGGCATGATGGCTCCTGCACAGTCATGTCATCTAGCTACGACGCACATTCCGCAGCACTTAAATAAGTACTTAAGCTGTGGATTATGTATCACTATCATCAAGACTATCTTGCAGCCAGGGGACGAGATCCACCCTTTTATTCCCGCAAGTGGAATGAGTAAGTAACCGAGAATGACGAGAGCGGGACGAAAACTTATCATGTTGGGGTGCGTTTTTTTTTTTGCCGTCACTTCAACATCAGTTTCACTTTCGTGCTTATCCTTGTTCCACGAGTCAGGATGTAAGAAACTTTCCTAACCCAGAGGAATCAACATTTTGACATGATTTCCAATTGGTACAACTTCTTTTGTCATCGTCATCTCGGAGGTCGGAGTGAATGTTGTAGAGCTGCTACTTCTTGCACTGCCTTTCAATCTTGCTCCTCTGCGGTTCTCATTCTTTTCGTCTATCACGTCGTGCCGCCAGGACTACTACCACCTCTTGGTGCAGCTGCGGATGGGGATGATGTTACGCACAAACAACACTCGACGTCGTCCTTTTTGCCTACCCGCTTCTGTAGGCTGGTCTTTCATCCATGAGAGGAAGTAGAAGGTGACGTCCACTTCCACTCGTCCTGGTCCTGAGAAGATTAATTATAGACAGCACTTCTATTCATGAGTGCGCACGCTTGTCGAAATGAAAATGCTCATCAGTTACTACATGATGTAGGTCGACGAGTAAACCTAAACTCAGCATTTAGATGCTGTGCATTAACATGGGCTACCCTTATTAGAATCGAAAACGTTCCGTCGCATCACATAATTACTGGCTCTGCTTTTTCTTGAAAGATGTTGGTGTGAGTTTCAGTACTAAGGTACATTTGAATTTAGAAATTCGCACCTCGCGAGGCAGAGATGTTCCCTCGCCTTGTTTATGTTTGTTTCTTCATCGGACCTTCTTGACAAAAAAAAACAACGTACTTATTTGGGAAAAACATGCGTATCATTCAAATAACAAACGCTAAGCAAAGAAAAAATCTTTTCGGGGGAAAGAAGTCAATGGGCACTGCTGGGCTAGCAAAAACACGGAAGCGACGACATTTTTACGTCGTGCCGGCGGAACATGAGCTTAAAGTCGTTCTTGACACCAGTGAAAAGAAGGTGACGACGAAAGTGTAAGTGAAAGTGAAACAACCAGAACCACGAATAGTACAGCAGCATCGTCAACCTTCTGACGCAAGTACGAAAGCAGGTGCGAACCGACACTAGCAATAGATGCTTTTTCTCATCTCAACCGATTCCCAAATCCGCCCTCTTGACGCGGCAAGAACGACCTCACACGACGAGGCAAATAACCGAATATATTCAAGCCTCTTCTTGTTCTACAGATGTAACGGACACGAGGGCAAGCTTGTGCGAGCTGAGTTTAACTTTTGCGAGAAGTTACGCACACAAACCGGAGCAGAGGAAAGCCAGTAGTACCGATGTCGTCGTAGGATATACAACAGCTACACCGACAAGATCGGTGGATGAAAATACGACCAAGAGGCGGGTGGTAGATGCGGAGTCGGAACTGACGACGCTTACCACCAGCAAAGTTGCATCCGCTGCTCTGCTTCTTCTTCTACAATCTTATTGAGTCTTCACTGTGAAACAAAACTCTTTTTCTCAATCTTCATGGCAACTCTGGTTTTCGTTTTTATGTATGAACCTCACGTCTGCCTCTCGCTGAGGCACTCCTTGTTGTGATCGATCCTTACTTGTTGTTGCCTCATCAACTCGATAATATATCTGCACTCGAATACTTCTTCAGAAAAAAACAGGTCGATAAAAAGGGAAAAAAAAAGGTACATATGTCAAGCTTAATAAGTACACTCAAAGTTTATTTAGAAAGCAATCAATGCGAACTGAAAAAGGGGGAAAAATGGATGATGTTATGAAAACGATTGTAAACTTGTAAAAAAAAGAATGACGTGCGCGCTTCTCAAGGTCAGCGGTAAAAGCCTCCCACATACTGTAGTGCAATTCCAGAAGGTAAGTGCTTCTGCAGAAGTGGTTAGACCACTTCTGCACCCCCAGTGACGTTTCACCGCCCGTTTTAGCAGTGCCCGGCCACCAGGGGGGAGTTTGCCCGGCCACCAGGGGGGAGTTGTAAAAAAAAGAAATATACATAATCAGATAGGTATAGCCTAAGTCGGTTGAGTTTGCATGCCCTGCTTTTGCTTCTTGCAATGACTTAGACTAACTATTGCAAAGTTACGATGTGAAGTGGAAGTTTCGCACTGTAGCAAGCAACCTGTCAAGAATTTCCTTGTGATTGCATAGAGCATTCTGAGCCTCCAGATTGCTTCGTGTGGACGCGAAAGGTTTAAGAACTGATACTACTACTACTACTTAAGAACTGATACGGAATAAATAAACAAGTAGCCAACGCATGGTGAGAGCCTTCTCTGCCCTGTTTGCACTTGATCGTGGCTGGTTACGCGGCACAAAGCTGCAAAGCGTAGCAAATATGAAAAATGATTGATGGATAAGTAAATTGGAGGTTTATTTCGGCGCGAGTATGATTTTTCGTTTTATTCTCGCGCTGCTTTGTCCGAGGTCAATTTTCCTCTGGAGTGTGCTCTTCCTTCAACAGCAGCGCTTTCGAAAAGTCGTTTGAGTAAGATGATCACTATGGAGCGGTGATTTTCCATGTCATCTACAGCTGGTTCGGAAGAAAAGTGCTTCTACTGAATTCGGTAGTAAGTTCGTACACGACGGTATCGAAGCAGATCACAGCTCCCCATATTATATTATATATATATTTATATAAGTATATAGGACACTGTATTAGCAGCAATTGGACTTCGGCTGCTTTTGTGGCTGCCCCTGAGCCGAGGTGCGGGACACATTACTTTGAGGCGCAGCGGGCGCCGGATTAACAGATGCCGACTGCAGCTGTGATGGACTTCTAGTGCCCGCAGCGACGCGCCCTGCTCCCGTAGTTCCGGCCACGACCGCTGCCGGTGCTGCACCTGGCCCCCCAGGTCGCGACGCTTGTAAAGATGCAACGCCGAGGGTTGGTGACCGAGCGGCGGAAGTGGTTGCTTGTGACAGAGCGGGAGCGGCAGGTGGTGACCGAGCGGCGGAAGTAGATGCTTGTGACACAGCGGGAGCGGCAGGTGGTGACCGAGCGGCGGAAGTGGTTGCTTGTGACAGAGCGGGAGCGGCAGGTGGTGACCGAGCGGCGGAAGGGGCTAGTACTGGTGATCGAGCGGGAGTGGCAGGTGGTGGCGGAGTCAGTCGAGACGGTGGCTATCCTGTGTAAAAACGTACCCGCCACATCGTCAAGATGGGCATTTTGCTACACACATCAGTAACTTCCATTGGCCGTTGCACATGACAGTTTTGAACTTACTAGTAGTGTTGCCGTGTGTAGGTGGTGTAGCCGCATCTCAGACATTGATCATCATGTCGATCTTCATGCCTGGACTCAAATAGCATGACGCGAATTTTTTTTGTCATTTTCCCAAAACCAAAACATAATAAGAACATTTAGAAATAAACACCTCTCAACATGGGGCTCCTGCGCATGAGAGACAATCTGGGGTAGCGGAGGTGGGTACGTTTTCACACAGGATAGCGTGTCCACGCTGACTATGCGCAGGAAATTTTGGACCTGCTTCTCGCAGAGATCGCTTGCACTCACATTGTGTTCTTTTTCTTTTTGTACTTCGATCTTGAACTGCTTTAAAGCCGCGTACGTCAGCTGCGACACCTTCCTTGGACTTGTCGCCCCCGGCCCTCCAAACACATCCACGCCTGGTTTGTTCCCTCGTTTGTCTTTTGTCCACATGAGCGGCTGAAGGACGTAATGGTGAAGTAACAGAAACATCCTTGCCTGTACTTTCGCATCTTCCGGCGACACCTGCGGAGCACTGCCCAGTCCCACCTGGTGCAGAGTCTGCCTGCCCACCTCGATGAGGCCTTTGGTTTGCCCCTTCAAGAGTTTTGCAAATACGGCCTTGACCACACGAAGAAGCGCAAGCACTTGCGGGCCCGGTGGCGGCAAGTGAACCGGGCACGAAGAAGTAGAAGCAGCGCCGTTGTTGCAGTTACTACCGCCGGGGCCCACCCAGTCGCCCAGAACTTCGGCGACAAACCTCTGCCCAGTTCTGTGCTTTTGAAGCACGGCGGTGAGAAAATCTGCTTTCTTGCCAACGTCTTGAGGCCGCGTTGCGTGTTCTTGGACTTGTCTCGTGATCTCTTCTTCTACCTCGCGAAAGATTTGGCCCACACCTTCTGGGTCCTTCTTCAACCCGCTTCCGATGGTGCTGTGCTCCTTTTCCTCCTCCAGTTGCGCGTCGCTGGCGCCATCACGGACCACGCTTGCCCAGACAAAAATCCTCTCGGTATCCTCCTGCAGGAGGAAGGAGAACGCTTCCGGGAACAGGCTTTGCAGGTTGGGACCTTCATTTTGTTCGCCCATTCGCACCTCCAGGTCGTTCCCACGACCACGCCCGAGCGTGATGCTTCCGATGCCTTCGACGGCCTCTCGGTACTTCCCAAATTGCGCGACCATGCTGCGGTCATCCCTCGCGGCTGTCGTCCCCAACCCGTCGTGAAGAAGCGGATGAACTTGAGATGCAACAGCGGCTCCCACGCCCACGCCCACCACACCCAAGCCGGCCACTATCGCCAACTGTTCGGCCTGATCTCTTACCTGCCGTGCCCGTTCCACCTGTTCGCCTACATCACCAGGAAGATGCACTGGGGGAGAGGGTCCCATCATATCAGGGAGCAGGCGGTCTGCGCCCGATAAATTTGAGATCCCCTGCATCGTCCAGATATCGGTGGCGCCATCTCCTCCCGCAGTCCCAGCACTTGGACCGCCGTCAGCTGGTAAAAACGAGTCACCGAAACCATGTGCATGTTCATGTAAGCCAGCATCCCCAATACTCGAACCAAATCCTTGTACCATGTCGGAAAGTCCATGAGCAGCACCCTCGGCACCCGCCTCGACAGCCGCTGCAGCAATCTGGACACCCGCCTCGGCCGCAGCTCCGCCAGCCTCCAAGAATACCCCAACGAACTGGAAGGGGAGAACAATAATGACCTCAAAGAAACGTAATTTTTGCTTTTGCATAACTGAGCTTTGAGCAACCGCCGGAGGCTGGTGAACTTCTGCCGCTGCGCCAAGTCCGCGTTGCAGGTCCCGAGAGTCACCTTGGTTTTGGTGTAAAAGCTCACTTCTACTAGTTCTATCGGGATGATCCTCCAATTCGACAAGACCGCTCGCGCCCTGGTGCTGGCGCTCTCGACTAATTTCGCCAAATTTGTGCGGCGGGCCGCCCTCCACTTCATCCAGAAACTCGTCGTCTTGCCTTTTATTTTTTGTTGATCGCGACGCGGGACCAGGAGCAAGACCAAGACCCACATGTGTTCGAGCATCATGATATGCTCCATGCCGCAGAACGGCGGGGCGTCCCATCCTCGGCTTACGAGGGTGTTTCCTGTGCTGTAGAAACGCTTGCTGCGGGTCGCTTTCATCTTGCGCACGACCGTAGTCGTACTTGTACATCACGTCACCTTGTGCTCGCCACGCTCTGCTTGCAATTGTTGGTGACGACATGTTGTCTATGCATTGCAAATATGTCAGGGTCTGGAAGGATGGAGCTTGTCATGCGAAATCTCGATTGTGACAGAAAAAGTTGTGTTGCATGATTTGCAGGTGCAAAAGAGGCAAAGGCATCAAGCAGGTCTCGCAAAATCTGTGAAGGCGCTTCTGTGCGCATTCCAGACCATGTTTGTGGTGGTGGTCCACCTCGAGGCGCATGACAAATCTTGCGATCCCCCAGACCCAGACATATTTGCATTTGATATTGTCGTGCCCCGCACAATCATGGCCGTCCGCGCAAGCACTCGTCGACGCCGCACGATCCACCCCGTCAGCTCCTGGCGTGGCTACAGCGACTGCGTTGTTTGTCGTCGCCAGTTCGAGCCCCGTGCTATCGTGTAGTTGAAACAGGTGTTGCGCCAAATGAGACATAGTATCGCTGAAGCCGCCACCGCACCACACTTCTATCCACTGCAAACACATGTCTGGCTCTGGAAACTTTAATTTGTCATGCTAGTTTGTGAATCAATGGTGAACGTACTGGTACAGTATTTTTGTTTAGCTTTCCGCACTGCAAGTGCAAACCAAGCGCAAGCTGCATTCTTGCATTACAGGCACGAGGCTTCTTTAATAATTGTATAGTGTTTCCTGCTCACGCATTGCAGATTCAACAGTCACGTGAGACAACAAGCATGAGAAACTTACACTTTTCTTCCGGACCCAGACATATAATTTGCAATGCGTAATATCCTGTTCCACGCAATCCTGCTGACCGGCGCAACATCCCACCAAGTAGGACACCACGCCAGCGCCCCCTAGCAGAACAAATGCGAGCGAGCAGAGAATCGCGACAGCTGTTGTAACCACGAGTAACAAACAGGTCGACACCCCCCTCCAGGAGCAGGAGCAAGACCGATGCTTTGCTAGTACTAGTCGACTTTTGATCGTGCTGCTGGTGCTGCGCGTTAGTCGAAGGTGATTTCCTCCTCGTTCGCTGTGCGTCGATTCCTTTTGCTCCGGGATGAAATTACCACTGCGCAATGCGCTTCGCTGCGGGTTCGATTGGCGTGATGGTGGTGAGGTCCGGTTTGCTTGGAAACAAGAGAAAAATCGTCGAAGGCAACACGACGAATAGAGGGAACTAGAAGCGGGTGGTTTGTCATCATCTGCTGCACGTGCACGTGCAGGATCCTCGCATAACCTTGAAGGAGATCTTGTTTCAGCTGTGCAGGCACCGAGACTCTGGTCTGCTTCATCCGGTGCTGTCGTAGAACTAGAAGTGGTAGTTGAGTTCAAATTTATCACCTCAGGGTGGTCCTCTGATGTAGATGTTCCATCTTTCTCCGACAACAACTTCGGGGTGGACAGGCGAGAGTTGTAGTACCCTGTGAGTAGTGGCGTCGTGCTTTCGGTTTCGCTGTCTTCATTTTGCGCTCTTTGCAGCTCCCCGATCAGCTCTTCTTCATCTACAGCTTCATCGTCGTCCTTTACAACGAAAACCTCCAGTAGGGTAAGCTTGTCTTCCCTGTGGTGCCAGCTCGTCTCCGTCTCGTGCTCTTCGTCAGTGGCCTATGCATTGCAAACATCGTCGATTCATCTGGGCGTGTAATAATCCGTCCGGAACTCGTGTTCTGTGTAAGGCATGGCTCCTGCGGAGTCATGTCATCTTCTAGCGAAGACGCACATAATTCCGCAGTACTGCAATAGGTAAGCCGTGGATATATCAAGACTATGTTGATGCAGGGGAGATCCACCCTTCTTTTCCCGGAAGTGGAATGACAATGAGTAAGTAACCGAGAATCATGAGAGCGGGACGAAAACTTGTCATGATTTTGGGGCGCGTTTCTTTTTGCCGTCACTTCATCAACATGACTTTCGTGCTTATCCTTGTTCCACGAGTCAGGATGTAAGAAACTTTCCTAACCCAGAGGAATCAACATTGACATGATTTCCAATTGGTACAACTTCTTTTGTCATCGTCATCTCGGAGGTCGGAATGGAGAATGTTGTAGAGCTGCTACGTCTTGCACAACTCCGACTGCCTTTCTTCAATATCAATGCTGCTCCTCATCTGCGGTTCTCCTTCTTTTCGTCTATCACATCGACGACGCTGACGAGTTGTTCTTTCAGGGTGGTACATTTTGCACCTCTGAGTGCAGTCGTGCCCTCATACAGTAATTTCTTCTTGTGCATCTTAAAACAAAGTAGTGGATGAGCAACTTAGTAGTGATTGTGATAGTAAATTGGGGAAAACATTTGCTCGTGCACGTGGGTGCTGAGATAAAAAAAATATATGCGCGAAAAAAGAATTTTCTTATGGGGAAAAAATCCTTGGGAACTGCAACTGCTGGGCTCGCAAACAAAAGCAGCGATCATACATATCAGTGCGATTCCGGCAGAAAAAGAAAAAGTTGTCGATTGCAAGATACGAGAGCCTCACAAAACGACCACGGACAATATTACGGCGTCACCAAAGAGGCGGTAGAACGAAAATAGCGAAGAACCGACACTAGCAAGAGATGCTTCCGCTCTTGTTCCGGCCAACCGATTCTTGACATACTCAGGATGTTCTCGACGCAAGACAAAAGTAAAACCTCAAACGACGGAGTAAATAACCGAGAAGGAGAAGACAGCGCATTCGTAATGTTCTTCTTCGACGGAGATGAAATATACGAGAAGAGGCTTCTCCTGTAAGCGGTTTTTACGATCAAAATACAAATTTCACGAGCATCACACACACCACCCGCACGGGGAGGAAGCATTAAGTAGTACCGATGTGGCCCCTGTGGGTCAAAACACACTACAATACAACCGACAGAAAAAAATACAGGTGTATGCATTCATCCCAGGGGAAACGATTGGAGCGCCACGCCTGTCTGTGAATAAAATACCAAGCAAGTTACGTCGCGCTCCGTCCGTTCTACCTAAATTTTAACTCTTCAACGAGAAACGAATGTCTTTAATATCTCAATCTTCTTTATGGAAACTTGGGTGTCTACATATGAACCTCACGCACGCCTCGCGAGTTGTGGTCGCTCCTTATTTAGTGTTGCGTCCTAATTTAATGTGAAAGTAAAGTCAACTCATCAACATCTTCGTGAATTCTAAAAATCGAAGTTTGGCATGAAGATCTGTAGCTAGCAAGAAGAACTGTCAAAGTATTTTAATAAAAACAAATGAATTGGGTCTGCGCTTTTTCAAGCGTCAATACGAATAAAAAAAAAAACCAAACGAGAGCAGAGCCCCACTAACAGCTTGGAAAGAAATCGATGCGAGGCCAAAAAAAAAGCGGTAATTATATTTATTAGAAAAGATCAGAAACCAAAAATAGGAAAAAAAAGGGGGGAGCAGCGCTCGTGCCTGCTGTAGTACACTTGTAATTGTATTATTTCGTGAGCAGCAAGACTAAATATAGAACTGCTTGAAATTTTGCACGACAAGAGCATCGGACGAAAAAAAGAAAAAGAAAAAACAGAAAGCACACATGAGAGGGATAGCCTTACTCCTCTGCGGCTCTCGAGCTTAAGCGCCCTACTCTTGCTATCTTCATACTAGAATTGGCTCATAGTCCCGCTGGCCTCGTTTCTGGGAGCAGCATATCGAGCATGTCGCCCCCTACCTTGCGGTTGCGATTGCCAAAAGCAAAAGCGGAGCTTCACTACAAAGTCTAGCACCCTGAGTCCCCAGATGGATTTGTTTTTGTGTGTAGCTGTTGATGTTCATGTTGTAGAGGTAAATAAAAACTAAGAAAAAATCCGACGCATGATAGTATGATAGCAGCGTTCCCCAATCTATCGAGCGCGGTCGTGGCCGGTTGCTCGGCAAAAGGAAAACAAAGCTTTCCTAGTGATATGAAAGTTGTAGATGGTTCATTTCGAGCGATCCCATGCAATTGGTAAGCTTTGCGGTGAATTCTTTGTCTCACGCCAGGTGTGCGCGCGCCTTCAAAAAGTATTTTGGTAATCAAGATTAAGTAGCGCGGCTGTGGAAGAGGCGGACTTCCATGCGCCGCGTGGTTCTTATTTTGAGGAGCAGGAAGTGAAGCGCTTGCCCTATCCTCCGCTTTTTCCGTATTTCTTTTAAAGTATCAAGCAAACTACTCGGACGGCCGGCTCGGCATGTGAGTAAATTAGCAGCACTTGCTGTTCTTCGCTTGTTCTGGTGGCTGTTTCCCGGTTGACGCCGTAGGCTGGGTCGCATGTTGGGCCGCAATTACGGGTCTCGACTGCAGATGCTGTGGGGCGTCTGGCCCCACTCTACCGGCCGGCCCTCCTCCCGCTGCTCCTGATGTCGCGGCAGCTGACCGCACACCACTTGCCACGGCCCCTGGCCCTGGCCTTAGAGCAGCTGGCTCTGGCCCCGGGCCCAAAGGGTTTGCGGCTGCCCTTACGGCCGTGCTGCTGTTTGCTGCGGCGCCGGTCGTCACAACTGATGGCTGCCCGCTGCCACCTGCTGCAGCGGTGGCTCGGTGCGAGGGCTGAGAAGAATTTGGTTTTTGTTCCTCGGCCGCAAGTGCCGGCCCCGACCCATGCTGCGCAGCGTCTGCCCCTGCTTCAAGAGCCCCTTGCGGGTCCCGGCTCCCGGATGCTGACGCCATGGCGCCGGCCTGTTCCTTTTTGTCCTGCTCTTGCAGAACAACACCGCCCCCAACCCCGACCTGCCGCAGAAATTCTTGGACCTGCGCATTCAGCAGGGTCTCAAGTTCCGGAGCACGACCACCCGCGTCCGCTTCCTTAGAGCTTGGACACCCATTAGAATTCACAATGGTTATTTTACGGAGATTTTACATCGTCAACTATCAGCGCCTCCCTTTCCAACCATCCTGCTCATGCCTTGACTAATGACCGCGACAAGCTACCTGCGTTGCTAATCTTTTGGGGCCTGCACGCGGAAACTAGACAGGAAATCACGCACACCATCGGGCTAGAGTTGAAAACGCCCGATATTGTCGGTTTTTCTGTCGCCCGATACCATCGCGATTACGCTGTTACAGAAGGGCGAAAATGGGGCTGACTGCGCGTTTGGTTATTTTACGGGTTATTTTACAAGACTGCGGCTGGTTATTTTACGAACGAACACCCGCGCACAAATCTAATCATGGCGGCACAATCCACATTTTTATAAAATAACCGGCGCGCAAAAAAGCAGCTTTTCATAAAATAACCAAGCAAATTTTCCGCAAAAATCTATGAAGCCGGAAAGTCAGTTCGTCGTGTCCGTTGTGGGCGAAGGCAGAGACTCTCGTCTCTGCCTTCGGACACAAGAAGGACCCACACTGCTAGCAGGGAAGACGCAACTAAGAAGGGGACACCAGAAGGGATCACAAGAAGAACCCGCATTGCAATCAAAATTCTGAGCCCGAAAGCTGGTTCGTAATTTTTCCCCGCAACGCCGGCGAAATTCTAGCAACAATGTCAAATCTCCGCAAAATAACCTACCTAATTTCTAACGGCCATCCAAGCTGTAACCGCTTCCTCCTGGGCTTCCCTCTTGAACTGCGCGAACGCGGCACGCATTAGCGGTGACCGCTCCCGGCCGCCTTTCTATCGTGAGAAAAAACTGCGCCTGTAGTCTCAGCTCGGTGAGTGTGAACAGAAGTTCGGCAACCACGCTCGACATGCAAGCAGGTTTCGTCCATCACGCTCGACATGCAAAAAAGCTGCCTCAGCCAGGCTTTCTCGGCGTGTTCCCCTTGCTGCTGACGGAAGAACAGAGATAATTCGACTTCTAATGCCAGGTGATTCACGCGCCTGCGTAGTTGGTGTCCAAATAAAGGCATGAGACCCAGGCAGTTTCTCTCTGAAATACGTCCGGCTCGCGCCCGTCATTGCCCTTGACGCAATGCGATTTCTGATAAATCATTGCACGCCCATACACGGCGCCTATTGCGCCGTCGGGCATCCGCGCATCTACCAGGTTTTGAAAAACTGCGTCGCGGTCCTCCTCCTGCAGCTTTTTAAGCACTTCCTGCGTTAATCTAAAAAGTGCAACCGCTTGCGGGCGCGGCGGCGGCAAATGTTGAACCGGACAGGCTCCGCTATCCTTGTCCCTGCAATTGGCGCCTGGGCCCAGCCAGTCGCCCAAGACTTCGGCAACAAACTTTCTTCCAACCGGGTCGACTGCGAGAAAGGAGGCGATGGAACTTCTTGGGCCTTCGGCTTGACGAACATCGCTGGCCGACGTGGCTCCTGTTCGAACAACCTCCGCCGCGATACCGTCAGCCACAGCACTGAAGAGGTCGCGCTTGTCCTTCGGGGTGAATGCTTCTTCGTATCACATTGCAAATACCAAAGCCCGCCTCAATTCTCAGAGACTGCAGCACTACTGCTAGTAACTTGCGCCAGTCAGCTTTCTCTGCAGTAAGCAAAGAGAGCCGCTTGCAGGCGGCTTCCTGCAAAGTGCGCTAGTACGCAACTCAGTCCGGTAGGTTCTCACTTTCTATGTGCAAAACATGGCTGCTTTGTGACAGCACAGTGATAAAAAAAACATGCGCGACAAGAAGTCTCCGTTTGAATTTTTTGGGCGCTTTTTGTTTTTCATGCCGATATCTCCGGATTTGTGAAGGCCTCAATCTCCGCGGCTTGCTTCTCGTCCGCACTTGCCTAGCAATCATCTAGAAAAGCACGCCCACGGCCGCGGCGTGACTACATATATATAATTCGAAATACCACATCACTTCCCATGCGTGTTGTTGTATGTGCAGTGGAGGCACAAATTCCAACTTTCGGCAATAGACGAACGCCCTGAGAAAAAATGCAACACGAGGTTCGCAAGGATTTGCCGCGGTTGTGAACATACAAGAAAGTAAGATGCCTCTCCGCAGGACGAACCAGAACCACGATCAAAAACAAATTGGCATTTAGTGTGAGTGCGCTTTTCTGTGGAATAGTGGATCGCAGCAGCCCAGAGAAAGATCCGCTCGGTACCTTCCTCCCGGAGGAAGGCGAAATAATTCGGAAAGACCTCATCCGATCTCTTGCGACCCAAAGCGGGACTCAAACTCGTCACGTCTCCTGGCAACATGTCTGCGAGCGACAGCTCCGCAAGGATCTCAATGACGTCGCGGATATTTGTCTGGGCGGCCAATCTTGGATTGTCCATTCCCTTCTCTAGATTGGCGGCCGCCTCGCCCATGAAGGCGGGTATTTGTACACGAAGATCTTGTGGTGTGGCACTGGCGGCATCACCCGCAGCCTCAAGCTGAGCAGGGCTGCTCGTCTCCGTCTGCGTCTCGTCTTTTCGCTTGCTAGTAGAGCTGTGCGAAGGTGACACCGGCAAAGGTCCATCATCTCCTCCACCTCGTTCTTGTAGCACGGGTTCATCGTGTGCGACTTCGTTGTCTCTTGGATTTAGGCAATGTGGGAAGCCCTTTTTCCACATGTCGCGAATTTGCACAGACAAGCCCACGAACATCGCGGCAATGCAGCAAGACGTCACAACGGTCGCAACTTCGATCCCAGTCAAGAATCATAGCGAAAAATGCCCCAAGGCGATCCCGAGTTGTGCAACGAAGATTCAATTGTTCCCGTAGCCGTGCCCGTTCTCGTATCCGACACAACAACACAGTACAAAAATAATTTACGAGTAACTCATCCTCTTCAGGAGGGCAAAACTTCGTCACGGAAAAAAAATCATATCAAGCGCACCAGCCTGGATGTTGTCTAGCAGTGGTAGCGCCGCGGTCGCGCTTGCATGTCGTGGCACTACATTCGTATAGAGGATCCATATATACAAGGTATTTCCCTCGCCTGAGGTCGGGCTGAGAGCATCCACGGCAGCAGCCGCGCCACCGACGTGAGGCAACAGCGGAAGCACTGCCATCGAGCGTTGAGTAGAACTCCAACTTTTTTTGTGTCACAACTACAAGACTATGGCCACCATTTTCTTGCCTTCCACTCATCTTCGAGTATCAGTGTACTTGGTACTATGATGACATCACAATGCGGACGAAGCTGTAGCTTCACTTCCTTCTAGTTCTTGCATACTACGAATTGAAATCGTGGTCATAACATTTCTTCTTGAGCCTGCTATAGGTCATCACCTTGAGACATGTTTCCATGTGGTACGGTTTTGGTCTGTACGATTTTGGTCTTTGTAGCAACATGGAGAAGCGAGGACCCCGACTGTGTCGTGTTGAACTTCCTGCGTTGCGCGAGCTCCTGGAAGTCTTGGTGTTGGTGTAGGGCTTCATTATCCTGATATGGAAAGAAAGATGCTCCTCACCACCGTCTTCACTCACTATGCTTATTCAGCAGGTTTTGCATGAGAAGTTCTTCCTTCGGATCGGGGCTTTTAGTTTAATCTTGTATATTAATATTGTATTGTAATTGCACAAACAAATAAAGGGCGCTCGCCTGTGAAATAATTCGACGCTGTTGTCTTGCAGGATTGCCGGTAAATGACCGTGGCGAAGTTGTCTTGTTTTATACCGGATCCGGCATTTCCACTAGCGCGTTATTACTCTCCCCTGACGCAACCATGGCAACGTCTTCGGCATTTATGGAAGTTTAAGTGTCGAAATCAACAAAATGAAAATATTCGCGCGTCATGATGCGGAAAACCCATGCAAGCAGTTGGTGTGCCGTTTCTGAGCGGCGCACGAAAAGTTTTTGCGGCACGTGACAGCAGTTTGTCGAGCTAGTTGGCGCAAAAGCAACAACACAGGGCGCGCTCTATTTAGCAGCCACGTTCTCGCCACTGTGAAGCTTAATACACGCGGCCAGCTCATAAATTTGTCTGCTATCCAACACAAGCATTCTACTGTAATATGTAGCATTTCATGCATCACAAAGCATTTTGATTTTCGCTTTGTCGCTTTCCGAGTCGACGCTCTCATATCGTGACGATCCTCGTCCGCGGTAGTAACGGTATCCGGCTGCCGCAGCACTGGCGGCAGGTCACGGTCATCCTTGGTGTGCCAATCTTCAACACGATAATTGTCGCGGTTTTTATTCTGCGGTCGGTAAAATCCTTCTTGCTTTTTTGATGTTTCCCTGGTCTCACTGTCGCTTTTTTGATGTTCCATCAACGTCTCCCGGTAGTACGGGGCAGCTGCCAGTTGTGGCGGAGCTTCTGTTCTTGCGGCGGTCGGCAACTGTTGTGTATGTCGGGCGACGACGTTCTTGGCCCCCCCTGGCGGCCGCGCACATGCTGGAGTACCTTGTCCTTCTATGAGAGTGTCAGGCCTGAAATCGACAAAGTTGAAATAACTTGCAATGCATAAAATCGATATCAGTTGGAAGCCCAATTTTCAAGCGCTGCATGACAAATTTCGGCCACGTCTAAATCCAGTTTGTCATGATGTCATGTTTTGGGACAGAAGGCGTCTTTTGTCATGCTACTTCAGCAGCTCTACCGCAGACCCCAAACAGGCTGACAGTCGGCCTCACTTGCTGCCCCTGCAAGAGAGGCACTTCATGCCTTGCAATTTATGCATGAGAAACCATTTCAACTTTAGCGATTTCAGTCCTGACGCTTCCATACCTTCTCCACAAGTCGTAGAAGATCTGGCGTCGAGAGTCTTTTCCGGCTTCATCTCGTACTCGTTTGCTGTAGTGCCGGGACTAGAAGTTGAGTTCTTCGCGGAGACTGAAGTTGTAGACGGCATGTTGACCACCACGACAGGGCCAACCGGTGGCGCCGAGACAACGTCAGGAGTTCCGAACCAGAAGTCCTCCGCACGGAAAGAACCAAAAATGGAAGAAAGCACGCTTGATCCAGGACCCGCGTGGTTGACGAGACGCCCAACGTACATCACGAGCAAAAAAATCCCAGCAAGCAACAAGGACAGCATGAAGAAGGACAAAGAACTGTAGTGCGGGCTGGTCAGCGGCCCACACCGCTGCTTTGTCGGTCCTCCGACGTCACTCCTTCCCGCACAAAAACCCCTTCTGCGCACTTTATTCCGCTTTTGTGACCGCGAAGCTGACACTGGGAGGTTTGCTGGAGAAGGAGAAAAAACAAAAAGTCCGGGACACCGCGAAAAAAAAGTGGGCGATTCAGATTCTTGTTCACCATCTTTATCATCATCAACTGCAGCCCGCCCAAAATGATTCTCGTAACTTGAACTTCTCTTGTTTGTGCTGACGCCAAGACAACTCTGGCCGTGTGCCGACGTAGTTGAGGTTAAGGTTTCAACGTCAGAGTCTTCATCTTTCTCCGATAATTGCCACGACGGGTGTTCTTGAGAGCAGTATCCAAGAAAAGCACTGTGCTCGTGTAAGAACTCCCTTAGACTTAGAGTGAATCCTACAGCATGACAGCTTTGATCTGAGTAGGACATAGAAAGCCTATCAAGGACGGCTAGTTGTAGGTGAAAACGCATCTCATGAAAAGGGAGCTTCTTGGCTGTCTGACATGACAAGTGTAAACTTCTGCGTTACAAGTTTTTGCAGCACAGAGACAGACTTACGCTGACACAGTTTCTTTTTTTCTTGAATAGAGAGTAGCCTGCGAGCAGCGGCGTCGTGCTTGCATCTTCCTCCCCAACACCGTCCCTCTGCTCCCACGCCTGCGGTTCTTCTTCGTATGCATTGCAAATCTGTCTTGGTCTGGGTTTGTGATGCGAGATTTGGATTAAGGTCTGTGATCTTCTTCCGTGAGTGCGCGTTTCATCTTTCATGATCATGCTGGATGGTCAAAGTTTGTATAGTGCGTTTTACAACGAATGAATCTGTAATAGGCCTCGCGAAACTACTGATGCTGTTGACCCGTGCAGGCAGCCATTCTGCAGTGCTGGTATATACTTATCAGCAACACAAATTTTTCGACCCGGACACATTTGCTGCAATGGATATCTCTACGTCGATGACGATCTCCTGTAGGACAACCGCGCGGTGGCGGTCGTGGTCCAGCATTATTTCCTCCTCCCCGCGACGAAGAAGATGCTAGTAGGCCGCTATGCATGGCAAATACTCAGGTCTGGGTCTGGGTTTGTGATGCAAAATTGAAAGGACATGGACAGGATCTGCAGGGCATGAAAAATGCGACTGGCCAGCGGTTTTGTGATTGCCGTGTAGTTGATGAGTGGTCGCGGTTTCTTGTCATGCTAAACGCGAATAATAATAAACTCGTCGCAAGATTATAAGCCGAGGAAAATTCCTTCACATGTTGTTATCCCGTACATCACCAAGAGGTGGCCCTGCATTGCAAGTACCAGCAACACAAACTTCCAGAGGAACCAGAGTAAACATTTGCAATGCATAAGCCCACAAGAGCCTGTACGATGCACAACAGTACCACGTGCGCGCGGTAGTGATCTCGATCTAGATCTAGGCAGCTAGTACAGTTGTCGAAAACATGGCATCACTGCACGAGGGTTGCAAAGTACTTAAATGAAAGATGAAGATGAAGTGAAGTGAAATTATAGTAAGTGCGAATACGAAATTATTATGGGGAAAAAAATTGTTGGGAACTGCTGGGCTCGCAAAAAAATGCGCCATGGAAGCAAGCTAACCACATCGATTCGGGCAAAAAATCGATCATGCTAGTGCGGAGGTGACGGCACGAAACTACATCCACGAAGTAATACTGAAACATCAAGAAAGTCAAATTCGTACGACGGTAGAAGTTGTACCAAACCGACCGTGGAAATAGACGCTCTACACCGATTCTCATACACGCGTTTTTTACACAAGATGAAAATCTAACCCGGTAAAGACGAAGCAAATCTTAACCGAGAAGTTACAGTTGTACAGAGGCAGACACAGAAACAGAGGTGAAAGAATAATAAACGAGGACAGATGTAGGTCGGGATTTGTACTTTCACGAAAAATAAGAGTGCAAGCACACGACACAGACAGCAGCGGGGGACGAGATCACACCGATATGGTAGAAGACAGGATGGAGACACAGAATGAGAATCTAAATGCCAAAAATCCCAATAATATTCAACATCATCTTGTTCGCCGCGCAAGATAGCGTCGATTGCAATAAGTGCAAGAACTTGCTCTTAGCAAGAAAAACTGAAATAGGCATGAAGATGTTCTTGAAGGTACCCAGCACCACCAGCAGCGGTTTGCCATAAGAAGTACGCACCAGGCTATCAGCGCTGCTTTGGTGAATCATGGCGTTTTTTATCATCACAGAAAGGCTACAACTAGCGGTCTCGGTGATTAGACTCTTGGGAGTTCAAGAGTCTCTTACGCGCTCGGCTTCCACAGGATCGGTCGCTATCTGTTGCAGCCTTCTTGTAAATGAGAAATCAGCAGGTACTACTGGGGCGAGATGGATTGATACGCAGGTGAACGATCATGCCGAAACACAAGAAATAAATGAATAATGATAATCAATCATGTTAAAAACACAAAACTCCGGTTGTCCTTTACAGCGGACGCATTCAAGAATTTCCTTAGATGTAATAAGAAGTCAAAATGTAGTTCTGTTCTATGTGCGAACAAAAGATTCAAAGCAGATCCTGATCAGAATGTGTTCTACATAATTATGCTTGCTAGTATAATGTACAGAAAAAAACAAAATTTTACTTCGCACAACTTTCGATTTATTCTTGAGCAGCAAGAATAGGAACCGAACTTGATCGTCAAACTGTAAATGATAAAGAAAGAGAAACAAGATTGATAAAGAGCATACTTTTCGAGTTACAAATACGATTGATTCGTGCCTTCATGAAGAAGAGGTTACAGTACGGTGACGGAGTGGATATACAGAAGATATGTGCAAAAGTAGAAATAGAAAATAAGTAGCTATGATTGAATTTCATGGTTGCTCAGCAAGAGCAACACCCGCTGTAGTCGGGCATTACAAAAATCAGCATACCTTCCGAGTTCGGCCACACAGCGGTAGAAGACCAGACACTGGGCCCCTAGGCTCGTTGACCTTGACTCTGCAGTAGAGTTTTCACTTCTCGCCGCAATTGCACCCCCCGCCTTGTTCACCAGCGTCCTTCGGGGGCGGGGCCACCGCGGCGTTCTCGTCCGGCGGAACTGCGGGCCGTGCCGCCAGCGCCTGTTCTCCCTGTCCCTGCCCTGGGCCGCCGGCATTGGCGTTCGGCTGTCAATATGCGTGCGTCAAATGAAGAGGACGGGCGCACTACAAGTTTGTTTCACATCCGGAACAGCTTGCGCTTGGGGAGTCGTCGTATTACGAACACCAACACGACCATATATTTCATCTAGTCCCCGGGATGTTGAAAAAGGCTCTGCTACTGCGAACAGCATCAAGTAGGCAGATACACACTTCTCGAGAAGCGAGAATGGGCAGTGTGCCTAATCGGACAGCGAAGACGTCGCAGCCATGCTGCACTGGGCAAACGCAAAACAATTTGCTCAGTAGCGCGGTTCTTCTTGTGTGCAAACAATGCTGTTCCCCCAGCCACTTTCAAATACATAAAAACTGTGATCATGATCGACATTTCACGGTGTACTGCGACTCTCCAAGATGCCTATTGTCGATGCAAAAACATAGCACAGCGCGAAGCTGTTCTGAAGATGTGAAACTCTACTTCAAACCCGACCTAAATAAAAGTAGGCGCCTTCATAGGGGTTGCGGCGGGTGGTTTGCGGCAATCCGCTGGGCTTCTTGCGGCCCAAGCACGACGGGGGCTGCCGCCGCCGCCCCGACGGCTCCTGGACGACGCGGCCGCGCATGTGCTGGCGGAACTACACCAGGAGAGGCGGTCGAAGGTACGGAAGGGGAAGTAAGTCCGCTGCTAGCTGCAGCTCCGGCTCCTCCGCCTGCCGGAGCTGCACCCGGGGATCCGCGCGCCAGAGGTGTAGTACCCGATCTTCCGTGCACGGCAGCACCTGCCGCTCCGGCTGCCGGAACAGGAGGTGGTCCAGCAACCGCCATGGGAGGCAGGCCGGCTGCAGTCGTGGTAGTCATTCCTGGTCGTGCTGCTGGTACGACGGGGGCTGCCGCAGCCGCTGCCGCCCCGACGGCTTCTGCATCACCACGCGGCCGCGGATAAAGGGCCGGCGTAGCCGGTGATACGGGTGAAGCTAGCCCAGGAGAGGCGGTCGAAGGTACGGGAGAGGAAGCTCCAGCGGCTGCAGCTTGACTTCCAGCTCCAGCCCCTCCGCCTGCCAGAGTTGTAGTACCCAATGATCCACCGCCCCGCGCGGCCAGAGTTGTAGTACCCAATCCGCGCGCCAGAGGTGTGGTACCCGACGACCCGCGCGCGGCAGCACCTGCCGCTCCGGCTGCCGCAACAGGAGGTGGCCCAGCAACCGCCACGGGAGGCGGGCCGGCTGGTCGAGCTGCAGGAGGCACAGCAGCTGCGGGTCTTCCGACTGGCGCTGCAAAATCGTTCCTGGGTGCCGGCGTAGTAGATGCCACTGCTGGCGCTGCGTCGCCTATCCAAGAAAAAAACTGGAACTGCGTTAGTGTATTTCTTTTGGAAATACAACAGCGGCACAAGTTCGTCTGCCATGACAGGAAAAACTTGTTATGCACAGATAGTATGTGAGGGATGAAAACACATAGGAAGCGAGCCGATCATGCATGTCGAGCATGACAAGTATAACTGTTTTGCATTTTCCGCATCACAGATTTACACTTAAACAGTTTTTTTCTTGCATACCGCCGGATGCAGGTCCACCCGTTCTGCTGGCTGCTTGTGTTCGTGCACCCGGCGTGCCAGGAGCGAATGATCGCGGGGTGCGGGTGGTCGCGACTGCCGATCCCGAGCCGGCCGGCGCTTGTAAAGATGGAACAGGACCGGCTGCTGGTGACCGAGAGGGAGCGGCGGGAGTCGTCGCCAGAGACCCAGCGGCGCGAGCGGCAGGTGGTGGCGGAGCCGGTAGAGCAGACCGTGGCTATGCTGTGCAAAACCGTACCCGCGACCCGCCACATCGTCAAGTAGATCGATGGGCATTTTTTTGCTACACACATCAGGCGCTTTACTAGCAGTGTTGTCGTGTGTGCGTGGTGTGCTAGTCGCATCTCAGACATCGATCATCATGTCGATCATGCCTGGACTCATATAATAGCATGATGCGATTTGTTTTTGTTCCAAAACTCTTAACAGAGAGAGTACAACATCAAGCATGGGCATTTAGAAATAAACACTTCTGCACTTCTCAACACACGGCTCCTGGCTGCGCATGAGAGACAATCCGGGGTGGCGGAGGTGGGAGGTACGTTTTCACACAGGATAGCGGCTGCGGCGTGCCCACGCCGACTTCGCGCAGGAAATTCTGGACCTGCTCCTTGCAGAGATCGCTTGGTTTTGTCTTCTTTTCTTGTGCTTCCACCTTGAACTGCTGCAAAGCCGCGTACGTCAGCTGCGAGACCTTCCTCCGACGTTTCGGTTTCCCCTCCGGCCCCCCAAAGACATGCACGCCTGGTAGTTTGTCCCCTTGTTTGTCTTTTGTCCACATCAACGGCTCAAATACAAACGGGTAAAGAAGCAAAAACATCTTCTCCTGCCGTTTCTTATGCATTGCAAATATGTCTGGCGGGTCTGGAAAGATGTAAACTTCCGATGCTGATTCCACAGGCGACAAAAATGAAAATTTGTCTTGCATAGCAAGCAAAAAACGTTGCTTTATTTTGCCTCAGGAAGTACTTAGCAGTAGTTCAAGTTCTAGTTGTAGTACTAGTAATACTAGTAGTCGCCATTTGACTCCCAAATGGGCGGGCATTGCTCATGCAGACTCGGAATAGAGCAGCTTGTCATGCTCTGTGTGCGTGATTTCGGGACCGGACCTTTTTGTTCTTTCAGGTCCAAAAAAATGCTCCATGAAAAGTGTTTGCATTCTTCCATACCCAGACATATTTGCAGGGGGTATTTCGCTTGTGTTGCCGGCGGTAGCTGAAACGCGTCGGCCAGCCAGTTGAGGCCTGCGGTCTGCCCCTTCAAGAGTCTTGCAAAGACGGCCCTGACCACACGAAGAAGTGCAAGCACTTGCGGGCCCGGCGGCGGCAAGTGAACCGGGCACGAAGAAGTGGAAGCCGCATCGTACAACTCGCAATTACCACCATGGTCGGAACTCACCCAGCCACCCAAGACTTTGGCGACAAACATCTTCCCATCTTGGTGATGTTGAAGTACGGACGTGAGAAAGTTTGTGCCTGCTGAAGATTCTTGTTGGACCTGCTTCGTGATCGCGTCTTCCACCTTGAGAAAGATTTGGCTCAGTTCTCCTGAGTCCTTCTTCAGTCCACTTCCGATAGTGCTGTGAACCTTTTCGTCCTCCAGTTGCTCGTCGCTGGCGCCATCACGGACCGCGCTTGCCCAGACGAAAATCTGCTCGGTATCCTCTTGCAGGAGAAAGGAGAACGCTTCCGGGAAAAAGCTTTGCAGGCTGCGATCCTGTTCATTTTGGTTAGAAGCGACAGGCAAACCGGGCAGCATCTCCGCAACAACCCGAACCGGCATGCTTCCAATGTCTTGGATGGCCTGTCCGTACGTTTCGAAATAACTGACGTCTTGTGATTTGTCATTCCCTGGAACATTTGTACCCCAACGACGATGGGCAAAATAGGCCCCCGCCGCGCCCGCGCCTACAACTGCAGTGGCTTGCATCACCTGCTCGATTTGGTTTTGCAACTGCCGTGCCTGTTCCACCTGTTCGCCTCCGCCAGCATGCAGTAGGCCGCCCCAATTGTTCAACCCGTTCATGGTCCACCAGTTGTTGATGCCGTCTCCTCCTGCATCACCTGTGCCGGCGCCGTCCGCTGAGAACCATCCACCCACAGCATCGCCGGCACCGTGGAGAGCATCGCCGACACCGTGGAAAGCATCGCCGACACCATCCGCGCCGGCTTCGAAAAGCCCACAAAGGATTTGAGTACCAGCACCCTCGAAGCCCACCCAATCGACTATCAACAGCGGAATACTAACGGTCGCCACCGCACCAAGGGCCACCTTCGCGGCAACGCCCATTTCCCTTTGGTTACGAGAATATATGGGCGTGAAAAGTCTTAGAATTTCGGCTGTGCTCGACGCGGAAACTTTGGCGGTGCTTGGCTACTTAACACCACAGGGCACGTCACCAAGCACGGGCCGCAGCTAAGCTGTGACACCAATCTCTAAGCAAAACGAAAACGACACTCACGGCCATGCCCTTGCCCCACGGTTGTATCATTTGAAAGTATTGGAGTATTTCTCTTTGAATAATACTGTCATTCAAAGTAAGGAAGCGCTCTGAGTGGCTAGTCCGCGTGGGAAGAGTCGCGACTTCCTTCCGAAATATGGCCAGCCAGGAGGCACTGGGCCGCCCACAGAGCCAACTTCGCGAATAGAGCGCTCTGCTGACCCGCAGCTTCAGAAATGCCGGTCGTTCTCGCTTTGTTTTGTACGCAACAGACTAAGACGCCCTAACACCGGAGGACGCTTGTGCCGCTTTGCCCGACAAGAGCAGTCCCACTGAGGCGGTTTCAAAAATAACAATCGCGCCGGCGAAGCAATAGTCGCGGGGCGCGGGGGAAAGTGAGGCCCTGAAGCAAGCTGCCAGAAACCACACCTCCGCGGTGCGACAAACAAGACCACGCAACGCTGCGCAGGCCGTTACCTCAGCACCTCCATAAGTTCTAGGGCTGACAGGATTGGGCTCGGCTGCGAGCAGCGCTGGCCCTGGCCCTGGGGCAAACACGACTTACACATACGAAGAGAAGACGTGACGCGCTGGTCCACGGAAAGCAAAATCTGAATTCTCACATCACTCTTCACGCCCTTAGCGTTACTAGCCTCGTTTTCGTTAGCCTTCGTTTTCGTCAGAAGGAAGCTGACGCAGCATGATCAAAAACACCGCAAGACCCCTGGTTCTTGGAATAAAGTAGGCGCTGACACACTATCCCTGCCTTAAAAACCTTTTTCACGTCCTTATACGAATGAATGCATACACAGCCCGATGCAGCGAGCGCAATATATTAAGTACATTTTCTGATCTTCTGCAAATCCTCGTTATATATACACAAGAACGGGCTCTCGGGGTGGTTTTGCAAATGATATTCGAGCTGTCGGAGGCTGAACCGCTATTACTGGAAATTCATTTATGCATTGCAAAGGCATGTATCTTCGTACGTAGTCGTAATCGTATTAGAATTAGTTACAAATTTTGTTTAAAACAAATCAATACAGAATAAACATTAAATTAGAACTTTGCATAGCTGATTTCCCATGGGAAGTGGGTTTTTCATGCGACTACTAGTACGAGCACGATACTTTTGCACAGCATACTACTTTCCTCGCGTTGGAACGACCTGTCGTGCCCTACACAATCATCGTGACCGTCCGCGCAATCGAGACTCGACGCTGCATCCACCCCGACAGGGTCGGCTGGCGTTGCCAGGGTGGCTGCGGTATTTGTCGTCGTCTCCAACTCGAAGCCCGTCGTGTGACGTAGGTGATCATGTTGAGATAAATTCATTATCAAGTGCAAACATGTCTAGGTCATCTGCACGAAAGTTCTAATGCGAGTTCCATCTCCGTCAGAAGTGGCGGATTTCATCAATAGGTATTACCACGCCAGGGACACGAAACTTTAACTTTTTAAAGAAGGGCTGTAGCACATAGCGTGCAACGCGCTCGCGCATGAGAGATGATGGCATTTGTGCATGACAAACGGCGTTGCCATGGGAGGTGGTCAGGGTCACTCGCTCCATGCATCACATATTCTCGCTTTCCTCGAATAAATAATAAATTGCGCAATTCACAGGTTCATTCGTATTTTTTGTTCAGATCCAGACACATTTGCACACCATATGACTCATACTTTCGCTGAAGCCGCCGCCGATCCCCATTTTCTGTTTGACACAGTCCTCCTGACCGGCGCAAAATCCCAAGTGGGACAGCACGCCACCGCTTCCTAGCAGAAGAAATGAGAGTGAACACAGAATCGCGACAGTTGTTATAATGATCACGAGTAAAAACAAACACACACCGCTCTGTGAGCAGGCGGACCGGCGCTTCATTGCTCCTACGCGACTTTTGGTGGTGCTGCTGCTCGATGAATAGAAGGCAGCAGCGGGTGGTTTGTCATCATCTGCTGGACGTCGTGCATCCAGATCATCGCATGATCTTGAAGTAGATCTTGTCTCAGCTGCGCTGCTGGGGTCAAGATCTTCACGATGATGCTGGCCTTCCGCTACTGGCAGCACATCAACATGGTCGATTTGCAGCGCAGCTGCATCTTCACCCGACCCTAGGAGGAGTTGAAGTTCACTTTCACATTCACAGCATTCTTATGCATTGCAAAACTATCGCACAGCTAGTACTACGAAATGCTTTTTTACAAATCTTGGCAAGAACAGAAGTGGAATTTTGAATTTTGATTCAGGTTGCTGGCAAAGATGATATTTGTTGCGCGGCATGACTGCAATTTTAAGAATAAGAAATTTTACTTTTATATCTATGAGTGCGATACTTTTGCACAGGGTAACAACTCTGCTTCGCCTTCGTCGACAACCAATACTTGCTGCAACACACCAACATCAAGGACCTCCTCGACGGAATCTTCCATGGTGATATCCTCGTCCCTCGTGGCGGTTACTACTTTCATTCTTGCGGTCGAAAAGATGGTAGGGAAGCTCGTTTATTTTTCCGCTTCTAGTCCCTTTGCAGGAACTTGTCGTGCAACATTTGGCAATCAGGACAACAAAATTGCTGCAGAAATTGAAATTCTTGAGATATGTATGTAACGCGCGAAAAAATATTTTTCATACTGGAATAATTCACAACACAATCCTCGCGCATTAGGAACATCAAAACAAGCTATGATCCTGCCCTGTTTGTGCTTGCTTTCCGATAAAACGAAGAAATTGTGCACATGACATCAAACGGAAATGCTCGAAGAATCAAAAATGCTAATGCAATGCGCAAAACATGATAACATCAAACTGTTCTCAAATTTGTTTTTGTGCGTAGAATTACATAGAGATAAATCAATGATAAAGAATGTTGATGGGACAGACCCAGATGAGAAAGTGAAAGAGATGAATGGCAAATTGTAAAAAGTAAAACGAATTGTTAGAGGGGAAACGCTTCACGATTCCTGGGGAAGGAAGGAGGAAACACACCTGCGAAAGAATAAGAAAGAAAATTCTACATGTTCCACATTCCATTCAGAACTAGCTTCTAGTACCTCCCAAGAGGTGTCGCGCGCTTGCCAGAAAGAGAGCTAGGACTGCAACACGAGTTCGTTATTTTGCACTAATGAAACAAGCTTCGCACTCGTCCCCGAGGGAAGAGATACTGAAACTGATGATGATGAAAATAGCAAGCAACCTTTCGACCAGAGCACGATAAAAGTTGTAGGAAACACAGCTGTACCGAAAGTAAGAAACGCTCTCCACAAAAAAACCGCCACAAATAACCGAGTCCAAGTTTTTACCAAATCGATGAAACGACAGCACACAGAAGTTTGCAGCAGATTGATGCAGTCAGTGGTTTCTCGTTTGTACCGATTTCGCAATCCGAAATTACAACAGACCACCACGATAACATGCAATGTTGACACTGGGTAAGAAATGCACGATTCGAAAAGTACATCAGGAGAACGCGCACCGATCGGGTTTAATAGTGATTGTGATGTTCTATGAGAATGACGACCGCAGACCGATGTTGGCTTATCTGAAGGGACAACCGACACAGAAGTGAGACGGCAAGAAGAAGTGGTCATCTTCGATGCAGCATGTAAAGGAGACTTCTTGAGCGCACACAAGCTTAAAGAAGTACTTACGTACACGCTGCGCAATTTACCAGAGTAATTATCCAATTCTGACTGACCAACATTTCTTGTTCCAACGGACATATTACGTAGTGGAGTGTCAGATGCTACACGCTAGTGGATAAGTCACGCTCAGTTTTTTCTCATCAATGTTCCTGTTCGCTTGTTCCTCCCGAAAATCACCGTCCTCGCCGTCGCCCCCGATCATGTCCGCGATCCATACTCTTCTTGCAGCTGCAGATGAAGTAGGTGCAGCAGCGGTTTCTTCATCGCCTGGGCAAGCCGTCGTGACTATTCCCCGCAACCGAGCAAAGGCCGCTGTGATGCGCTGCAATATGGAAATGGAAAAAGTCCATCACTGTACTGTTTCATTTCGCGTTTTGCATGTTTATTATCTCGCCTCGAAAATAGGTATTTTGATTTTCTTTCTTAAACTGCACCATTGCTTTTTTTTCCGTGCCTTTACAGAAACGTGGACGCGCGGCTCTGTTTTGCGTAAAATTGAATTTCATTGTGATTGGTTTTTTCTCTTCCCATATTCAAATGCTTCTCGTCGATAGGAAAGTGCTGTTCCACCGGCAACCGTTTTCGCGTAAGAAACTCTCGTCCTTCTCCTGCTGGTGTAGTTACTTCTTTTCTACGTCCTCCTTCCGGCGAGGACGGCGATGCCGATGAAGATGATGTTGGTCGATGTTGATGTATATGTATTTCTTTTTCATGTTCATGTACTATGCTTGATGTTGGCTCTACTTCCTCCTCTTGCTCGGGAAAATTGAAGACGCTCTTCTTCTTCCGGGGACGTGGTTTGTTCTTTGCGCTAGTGTTCGCGCCAGTGCTTTATGCATTGCAAAAGTATCGTATTCGTACTCGTATAAATGCATTACAAATTTCCTCAGCATGAGAAATGACGTTTGTAATGCGGATTTACCTTAAGGACAAGATTTGTAATGCAAGTCTTGCATTTATACGAATACGAGGCTTTTGCACAGGATATGCTCTCTTCTCCAGCGATATTCGCATCGGACTCTTGTCCAGTTGTTGTGGATGAAACTCCTGCTCCGTCAGAAGGGAAAGAAACAGAAACTCGCCCGGCTGGCTCGATCGATAAACCTATTTTTTGGTTCCTCTTCACGACTCCTTCGCTGGGCAGCAACCTCGCCACCGCAAGAGCAAAACTTTTTGCGGCTCGCTGAGAATAATTTGTGATCTCGTTGGAGGGAAGAAATTTATCCCCTGTGGACAGCGGCGGGAGAGGAGAAGGTGTCGTCGCTGTGCTGTCGTGAAGCTCTGTTTCAGCACTAGTACTTTTGAATGTAGCGGAAAATGTGACACTAGCTGCGCTGTCTCCTCCCTCTACCGCCGGCACCATATTGCTGGTAGTAGAAGAATTTGAAATTCTCCGCTTTTCTTCAGCCGCGCCAGAAACTAGTACATTTTCATCAGCCCCGACGATTCGAGACAGGCCCTCCAACAGAAGGCTGGCGTCGCGAATGATTTTCCTCTTCCGATCCATATCTACTACCTCATCTTTCTTGCAAGCACCGAATGAAGGACGCGGCTTTGTTCCAACATTAGAAGCAGGAATAGCTGCTCTAGCTGTTGAAGGTGTTGCAACATCGTCGGCTTCATGTGCTCTGTTCAACGTTGTTCTGGTCCCCGTTATGCTAGCGCCTTCTTGATTTGTATTTCCGGTTGTTCCTCCTGAAGCCGCTTGTTCCGTGGCATCACTTTTTGTAGGTTCTGGCTCACGCTCGGGGTCAACAACAACACCCGTGGAGCTACGAGCTCTACTTGCGAACAACCCGCACGACCCCAGACGTGCACACAGGCGGTCCTCCCACCAGCGATCATGATATCACGAGAAAAAAGTGTTACAGTTACACATTTGTTGGAGTAGTTTCTGCATCACAAATTTTCTCTGTGTGGCAGGGAAAACTTGTAATGCGAAAATCACAAGGGAAAACAGGAAGAAAATGAGGATCCCAAGCATTTCCTGCATGAGAGAGGTTATCTGTGTTGCCGGTCTTGCAACACAATGTGTAACTGTAACACTTTTTTCTTGCGATACATGAGAACAGTATTCCAGTACGGCTTCCGCGGTACTTCGCGCTGTCTCCGAGGGCGCACAGGTGCCGAGAAACCAGAACAACTTCCCCAGCATTTGCAGGTCGGTTTGCAGGATATGGTTGTAGTGCGGATCGTAGTTAATATCGTGGTGGTCCGGTCGTGGTGCAAAGCTGGAACTAGTATCCTGTGGTAGATGCTCGTGTTCAGGTGGCTCCCCATCCTCATCTTCCGCAGCAGCTCGTCTTGCATCTTCTGGATTACCAGCGTCTGGCCCTCTTCTAAGCGGCCTTTTCGTCACGAAACCTAATTCTTTCCCAGCAGGAGCAGCAAGCTCGTGCTCGTCTCCCTGCCGTAGTCGGGTCAGAACGAAAATTTTCTGCCGGATAAGACTGCATAAGGCCTCCGCGATTGGAGTCGGGGAAGTGGAGGTGTACGTGTAGTAGTTGCAGACGATGCTAGAAGAACGAATGGTAGCAATATCATCTTTTCCAGCTTGTTTTTCGAATGCTGCTTGTTCTTCGTCACCTCGGCAGCTTGGTCGTTCTATGCTTAAAAGAAGCTCATGTTCATCTTCTTGCATCGTTCCTCCAACTCGTCTTCCTTCAGCGCTGGAGATTGTGCGGGCGGTGGTCGATGATTGTACCGTGGTAGAGGAGGCCGCAGATAATTGCGTGCGCATCGATGTCGGTTTTGCAGTACTGTCATGACCAGCAGATGACACTAGTGCAGTTATAACAGAGCTCGTCGTCGGCTTGTGCGCAGTGACAGTCTCTCTCCGCCCAGTCGCCGTTATGCTTGTCCTCCCGGCCCGGGCCAGCAAGAAACACATCTCGATGAGATTCCTCCACCGTGGGTCGTGGGTGACAGTTATTATGACGTCGTTTTTGTCATAGTAATCTCTGGAAGTCGTGCCTTCCGAAGTGGAGGTGCTGAGCCTTGAAGATGTTCTTGACGGTAGAGAATAAAGAAGTTGGCCTAGTTCTAGTTGTCCAGCACCAAGGGGCATCGCTTTATTCCCAGCATACTGAAAATCCCTTCGAATTAACCGCAAACCGACGCGCTCCAGGTCCTGCCATACAATCGATGAACGCTTTGGTTTGACATCACTGTTACTTTTCATCTTCGACCAACGACTAGGACTACTGCTCTCCGCGGCGAGCGCCATTGCTTTCTCGCTTCCGGCGATACAGAACCAGTCTTCGATCTTCTTCAAGTCAAGAATCGCCTTTCGGCTCAAGCCAAATTCGAGGTTTTCCTTCTGCAAAACTTGATCCTTTATGCATTGCAAAAATGTCTGGGTCTGGAAACTTGTAATGCTGAATAGCCACGATGGACTGTGCCTTGAAGTTTAACTGCAGTGCAGCATGACAAATCTTTCAAACGCTCATCTGTCATGCGCAGGACGCATTACAAACCGAGTTTTTGCATGACGAAAGTGTAGCGCTTTATTTGCTGCTTTAAGCGATACAGGTTTTTTAGGAATGCGAAACACGCAATACAGGTTCAACCTTTCCAGACTCAGACATATTTGCATTTGATATCCTTCACCTCGTCCACGGTTTCCTTCCGGGTCGCCAACGCCTTTTCCACGTGTTGAAAGGTTGATTTCCGGTAGTCAAACAACAGGCTGGACCGCTTCTCGTTGCGGACTTGTTTGGAGCAGAACTCGTTTTCCTTCATGATTTCGATCTGCTTCTTCTTCAGCAGTTTGTACTCCTGTTTGCGCACGTTCGCAAGGGGTGGGCGGGAGGGGGAGGAGGCGGAAGAAGTTTTGATACTAGCAAGTACACCAGAATGTTGAGTTCCAGCAGCGCCAGTCTGCTCTAGAGGACGACCGTCGAAGGATCTGCTCGGGGAAAAATCGTGGGCAACGAGATCCCCATCTTCCACTCCTTCTGCGCGCAAAGCCAGAGCCGTGCGGCTGGGGCGAAGGATGAGATCGGTACTATTGGAGGTATAATTTTTGACCCTTCGTTTGTCATGATCTGCGGTAAATGACGATATCGCGTCTGTAGAAGAAGGTGTTGACTCGAGGAGCTGTTGTGGTGCCCCCTTTGCTATTGCATCAAATGGTTGCGCATGACTAGTAAAATCCTTGTCGGCCAATGCATCTTCACCTGCTGTTGCTTCTCCGCTTCTACTTCTCCCACCACGACCCCACCTCGATTGTTGAGCTTTTTCCCTCGCCAACACAGCATGCCGCTGCTTTAGCTGGTGGGCCTCTTCGCGTATCGACAGGTGCTGGCGGCGGAGATTCTGGTAGGTGCCAGAGCCAGACGCACCTGAACTTTGTGCAGAAGTCTCTGTACAACTACTAAATTGCCCACCATGCAGCTGCGTTTCATCCGGTGGGAATGTCCTGAACGTCGGTTGCACGACCGCAGCTGCTCCAGAGTCAGAGGAACAAGGAGACCTCCTCCTGCTGAATTCGGTTGTCTTTGGACCGTGACCGCCTACGCCTTTAACGTAGTTCATCCTTGTCGACAAATCGTCCCGTCGAAAATGATCTTCTTCTTGTCCCCCGTACTCCGCGAGCGGCGAGGACATAGAGGCGATTGCCCTTGATGCGCCGCCTGTTGAGCAAGCCGGGGCTCTTTTGGTGGCGTGGTGATTTCCTCCAGGAACTAGTACCAGCCTGCCGCTTTTGGCGCACGCTGGAGACGCAGCTGGGCAAGGAGAACCAGAGCCTGCTCCTCTTGAAGTACCCCCATAAAAATTCGTTCCCCGTGCGGCCCCGGGGACGAGGTTTCTGCAGCTCGCTGCCTGGTGACAAGGTGCTGGGTAAAACATTATTGCGACCGGTGCTGGGAAGGATGTTCTTGATGCGTCGTTTTTATATATTAATTTTTCGTGGTCAGTGAGAAGTCATTCGGGAAAAACGAACGGATTTCATATTCATTGCAGAAATTGGCGCTTGTTCTTTCCGGTAGTAAAAAGAGATAATCAAGAAAAAATTCACAGTACTACACAATCTAAATGCGAAAACAGAGGGACTACGGATACGACACGTCGAAGCTCGCCTCGCTTCGGTGAATGCAGTGTTGGGACCGAAAGTATGATCTATCAAATGTGAGATCAAGAACACGTAGAAGATGCAGAAGCCGAGTTTTCATCATAATAGATCAACGACGAACACGAGCGCGAGCCAAAGCGAAACAAAATACCGCTCAACTTCTTGGTTTAGTTAAAAACTTTCATTCATAAAAGCGATCAGGGGAAGGACAAGACCTAGATAGTCAACAGGCAGGAACAGGGCGCAATCTTCTTCAACAGTCAGGATCACAACACACAGGCACCTTCTGCAAAAACCAGAACAGTTTTTCTTGATCACTTTTTCTTACCGACAGTAACGGAACTCCGAACTCCATGCTGAAGATCTGTTCCACGAAGATCATCTTCCGAGCATCATACTGATTCATACGCAAGTACCTTTCACGAACTCCAACAGCGTCTAGAGGAAGCCTGTACAACTAGGGCGATTTCATGCCTCTCTTGTACTACAGGCAAGTTGTTCAACCACCAATACCAGCGGTCTTTTTCATTTTCCTGTATTAAATTTGGCAGAAAATCACGACACAGTTAAGCAAGGGGAACAAACCATTTTTCCGAATCGAGTCGCTTCTTTAAGAACTGTACGTCGGTCGATTTATTGCAGATTCATCCAATCCTTCACATTAGTAAGAAGTTCGCGCTTACCGTGGACATCGAAGTAGAAGAAGAAGTACTAGACACATGATAGCACATTTGATTTACATTTCGCTTCCACAGCTGCTCCTCAACTTGTGTTGCTCCATGTAGTTTCCATCGGAACTACACTATGTCACCAGTACTTCCCATCCAATTCCGAGTGGTAGAAATCACTCACTGTGACAAACGCCCGTCGTCCGAAGTTCTGATCCACCCAACTTTTGCTCGCAGAAGATGATGAGCTGCTACTTGATCCGCCTGCAGAAGAACTGCTATTTGACATTTCAGCGCAAGAACCTTGACCACCACCACCACTACTGCTACTACACACCTGCGTGAGCTGATGGGGCGCGAGGACCAGCACCAGGTCGGTAAAATCGACCAGCACGAACACCACGTTCTGGCGCCAGGTGTGGTTCTGGAACCTGCCCACAGGGATGAAAGTGGTATTCAGCTGGATTTCGCACTGAAACAGCACCTTGCCGAGCAGTTTGGGATCCACGGTGGACGTCTCCGCGTCGAAAATTCTTTCGTAAAACTTCCGCGCTTCCGCCTCCTCCGCGTCGTAGGAAGTGGTGGGTTTTGTTGTTTGGTTGGGGGCGCAGAGAGGGAAAGAGGTAGAAGTAGCTCTAGAATCCGCCAAAATTTCCTGCTGCGCGTGAGGTTCTTGGTCCTTGACGAGGTTGTACTCCACCTGTAGTTCATCTTTGCTCTGGGATGTTGACGGTCGTGTGAAGAATGCCGAGGCGTCAGCATGTTGATCTCCATGACGTTGTGCGAATGATGCCGTCACGGGGATCTTCTCGACGCCGATTTTGCCCGCACTACTTCTGTCGCTCACGTCGACCACACAACTACTGCATCCAGAACTATTGCCGCAGCCGCTGGGAAAAGCTATTGGATTTTTGTTGTTCTTTGAAACAAAGTCTTCCTCTTCGTAAAAACTGGAAGACGCTCTCCTCCGTCTTTTCCGGAGCAAATCCCTACTGAAGCAGCTAGTGAAAGAACTACAACCCGTGGTCGATGAACTACTACTATTCAACGCAGCTGCTAGGTATATCCTCTTCTGTTTTTCCCAGATTTTTCTCCCCTCCTCTTCCGGGATTTTCTTCACCAACCGTGCGTTTTTCCCGATCATTTTCGCATACTTCGATTTCTCCCACACGTCTCGCAGATTGTTCAAGTTTCTATCCGAAACGAAGAACCCGGTGCGGTCCATGGTGAAAATGCAGTTTTTCGCTGGCATCTTCCCCCGGATTAGCAAATTCGCGTAGTGCTGGAAGGACTTGGAGACCTTCGACAGCCGGATAAAGCTGGTGGGGAGTAAGAGAAATTCCAAGATCAGCGCCAGCAAGTCGGACTCAAAAATCTGCTTCTCAATGCTCTCGATCTCGATCCATTTTTGCACCGTCGGCGAATTCTCCAGCTCATCGAGGTTTGACCCGAAGCTATTCGTCCGCATGGAGCAGGTGCGCTTGGACCGCGGGGAGGAGGTGCGGGACGACACGGACAACGTCGCTGTCGTTGCTCGGCTTCCGCTTGATGTTCCGGAGGACCAAGTCGTGGCTGCATAAGTAGAACTGCTGCTCATGCAGTGGTTGTGCTTGTCGATACAGACGCCGACCGCTGCACTAGAGGTTCCTGGTCCGCCTAGTATTGCGTTGTTGTACAGCCGGGGCGTACTAGTGCCCGGCGCAGTAGTTGCACTACTAGTACCCCAACCATAACCCTTCGGTGAGAGGAGAAAGAAATGATCCTGCTGAGGATCCGCGGTAGTCGCTGGTAAGTTGTGCATTGCGTTTGTTCTACTGCTCGAAGATGCAGCCGTTGTCACTAGCTTGCCCGGTATACTCGCGAGCGATCCCTCGTCCGCGAAAAATTCTTGGTGGTATATTTCGTCCAACCTGGGCAAGAGCTCCACCGGGTGATGCTGATGCGCCGTCGATAAGGGAACAATTCCTGCACCAGCTCCTGTTGTTGGAGGTGTTGTAGAGTTCGTGGCTGTTCCTGTCGCTGCACCCCCACCCGTCGTGTTTTCGCAAAAATTTTTCCCAATATGGAGTAGTTCGGCGGGCAATGCACCGAGTCGTGGCGGAGAAGTAGAAGAAGAAGAACTCCTCGCATTTAGCGTTGACAAAGTAGCACCACAAGAAGAACCACTCGCGGATGATGATGATGATGAAGCAGTTGCGCCTGCTGTGTTTGGTGTTCCCGTTCCGAGAAAAACGTTACACTCCTCTTGCAGCTCTTGTCCTCCATGTTGACCAAAATGCTGTGGCCCGCCTAGTACAACTCCTAGCGAAGAAGAAGATCCACCTTCTTCGCAATCGAAAAACAGCCGGTGCTGCAAGCTCCGCACCTGCAACAGGAACCGGACCCGTGCGCGGACTAGATCGGGATTCTTCCACTTCGGGCGACTCGAGAATAATCCCCCGGCGTCGAAGGCGGACTATGAAAGGGAAAAATCCCCCCTCCCCATATCAAAAAGGAAATCTGTGATGCTGGATTTGCGTACACAAATCCGATTTGTATTGCAGGAAGGCATACCGAGCAGATCCCCAGGCTAGGTAGGGGCGTATGGGCCTAGTTGTTCAGCATTGCAAACGGCTGACCTTTAGGCCCAACAACATGGCAAATCGCTTCCATAATGGGGCGGAAGCTTCTGCCCTTGCCTTCTTGCAAGAGAAATGTGATTTGTGACCTCAAATCAGCAACACAAATCTTCGGAAAGATACCTTTTCGATATGGGGAGGGGGGATTTTTCCTCTCAATACGGACTGCCGGCGGTTCATGATGGGAGAGGAGGGGATTTTCGCGAGAATTGCGTCGGGTAGCGCACTCAGAAACGGCTGGCAGCATTCGATCGGGGTGGAGTCCACGCAGGAGGGAGGAGGACGGCGGAGTAGAGCAGTGGACGAGGTGGAAGTTGTAGTGCAGCTGGTCGTATCTTCGGACTTTTTTATGTGGGTTACAACCACGTTGTTCAAATGGTGTTGTTGTAGGACCTCCGACCGCGTTTGAGCTTCGGCCTTTATCTAGAGCTTTAACACCCGTTAGCATGAGAAGTGGTGAATTTGTAGTGAATTTTGCATGACAAATTGCAGATGAGTCCGCCGGGACATTGTCCCTCTTGGCCTTCTGGGAAGTAGTGGGCTCTGCACACCGCAAAAGTCAAGGCTTATGCGGCGGGCAACTTCTAGACATGGCCTGGGTGCCGTTCTTTGGCCATGTCTATTCGTCATCTCCCTGTGCCCGTATAAGAGCACTGCAGCAGCCGCGGCAAAGACGCCAAAAGGACAGTGCTGCGAAGCACATGCAATCAGGCAAGAAGGCGCGAAAGCAAGGGCAAAAGGACCAGGCCAAGAGCTCTGACGCGTCTATCCGGCAGGCGCGTGAGCTCTCCCGGCCTTTTCGGCAGAATATAAAAGGGCTGAGGGGGGCAGCAGAGGGCGCTTGCCTTTTCCCCTCGGCCCCACTTCCCAGGGCCTATTTGCGGACTTCCTTGAGCACTTTTCTGCGCTAAAGTTTGCCCTCGGCCCCCTCCCTCTCGACCCACTATGAACTCCGCAGAGGCAGTGTTGTATTGTGAGACCGCCAGAGGCCGCCTTTACTTCTTGGCAACGTCGCACCAGGCAGCTGCAAAGACGTGCGTCTCTACTTTAGGCTCTGACAGTGAGCGTCACCATCCAAGTGGCACCAGGCAAGTGACAGCCTTTCAACTACTTACACGGAACGCTGACTGCCTGGTGTCCTTCTCGCGCTCTTCATATGCCCTCTAATTCATGCATCATGCCACGCAATACAAATTCACTGCAAATTCACCCTTCTGTATGTTAACGACCGTCCAAGACATAAGACTTTATCTGGGTTACAACCACGTTGTTCAAATCGTGCTGTTGTAGAGGTCCCGATTGCCTGGTTTGAGCTACGGGGAAGCGTGGAGAAAAAGAGCAGCTCGAAGTAGGTGGTGAACAATCTATTCTGGTTGTCTCCACGTCCTGTTGTTCACAACATTCATCGAGCGGGCCTGACATATGTAGCCCACCTGCTCCAGAAGTTCTACCAGTAGACTCTTCTCCTGCTGCGCTGCTGACTCCGTTGGCATCGTCAACTACCGGAGTCGTCGTGTAGAGAGACGGGAAAATTGCCGACATAGTACTGGTTCACCAGGTGGTGAATTGTGGTAAAGGGCGGTGAGATAATTATGACAAAAACAGCGAAGATAGAAATTGAAATTGTAGAAAGAAACAACAGCAGGTATAGCGAAAAACAAAAACAAAACACGAAACGGAAACTCAAAAAATACAAAAAATCAAAAATGCATGTCACGTGGTCCCATTCAAAACTCCAAAGATGAAACGGTTGCGCTTCGTACGTGACAATGCTGGTACACTCGGTTTGTACATACAGATTTAATTTCGGGAAAAAAAAAACGTGCTAATGTGGATTTTTTTACAGGAGCGACATTTTCAAGAATACTACTCAGGGTTTACGATTGCGATGAATGTTGTGTATGCTTACTCAATATGGGAAGTAATATGTTGGGCTATCTTCTTCATCAAAATGGAAGCTTATGGGTAGGGGAGTCTCAACACCAAATACTAACACGACGTTTGCTTGAATATGGGGACAAATGTACCTGGCGGCCACGATGTATATGTTGCTCTCTCGTTCAACGCTCCTGTTTCTTCAGTTTTCGAAGTTACTTAGAAAGCCGCTCGACTAGAGAAAGGGGGCCCGTAAAGATGACACACATCAAAGCTACGATATCATAAAAGTGCTCCTGTGCATAGAAAAAGCTACAATACGACGACCTCTGCAACGAAAAAAACTCTGTCTCTCTCGAACCGAACCGACGAAAAAAACCTGTAGTGCCTCTGACCGAAGATCATAATCGGTGCCATACGGAAGCAATATCAGCTGCGCCGCGGTACAAAGCTGCACCTAGTGCAACTGAAACAAAATAGAAAATTCAACCGATGGTGACTCAACTCAGCGCACCGACCATAGTTAGTGTTAATCTGTAAACATACTGCATATGAATCTGCCCCGAAAGAAAAGCGAAACAACAAAGAAGCCGATTTGTATGGTCATGTTGAGTGTCTGTGGTTCTCGCAAATGCAAAATCGTAATCGACCGAGAGAAGGAGCACTTATTTGCTCGATACAGAGGAGTCAAGAAAAGGCCCAATCATATAATTGCGCATCCAGGCTGGGGAACCGCCTCGTTTGATTCGCATCGCTTCTTTTTTCTTGGAAGGTAGTAGCAAATCAAGAATTTTACTGGTCAAAGTCAAATCGTACAAGCTCGTATAGGTTCATCGGATATTTTTGCAACGTTCAGAGTTCGTCGCGTTTCTTCTTTCTTTTCTGACATCTTTTTCCATTGTACAGGTGGGTGGCCTTCCAAGTTATCTTAGAGCTAGAGGCTGGAATAGTTACAAGAAAAGTTGCTGCTGAAGGGGTCTTCAGAGCTCGTTACAAGCGAGGTGAATTTGATTTCTAGGTAGAATTATTTCTTCGTTCATGTTGTTCTATCAACTGTAAAAATGTCTGGGTCTGGAAGAATGCAAGAATTTGTCATGCTTGTCTGGCATGACTCTGAACTCTGTGTTGCATGGCCGCGAAGAACTTCTCCTCCCTGTCAAGCAAAAGCAAAAACGCAGTTTCCCATGCGGAGTGCGCAACTCAGGGCCATGGAAAAAACTTGTCATGCTTGGCAGCGCATTATAGTGAGTTCACTATTCCCTTTCTTGCATCACAAGTTTCCAGACCCAGACATTTTTACATTTGATATGTTCATCAATAATTGCACAGTGGTATTCGTCAATTTTGTGAAGTCACCAGTTGAAGCTAATTTCTTTCGAAGAATGTCATTACAGGCAACGGCGCGCTTGCAGGAGGCGCTGCGGTGTCGTGACGTTCTATTGAAAGCAGCTATGCAACCGAGTACTACACGACTGCTGCATGCAAGAACAACTTTCTCACCGACAAGACAACCGTTGTAGTAGAAGAAAAGTTGAGCTGATTGTTCAGGTTTGAAATTCTGAGAGGTACTAGAATTGGTTTTCGTTTTCCTTCTATCTTGCGTAAAACTGGTTTGAAACAAGTAAAAGAGCTCGTTATATCGTGCCCAAGAGAGATAGCTTTAAAACAGAAACTAGATTTTCGTGCCTACTCTCTTTCATCATTTTTCTCTTTTTTCGTCCTGAAAGAAAGGCGTTGAACTTAAAGGACAAAATTCGGACATTTGCATTTCGAAACATCAAATAAAAGCTCTGTAGATGAGTAGTTGCGTCGTCAGTGTGCCGGCGGTCACAACCCTTCTATCGACAACACGACTACATAGCAAATTTCTCGTCTGTTCATGTGCTGGCTGCACCAGTCAACTCGAACATCTTCCCACGCCTCGGGAATACAAAGTAGGTGTAGGGACGAAGGAATCAGAAAGCGAATACTTACCTAGCTCACAGTGAAAAAGAAACTTGTTTCGTATAGAACAATGGTGCTCATCAAAATCCCCTTTCACAAGAACTTACACGTTGATCGACCCTCCTCCGCCGCTTTCCGGCCCTACACCCCCTCCCGCGGGCAGCAACGGCACATACCCATCTGCTCGACTGCTTCTCGTTTCCGCCGTGACAGGGCCTCCACCTGGGCCGCTGCTACCCGAGGCAACCATCATTGCCCCGTCCCCCGTTGCAACAGTCGAGCCATTCGGCATTACCTGGTCCCCACTCTTCTTTTCATTTTCCTCGCCATTCCCGCCGAACAGTACACCCCCAGCACCGGAGTACAACCCGCGCAAATGCGACTTCCGCATCTCTTCGATGGCCAAAATCGGCAGAAACACGATCACAAAGGGCAACAGCAACTGCGGCAGTCCCAGTTTCCAGGTGCCGAGCAATTTCTGAAGCGGGGACCAGTAGACCACGGCCAGCCCGGTGAGATATGAATTGCAAAAGCATTGCATCGTACTAGAACTAGTATAAATTGCATTACAAACTGGCCCAGCATTACAAATTGAATTTGTAATGCTGATTTGCCTTGAGAAAGAGATTTGTAATGCATAAATGCAATTAGTACGAGTACGATACTTTTGCACAGGATATGAGAATCTCGAACACGATGAAGAAGTTGAGCCAGAAATTCGGTATCCCATGTAAAAACGTCCCCACACCATAGTCAAGATGGGAAATCTGCAACACAAATCTTCACGTTTTGGGAGTTCTGCATGACAAGTTTCCATCTGCAGTGTAGTCCTGGCTAGCAAGGAAAGCCGCATGAGAAAGCCGTTTTCTCATCCTGTGTACAGCATTACAAATGCCAAAACACAACTGGAAATGCCTCTCATGGAGATGCGCATTACAAGTGTTCCTGTCATTGCACAGGTGCATGACAACTATGGGGTGGGGATGTTTTTACACAGGATATTCGGGATCCCGTACTCAAACAGCGACTGACGGTAGGTGGTAGAGGCATACGCCGCGGCGAGTTGGCCGACCAGGAGGGACCAATAGTAGCAGGTGGTCATTTCGCCGTAGATCTGATGTTGAGCAGGGGTATTGAGATTTATTTCGAGCAGTGCACGACTAGCATAGGCTGCTCATGTTCTGTTTTCAATGTTGCGCGTTTCAACATCATGAAACTGAAATCCGTCGAGCACACACACACACAGAGTAAGAGTTTGGCTCCAACACTGATGACACCAACACTTTTATCTATACCCGAAACTCATCGTCCGTGTATTCCTTGTAGCTTTTTCCGCTCAGGAACAAATCCTGGCTCTCCGGGAAAAACACCGTGATCATCAAGAAACACCCTAACGATATGAACTGCAAAAGCATCGTACTAGTAGATATCGCATTACAAATTTGCTCAGCATTAGAAATGGAATTTGTAATGCGGTTTTACTTTGATAGAAAGATTTGTAATCCATGACTGCAATTACTACGAGTACAATACTTTTGCACAGGATAAACGACTGCAGCGCCCCGATGTACGCGTAGGAGTAGGCCAACAAATCGTTATCCACCAACGGCTCCCGTTATAACAGTGCACAACTCCCCCTCGTTCTCATTTCTCATGCAAAATCCACAATTCCAGTTGCTCCCTTGCGTCACTATCATGCATGACAAATTCCGCAGGCCCAAACAGTACTACTGCGCTGGGCACTGAAATTTGCCATGCATAGGCTCCACGTGTGCTGGTGTTTGTATTGCAAACAATTGCTGTTCATGCAATACAAATGAGGGGGAGGGGGGGTTCGGGTTGTGCACTTTCATACCCGTCTCGGGTGTCGCGGCTTCCGGTTCATCAGATTCGACTCCGCCGGCTGCGTTGCGTAGGCGATGGAGGTCCAAATGTCCGTCCCGATGTCGATGGTCAAAATTTGCGTGATCGTGAGGGTCTGCGGTAAACTGAAAATCCCGAGGAAAATCGGTAACGACTGCGGGAGTTTGGAGCACAGCGTGTACATGATGGACTTGCGCAAGTTGTCGGACGATAACCGGCCCTGCTCGACCCCGTCGACGATGGAGGAAAAATTGTCGTCCAACAGAATAATGCCCGCCGCGTCCTTCGCCACCTCCGTCCCCCGGATGCCCATGGCAATCCCCACCTCCGCCTGCTTCAGCGCCGGCGCGTCGTTCACCCCGTCGCCCGTCATCGCGACGATAGAGTGGGCGAAAGTTTGGTACGCTTGCACGATGATCTGCTTGTGGAGGGGCGACACCCGGGCGAAAACGCAGCAGTACTGACACGCGTTGACCCAGAATTCCTTCACGGCCTGCGGATCGTGCTCCCCAAACTCGTCGTAGGTCGGTGCGTATTGCTCCACGAGCTTTCCCTCTATCACCTCGAAATCCTGCTGAATCTGCGACGTTGCCGTGGTGGCCGGAAGGGCCTGCAGGATGCCCAATTTCCTCGCAATCGCCCGGGCCGTGTCCATGTGGTCTCCCGTGACCATCACCACCTTCACACTCGCATACTGCGCGCGGCGCACCGCGTTTTTCACCCCTGGCTTCGGCGGGTCCTCGATCCCATACAACCCGGACAGCACAAAATCGTCGACCAACAGCGACCGCATGTCCTCCAATCGCTCCGCCTTGGCCAGCAGTTTCTCGTATTTTGTCACGAAATTCAACTGCATTTCCTTCGTGTCAAGTGCAAAAATGTCTGGGTCTGGAAAAGTGAAGACTTGTCATGCAGATTTTCCATGACCCGTGAGGTCTGGAATGCGGGACTTAGCATGACAGACTCTGCGAGGTCTCCGCCATGCCTGTCCTGCATGAGAAATTCCCTTTCAACTTGGTCAAAAGTGGACGGCTTTTGGCACTCACGCAACACAGATTTTTGCATGCTTCAGATTTACCATGACAAGCTGCAATCTTCCAGACCCAGACATTTTTGCAATCCATACTTCGTGTCCGCGAACGAAAATTTTTTCATCCCCACCGCGATCACCCGCTTCCCCTCCGACATCAGCGCTCGCCACTCCGACTCGATTTGCAGCTGCTGTTGCGGTATCGAATGCAAATATGTCTGGGTCTGGAAACCTGTGATGCTGGTTGGCGAATCTTGAGGACGCCACAATTGGGGCTCCAGCATGAGAAGTTTCTGAGGTGCTAGGTATTGTCTATTCTGCATCAGAAACTGCGTTTTTGCATGAAGACAGAAAAGCGAGGCTTTTGGGTGATGTGCATGACAAACTTGAGGGTCATGCTAGCCGAGCATGACAAATCGCGCATTCTTTCCAGACCCAGACATATTTGCAGTGCATATGCGGGTTCTGTTTCCGGTTGCTCGCGGACAAGTGCTGAAAAACCCGGTCCGGGGCGCCCTTGACGATCAATTTGGCTTCTGGTTTGGTCGTGTTCGTGTGGATCGTCACCATGTACTTGTTCGCACTGTTAAACGGGATTTCGAAAATCTTTGTCCAGTCTGCATGTTGAAACGAATCGGAGGAGGTCGTGGTGTTAAGATTAACGTTGCACGCAGACGCAAAGTAAATCGCCTTTTCGGTCGGAGAACCGCTGATCTCTTCCTATGGCGCTCTCAATCGTTACACTCTCAACTGTTACATGGATTTGCAATGCAAGAACAGCAACAGTGAAAGTGGCAATATTGCAGCTTTCGCATCACAAATTTACCACAGATTGTCATGCTGTTTAGCCCTTCGAAAATTTGTCATGCGAAGCACCTTGATCAAGTGGAGGCCGATGGCAATTTTCCATGACAAATCCGTGGCACAGTTGAGAATGTCACAGTTGAGAACGCCATACTTCTTTCGTGATGGCTGTAGTAGTTCTTGATGACCCGTTTGAAGATGATGTTGACGCGATTGGTGGGACGGGCCCGGAAGAAGACGAGGAAGACGAATTGGTCGTGTTCTTACCCGTTCTTGAAACCAAAACCGTCGTATTCAGCATCCCCGCGGCGAAAAGGTCCTGCTGCGAATTTTTAAGTGTACTAGTGTTGCTGGTAGTAGTTCCCGCCGCGTCAGCTGGAACTGCACCGCCGGTGCCAGAAGAGGGTCTACTTGCCGCTGCGGGGTAGATTTTCCCGCTCAGCGGGTCGAGCTTCACTCTCGCCGTCGCTTTACTGTTGGATGTGTTCTTGGTTTCCCCACCAGCACCAGCTCCTGATAAATCATTCACCACTACCACGTCGGTGACCGTCATTTCCCCGGTCGTCAACGTGCCCGTTTTGTCACTGCAGATCACTTCGACACACCCTAACGTTTCCACCGCGTCCAATTTGCGCACCAACACGTTCTTCACGGACATCTTGGAGCTGGCAATCATCAGCGAGATTGTTGCCGTCGGGAGCAACCTATGAATTGCAAAAGCATCGTACTAGTATATAAAAAATTTGTAATGCAATTTATACTATAAATTGCATTACAAATTTTTTCAAAGAGAAAACTGCAATTTGTAATGCTGATTTGCCTAAGATGGGCAATTTGTCATGCATGATTGCAATTACTACGAGTACGATACTTTTGCACAGGATACAACCCCTCCGGAATCTGCCCAAACATCGCCGCGGAACTGGTTTCCAGGATCTGCCGGGGTGATTTTCCTACTTGAAATATCCTGTGCAAAAACATCCCCATCCCAGAGTTGTCATGCAGATCTGCAAGCACAAGAGCATTTGTAATGCGCATCCCCATGAGAGGCATTTCCCATCGTGTTTTGGAACTTGTAATGCTGTGAACAGGATAAGGAGCTGGATTTCTTATGCGGCTTCTCTTGCTAAGCTGCATTATATCACAGCCTGCAACTTGTCATGCGTGGCTCCCAAAACTTTCAGGTTTGTGTTGCAAAATCCCCATCTTGACTCTGGGGTGGGGACGTTTTTACAAATGATATGAAACTCGGCAATCGCGGTGAGCAGCCCGACGGAGATGGCGATAACCGCGATTAAGTGGACGAAATATGGATTGCAAAAATGTCTGGGTCTGGAACATTGGAACTTGTGATGCTAACTTTGGACTCTAGTAAAGTCTGTATTGCATGACCAGCAAGAGGAGTCCGGTTGGGTGTGTCCTACGCGTGTAGGGCATTTGTCATGCGGAATAGGCACCAGGAAGGCTTCTAAAATCTGTGATGCTAGGGCTTCCATGAGCGACATTCTGTGTCATGCAAAAACAGCATAACAAATTTCGGATTCTTCCAGACCCAGACATTTTTACAGTTGATACAAAATGCTCCAGCGCAATTTCCAAACTGGACTTCGGCCGCTTCTTCTTCACGCCCGAAGCGATTTTCCCCAGCAGGGTATTGTCCCCGGTCGCGTAGACCAACACCGTGCAATTCCCCTTTAAGAGCAACGTGCCGTAAAAGACCAAATTGCTGCTCTGCATGGGTTATGAACTGCAAAAGCATCGCACTCGTATAAATGCATGACAAATTCACTCAGCATGGGAAATAAAATTTGTAATGCGGATTTACCTTGAGAAAAAAATTTGTAATGCATGATTGCAATACGAGTGCGATACTTTTGCGCAGGATATGGGTTCGATTTCCCGGTTGGGGTCTTCGATTTTCTCCACCGTCCTCTGCTCCGGCAAACTCTCCCCGGTCAGCTATCAAATGCAAAAGTATCTGGGTCTGGAAAGTTGCAAGATTTGTCATGCATCTCGCGGACCACACTCATGGTCTGTAATGCAGACAGAAGCATCACAGATTTTTTGAGACCTTCCTCATGCCTTGTCCGCATGAGAAATTCCCGTTTTACCTAGCGAGAATTGGGTAACTGTTGGCGTTCAGGCAACACAGACTTTCTCGTGATCCAGCTTTCGCATGACAGGCTTCATTCTTACAGACCCAGACATATTTGCAATGCATATCAGCGCCGCCTGGTCCACTTCCGTCCCCTCCGTACAGTAGACCACGCGACAATCCGCCGGGATGCGCGCCCCGGGTTCCAGGAAGCAAATGTCGCCGGGCACCAGCTCGGAGGGGGGCAGTTGCAGGTCTTCGCGCTGGTAGGCGGAGTTGGACGTGTCCAGGTCGCCGTCTTGATCGTTACCGAGAAGACCAGAAGCGGACTGGGAACTGGTTTGGATTTGTAAAGTTGACATGATCATTTGTAGTTGAGTATAATAATTGTATTTTTCTTTATATCACGGTTGTAATCTGTGACGCAGTTAGTTTGAGCAAGCGAGAACGGATTTTTCGTGCGTGAAGCCATCTTGGTGCCACAATGTGAATGTACACATTTTCAACATCAATCCAACTGTAAGTACCTTTTCCTTCTGACCACGCGGACCAACTCATTACCCCCCTGCATCGCTTGCAGTGCGTCCATCATGGACTCTGCCTTCTGCTCCGCCCACCACTGCAGCAGACTGGCCATCAGGATCACGACCGACAAAATCACCGGCGTGACGTAGTCTTCCCGACCCGTCTCGCGCTGCAGACTCGTCTCTTCCGCCAGGAGACTGGCAAGCACCACTTCGGCGACAACGCAACTCCACAAAAGAATGTTGAAGCCGGAGAGAAACGTGATTTTCAGCAGCGAAACCCACTTGTTTTCCTTCACGGGGGGCGAAATTCGGTTGAACCCGTAGAACTTCCGGCGAAAGTCCACCTCGTCTTTGGTCAGCCCGATAGTCGCCTGCGCATTCGTGACGTCCTCTTTTTTCTCCAAGGTTGTGTGCAGAAACTTCGCGGCTTCTTCCACCCCCATGCGGTGCAGGTCCGTGGTGTAGCTGCTGGACTGCTGCAGATTGTCGTCTTTCGAGGTCTGCCGCTTCTTCTCTTCCTTCGTTTCCAAAAATTCGCGGTAGTAGAGAAACCCTAGGCCGAGAATCAAGGTGAGAATACTCGCGGACGCGATCCAGAGAATGTGTTTTCTGGAAAACGTTGCGTTTTCCACCGTGGTGGTCGCCACGTCGGTCCTTTCCGCGTTGATCAGGTCCCGCTCGGTTTGTGCCGCGCTGCTGGACCCCATGTCCAGATCGAGCCAGGAGGAGGACTCGAACAGCGGCGACTGCTGGTGGAGATGGAGGCTTGATGATCCAGTAGGTAAACCGCCTTCGACGTCTAAAGTACCATGCAGGTCGTCGTGCTGGGAGGACTGGGAGGAATCAATAATCTCCGCCGGCTCGGATTTGTCATGCAGTTGCAGCAAGGAGTATCCGTACCTGGCCGCCTGACTGGGGGTCATGTACTCAGCCCGGAGGCCGCGACGGGAGGAGGAAGCAGATCCAACGTATCCTGTGCAAAAGTAATATCGCTGCACTCGTGTTGAGTACGCATCTTCGCAGCCAGGCATGACAAATCCGCTTTCCAATGACTAAATCAGCATGACAACTTCCATTTTTTGTCATCATGCTGAGCTGCTGATTTGTCATGCAGTTTTACTACTGGCACGATACATCAAGAACTTTTGCACCAGTGCATAGGGTGGTTTTGGCCGTCAATTTCTTCGTCCGCGCGCGCGCCAGAGAAGAGGAAGACTCTTCGCCAGCGGCGTCGATGGTCGTTGCAAAGTACTTGTTGTCCAGAGTGTCCTCCAGTCTGCGAGCGTTGATGTTGGTGACAGAGGAGGCAGTTACCAGCTGCGACACAACAGCTGCTGGTTGGACATCAGCAGCAGCCTTTGTAGTACGGAGGCCAGTAGATGCAGCTGCCGCGGGATTCATTCCATAATTTTTCGTTCCTTCGCTTCGCACCATCTTGATACTTTTCTGCTCTCCCGAGCCAGGGGCATCTTCATCGGGGTAGGTTGCGAAATTGACGTTGTACCCAATAATTTGACCTTCGTCAGCTGCCCCAGTCCTACTCCCGCCAAGTACAACTCCCGGCTCGAGGCTGGAACTGACTTCCTCGACCGCCCATGGTGGCAGGGGCACACTGTACGGGCTCCTGTCGCTAGTCCTCGCTTCAACACTGTTTTTGCGCTGTCTGGTGGACCACGACGGGGAAGCTGCAGCTGTCGTGGCTGTGCTCGTTTCATCCCCGTTGTAATTTCTCGTCGCCCCCGGCCCCGGCTGCTTCTGCAACTGACTCTTTACGAGTTCGTACAATTCCTGATTGATCAAAGCGTCTTGAAGCGCGTCGCGGTCGGTTTCCGGAGTAGAACTCCTTGCACTACCCGCAGTTCTTCCAACACCAGCGTCCGCTCGTTGTAGTTGTTCCAGCAACGTCGGTTCCTCTACCACTGCAGTGCTACTTCCGGCTGCGGCGATTTTCGCAATCGAATCTCCGACGAACAGAAGCTGGTGCACGAGATGCAGGTGTATGATGCGGAGGCTCGGGAGGATGTTGAAAGAGAGCAGAGGAGAACTGCGCCGCTCTTTCTGAATTTTTCCGCGATTTCTCATCGTGGGTTCGTTTTTGTAGGAAACTACCAAGTATGCGTATGCCAAGATGAAGGAGCCGAGAAATACAACTACTTCTTGTTGGGCGATGTTGACAAGCTTGCAAAAGGAACTGCAATGCCACAGCTCCTCCGTAGCATTTCCTATAAAGATGGAGAGATAATGAGTCGCTGAATCGGCAGGAGCAGCCTCTACTCCAGCTACAACTGTTTCAGCGTGGCCTAAAAATGTTTGAAACAGCTTTGTCATCAATATCGTATTCGTACGCAAACCGTACTACAAACCACGTCGAACGGAAAAAATCTGTATCTCGAGTCAGTCGGGCGAGCAGTTCAACATCACTTCTCTCATATTTCTTTTTCGAACTCGAATACACGACGAAGCCACCAAATGCAAGAAGAAATACATCCTAGAATATTCATTATTGAAGGTCCTTCATCGAAGATGTGTGCGGTAGCGGTACAAAAGTAAAGAAACAATCTATCTTTCGAAGGAGGTCGTTCTTCCAGACGATGGCTTCTCATTTGTAGCGCTCTAAACTTCACTCGCTCTTTTATCAACGCCAGTGGCATCACGATTGTTGATAACGCGATTTTTTTGACAAGACTGCTCATGACGAATACGAATTTGGTACCCTGAATGATTTTAGCAGAACCAGTAGAACAACGCAAAATATTGATTCCAGCGAAGAATGCAGCAGGCCAACTTGAGTTGTAACGATCTTTTCGAGGACCGCGGTGCAATCTGATTTGGGAAAGAAGCAAGAGTCTGAAGGAGCCGGGAGGAGAAAGACAAACAACATTTCTTAGCCGAGTCTGAGAATCATGGGGTGTTCCGCAGGGTGGTAAGTAGTTCATCATCTCCTGAAGGATTTCTGAGTTAGAAATCTATCAGGTCGCTTGTTGCGTTGCCTACACTTCCACTTGTTGCGAAAGTTACAAATACAAGATGAGGGAAATTATGGCCTTGGAAATGATGTGAATGTGAAATGTTAAAAAGAGCTCGGAAGGACAACAAAAAATGCAGACTCAGATTGTTTTTGTTTTGTCTGTTATTGTTTGTTTACTTTAATGCGATGAGGCGTTTAATGGCACTTCTAGTCCTACTCGCTATCAAAGTGGAACCTCCTCACAACTGTCGTGCTGCACTAAAAAAGTGCCGGATTTGATAATTCGTTGGTCTTGTAAAGCCGGAGCTGTGAACTGCGAGAATTAGTATGCTTAGCCTGTCGCATTGGGTTGAAGAGAAGAAAGCGAAGCGAAAATAGACAGTGCACTTTTTTTTTAGGCAGTGGTTGACATTGTAAAAACAAAAAGAAAAACTTTGTACTTTACTTACTTTGATTTTGATTGGCAGTCATGTTCTGGCTGAATAAAAAGGAAAAATGTAATGCTGTGTAATCGTGAAAAAACGATTGATAATTTGGTACAGTAACACACATGTGCCTGTTACTTGATAGCATTGGTACTCCGGCGAGAAAAGTTTGCGCTGGATATCTATCATGCACATGCACGATCCGCCGCAAATTCAAACAACTAAACTGCCGCCGCCGCCGTTTGCAACAACATCGGACGGACCTCCGCCAGCGACATCAGCACTCGAGTAATCAACGACCGCACCAGAAGCTGCTGCTGGTGGTTGTACATCCTTGCCTGGTGCTTGCACGTCATCGGTGCGCATGAATCCACCAATCAGGTTTGTGGCCGTGTCGAATACATTCTTTCCCATATCAAGTGCAAACATGTCCGGGTCTGGAAGGATGCAACTTGTGATGCTAACTTTGGATACAATCTGTACGTGTATTGCATGAACAGTAAAAGACGTCCAGTTTTTGCTACGCGAAGAGGGCGTTTTTCATGCGAGATGGGCATCAGAAAACCCTCGCAGAATCTTTAACGCATACATAGGTCATGCAAATGGTGCATGACACACGTTGCACCCTTCCAGACCCAGGGGGCATAAATATTTGCGTTTCATATCCAACCTCCGCCGCCGCTTCCATCAAACCTCCGCCGTTTGGATTCGAATTTTTTTGGTTCGGCGACGACACGCTTGGATTCGGATTTGGGTTCGGGTTCGGCGACAGTATCAAATGTAGAAATGTCTGGGTCTGGAAGAGTGCGCGATTTGTCATGCAGCTTTTCCATGACCCGTGAGGTCTGGAATGCAGGACCCGACATGACAGATTCTGTGCGATTTTTCTCATGCCTATCCTGCATGAGCAATTGCCTCCCGACTTGGTCAAAACTGGACGACTTTTGGTAATCATGCAACACAGATTTTTGCATGCTGCAAATTTAGCATGACAAGTTGCATTTTTCCAGACCCAGACATTTTTACATTTGATAGACAGAAGGTCGCGCTCGGTCTCCTTCTCCTCCAGCTCCAACACGCGCAGCACCTTCGCCAAGTAGTTGGACGTCTTGTGGGCGGGCAGCATATGGATTGCAAAAGTGTCTGGGTCTGGAAGATTGCAACTTGTAATGCTGTCTTTTTTTTTTTTTGCCTGCGGGAGCGGATCGCGTTTCTTTCTTTCTTTCTGGAATTGTGTTACGGCGAGAACGGTACCCGCCCGCTGCGCTTACATTGCGTGCTCCCGTCACGCGTCATGCGGTATAAATTCTTTCGAAACCCTAAACCCATCAAAGCATGCCTCTCGGGAGATACAAACCGGGGGAACCCTAAACCCGCGCAACGCACTCGTTTTAGTTAACGTCTAATGCCGAAAGCCGCGGCAGACGTCCACGTTGGGACGTAGATGGAGACGTAGTAAAATATGTAATGTTTTTTTTGGGGGGGCGGGGCTAAAGGTCGAGACTAAAGTTATGTGCAGAAGCCGCTGCACGAAGAGTAGTAAAGATTTTTTCATTTTTTATCTATTAGTTTTCTAATTCGTCTTCCATCACCCCGGTACTCGAGCACGCCATGCAAAGAAAAGAATCGGCGACCAAGATCATGCATGACAAATGGGAAATAAATTCCCCATGACCAACCTATGAAATAGGTCAACCGAGCGCACCCGCTTCCTCTAAGGGGAGGTCCACGAATACTATAGGCCGAGACTGGATCAGGTGATACTAGTAACTTAGGAACGGTCAAACGAACATTTAGCAGCCGCGCGCCCTGAATACGATACTATGACCCTTAAGCCGAGGGACTTTCGAAATTTACACCGGGCACATAGTGCGACTGCCGCCGATGTCATAAGACCGAGCGTAAAGATGCAATCTACCAAAAAAAATAAGTATTTGTAATGCTGAGTGCGAGTTTACGAATTTGATTTTGAAAAGTATTTTCTATGAGGGTGGGACGGGACGGTTGGACCCCGGGCACCGGCGGTCGCGCCCCTTGTCCCCCGTATGTGCTGCTTCCCGTGCGTACCATGCGCAAAGCGAAATGTGGGAAAATTCCCCTTTGCATCCATGGCGCTCCGCGAAGACAGCAGGTGAAGAACAAGATTCTTGACCACCAGCACCATCATCTAATCATTTCTGGAAATCGGCATCGGCAAGCTCGAGGTAGAGCGGCGGGGGGGAAGTAGAGAAACAAGGGCAGGGCGCCGCAGCATCGTGCTGAGGACGGATGGGAAGCTTTCACCGGTGGGCATGTGAATTCGACACGCCGGAGCTATCGGTAGCTGTCGGATCTGCAGTAACATCGGCCTAACCGGAAATGTCGGCCCGGGGTGGAAGGGAGTGAGCAGGTTCGGAAGCAGGACGATAGGCCGGAAAACGGGTGCTGAAGCCGTGAAACCGCTCAAACCGGCTACTTGCCGGGGGACGCGATGTGGGAAAAGGGAACGGGAATGTCGTCCCGGGGTGGAACAGAGTGGGCGGCTTGGGAAACAGGACGGTGTGGTAAAGGGAGCTTGTTGGCGCCGCGTAACCGTCTCGACCGGTTCCGGGTCGTGGAAGTCGACATCAAAATGGACAGCAGGGGCAAAACAATATCATCATCATTCTATAAAAAAAGAAATAACGAATCAAAATCGAACATGCAAAAGGGTAGGCACCCCCCTAAAAGATGTCACTTGCACTACATGGGCGAAGGCAGTGCTTGTAGAAATCCAGCCGCTTGGAAATGCTACAGCTAGAGTCAATATCCCCCTTCATACAAACTGGGACTGGGACACATGACTGGAGGTTCATGACAAAATCTAGCTTATGTAGCAGAGCCTTCCACCCAGTAGGGCACCCAAATGCTATGCGCATGCTGACGGAGGAGAATTACTCCTATTCGGGTCGCATTTGGGTATAGAAAAACGAACTCCATACATATCCTGTAATGCAAAACGAACTTGTAATGCTTATGCTGTCTCTGGATTCTAAAAAAATGTGTATTGCATGCCCAGCAAGAGCACTCCAGTTTGTGATATGCGGACAGGTCATTTCTCATGCGGTAGAGGCATCGCAAAGTCCTCTAAAAATATGTGACGCTAGGGCATGCATCACAGACATCATACGTCATGCAAAATATGCATCACAAACCTGGCAATCTTCCAGACCCAGACATTTTTGCAGTTGATACAGCATTTGGAAGGACAGAATCAGCTCATCAAACGCCACGGGTGAGGTCAAAGAATAGTGCGCAGCCCGCCCGGTGAGGGCGTGGTCCCCGTGGCAGTCCCGCTTCTCTTTTTCTTCGGAGTTAGGCAGATACAATACCGCCTGCCCCGCCGGGCGCCAGGTGGTGGCGTGAAAAAAGTCAATGTCCGCTTGTTCCTCTTGGATGTGTTTCCACATTTCGTCTTGGTAGGCTTGCAATGCAGAGGAAGAATCGTCGCTCGGGGGGGGATTTTGCTGTTTGTACCGCATCAGCAGCGCAATCTGCTCGGCCAGCACGGTGACGACCCGGCCAGGCGTGTTCAGCCGCGGCACTGCGTCGTCGTTGGCCACCGTGCCCAGGAAGGTCGCGAAGGGGAAGGTCGGCAAGGAGTCCACCACGCTCGGGAGGGCGTGCGGGTAGCCCCAGATCGTCACGTCAGCGCCGAATTGGTGTTGACCACTTGCCTTTTCCGCCTGCTCCGTATGCAAGAAAAAAAGTGTGTAAGTGTAACTCTGTCATGCAGAACATGCAACAGAATTACACCTGTCATGCCAGGCAACCATGCAGTCCTCTTTTCACTTGTGTTTTCCCTCGTTACAAACCACGCATGACCATGAGAGGAGGTTTTCTCTGTCATGCAGAGCAAATTTGTGATGCTGTTCCTCCAAGAAAGTTACACTTTTTACACACTTTTTTTCCTGGATACTCCGTCCACAGGCTGTAAACCCAGGAGGCGGTCGCCGCGCCCAGCGAGTGGCCGGTAATGATCAGGTCCTTGTAGGTGCCCGCATGAGCAGCATCTGCAAAAAAATCCGTGATCGCTTGCTCCGTTTCCGCCGCCGTGTCTTTCGCCGCCAAATAAATTGCGGGGTGCGCGTTGTGCCCGTCCAGTTGCTCTTTCGTTTGTAGAGATCCCTCGTCAAAGTAGCTCGCCATTTCCTCGGACACGGTCTTGTAGCGGAGATCCGTGATGGCGTCGTCAATGGCTTTGGTCCCGCGAATCGCCAGCACCACAGCCTTCCGCTGCTTGTCGCCGAAGAGAACATAGGCCGGCATTTTCACATCGGCCTCATACCGGGCTTTCAGGATGTCGATCCACTCCGCTTTCGTCGCGTCGAAACCCTCACCGAACGCCCAGCGGTCCTGTAAAACCGTAATAGAACTAAGTACTTTGGACCTAAGCAAAAACCCTGTTCCCTGCTGTCGAGCGGCGCATCATCCTCGAATTTAGGTAGAAAGTACTATTTCTGTGCGTGCGCAGTGATACGCATAATGAAGTTGTAAACAGCGCAACATCGAGCAAACAGCGCCCAAAACAACAAGGTGTCAACATCTACCTCACCCGTACGAACGGCCGACAACATAGGTGAGTATGAAATCACAAGCCATCATTTTGCGCGAAAGTCTCACAACTCGTGGTGTCAAGAATATTTTACATAAAACAAATTCGTTTCATTTACAAATCCTAGACCTAGTACAACTAGTTTATCTTTACCTTGCTCAGAGCGAGCTTGGAACCCGCCTCCGCATTCTCCTGGAGTTTCTTGCGGAACTCCTCCTCCGACCCTTTGTAACACGCGTCTGCGTAGGCGATGCTGCGGTAGAGGTCCTTTTTCCGGTCCAGCGTCAGCGTTTCCACCGTCTCCTCTACTCCCGCATTTGTAATGTTCGCGGACGGCAACGTGTTTTCGTACAGCCGGCACTGGAGCTTGCGGTACTCAAAAAAAGCGCCGGGGAGTTTCACCGCGTTCAGCCCAAATTCCTTGACCAACAACAGACTCGCCTCGGCAAAGCCGGCCATTTCCCCGGCAATGTCGTACATCTGCTTCATTTCGTCCGTCAACCCCAGGTCGTCCATCGCCGGCAGTAACACCGCGGCGGCAAATTCGTTTGCTTCCTCGCGCATTTCGCCCAGCGTAGACTCCGCCATTTTTTCCAGCTCTTGAACCTTCGCGTGAAACTTCTCCTTCGATTCGGTGAGCTTATCCACCGCGGGATCGTAGATGTAATTCGCCCATTTCTCCTTGAAAGCACTCCAGGCAGCGGCAGTTTTGTTCTTCATTTCGGCCATCCTGGCGTTCATTTCGTCAACCGTTTCGGAGTCAACGCAAAAAGAGGTGGGCAGTTCCTCTGTAGTGGTCCTGTGGTCGTCCAGCTGGAGGAGCTCGTCCTGCTCCGTGGGAGGAGTCCTGGATGCAGCTACGTTGTCGTTCTTCTGGTCGTTCTCACGCACCACTTCCACATGCCTTTGTTTCTTCTTCGCCTGCCCGACGGCGGTGACTGAAATGGCGGACACGAAGATCGTGGTCTGCTCTATCGCGGCGCCGAGGAGGGCAATTGTGGCCAAAAGCCTCTTTGCGGAAGCGGGGGCTTTCGAGCGAGGATCCATTGTTCGTCCACCCATAATCGACGCGAAAATCAGCGAGATTGATTGAGTGTTGAAACTACAACAAAAAAGCTGACAGAGATAAAAGCTGAAGCCTATCTGAAGATTGAAATCTGGGAACCTTTTTACCTTAGACTGAGGCTACGGAGCAGCCAGTCGTTGGGGAAGAAAGCCAAAGCCTGTGGTGGTTTGCAGCAGCTTGATTTGAATTTAAAAACCAAACATCAATACACGCGGTCTACTGTGGCGACAAGAGGCCGCTGTACGCACGACTGAGTCAAAAAATAAACCACGTTTGACAGCACAAAGACGTACGAGCACGATAAGCATCGAAGGAACGAAAAACGGACGACGATGAAAACGAAAAGGGAGGACCACGACATCTTCAGTGCGGCCTTCTTCTCGTGTAATGTGAAACAGCCACGATTTCCGTCTTAGATTTTTTGACGAGCCAGCGTATTGCACGAGTAAACCGATGGATGGTCGCAAACAGATGAAACTCGGACGATTCCAAAACAAGCACTGGTGTACAACTACAAGCATACCGAAAGAAGTATACCTGGAGCATGCTCATGCAGCAGCTCAAGCGAATAAATCGGGAAACAGAACGGACAGGAACATTATAGCATGGCCGTTAAAATATGTTCGCGCGGCTGCGCCGCATGGAAGTCTAAAGCCGGCGGACGAGGGGGAAATCTAAAGCCGGCGGTTGCGCCGCATGGAAATTAATGTTTTTTCAAGAGTGAAATGCTATGCTGGACTTACGCGTACTCGTCATTTGGTTCCGTGAAAATGGGTAAAAATAACTAAGGGAACAACTACTACACAAATTGAGACTCTTCGTCTCCTCACGCCGAAGATGGCCTTTTCCACGCGAAGTATCCCCGGTCGGTATCGCGACTGCTGCGGTTCCCATCGAACGCATAGGCGATCATCATGCGCGCCCAGAAGTGTCGCCCCAGGTCTATGGCGGAGTTCTCAACCGTTACACTCTCAACTGTTACAGGAGTCTGCAATGCAAGCACAGCAACAGTCAAAGGGGCAAGCTTGCTGCTTTCGCATGACAGATAATTTGGCACAGATTTATACGCTGTCTAGCCCTTCGGAAATTTGTCATCATGCGAAGCAGCTTGATTATCTTTATCCGGCGGTTTAAACAAGTAGTTTATTTTGCACGACAAAAAATCTATGCAGCAGTTGAATGAGAGTGTAACCACGTTTGAGAACCCGTCCATAAGGTCCCGTCCGCTGTTCCAGTATAGCCGGTCTTGGCTGCCCGCCACGAGCCACTGATTCGTGTCGATGGTGTTCGGTCCCGTGAAAAAGTAGGCATTTGGCTTCAATACACAGAAGATCAAGGACGCGGTCTGCACATCCGCGAAGGGATTGAGCTGGTCGCCGTACCGCCCGAGCCCCGCATGTTCCAGGGAGGAGTAGGTGAACGCGAGATCGAACAGTTCGTGAAAAGCTGCATCTTCCTGATCCTGTTGATCTTGATCTGGTGGCTCAGCATGATTTGCTCTTATTTCCTCATCATCGCTTTCTCCATGTAGTTCCTTTCGTTGAAAAAACCCGAACTTTTTTCCCAGGTCCAAGAAGTGCAGAAACCGGAGTTTCGGGTTTCGACTGCAAAAATGTCTGGGTCTGGAAACTTGTGACGCTAAAATGTGGATAATGGAAACACATCCGAATGCAGTCCAGCATGACAACTATCCAGGACGCTTTCTCATAGGTAGTCCGCATGAGAAACTGCGTTCTTCTTCTTGCATGACAAAGCTGGCTGCGACTTTTGCTGGTTATGCAACACAGATATCCCAGGAATGTAAAGCAAGCATTACATGTTCCAACCTTCCAGACCCAGGCATATTTGCAATTCATATCGGGTGGCGGCGAACGACTTTCGGCTCGCGGTAGTCCACGGTGGTGACCTTTCTGGCGTTCATGCTATGCTATGTAAATTTCCCGTACATGTACAAAATGCATGACAAATTTCGCTAACTTGCAGTGTCCAACTTGTCATGCTAGACTAGGATTGAAGGCAAGTTTTGTCATGCAGAGACTGCATTTGTTTTTGTACGTGTACCGGAAATTTACTGTGAATACATGCGGAGCAGGAACACCTCGATCCAGGGAATTTCGGACCCCAACACCAGGACGTGCTTGTCTTCGATCAGGTCTCTGTGCTTTTGGAAAAAATCGCGATGGAGTGCCGTGTATCAAATGCAAATATGTCTGGGTCTGGAAACTTGTAATGCTAAAAGTGAATGATAGACCTAGACGCACTGCAATACGCAGCTATGCATGACAAATTTTCTGGCTGCAATGTCTTACGTATTCCGCATGGCAAACTGCGTTTTTGCATGACAGGTAAGAGGGCCCTTTCGTGCCTATGCAACACAGATTCTCGAGTCATGCCAGACAAGCATGACAAACTTGCATTCTTCCAGACCCAGACATTTTTGCATTTGATACCGTGTCTCCGTAGCTCGTGTAGATGCCAGTTTCCACGTCTTCTGCCCTCACGCTCACTTCCTTTTCGATGTGTTCCCTCTCCCAGCGAAAGTCATGCCGCTCGTTCCAACCCTTTTCGAATGATTTTTGCAATATCATACGGAAATAATGCGAGAACATATTCACATAAAAATCTCTTTTGCATAATGCATATCACAAACAGCATGTTCATGGCTTTTCGCCAATGGCAGAGTTTGTCGTTGTTCCCTCTTAACCAATAATTTTGAATTCACTTTTGCATTGCATATGTGAAGATGACATGCTAGCTTTTTTCTACTGTATGATATGCGCGAAATAGACCGGCGGTGTGTGGATGACGGCGCGGCCGTTGATGGTGTACTCCTTTTCAAACACGAGAGGCACAAAGTCCACCGGTGGCCACAAAATGGGGGAAAAATCCAGCACGCCGGGGGACCTCGCCAGGGCCGGGCAATTGGGCCGGACCGTGCTCAACTTCTGCGCAAACACCAGGTCCGCAACTTCCGGCTCGGGAAGGGAGTGCTGGACGTTGTTGAAAGGGTGCAGCTTATTGGAGACAGATGGTTCAAGTTCATCTCCCTCGTTAGCAGGAGGAGTTGCTTCCACCTCAAGTAGGCTGGCAAGGGTGGTTGTGAGCTCCTCTGATGTCCTGGGTGTTGACATGATAGGTGTAGTACCAGCAGGACTACCCTCCTCCCCATACCGGATGGAGACCAAGTGTTGCATGCTGTCAATCCGTCTCGCGTTCTCCTCGACAATGCCATCGTTGCAGACGTCCTCTGTGTGTGCAATGCAAAGGTATCGCACTTCGCACCGCTACAACTAGTACGTTTGCGTAGTACCCGACTGCGGCCATCCTGCATGCCAGATCTCTACTTTATTCCGAAGCATTCCAATAATTCCACTTTTCAATTCGAGATGATTTGATCTTGATGGTGCATTTTTTCATTTATAGCTACAGTAAGTGCGATACTTTAATACTTCTGATGCATACTTCGCACCCTGTAGTCAAGTGCGGCTTCAATCTTGTGTAAAACAGATCCGCAACCTTCTGCATGAACAGCGTCGTGCGGTGCATCGCCTGCTTGAAAAACTGCGCCAACTGCTGGAGCTGAAGGTCGGTGGAGAGCAGCAGCTCGTCCCGCTTTTCGCGGAGGGAAACAAGATCTTCTACTGTAAGAGCACCTTGTTGTAGTTCCGCAGTCCTGCTGCTCGTGAGATTCGAAAAAGTTTGTTCTCCATGATCTGAGAGAGATTTTTCTGCGTTGACGATCTGCCGGTTCACTTTTTCCAGTTCCACCACGCTCTTCCGGTGCTGCTTCCCGTACAGGTCAAAGAACTCCAAATACAGGTGTGTTTCCGGAATTCCGGCCGCAAGACCGCCGATCGGCTCGAGAAGCATCAGTTCCTTGTCCATCGTAGTGGACAGGTCTTGCTTGGTTAGCAGCTTCAATACCTTTTTCTTCCTGTTGTGTGTAGAAGAAGCAGTGCCTTTTACTACTATTTCTGCTTCTAGCTCTTCCGCGAGATGATGCAAGCCGCCTCCTTCTTCTGCCCGGTCGTCATCCACTTCGAGAAAGATATCCTGTGCAAAAACGTCTCCACCACAGGTTTGTCATGCAAATGCGCAATGATAGGAACATTTGTATTGCGCAGTTCCATCAGAGGCATTTCCAGTCGTGTTTTGGAACTTGTGGTGCTGCAAACAGGATGAGAGAGAAAGTGTCTTTCTTATACGGCTTCCCTTGCCAACCAGCACTACACTCCAGAGGAAAACTCGTCATGCACAGCTCCCAAAACTTGCAGATTTGTCTTTGTGTTGCTAGATTCCCAACTTGACTCCTGGGTGCGGACGTTTTTGCAGAGGATAAAGGATCCGCTTGATTTTCTCGTACCAGACCCCCACTTGAGAGTGAAAGTCGCTTTTCAAGTGGAAAAAGGTTTGAGGATTATCTTTTTCAATACCAGTGGTCGACGAGGACGACACATCTACACCTTCTAGCTTCAGCAACTCCTCCTGCTTCGCGACGAGCGTCTGCCCGACGAAGAGCGCCGCGTTGGACAGGTAGTCGGAAACTTTGTGGCAAAAAAATCGCGCCAAGAGCCACAAGTTCCTGCGAGGGTTGCTGACGTGGTTTGATGAGGAAAACGGAAAATGATGTTGTTGTTGGGCATCTTCAACATCTGTTTTTGCTTGTTCTAGCCGCGCCTTGGAGCTGCCTCCAGCACCATCTTCTGCTCCTATAGAAGCGGACGAGGACGGTACCACGAAGGTACTAGAGTTGTTACTCGTTCTCGTTCCGTCGCCTGATGTGGTGCTATCCGACATAAAAACGTCAATCGGAATGGCGTATGGATTGCAAATATGTCTGGGTCTGGAATATTGTAATGCTAAAAGTGAATGATAGACGCACTGCAATACGCAGCTATGCATGGCAAATTTTTTTGGCTGCCATGTCTATCTTACGTATTACGCATGGCAAACTGCGTTTTTGCATGACAGGTAAGAGGGCCTTTTCGTGCCTATGCAACACAGATTCTCGAGTCATGTCAGACAAGCATGACAAACTTGCATTCTTCCAGACCCAGTCACTTTTGCACTTGATATGGGGTTCACCCCGTTCAAGTTCTTCCGATCTGCTTCGGCCAAACAGCCCCGAAATATGGCGTTCTCAACTGTTACATGGATTTGTGATGCAAGAATGGCAAAAGTCAAAGCAGGGAGGTTGCACCTGTAGCATTACAAATTCCGCACAGATTTAGGTGCTGTTTAGCCTTTCCAAAAGTTGTCATGCGAAGTAGCTTCACCTTGTGGTTGTGAGCTGAGTGTTGATGTTCGTTTTGCATTACAAAACACGCAACAGCTGAGAATGTAACAGTTGAGAACGCCATACGAAACCGCATCTTGCTGTGGACTTCGGACAGCTGTAGTAGATGGAGACAGTAGGTCATCGCACGAGGACAAAAGTGTTATTTCACTGTAAGGATCTTCGCAAAATTTTGATTTTTGCATCACAAATTTGCTCTACATGAACGAAGAAAAAAAAAAAAAGCGACGGTCCTAAGGGAAAAGAAACTACACGCCTGAAATCATTCACTGTCTTGCATGTGATCTTGCAGGACAAACACTTCACTTCTGTGTCAGGTTCTCTGCATGACAAGTTTAATACTACAGTGAAACAGCTTTTTCGTGCGATATAGGTCGCGGACTCCCCGGTGCAGGACAGTTGCTGCTTTTTTTCCCATATGAACTGCAAAAGTGTAGTTGTACTCGAATGCAATTTGTCATGCGGATTTACCTGTACGAAAAAGATTTGTAGTGTGCATGACTGCAATAATTAGTACTACAAGTACGTCGATACTTTTGCAATGCGTATCCCAGTCTTTGGATTGATAGCAGCACACCTCCGCGGAGGGATACCGGGAATCCCAGCACTCGGCGTTCCCCGTCTCCCCGTAGACCTCGTGACAGCAGTCTTCATGCCGCGCATCTACGCGGTCGAAGCACAGTTTCCTTCCCCGGTAAAAGATCACCGACTCCTGCTCTCGGGGCGGTAGGGAGGGGAAGACGGTCCCTGTCGCGGCGTTTTGGCACAACGTAGTTCTGTAAACAAGTACTAAACTGACGCCGACCACGCGGCACGACAAGCGCACGGCGACACTGCGTGACGTCGAGGAGCACTTGTTTTTGTTTATTCTTGCGGCCCGCCCGCTTAGGAGACGACCGATCGCGTGCACGGTGTCGTGCCTGGTGTTCCAGCGCTCCTTCCGCGACCACAAGCTCTTCGCCACCTCGTCCGCCATGCTCTACTGAAGAACTACCAGCAGTTCTATTTAGCAGGAGGGACGAAGTAGAACAAGCGGTTCCCGTGTAAAGCGAAAACGTCGCGGTGCAAAAAGAAAACGCTCTAAGTGACCCGGGACCAAGTTTTTCATGCGAGGAGGACATCTTCTGGTGCGCGACTCTTCGACTTGGAGAAAAAACAACAATGAGAACAAAGAATCATGCAGCGCAGAGAAAGAGATGTGGTAGGGGGTGCGTGGGGCGCAAGAACCAGTAGAATTTTCTATTTCTTCCTTTGTACTACACCAGATCACATTCACACTTGATCAAGAATCGATCATATGATCATTTTGTCTTTGCGAACAAGGTAGTTCATCAAAAAAATAACAAATGACGCATTGTAGCAGATTTTCACCGTGCGCAAGTCAGGTACTTATGCAAAGAGATAGACGGCCGCAAGACCTCCACACGGGAGGAACACACGGAGGGAGAAGGAAGCATAAGAAGGGACAAGAACGACCCTGCGCTGGAGCCACTTGTTTTTTTTTCTCGGACGCACATTACAAAGCAGGGGACCAACACGAATATGCTCAGCATTGATCATCCCAACAAATCTTCGATCTTCAGTGAAGACACCAGGACATTTGGATTTGCATCTTATCATCTTCATCGTCATCCCCCCAAAGACAACCCCGGTAAATGGCTCGCCAGCGCGTGATTCCTCGGCAGTTCTGGTTTTAAACTTCCCATTGCCGCCCGGGCCGCGTCCGATGTCAACAGATTTTTGCTGTTCCCGTTGGTTTTGCTCAACGCGGCGGAGAGTCTGTATCGCGGATCTTTCGCCAACCGTTCCTCGAAGTAGCCGTGGACGTCCGCGACTTGATTCCGGCAAATCGTGGACTTCGGATCGAAGTATTTGAATTCTGCGATCCTGTTCCGGGTCAACCGTTCCGGATCGACAGGCGCCTCGACCTTCAGCTTGTCCAGCAGCCTCAGCCGGTTCTGCTCCGCTTTTTCTTTCTCCGCGAGAAGTTGCTGCTCCACTCTTTGTTTCTCGTCGAACTTCAGCCTCTCCTTCGTATCCCTCAACTTCTTCCGCTCCGCATTCATCTGGTCCTGTTTCAAGTAGGAAACGTAGTCATCCAGCTCCCTTCTCTGCGCAGCTTCTCTCTGCTCCTCGCGGAGCTGTCTTTTCCGGTCCTGGATTTCGAAAAGCTTTTCCTTTTGCTGCAACTTTTCGTGGAGCGATTTCTCCGACTGCTCCGCTAGCGCTTGCGTTTCGTCGGTCAAAAAATCAAGCTTCAGCATGCTGTCGTTGTTTTTGTAATCGGAGGACGGTCTCTTTCCATTTATTCCTGTCGTACAAGTAGAACTAAAGGTCGTCGCGTTTTTTTTCAGTTTCGCCGACACCTCTTGATTTTTTTTCGAGATGATCTGCTGTCGTTGTTTCATTATTCGCTGCTGTTTTTTCAGTGTAGAAAAGTCCGTTTCGAAGCGCTGCTCCTCTTTGGTTTCCAAACTTCTGAATTCCTTCTGACACTCCAGCAAAACTTGCTTCCGCTTCTTTCGGTAATTCTTGTAAGCGATACTTATTTGCTCTTTACTGAACTTTTTCTGCTCGAGTAGTCGCCGCAGTTGCAAGGCTGGATCGACGGTCGTCGTGATGTTGAGGGGCGGCTGGTGCTGGAGGGTCGCTTTATTTATCTTAGACTGCTGCGAACAAGACGACCACGCGGTCGCGTTAGCCCGCGGGCGGGAGGACACCGGTTTGGCGTGCGTCGGGGTAGTCGTGCTGGTGGTCATATTTTCGTTATTTCTATGTTGCGCGCTGACGGGGCGGCTGCGAGATGAAACAGCAGTGCTCGAGGTCGTGGTCGTGCCCGCTGTATTGCTACCGACAGGTAGCTTGGCATTTATTTTGCAGTTCTGGTTATTGGGTAAGTAGAACATCGCATGACGAGCATCCTCGTGGTTCTCTACTCCCACTGCGACTGCCTCGGGACGAGGTGTCGTTCTTACGAGCTGCTCCTGTAGCAAGTTGATCTCTAGTTCAACTTGGTTCAACTGGCTGCGTTTCTTCTCCACCTCCGCTTCGTATTCCTTTTGCAACGCGTCCGTCTTCTGCAGGTATCTCCGCTGCAACTTGTAGAAATCTGGTGGTAAAAATGGTACCAGATCGGCTCGCTCGCGGTGCTGAAGATGTTGTTCTTGAAGATGCGCGGCCGGCCTGTGGTCGCCCGAAGATGTTGACGTAGCCATTTCCACGTCAGGGTCCCCAGCGGGAGTGGTGTGACTGGTCCTCGTGTCAACGGCATCACCTCCAACTCCTGCGCAACACGAAGAAAGAACTTGTTCTGCTTGCGATGACAGTGGTCCCTCTGCAGCAGCTTCGTTCTCGTTCTTGCTGTCATCAGCGTGATTTACTTTGTTCCCGCTCCTGCTGGCGCTGTCAAACTGATTCAGAAACTCCTCTTCGTCGAAGCTCAAATCTTCCAGCGAACCGCCCGCCTGGTTATTGTTGCTGTTCATCATTCCGTCCGCACAGCAAGTCCCGGCGGTCTCAAACCCGAATTGTTGGATCACCCACTGCCTCACTTTTTTCACCAAATTTTCCCGATCCGCAGTGATAGTTTCACACTGGCTTTCGCACAACCGCATGCCCACCTCGTTCTTCGCTTGCAGCTCCCGGCAAAATTCGAGGAGGAGCGACAGGTGGGAGGAAGCTGCATTATGTTCTACTTGTTGATCCGTCATTGTGTTGTAATTCATGCTGTTCCGCTTTAGCAAAGTGATGTCGCTCCAGATAGTACTACTAGCTGCGGTCGTCGTGGAACTCGATGATATTGCTATTGGGCTCCTGCCATTTGTCGGCGTAGTGCTCGTGCTAGTGCTCATCTTCTCGTTCTCCAATTCCACCCCTGCTGCTGCTCCTGCATAGTAGTTGTTCTCAGGCCCAGCTCCACGTCCACCCTCGGTGGTCGGCATAATCACCAGTCTATCTTGCAGTTCGAGTTCCTCGAGAGGAGGAGCTGCGGAGTTAGTACTCAGCAGAAGCTCCTGCTCCTGCAACGCAAACTCGTCCAGTTCTTGCGATAACTCGCGCTCTTGTTTCCTCCACTCCTGCCAGTTCCGAAGCCACTCTTCACGGTTCTGCTATGGCGTTCTCAGCGGTTGCATTCTCAACTGTTGCGTGAATTTGTGATGCAAGAATGGCAAAAGTGAAAGGAGGAAGATTGCGCCTTTTGCATTACAGATTTCGGACGGATTGTGGTGCTATTTAGCGCGCCAAGAGGTTGTCATGCGAAGAAGGCTTGATCGTGTGAAGAGTGATAGTGTTTTTGCATGACAAACAATGTAACAGTTGAGAATGTCACGTTTGAGAGTCCCATATCTGCCGCACCGAGGTTTTCAGAATCTGCTCCTTTGCCTGTTTCGTAATCTTCAAGACCTTCTCCTCCGCGGCGGCGCTACGCTGCTTGCACGCCTCCAGAGAAAAACGGTTCTTCATGCGAGCGGACATGATTTATTAGTGTGAAGAAGCAGCTTTTCTTTCTTCTGTCACTGAAACTGTCAGTACCGAAAGAAGAATTTGCTTATGAAAGGAACAAGATGAGGAGTCGCTATTACGACACTGCAAGAAGTAGTGCCTGGCAGCTTCAAAAGCGCATTCTTACCCACTCACGAAAGCAACTCGAACGAGGAGACACGGACGAAAAAAGGTGCCGAAAAAATGGGGTCCGGGTCGCTCAATTTGAAACCACTACACGAGCAAAATTTGTTTTTGGCCCTCAGCAACAGCAGGAACTACTCTCAACAACTTTGTCGACTTCTTGTCGAGGACTTCAAAAAGAAAAAAGTAGGCTCCACTACCAAGAATATGGGTGCTGCATCAAGCGCTGTTTTGGACGAAAAAGTGCTGACCTCTTAGTCCAGCGGGCTCTTGCTGCTCCCCAGGATGATGAACAAAAGGGGCCACAGTGTTTTCCACCAGCTTGTAGAAGTCCCTTCCTGCGGTGAAAAAATCATTCAGAGTGATAGAGATAAGTAACAGTGAAAATCCTTTGCGTGGTTGTAAAGGGTGGTGCAGTGCAGGTGCATGTTCTTTACTTGACTGAGTTATAGATACGAAATAAAAATCCTCGTGCTAGTAGTATAAAAATCATCTCGATAGCGGATTCAGCCTGGATTTCATGGCTTCCCAACCCCCTTTCATCAATGCTTTGTGAATCGCCTCGTCCCGCAAAGTGTCCCTCAATAACTGCCGGAAATTGTCGTTGATCTTTTCATCCTGCCAAATGTCCAGTGCAAAAGCATCGCACTCGTAGTAATTCTCGCAGTCATGCATCACAAATCTGGTTATCACGGTAAATCCGCATTACAAATCGAATTTGTTGTAATGTTGCTGAGCCAATTTGTATTGCAAGCTGTACTAGTACGATACTTATTTTTGCAATGCATACCGTATTTCCTTAATCAGTTGCTTCACCTCTTCAAACGATCCTGCCAACGCTATCATATGTAAAAACGTCCCCACCCAGAGCTGTCTTCATGCAAATGTACAATGACAGGAACATTTGTAATGCGCTTCTCCATGAGAGGCACTTCCATTCGTGTTTTTGCATTTGTAATGCTTTAAACAGCATGAGAGAGTGGCTTTCTAATGCGGCTTTCCTTGCTAGCCAGAACTACACTGCAGATCGAAACTTCTCATGCAGAACTCCCGAAACTTCGGGATTTGTGTTGCAGACTTCCCATCTTGACCATGCTGTGGGGACGTTTTACCATAGGATAAATGCTGCCGCCGCGAAATCCCCGTCGCCAAGTAAGTTTAAAACGTACGTGAAAAACTCGTCGAGCACAATACTGGACTGCTTGTTCTGTGGGTCTTGCGCAGCTAATGTTTGAGATATGCACTGCAAAAGTATCGCACTCGTACTAATCGCACTCATGCAATACAAATTTTTTTCTCAAACCAAATCCGCATCACAAATTTCATTTCTCATGGAGCAAATTTGTCATGCGATTTATACTGTCTATACTAGAAGTACGACGCCTTTGCATTGCATATGAGAAGTTGTACCACTACCATCCGGATTTCTTTCCCCCGCGATCGGTGTGACCGCCGGCGTGGTCGCCGATGCACGCAGGTTGAAACCCTGCCGCAAACCCTCCACGATCGCGATTACCATCCCGCGGGACATCTTGCTGCGCATTATCAACTGTAAAAATGTCTGGGTCTGGAAACTTGTAATGCTGAAAGTGAAAAATGATAGACGCACTGCAATACGCAGCGATGCATGACAAATTTTTTGGCTGCTATGTCTTACGTATTCCGCATGGCAAACTGCGTTTTTGCATGACAGGTAAGAGGTGGGCCTTTTCGTGCCTATGCAACACAGATTCTCGAGTCATGCCAGACAAGCATGACAAACTTGCATTCTTCCAGACCCAGACATTTTTACAATCCATACGCATCTCCGTACTGTTAAATGCCTGCACGAAAACGGACGAAACCTCGCCCGCCAGTGTGAACTCCTTCGGGGGCTTTATCCCAAGGAAAAACGTCCCCAGCCGCCCTATAGCTGTCATGCAAATCTGAATCCTTAAAATGTGGCTTCTCATGCGAAGCGGCGGCCCCATAGAAGCAATTTTTAGTTCCGTTTTGGAATTTGTGATGCTCGATTTAGCACGGCTATATGCTAGATCTGTGACGCTGCTGAACTGCTTTTGCACAGGATTACACTACGAGGCCAGCCTTCATGTCATGCGTAGCTACAACCAAAGCCGGTTGATTTGTCTCGCAGACTTTCCAGCTTCGCTTTGGGGTGGGGACATTTCTGATACACAGGATATCCTTATTGCGGTCATCATTTATCTTCCTGTCTTGCGCTTGCTGCGACGCGGAACCCGAGCCGACTGACGACGAAGATCTCAGCACTTTGTCCGCCCTTTTCGCGAACTCTTTACCTCTTTGTTCATCTTCTTCGCGTCGCGGTAGTGGAGCTGCTGTATCGTCTTTATCAGTGTCAAAGTCTTCGTAGAGAAGTTCGGTCGACGGCAAGGGGGAAAGCGCCCTCGTTCCTTGTTGCTCGTGCATGATTTTGCTCGTCGAAGCGCCGCTGCTATTCGTCTTGTACCCTGTTATCCTGTCCTTCACTGACGGACTGGCCGGGATGCTTTTGGACCCCGGGCGCGACCACTCCTCTGCAACCTCGTCGTCATTCGCCGAGCTGTCCGAGGAGCGTGTGGGGTAGTTCTGCAGCTGGTTAGAAGTATTAGACTGGTCGGGCGGAAGATTTTCATTTTCACCGCCGGCCTGTTCATCCACCTCGTCCGCAAGTAGTGCCGCCCCAAGGCCAGACGAGGAGGAAGACGACGTGCGTAGCAAGCACTTTCCCTTCCACTCATCTGTTTCCATATACCGCAATTTCGCCTCCAGCACCACGCCGACGAAGTAATTCTTCACTCTCTTATGAACTGCAAAAGTATCGTACTCGTTGTATAATAAATGCAATACAAATTTCCTCAGCATGAGGAATAAAATTTGTAAAGCTGATCTACCTCAAGAAAAAGATTTGTAACGCATGATTGCAATACGAGTTTACGATACTTTTGCACAGGATATCTCTCTTCTATCAGCAAGTTCTCCTCCTTGCTGGGCTCTTGGATTTCGCTCCGGATCATCCCAACTAATTCTTTGATAAACTCCTCCGTGCCAAACATGTTTGTGATTGTCGTCGCGAGTCTTCCCTCCGCCGCTTGGGGAAGAATCAAATTCCCCACAGACCGCTGTCTTATCCTGAGTAAAAACGTCCCCACACCAGAGTTGTCATGCAGATTTGCCATGACAGGAACATTTGTGATGCGCAACCCCATAACAGGCATTTTCAATTGTGTTCGGGAACTTGTAATGCTGTAAACAGGATCAGCAGATGGATTTGTGATGCGGCTTTCCTTGCTAACTTGCACTACCTTACGGACCGAAATTTGTCATGCGTGACTCCCAAAACTCCTAGGTTTGTGTTGCAAAGTCCCCATCTTGACTCTGGTGTGGGGACGTTTTTAATCAGGATATGTCTGTCCCCTGATTCTCTCACGTGGTCGTTGGCCTTTTGTATCGCCGTCGGAAAGGCTTTTATCATATCCTGCGCAAAAGCATCGTACTCGTAGTAATCGCAGTCATGCATTACAAATTTCCATCCCAAGGTAAAACAGCATGACAAATTCCATTGTTCATGCTGAGCTAATTTGTATTGCAATAACTACTAGTAGTACCAGTACGATACTTTTGCAGTTCATATATCAAAGCGGACTGCAGCATTGGATTCACTATCAAATGTAAAAGTGTCTGGGTCTGGAAACTTGTGAAGCTGGGTGGCGTCTCATGATGAGGCTACAGATGCTGGCTCAGCATGACAAGTTTCTGACCTCCTAGGTATTGCCTATTCTGCATGACAAACTGCGCTTCCGTATCACAGAAAAGCGGAGCTCTTGGGTAACGTGCGTGACAGATTTAAGAGTCATGCCAGACAAGCATGACAAACATGAATTCTTCCAGACCCAGACATTTTTACAGTTGATATTCACCACCGGGTCGATCATTCTGGAGAAGACCGGGAGGGTAAACTTCGAGAGAAACGGAAATTTGTCAAAGAAAAGTAAGGTGGCGACCGTCAGGAGAAAAAGGGTTAATGTGAAGGTAAACTGCTGAAAAACCGCGCCGAGTTCTATCCAGGAAAAAACACCCACTCCCATCCAATTTGTCATGCAAAGCATGCATAAGTTGCAGTGTTTGTCATGCAAAAAATGGATGGGGATGGGGGTCTTTCCCTGGATAAGTTCCAGTGTAGTACTATCTGCGCCATAATCTCCTGCAGTAGACCTCGTCCCGGAGAGGAGTTCTGCTTGAGATGAAAACAACATCCCGTGGTTTTCACCAGGTGTGCCTGCAGAAGAGGCAAGACTCACGTCGGAGGCCATGATTGTGGACCTGCTTGTATATCAAATGCAAAAGTGTCTGGGTCTGGTTAGAATGCAACTTGTGATGCTGCGTTTGGATTCCAAAAAAATCTGTACTGCATGAGCAGCAAAGGGAATGCGATTTGTGCTACGCGGGGAGTGCATTTGTCATGCGGAGTAGACATCAAGATGCCCTTAAAACGTCTGCGATGCTACGGCATGCATCACAGACGTCATGGCTCACGCAAAACGTGCATCACAAGTCTCAGAATCTTCCAGACCCAGACACTTTTGCAATTCATATGTAGTCAGAAGCTGTGGTCTCTCTACTTCGGCATCGTGGTGTCCATCCTCAGACAGGAGTTAAATTTTACGGTAGTTTAAGTTTTGAAAGATGATACTCCCTATAAAAAGCGAGGGAAAAGAATAGCATTTGCAAGCTGTCGCTTTGAATATATCTGCCAAGCTACCACTGAGCAGGAAGAAACAAAACAAAATAAGTAGGTGGGTCGCCGTCGCGAGTGGTTTAATAGAGAAAACAAGGAAACTTCTGTGCTGACACCGAGACTGCCAACACCGGAATAAACGGGAGATATTTATTCGAAATCATGACGGACTGATAGACTTCTGTTTAATATATAATATCTACGCGCAGGAGGAGGCGGGAACGAATATAGTAAATCTAGCATTGCTTTGCATCGAACTATGTTGTACTGAATAGTTAAGTGCGAAGTACTTCAAGCGGCTTTATTCGAGCAACAAGATCAATAAAATTCTCATGGGAGTGGTCCTGCGAGCCAAAAACTGCAGAGCTTGATACAATGGAAAACATAGGATCAGAATCCGACGGCAGGAAATCCAAATGATCCTGGCGCCTCCTCAACTATCACACGAATCGGATCTCAGTCGCTGTTCAGGAACTCAGGAACGTTTAGAAAAGGAGAAAAATTGAACCGACTGAATGTTGCTGTTGGTATAGTACTCTTCTTGACCTAGGAACACGAACACGGCTCGTCCCCGCAGGCTTTCGCTTTGACTTTGTCGCTACAATAGCGACCCTGAAATTGGCGGACGGCACCATGGCGGGCTTTTCTAAAGTGCCTGCCACTGCCAGGAGGTCCGAATATAATTACACCAGCTTTACTTCGTCACATCACTTTTGAAGAGGCTTCTGCTCTTTGAAATCAAGTTCAAGAGGAAAGACGTGATCAGGCAGGTTTTCATTTTTCTCTGAGAAGGTAGTAGAGAAAGAGATTCAACAATCGGCGGAAAAATTTCTTCCTCCACTGGTCGTGTTTCGTTACCGAAGGACTCATCAAAGTGTTGCCTTCAGCGAGGAAAATGTAGTAAGTACTTACAACTACCCTGTAGCTGCACTATTACGCCGATGAAAGAGGTCCTGCAGGAGCACGTTGTGATCTACTACTGGTCGGGTCGAAGAAGTAGATCAAGCACATTGTGATCTACTCTAGCACATCCGGCACCTTCCCTGATTTCCCCATCTTTTGCTCTGCTTTCTTGGGCGGGAGCTCGAGGCTTTCTTCCATGGATTTCTTGAAATCAAAATCCTCCTCCTCTTCCTCGCCTATTTCCACTTCCACGGACTGAAAATCCTCCCCAACCCCGATCTGCTGCCCCGACATCTGTATCCCGCCGGACTTGTCTCCCGTGTCTTGCGACTCGAGCTGCTGGGAATAGGCCATCTGCACCGATCGCTCGCTCGGACGCCAGAGGTACATGATGACGGTGAGGAGGAAAGCGAAGCAAACGTGGGACAAAACGTCGGTGAAAATGTACCTTTTAACATTAAAGAAGGTTATTTTCGATTTGTCCTGCGGCTCCTCAACAAGAACGGCTAAGTATAAATACGGGGAGAATGATTTTTACTCTTCTCGTGCCCTCCCCGTGGAGGAACACTGAAAGACTACCTAAGACATTCGTAGTCAGCTCCACACAACACAAAGACAAACTTATTCGCTTCTATTTCTAGTACAGTAAGTCGGCTGTACCTGGTCCGCCAATTCTGCGCCAATTCCGTCCGCCTGACCACAATTGTCTCGTACCCAACGAGCGCCATCGCGATGCCGACCACCAGCACCAGTGCGAGCCGCAGATTTTGGTACACTTCTGCCTTCACCATCTGCCGACTGTTTATGCATTGCAAAAATGTCTGGGTCTGGAAGAATGCAGGACTTGTCATGCTTGTTTGGCATGACTCTTAGATCTGTGATGCGTAAGCAGGACCGGGGCCTCTTGCCTGTCATCTTTCTTCTTCTTCTTGGAAACTGTCATGCTATGGCTGCGTATAGTATTGCGCCCACTAAGTATTCACAGACTTGCATCACAAGTTTCCAGACCCAGACATATTTGCAGTTGATACTGTTGTTCAGATACCCAATCGTTTCCTGCAAGGCGTGCAGAATCCACACGTAGATCAGGGAGACGAAAAAGGAACCCGGTGTCTATGCATTGCAAAAACATGGTCTGGGTCTGGAAGACGAGTCCAAGGCTTGTCATGCTAGTCTGGCAGGGCACTGAGCTCTGTATTGCGCGGCCACGAAGAGCTCCGCTTTTCTGTCATGCAAAAATAACTCAGTTTCTCATGCGAAATACGCAACACAAAGCTGCGGAAAAGTCTGTCATGCTTGGCGGTGCACTACAGTCGTGTTCTTACTATTCACTGAGACGCATCACAAGTTTCCAGAACCAGACATATTTGCATGGGGTAGGGTCACGAGTAAAATGATTTTCCACGTATCCTGCACTCCGACAACTCTGTTATCCTGTGCAAAAGTATCGCACTCGTAGTTGTAATCGCAGTCATGCATTACAAATCTCTTTCTTAAACCTAAATCCGCATTACATATTTCGTTTCTCATGCTGAGAGAATTTGTCATGCGATTTCTACTTAGTGCGATGCTTTTGCCATTTATATCTGTCCTGCATCAACAGTGCCATCTGCCGGATCCCGTCGGCGAAAATGAATGCACCGACTAGAAGGAGGACCTGGGTCAAGGTTTAATTTATTTCCTTTCTCTCATTATACAGCTGAAATGTCACTCTATACAAATCTGCTCTGATGCAGGGTTGATGTACCGGAGCACTTCCTGCACTTTATTCAAAGTGGTATCTTCCTAATCCTATATGGCCGAAAGATTGGTTATGCATCACAAACAGTATATATACCTTTGCCGTGATTTTGCCGTCCAATCTTGGCGCCGTTACTCCCAATCCCAAGCAGGCCAGTAACAAAACCCCGTAGCTCAGCCCCTGTTTGGTCACTGTTCCAAAGGAGGCGAGGGCCATCATGGACCACCATCGGTGACCAAGGTAATTCCAGTGGAAGAGCGAGATGTACCTGATAAAATTTGTTGCGTTTTCACGAGGAGAGAAGCTTGTTCTCCACACCATGCATGAAGCGATTGCACGAACGCAAAAGAAGAAATTAATTTGTCCATGCATTTTTACGATTGTTCGAAATCAAAAGTCACTGTTTTCATGCAAACAACTGTCTCAAAAAACCAGTTTATTACCAGCACGCCGCTTCTATCAGACCGGCGATAATGGCCACGGTGATGAAGTGGTGAATTTTGAAGAGCACATCCGACCACTTGTGGCACCAGACGCCCTTATGCACTGCAAAAGTATCGCACTTGTACTACAAGTGCGATACGAAGGGCGAAATGCGGATTTACCTTTAGAAATGAATTTGTAATGCATGATTGCAATCACTACAAGTTGTAGTGATTGCAATCATGCATTACAAATTCATTTCTAAAGGTAAATCCGCATTACAAATTTGGTTTCTCATGCTGAGGGAGTTTGTCATGCATTTATACGAGTACGATACTTTTGCAGTTCATAGCCCCAGACGACCAGCAACCCAAGGTAGAGGAACATCAGGTAGAGGTTATCCCGTGTAAAAATGTCCCCACCCCATGGTCATCAAGCTGGGAATTCTGCTAGACAAATCGACAAGCCTTGGCTGTTGCGCATGACAAGTTTGGGCCCGCAAGGTGCTAGTCGTGTTTAGCTAGCGCAGCAGCTACTTCACAGATCGGGCACATTATGCTGATTGGAGCATCACAAAACTCAAAACACCACTAGAAAATGCTTCTCATGGGTCTCCGCATGAGAAACATTTTGAACATGCAGATTTGCATTACAACTCTGGTGGAAAGAGACGTTTTTACACGGGATAGAGGTAGAAACTCAGTTTCGGCAGTTCCTCCCCGGGCAGATACCCCTTCGACGATATCGTCGAAAGTTCCCCGGAAACAAAAGCCGGCATGGTACTCCCATCCTTCTCGTTGCAGTTAGTCTGCAAAATATAGTACAGCCCCCCGGTGGGCGGTTTGAAGACGGTAAAATCTCGCTGATAGGTCTATAACCCGCTCAGGTGTTACAATCTCAAACGCTGCAATAGACGAGTCTGCGCCTTGTCTTGCATAATGAGCGTGACAGACTCGCAGAGCGTTCCACTTTCTGCAATACAAATTTCGCCAGATAATTGTAGTGCGGGTTGGGACCACTCCAGAACTTGTCATGCGCAATCCTATAGGAGTAGAAACTGGATCATGCACTTCTTGCATCACAGATTTCCATATTCTGTTCCTGTTGTAACGTTTGAAATTGTAACATCTGAGCAAGCCATAAGGTCGAAGCCGTGGACATGTCCCAAACGTGCACATCCTTATCCTGTGCAAAAGTATCGCACTCGTAGTATTAATTGCAATCATGCATTACAAATCTCCTTCCCAAGGTAAAACAGCATGACAATTTTCATTTCTCATGCTGAGTAAATTTGTCATGCGATTTATATAATAGAACTATAGAATTTTTACTCGGATTTTTCGCCCTTATAGATTAGAGGGGCGCCCTTAGAAAATGAATTCTAGAAAAGAAGGCATCTAGAGCGCATTCCCCTGAGCTATTCCTTAGGGGATAGCCCTAGGAGATAGCCCTAGGGGATGGCCTTAGGAAGGTTGACTAGACGGCACACATAGAAACGCTGCAAGCGCAGCCGGTCGGTAAGCAGTTTATTTGCAACATGAGATGTTTCACTCTGCAACGCAGGCCGCAAGGATTTGCGAGGGCAGGCGGCACCCTGCAGCGCAGGTCGCAACTTGCAACGGTAGCCGGACAGGTGTTGCCGACAGCCCTTGCGGCCTGCGCGGCAAGTGGCTGCCCGCGCGGGCGGCGGTGCTTGCGGGTTCCGGCAGCTTGGTTGCCTGGCAAAGACAGGCGAAGTAACGCGCGTCGCAAAAAGAACAAGACCCCGCAGAGTTTCCTACGGGCCCCGAGGCCCAAGGAAATCGAAAAAAGCGGAAAAAACGCCAGGCCGGCTTTTAGCAGGCCTATTCTGGCTTGCTACCCCCAAACACCGGCCCCGTTTTGGGGGGGGTAGGGGGGGGGCGCCAGAACGTAGCAAAACGAAACGGGGGCGGGAGCGCCCCCCGGGCCTCAGGCAAATTAACACCATCCAAAAATCTCTGGGGGTATATCTGGGGATATATCTGGGGAAATATCTGGGGAAATATCTCGGGATATATCTGGGGATATATAAATCTGGGGATATATCTGGGGGTATGTCTGACTGGGGATATGTCTGGGGATATGTCTGGGGATATATCTGGGGAGATATCTGGGGAGATATCTGGGGAGATCTCTGGGGAGATCTCTGGGGACATATCTGGGGAGATAGTATCTGGGGACATATCTGGGGAGAAAAGAAAAGGAGGGCGCCTGCATTCTGAAGAAAGCGAGCGGCACTGGGGGGGACAAAAATCCTGCATGTGGTTGGCCTTCTCGCAGGCGGGAAATAGCACAACAATAGCGCTTCTCTGCTCCGATTTCCCGCCCTTATAGATTCGGCGGCTGGGCTTTCGATAGAAGTTATAGTAAGAGTGGAGGGCGTGACGCTGCGAATTTCTTTGCCTTCTAGAGGCCTCGCTTGGAGGGCTTTGCTAGATCACGGCCTCGGTCGCTGGCTTAGAAAGCGCTGCGGGTGATTCTTTGTAGAAGTCAGACAGCCCAAGAAAGGGGAAGCAGGCCAAGGCCAGCGGCCGGGCTGGGACGGGGCAGAAGCCCAGGAAACGAAGGCGGGCGCGTCCGTTTCTAATGCGGGCCGCTACTAGTGAAGGGCGTCACTAGCAAGCGCGGGCCCGTTTTGTCATGCTACTCGAAACCGCCTAGAGGGCTCCTGCTAGTGGCCGCGTCTCCGCTAGCAGATAAGATCCACAATCGGGCGACTCTGTCGCCGAATTTGTTCCGCTAGCGTTTCGCGATAGTTTTTTGATTTTAGATTTACTAGGCGACCTATCGCCGGCGTCCTGGACGCCGGCGTAGTAGTCTAGTACTAGTACGATACTTTTGCAATTCATAATCCTTGCCCAGATTCAATTTGCCGCCCTCGCAAAACTGCTCGCCCTGGGACAGCTGTGATGGGACGATGAATTTTGGCATGCTAAAACGATAAGGAATCAGTAGTACGACCGCAACGACAGTGAAACAAAATCAAAAATCATTGGTGCATGTCAAGATCAAAATCAAGATACACATAGACAAACGAGGACCCAGACAAGTTTATAAGAAGTACCTTCGCCAACCGCGCATGTGGGACCACCGCTAGCCCCAAGCCCGGCGGTGGGGTTCCCCCGGAGAGTCTTACCGGGCCGACGAGCGAAATTTCCGTCGGGTATTTCGTATTCACGGTGACAAAGTGAACCACTTCCAAGGTTTTCGAGGGTGGAAAGGAGGAAAACCTGTCCAGCCAGGTGCGCTCTGCGTTGGCGACGTCTATTCCCGAGAAAAGTAGGCAAGCAAGCAAAAAGAACGGTGGGACGAATAAGGACGTCGACATCATCTTTTTCGTGGGCGAAACCATGATGATTTATTTCCTTTCGCTTTCTGTTTATTACTGGTCGTGAGCCGCTAAAAATACGCCACTCCACGACTCGTCCTTGTTACAATGGACTGCAAGAAAAATCGGTAGAACAATTGTAGCATCGAGCTCATGGCAATGGTTTGATAAAAGCATGCAGCCGTGTCAGATGGTAATGGTTTGATAAAGATGCCATCGTGTTTAATAATTAAACAGCAGAAAACGGCTGCTGATGCAGGGCGGCGCAGGCCAATTAGGCCACACATCACTTGTGTTGACCGCAAAAGGACGATCAGCAAACCCGCCAAACAGAAGATGAAAACGACGACATCCGAAGACCTCAGGGCAGCTACACCGATTGTGCGAAAAGCTGCCGCACAAGCACTTAACGATCGAGCTCACAGAAGTTCGTGGCAATGAAGAAAACCAAAACGAAAACACGAAAAATGTCTTCAGCGCGACAGTTCTTGCACCTGTTGGAACAAATACCATGATGAAGGATCTACTGCACTGAACAGAAACAACTGCCACATCAGAGTGATGAAATACGGGGAAGAAGAACATCGTCCGCTGTTGTACATTCTGCAAACAACTCACCTATCCGTTCGAAAAAGGACCGAATGATCACACACCCCGGCTTCTAGGTGGCTTACTTACTTAATTGATCGCGTTGTTTATAATCTTGCGTACCTTTGTACTCGACGTCGTGATATTGTTCACAATTCTGTCGCTGTTTCGCATGATCACATGGTTCATTTTTAAAAGTTCAACACGGTCGAGATTTACAGGAACTACTCGATTCGGTATTTCCGGTGTCCTATCCTTTGAAATTTGTATGTAAATCGTATACAAATTGAAATTATCCGGTGTTGCTCTTCCTAGTACCGGCTAGGAACACTTGCTCGCATATCTTTCGACCGCGTCATTTGTAAGCCGTGGACAAATCAGGTTTCGAAAGCCCCCAAGAATCCGACTTATTATGTTCTTGTCGTCGTACGTATCCGTATTATGCATCGCATGAAGTTGTACCACTCTGCCACGTCCTGGCTCAGCTGAAAATTATGCGCTGAAAATTTTGCTAGCGACTACTGGTGCTGTTCCTGTTTGTCCGTCGTAAAGATTAAGTAAAAAAAACCCCTGAAATTATCGCGAGCAGCTTTGCTCGGATCATTTTTTCGTATCGTATGAATCATTGAATGAAATGTAGCATGATAGCCTGTAAGTAGGCTTGTTGATGTAGTTTGTGGTGCTAAGTATACCAAAGCACTATTCAGAGCTAGAGCTTACTACTTGGTGATGTCAAAATGGATTGGGTTTCTTGCAAGCCGACGTCAGTTGTATTTTCGTTTCCCTTTTATTCCTTCCAAGCCGTAGCATATCGCAGGATAGCAGCTCCTTCCAAAAGTCAAGCCAGCTATATTCTAGCGCAAGTACCAGGCTCAAATATCCTCAACAAGAGACGTTTACCATACGCGGACGCGCTTCTTAAGAAAAGTCTCGCGATAACAAAAAACCTGGCTAAACTTCTACTGATGCTAGAAAATGAACTGCAAATGTATGAGAAAGACATAACTAGGTAGAAGTAGGTTAAACCTGCTGCAGTTCCAAGGTGGTTTTGTGGAAAAAAAAGGTTCTTGCTTGGTAGGTTCTTCCATGCCAGATGAACTACCGGAAAAATCACCAGACGTGCGGTTGCTTCTCTCTTGTCTTCTGGAGTGGAGGAAAAAAGGGCTCTAGTACAGCAGCTTGTGCTGCAAAAGGTATAAATCTAAGGAATTAGATAGAATTTTTCGTTGAGGCGAAGGAAAGCCGAGGATCTTCTTACCTTGTCAGCGACTAAGGCTAGTATCCTAACTTTTCCCAAGTACTACTACTAGATGATGTTGATGGGGCAAAAAATACGTCAATGTAAAGAAGAGAAAAAAGGCGGGCGCTTCTAGATTTCTAGCCTAAAAGAAGGGTTGTAAGTACTGAGAACCATCTTCAAGGAGGTAGATATGCTAGCTATGTCGATCTGAATTCAGCTTATTTGGTCGCACTCGTAAAGGATTCCCAAAACAGTGGAGGTTCACCAAGCAGTAGCTTGCGATGCTGTGTAGTAAGATAGGCAAACTGCTTTGATGAAACCCGCTCTACATTACTCGATGACCAAAAAAGGCTAAGGCTCAGCGTCCTTCAATCAATGTATGAAATTGAAATAGTAAGCATGCTGCACGCATGCTCATTTCTGCTTGTAAGACCGCCCAAAGAGCTGCGTTGTTTTGAAACGAAGTATATGAACAATCGCTTCAAGAACAACTTCAAGTCATCGTCTCCAAGGAGCGGTTTAGGTTTTGCATCAGCGGGAGAATGCCATTCAGATTCGAGTCCCGCCCGAGAAAAAGTCGTTCGTTGTATCACGTTTACTTGAATAAATTTGAATAATTCTAGTCGTGTGCGTGTGGTCGAGGACATAATTTCTACTCTACTTATTTTAGACGAAGATCATATATTGCTGCTGCTGCTTATCACATTCCCATCATGCTTCCCAGCATCGGGTTTGCGAACCGCATGGCCCGGACCTCCGGATGAGGGACGTGTTCGAATATGGCGCTCTCAACTGTTACATTCTCAACTGTTACATATATTTGTCATGCAAAAACGCTACTACTCTGAACACTGTCCAGCCTTTTCCGCATGACAACTTCTCGACGCGCTAGATAGTATTACAATCTGCTCCAAACCTGTCATGCAAAAGGCGCAGCGTTTCCCTTTCACTTTTGCCATTCTTGCATTACAAATTTCATGTAACAGTTGAGAATGTAACGTTTGAGAACGCTATATCGAAGGAGACGACTTTGTAGCTCAAATCCCGCAAGTACTCGTTTGATTTCTTGACTTGCTCCGTCTCCTTCTCGATCCACTTCGACCTGTTTTCCTTCCCCACCTTGTACCGGATAAACGCGCCCTTGTTTTTCATTTGGTCGCAGTAGTTCGGCGCGGAAAAGATGGTGCACAGCTTTCCGTTGTGCTCGAGCTCGTACCTGGGGTTGCATTTGTTTATTTCCCAATAAAAAAAAACAGTTATGCATCCATTTTCTTTGTGCGACAACATGAGGCATTAAAAGTCAACATCTTAAATTTCTTATCTATATACCCCTCATCCTTCATTTCGTGACTTCTGACCACCATGCTGAGGTCATTCGTCTTCAGAAAATTGTCCGTTACGTCGTGGCCGAATGCCACTCCTACCCCGCGTTTACTGGGATATCTACCGGGAAGCGGGCCGGGATCCGACCAGAGCATTTCCACTATTCTGCCACTGTCTGGGGGCTCGCCGATTCTGATATAGAAAAGCGTTTTGTCGACTACATGCGGAATTTATTATATATCAGGATCATAACCATAAGCGCGTGCGGTTACAAGTAACTACTTTGAAGATGAAGATGCAGAACCTGTGACGATGGTTGTCTACGATTCAAATTCGTGGCTACTACCATGCGCACACCTTAAGTCCTCGTCAGCAACAGCATAGTCTTCACCTTCAGAGAGTATTCTTATACCTGTCCTCTTTCTCCAGATCTTCGATAGTGACGTTGTCTGCGGAGAACAAGCCGCCATGAACGATGAAGATTTCCTTGTTCAGGACGTGGCAGAGCGGCAAGTAGCAAAACGTCTCGCAGAACAGGTTGTAGAGCTGCACGTCAAATTTGTTTCTGGTTTCCCCCTCAAACCCGTACAGCTTGTTCATGTTCCGCGTCTCGTGGTTGCCGCGGGCCAGGTGAACCTGTGATAATACACATCGCAATATTAGTATGAATTGCATTGCAAATTTCCTCATCATGACGAGAAATGGAATCTGTAATGCTGATTTTAGGAAAAAGATTTGTAATGCACAATTGCAAAAAAAAACAGCTGCTACGCACAAATCTCTTTTACCTTATCCGGGTAGCACAGTTTCCAGGCGAAGAGGGCGAGTATGACTTCTATCGAAAAGGACCCTCGATCCACGAAGTCACCGTTGAAGAGGTACGGGTTGGTTTCTGACGGGAATCCGTTCAGGGAGAAGATGTTCAGCAGATCATAATACTGCCCGTGCACATCCCCACACACCGTGAACTCGTCTTCCGCTTCCAGTTTCTGCACGGTCGTGTGCGTTTTTAGTAATTTCAGCACGTCCAGGACCATTTGGTAGGCGGATTTTTTGTGGATCACCTTCTGTTCCTTCATGTAATCCAGGAACGTTACGACCCAGTCGGAGGTAATTTGGTCCTTGCCCGGGTAGTATCAAATGCAAATATGTTTGGGTCTGGAAGATTGTCATGCTAGTCCGACATGACTCTGCGATCTGTATTGCCTGGCCACAAGCAGCCCCTCTTGTCTGTCATGCAAAAACGCAGTTTCTCATGCGTAATACGCAGCACAGAAGCACGATAATACTTGTCATGCTTGGCGGCGCATTACAGTGCACTTGCTGTTCACTGACTTGCATCACAACTCTCCAGACCCAGACATATTTGCAATGCATAGGTAGATGGGCCCCTTGTAGGTATCCTCGATCTCGAGGTCTGAAGGTAGAAATTTTTGGGTGAGGGTGTGCGTAGAAGCGCACGATTACATTCACATCGTGTACTTACTTATCAGAAGACGAAACGGTAAAATTTATCATTCAGGGTAGCTACTCGCAACCAACTGAGATGTAGCAAAAATCGAGCAATAGCTCTAATGTAAAAAATACTTTGCACGAATTTCTCGCAGAGTTCGCTTATTGGCGCAGTGCCCTCCGTTGCTATCGCTGCCGCGAATTTCTGCTGCTGAACCGCCTTTTCGCACTCCTTCAGTTTCAGTTTTGCGTCCTTGTCGGCCGGGGCAAGTCGGACCAGAGATTTGAAGGCTTTCATTGCGTCCTTGTATTTCAGCAACGCAAATCGCGCACACCCGAGACGGTAATAGGATTTACTGTAGGCCGGGTCGACCTGATAATACGGCGGTTGCGTTTCATATCATACCGCATAGCATCAAGAAGCGTACCTACGACTTAAATTTGTATCGTGTACTCAAGCGCCATTTTTGTTTGGCTTTCAAATCCCTCATGTCGTGCATGTGCTTGTTATGAGAGGACAAAAAACTGGTAATTATACCTCCACCGCCCGTTCCGCGTCGATAATTGCGGACCCGAAATTTTCCATTTTTATGTGACAGAACGCGCGATTGGAGTAACATATGGCCATATCCCGGGCGACCTTCCGCGATGTTTCGTTATCCACGTTTCTTATTTCCGTCACGGTCGTCTTCGGTTTTGTCGACACCACGCCCTCCATCGGCGCGACGCCGTTCGTGTTGGCGCCCGTTGTCGCATTGGCTACTGCTGCAGCAACGGCTGCATGGTCAACGGCGTCATTCGATGTAGCTGGTTCTCCATTTGCAGTAGTTGCAGCTTCTCCATGAAGATCTGCAGCAGTTGTAGTTCCGTCTGTTGTGCTGCATTCTGACACGACGTCAGATTTATTATTTCCGCTGCTCCCTCCTCCCGGACTTATTTCCTCCTCCTCCTCTACGCCCTTTTCTTCTATTGTCGAATGGCACTCGATTACGTCCTCAAAGTGGTCTATCGCGTTGGTATAGTGGGTGGTGGCCTTTTTGTAATCCCCCGCCTTGAAGCTGTCATTTCCGTCCTGTTTCGACCCGAGCGCTTGGTCGATGAGACCCTGCACGTACTTCGCATTGTCGTTGGAGTTCGCGGACTGACCGACCGGAAGTTCCTGCACATCGCAGGGAACGGCCATATTGTCACGACGTTGTGCTGGTCCCAGCTGTCAGACTACACAAAGTCTGCGCTGTGTTGGGCGGTGGGATAAAGATGAAGATGAAGGTCGTGCGACAAAAATTTAACTATAAACGGTGGTCCTTGCTGTATTTCTTGTGCAAGGAAATAAACGACCGCAGGGCGAGGAGACGCGATTTATTATGACCTGCTATTCCTATTTGGCGAAACAATATCTACGGCAAAAATACATGGGAAGAATGTTGAAAAAAATCTCCTACGGGCGGTCAGAAAGGGTTTTTGAAGAATGCGAATAGATACCTCTGTTCCAGCTACCACAGATTTAAAAAGATGCTTGTGTAGTAGATGTGGTAGTTCTCGGAGATCTTTATTGCTCGAACGATCAATGAATAGGACGAATCAGAAATAAGGGTTTTTGAATACCTCTCTTCCACTTCCAGTTACCAGAGGTATAAAAAGCTATTCTTGGTAAGAAATATGGAGATCTTTGTTCATTACTCGATCAAGAATACAGCGGATGAAGATTGTTTGACATGATAAATAAATTACCCTGCAAAATGAAAAGAAAGTTGGTGTGCGAGCAAAACCAAAAGATGAAAAGCTCGAAAAATGTTTATGAAAGAGGAAACGAGGTGCTCAGGGTCAAGAACATCAATCCGAAAAATCTACAAGAAACACACCAAACTCAACATTTTGACAATTTTCGTAAAAGTTGTATAATCCGCCTGATTATAAGAAAGCAGGGGCCCTGAAAGCAAGGTAGGTGAAGTTCTTCATGCGTCGTGATGAAATAGAAATAGAAATTCTTTGAAAATTGAGAAAAACTGCGGATCATGATCGCGAGGAACGAGCCTCTGGTCGATCTGAATTTGATAGAGACGTCGATCTGAAGATATTATGTTTATGGACAGAGCCTCAACATGCGTCGTTCTGTGTGATCGTCATTGGTCAGGTCGCTATGTTCATCAGATTCAGCTTGGTTCTTTCGCGGATGATCTCCGATAGTATTCCTGCCTGGTGGAAAGTAGATCCGCCGTGGTCCTCGTGGAGGTCCTTTGAAAAATAACAGTCGCTGCATCTAGTACAGAGGAGCCGTGAAGATCTCGTACGACGTTCAAATTTTGACGTAGCTTCGTGATGTTACTGCCCTTGTCATGATGAAAATTTGCGGACGAGGAGCTAGTATTTTCATCCTTACAGAGAAAGAACAAGAGGAAAGAGCGCGGCCAATGCTGCGGAAGCTTTTCTTCCATGTGGTCATGAATTATTTTCTTCTTAGTCTAGCTACTACCGTTGCCATTCATTTTCGCATGTTTCTAATCTACTATTGATATCGCCATTCATTCCCATACGATGTTGGAAGACAGCACTTTGCTTATCCTGTCCTTCATCCTTGTCCTTAGTGTGCTTATTTGTTAGCTTATGACTGATAGTTTGCCTTTAGTTACAACCGTGATGAAAAAAAATTTCGTTCTCCGCTTCTTGCAGATATTATCGTATTTCGATTCTCGCTAAATTTTGTGATACTACAACATAAGCAGCTTCGAAGATGAAAAAAGTTCACTAATTTTCTTCAAGTTTGTTTCCTATCCAGATTTTATTTCCGGGCCAAGAGCCTCACGTTTTAAACGTGAGCCTCTGGTCGTGCTGAACAATTGTATACATGATCTACAACTACCTCTTAACGACCTCATTCTTGTCGTGACCATCATCTCAGGCCGACGAACAGACGGTCGCTATATGAAATTCTTGTTATTGTCTCTTGTACAACCACTAATCATATCCTGGTGAAAATAGATGCAGCTTGACCTGCAATTTGTCTACTTGGTGCAACAGGAGCACCAGCGCCACCTCGTAACATGCGCGTGAAAAAGGCTGGGCCGCATGGTTGTATGTTGTCCAGTTGTGGATGTTGTCATGTTGCCTCAACATCGACAACTCCACCTAGTCCCAGATCGACTACGACTATCCCACGACGACCCCTGACGTATCAAATACTCAATCTAGATCGTCCGGAGATACGCCTTCAGGTTCACATAGATCTCCTGCGTTGGACTCCCTCCTTTCGGCACAAAGCCGCCGGTATGAACTGCAAAGGTATCGCACTCGTATAAATGCAATACAAATTTCCTGAGCACGAGAAACAGAATTTGTAATGCGGATTTCCCTTATGAACAAAAATGGTAATGCATGATTGCATGCAATACGAGTACGATACTTTTGCACAGGATAGCCCGACAGCGTGATTTTTGCCCGCGTCCGCGTCCACTGCCCGATGCCGGCCAGCAAGGAAAGTTCCATCTATCGCTGGAAAAAAGTGTTACAGTATACACATTTTTAGTCGATTCAGCAACACAAATTTCTCTGCATGAGAGAGAAAACTTGTAATGCAGAAATCCGGCGGGAAAACACCTATGAAACGAGGCTCCTATGCATATCCGGCATGACAGAGCATGTCTGTCTTGCTTGGCCTGCAACACAATGTGTAACTGTAACACTTTTTTCTCAGGATACCATCCCGCCTATCGTTATTGGCGTGTCCGCGGGACGAAGGTAGGTGAAGGGGATGCGTTTTTCTGGTGTTTTTGGTGAGGATTTTTTTCCTATCCACGCGAAATTTTTGAAATCTTAATCTAGTCGATATGTCAGAAACTACAAAAACAAGATGTTGTATCCATGTAGAAGTACGTTGCCCCGCCGGTATGGTTCCTTTCGCTTCCCCACACTGGAAATACTTCGGATCTTCGATGGTAATTTCGAAATTTCCCGCACTGCACACCTTCGGATCCGTATCCCACAAAAAAACTGTTTCACTGTGATGATTTTGCAAGATCTGCATCACAAGTTTGTTACACATGACTCTGAAAATTTATTGTCATGCACGCTTCCCAAGGGAAAACACGCTGGAAGATCCAATGCCTTGCATGTGTAGCAAGACAAATAGTTTTGTGTTCCATTTTCTGCATCACAGGTTCACAGTGAAACAGTTTTTTCTTGCGATAATCCGGTGCGGTCGTCGGCGTGGCGCAGCACCCAAAAATCAGGTACTGGGTCAATTCCGTCGCAGACTCCTCAAAGGTTAAGTCGAATTGTTTTCTCTGTGGGTTCGGAAAATCCGGCTCGTTCTTTTGTAAATCGGTCTCAGCAAACCGTTATGAATAGCAAATTATATGTCTGGGTCTAATAGAGTGCGCCTGTTTGTCATGCATCTTTCGGATTTAACGCAGATGGTCTGGAATGCACGCAAAAGCATGACAGGTTTCACGCGCACCCCGTGAAGAGGTCTTGGCGCAGCTCTTGCAACACAAATTTTTGCGTGATCGAGATTTCGCATGACAAGTTGCAACCTCTTGTCCTAAACCCAGACTAGTACGCATTTGCAATCCATAGCCGCTGCTGATTCAGCCCGTCTTCTATGAACTGCAAAAGTATCGTACTCGTATAAATGCATTACAAATTTTCTCAGCATGAGAAATAAAATTTGTAATGCCGATTTGCCTTGACAAAGAAATTTGTAATGCAAGACCTGCATTTATACGAGTATGATACTGTTGCACAGCATATCTTCGAACTGGCTCGGCGCCGTCATGTTAGACGGAAGTTGCTCGACGGTTAGGTCTATGCACTGCAAAAATGTCTGGGTCTGGAGAAAACTTGTAATGCTAGCTCTACATTCCTGGGCAATCTGTATTGCATAACCAACAAACGTCGCAGCCTCTTTCGTCATGCAAAAACGCAGTTTGTCATGCGGATTGCCTATGAGAAAGCGTTTTGGGAAGTTGTCATGCTGGGCTGCATTCGGAAGCGTTTTCATCATGGACATTTTAGCATCACAAGTTTCCAGACCCAGGACACATTTGCACTTGATAAGATCGTAAATCACATACATCTGGTAGAGAAAGGAATGCCCGTAAAGGTAGACGTAGGTCGGAAAGTCCTGATTTGGGACGAAGACATACTGCTTTTCCAAAAACAGCTCCGACGGCCGGTGCGGGCGAAATTTCGCTTCTACCTGCAGCTCCGTGTCGGGCGCGTCGTCGGTAGCTGTGTAAAGATTGTTCGTGGAAGATGATGTTGGAAATTGTACTGCACGAAACAGTGACTCCATCTCCACCCATGGTCAGAAAAGCATAATCATAGACCCCGCGCATGTACAAGAGGTAAGCTGCAATGATCAAGAATTGTGCACGTCTCATCAAAAACAGTACCTTTCCCCGCGATCTTTCCCTTCATGGGCTCCAGCATGAATGCCGGCGCGCCTTATTGCAATGAAAAATGCCCCCATCCCGGAATTTGCAAAAGTTTCTCATGCAAAGTTTCCACGTGAAAGCTTTCTGTCTTGCATGAAAGGACTGCGAGCCTTTCTGATGGTACACAATTTAGGTGCACAAGGTGTTTTTTGCATAACAGATCCGGCTGCTGTTGGGCTCCCCTGCAGCACAAATTTGTGCTATTCAGCATGGAAAACGAAAATTTGTGATGCTGATCTATGCAAGACAGGGAATGTTTCCATTGCAGCGGTTTGCAATACAAATGGCGATAAGTTTCTGGGGTGGGGGCATTTTTTATTGTAGTATGCCCTGGAAGTTATCGACGAAGTTTTGTGACACTTTTGAAATGCTGTACTCGAGTAAGAACCTATCGGAAGAAAAAAGTGTTACAGTTACACATTGCGTCGCAGGCCAAGCAAGACAGATAAGCTCTGTCATGCCGGATATGCATGGGAACTCTGTTTCGCAGGTGTTTTCCCGTAGCCGTAGGATTTCTGCATTACAAGTTTTCTCTCCCATCCAGAGAAATTTGTGTTGCTGAATTGACTACAAATGTGTAACTGTAACACTTTTTTCGTGGGATAGAACCTCGTCGTGTTGAAGAAGGAAATTTTCTCCGATACGCAGCTGTCCGTGTGGTGCACCGCGCCAGGGAAGTGGATGTATTGGTTCTTCAAATATAGCCTCGGCGTCACCCCGTACCCCTTCAGCGGTATCCGTATTCTGGTTTCTTCCGTGTGGAGGTTTAAAACAGTCTGGTACAACTGCGCGGCTTGCGGGTTGAACTCAATCACGATCTGAAACTGCTTTTCCTTCTTCACAAACCGATTGTAGCACGCGTTTAGCACGGTAAAACACTGGGTTTCCGGCAGTGGCTTCGTCATGTGGATTTCCTGAATCGCGTCGACTTTACACCGGACTGTAACGTGGATCAGCTTCCGCTCAAAAACGGTGACCTCCCCGAAGTCGCAGTTAGAAGGAGTTGGAACTAGTACTGAAGGCACGGTTGTCGTTTTCACCGCGATGGAAATCTGGTCGCACTTTTCATCCGGCAGATACACCCGCTTCGCGTCCACCTCCACGACTGGCCGGACCAATATCGGGATTATCAAATGTAAATATGTCTGGGTCTGGAAGGTGTCAACTTGTCATGGTAAATCTGAAGCATGCAAAAATCTGTGTTGCATGAGTGCCAAAAGCTGTCCACTTTTGACCAAGTTGGAAGGGTGTTCATCATGCAGGATAGGCATGGCAGAGACCTCGCAGAGTCTGTCATGCTAAGTCACGCATACCAGACCTCATGGGTCATGGAAAATCTGCGCGACAAGTTTACACTCTTCCAGACCCAGACACTTTTACAGTTGATAGGGATCTTCCACAGACAATGCTGGCTGTCTATCATCTCCAACGAAACCGCCTGCTGTTTCTGCAAAATTTCCTGTCCCGTGTCGTTTCTCCGTCTGTGCTCCCATCTTCTCCCCCCGTTGGTGTTGATTAGCTCCACAATTTCCGATTTGGTTTTCTCCCGAATTTCTTGCTCAGTAAACGTGATCTTCTCCTTCGTTTCCTCATCGTGTTGCGTTTTCGAGGGGGAGGTGTCCCCTGCAGCATCTGTTGCCGGTTCGAGATCTGAAATCCCGTTCGCCACCTCATCCTATGCATTGCAAAAGTATCGTACTAGTATAAATCGCATGACAAATTCCCTCCGCATGAGAAATAAAATTTGTAATGCGGATGTACCTTGAGAATGAGATTTGTAATGCATGACTGCGATTACTACGAGTACGATGCTTTTGCACAGGATACTTCCGCCAGCTCGTCCATGTCCTGTTCGCAATTCCGCAGCATCTATGACAGTGCACAACTCCCCTGCTCCCCTCCTTTGTATTGCATGAACGGCAAGACAAGCAAAAGCAACAATGCCGATTTTGCATGACAAATTTACACTGGAGTGTAGTGCTATTTGGGCTTCATCCGGAATTTGTCATGGAAACAGTGCCACAAGGCACAGTGACTGGATTTGGGATTTTGCATGAGAAAGGAGCGGAAGGGAAAGTTGTGCACTATCGTAGCATCTTCGAATAGACCAGGTTCGGTTTGAATTCGATCTGCACCCTCGTCTTCTCCCCCGGTTTTAGTTCCTTGCACACCGGGCAGATCCACAACCGCGCCAAATACTTCGGAGGCTGGAGAACCGATATCTCAAACGATTTGTTTTTCGTCACATTTGTGATCTCAAACGACTCCTTGCCCTGCGCCCCGACCGCGATCGCCGGGAATTTCAAGAAGTTCTGCGACAGATATCCTAAGTAAAAACGCCCCCATCCCAGTGCTGTCCTGCAAATCTGCATGCCAGAAAAGTTTCTCATGCGAAGCCCCATGAGAAGAGTTTTCTAGTCGCGTTGTGAAACGTGTGATGCTATGAGCAGTGCGATAAGCTAGATCTGCGATGCTGCTGAGCAAGCTAATAAGGATGACACTACGGTGGCAGACCTGTCACGCGAAGCCACCAAAGCTGGTGGATTTGCCTAGCAGATTCCCCATCTTGACTCTGGTGTCGTGGAGAGGTTTTTACTCAGGATAACAGTTCTAGTTTCACCATCTTCCCCTGCCCAGTCACCGGAATCTGGAAATTCCTCCCGCACAGATTCCCAGTCTGCGTGTGTATTTGCAGTGCAGTTTTCATCTCCGTTGCACTGGTGGGCTGGTAAATGCAGGTCAGCGGGACGGTTTCGTCTGGAAGTATCTGCGTCAAAAACCCGTTCCCGCCGTGTTCCGTCACTGCGGACTTCTTGCTGTCCACACCATATTTCTCCTCCTGGTCCCGGGCGTCCTTCGCCATATTCGTTATCGACAGGTAGTTCGGGAGATTCGCGAAACAGACGTTCTGCGGCAACTTGCTGTGGTTGGTCAGCTTCAGCGATTTGTAGCGCGCCCCGTCCACGTAGCAGTTTCCGAAGTCCAAATTTTCTGGCTCGAACGTAATATCGTTCTGTGTTAAATTTCCCGTCACACAGGTAAAGACGGGTAACACCTGGTCCGCACCCACCACTTTTACCGGTATTTTGAACGCCGCGGGCCCGTAGATGGTTTCGTCCCGTTTATACTGCGGGTTTCTCTCCAGAAAATCGCGTTGCAAAACCAGTTTAAACTGGATCGCCTGCTCTCCTAAGCCCTGGACAAACGCGGTCGTCGGGTTGATCTGGATTTCGTTCTCCTTCAGCCTCTATGGATTGCAAATATGTCTGGAAGATGTGTGGAAGAGTTGGCAACTTGTCATGCTAAATCTGAATGATGCAAAAATCTCTGTTGCATGAGTGCCAAATGCTGTCGTCCATTTTCGACCAAGTTGGAAGGGGGTTTCTCGTGCAGGATACTAGGCATGACAGACTAGGACCTCGCAGTAGAGTCTGTCACGCTAGGTCCCGCATTCCAGATCTCAATCTCATGGGTCATGGAAAACCTGCATGACAAGTTTACACTCTTCCAGACATCCAGGGTGGATATTTGCAGTTGATAGTCTCGGGTCGTTCAACGCTGGCCGTTCCACTTTTATTTTCATTGCTATGCTGTGCCAAAGTATCGCACTCGTAGTAATTCCAGTCATTAGTTTTTTTCTCAAGGTAAATCCGCATTACAAATTTCATTTCTCATGCTGAAGGAATTTGTCATGCATCTGTACGAGTACGATACTTTTGCAAAGCATAATGGCCACCTGCGACCGGTTCTTCAAAACGATCAATTCTCGAAAGGTGTGCTCGAAGAGAATGGTGTGGAGGTTATAAATCTCTCTTTCCACGTAGATCGGCACATCGACGCACTTGCCGACGCATTTCAGGAAGTAGGTTTTCTTAAACCGCGCGTCCCCGGGCGCCTTGTTGTCCACCTCGATGACAAATTTGCAGGAAAATTCCCCCAAGTGCTTGGGTGTGAAAACGAACTCGATTTTGCTGTTCCCGCGACCGACGAAATTCCCCTCGGCCTGGAACGCGAGCTGCTCCGGGAGTGGGACGGGCTTTCTATTCGTGGAGGAAGAAGATGCAGCGTTCGTTTCCAGTTTAGTCGTCGCAGCAGCTGTCCCCTGCGAGGAGTCTAGTAACCCCTCTGTGCCTCCTTCCTGTGGATTTGTTGTTTCTGCTCCTGCAGCTTCCGTATCGTCTGCTCCCTCTCCCTTCTCTTCCGCCGCACCGTCTGCAGAAGTAGGGTCATCTGCTTGTATTGCTACTTCCGATGCTAAAGGTCCGCAATCGCCACTGCCCTCGCTTTCCTCCTGCGGTCTCAACGTTTTCCACGTATGCAATGCAAATATGTGTTGGTCTGGAAGAGTGCAACGTTCGCCATGCACATTTTGCATGACCCATGATGTCGATTTTGCATGCCGTAGCATCACAGATTTTGTGAGGGCTCGCTCTATGAAGCCCATACCGCATGAGAAATGCTGCCCTCTCCGCGTAGCATAAACTGCACCCCTTTTGGTGTTCGTGCAATACAGATTTCATGTAGGATCCAAAGCCCGCATCACAAGTTTCACTCTTCCAGACCCGGACGACATATTTGCATTTGATACCACGGGTCTGACGTCAGCATTCGGGTCGTCCGAAACTCGTTTTTCCGGTCCAATGGTGGTTTTGGTTCGTCTTCTATCACCGACTCCCGTATGGAATACCCCGCTGGCAAGGCCCCGTAGTTCACGATGGTGACCTGTTTCGTGGACTATCCAAGAAAAAAACTGTGTTAGTGTAGGTCTTTTGGACAAACAGCATCACAAGTTTGCCTGCCATGACAGGAAAAACTTGTCATGCGCAGATAGGACGGGAAAACACGTCGGAAGCGAGCCTATCATGCATGTGGAGCATGACAAGTCTGAACAGTTTTGCATTTTCTGTATCACAGATTTACACTCACGTAGTTTTTTTCTTGGATATGGACCACTCACCGAATACCACAGAACCGAAGTCGATTATCGAAGGAAAAAACTGTTTCACTGTAAAGTTGTAATGCAGAGAATGCATTTCGCAAGTGTTTGTCTTGCTACACATGCAAGACAGTGGGTTTTTACCTGTGTTTTCCCTTAGGAATCTTGCATAGCAAATTTTCTCTGTCGTGTAGAACGAACTTGTGATGCAAAACCTGCAAAATCCTTACAGTGAAACACTTTTTTCTCACGATATCGATAAAGAGATTCTCTGACGGGTCTTTGTAGTAGTTCTCGTCCCTTTGTTCTGGCGGCACCGCCGGATCTGGGGGCATTTTCTTTGGGATCTTCTGTTTTGTCTTCGCGGCTTTTTTCAACAACATTTTCTCCTCCTCGGTTAGTTCCTTGGGCTCTAAATCCAACACCGTTTTCTTCGTCAAACACATCACCGGAAAGTCTATTCTGCCCGTTTTCGCCAAGATTGGGAAGGTGGTCCAAATGTCCTTGTACAATTTCGGGGCGAACTTCAGCTGGATCTTGCAACTCACCCCGGCGGACATCCGGCCCGGAGGGTCGAACCCAATCTCGAAGAAGTCCAGGATTTTGTCGTCCATCGGCAATAGTTTAAACTGATTAAACGTCAAGGAAACATTCGTCACCTCGATCGTCTGCTTATACGTGGAATTCGCTTCGAAGTCCAGGTACTCGATGATTTTTGGACTGGGAATGAAGGCCTGTCCCTTGAACACCTTGCCCCAGCAGTGCTGCTCTTGCCCTAAATCGATGAAGTCGCGGTGTTCCTGCTTCGCCTTCACCAACATTTTCTCTTCCAAAACCGTCCTGCTGGGCATCCACAATTTCCCGTCTTCCCGCTTTTTCGGCGTCGCCTGCCCGTCCGCCGCGGCACTGTCCTCTAGAAACCCCATGCCGTCATCTGCTTTCGCCGCGTCCTCTGCGTCCCAGTAGGCCACCCGCTTTTGCTGAAAAGCCAGTTTCTCCTCGACCGCGGCCAGCTCCTCCGGGGGCGCTTGGCCGAGCCCGAAGCCGCCGGACTTGAAGGCGGTCAGCTTGGACGGGTCGATGCGCATCGCGTTCCCGGTGGCGTCAAGGATCTCTACGTGGTTCAGAGTCATATCCTGAGCAAAAACGTACCCACCCATGCGTCTTCAAGATGGGCAACCTGCTAGACAAATCAGCCAGCTTTGGTTGTTGCGCATGATAAGTTTGGCCTCGTAGTCTTGTAATCCTGTTTAGCTTGTTCAACAGCATCGCAGATCTGGCATATTATGCTGATTGGAGCATTGCAAATTGTTCCAAAGCACGACTATAAAATGCCTCTCATGCGGCTCCAGATGACAAACATTTTGCGCATGCAGATCTGCATGACAACTATGGGGTGAAGACGTTTTTACATACGATACGTCACCTTTTTTATGTAGTCGCGGATCTTCACATCCTTGGACTGCCCGGCCATCTCTCTGTTTTTTTATGTGGAAAAACTACATCAATTAATATGGAATCTGTGATGCATATCCTCGTCGATCAGGATCATTACAAGTTCCCATGAATGATTGCATCACCAAGCTCAAGCCAGCCTAGAAGCGTGACAAAGATTGAAAGGTGGAAGACAAAGATCTTTGACTCTACTTCTGTATTATAATAGTACCGTTGATAAGCGATTTCGAATTCCTTTCGTCTCCTATGTTCCGCTTATGGCGTTCTCAAACGTTACATTCTCAACTAAAACGTGAATTTGTCATGCAAAAGTACCTTAAGCCAACAGATGATCGAGCTGCTTCGCATGACAAATTTCGGAAGGGCTAGACAGCGTCTAAATCTGCATCAAAATTTCAATGTTGCAAAAATGCGCAATCTTCCTCCTTTCACTTTTGCCAGTATTGCATTCCAAATTCATGTAACAGTTGAGAATGTAACGTTTGAGAACGCCATACCGCTTCTTTCTCGCGGGTGATGTTGTCTTCCCTTATCAAGTTGTTCAGCAACTTCTCATTGCGCATCTGTTTCAAGGCCGCGCCCTCGACTTTTTTCTTCGCCAGGTCGTCTTCGACCTGCTCCCTGCGGAACACCTCATACGGGTTCAGACCCTGCTCTAACAGCTCCAGTTCCCGAATTTTCTTCTCCTTGTCCTCCTGCAACTTCTTCTTCGCCTTGCTCTCGTTTGTCGACGCTATTCTGGCGTTGATGTCGTTCAAATTTTTCTTCAGCTGAAGCATCGCTTTTGTTATCCACTGCAAATACTGGGTCTGGAAATAAAGGTCAACTTGTGATGCTTGTCTGACACTTGTGGAAAATGTGTATTGCATAACCGACAAAAACGGTGACTCTTTTGTGATGCACACGCGCAGTTTGTAATGCGCACTCCGCATGGGAAAGCAGCGTTTGGAAAATTTGGCATGCTTCGCTGCACCTACAGGGCCACTCAATCATGATCATTCAGCATGACAGGTTTCCAGACCCAGACATATTTGCAATGCATATTTGTTCGGTGGTTCCATTTCGCGTCGCGGACGGCGGCGGACTGCGCGTTTTTCTGCCTGTTGTATTTTGGTCCCTCTTCTTTGCATGTAGAGTCAGAACTTCTTGATGCGGCTGAATGCAAATCTTGGATCTTCTTCTTCGATGTATCACTTACACTTTGTACGCATGATCACAACTTTTGTTTATGTTTGTACATTCAACTCGAAATTGTTCCAGTAGGTATCTATACTCAGCATCCTTGATCGCCGGCAAGAGAAACTCCTTGTTGTTTTTCTTCCTGTGTTTCTCCGCCTCACTTTGTTTCCTGTCCTTTTCCGCTTTCACAGCCGCCTTCTTTTCCGCTTTCAAATAGTCATCCTGCCACATTTTGTCGATGATCCTGTTCCCCCTGGTGACCTCATCCTGCTGTCTTTTTTGCGCGATAATGCTTTGCTCGTACTCTTTCTGCAGTAACCTTCTCTCGGCGTCGGTGGCTTTGTCCATAAGAGAGTGCAGACGGAGCTCGGCGGCATCACGTTCCTGTTTTGATGTGCCCTTGACTTTGAGTTTTTTAGCAATAGCAGCTTTGACGCAATACAAATCTGCATTCGCATGTAAATGTACCTGCTCTTCCTTCACCGTCATTCTTCCGCTGTCTGCATGACAAACACCATCGCAACGCAGGGTGAAGCCAATTCATAGATTGATACCTTTTCCAAATCTGATAACCGTTGCCAGCTTCTTTCCACCTCGTCTGCCTGCACAAAAATTTCTTCCGCCGATCGCGTGCTCTGCATTTCCTTCAACTTGCTTTCCTCGCTGGCGAGAACTTGCCTCGCATCCTCGGCTGCCTCGCACTGAGAAGTTGTACTTATTTCGTAGAGAAATCAATATCGCACAACAACAAACGCAGCACAGCACGTGCACGTGACATGACTTTTGATATTCCGTAGTTTCATAAAACCTACCACTAGCAGCTGCAGCACGACCAATTTACGCGCATTTTTGATGTTCTTACCTTTTTGTCCCAGTTATTCCTCAAATCGCGAAGTATCTGCACGGTTCGTTTGTCCGCAACGGTTTCCTTCAGCTCCGCATCGTATTGGTGTGTGGAGAAGACGCCCGAGCGACCGTCTTGGTACCTGTTTTGATTTTTTCTCTGCTGCACTCCTTTAATTTGACACGACAAGCAAGTATGGCGACGAACACGACCTGTCTTTCGTTTTTTACTAACTTTAGTTTTACGCATGACAAACACTTGTTGTACCAAGAAATGCGTATTTCATTTCTTACTTCGCCAGCGGATCGCCTTTCGTCGTGTCTATCCAAGAAAAAAACTGTGTTAGTGTAAGTTTCTTTGGTTGACAGCATTACAAATTTGCTCCACATGACAGAGAAAACCTGTCATGCGTGGCTTGTAAGGAAAAACACACATGAGAAGAGGACTTCACGGCTGTCTGGCATCACAGGTGTAACTCTGTTGCATGTTCTGCATTACAGAGTTACACTTACACAGTTTTTTTCTTGCATAGTATCTCTTTCGGGTTTATTTGCGGTTCCCGTTTGCAACGGAATGTCCGGCTCGGCGATGCGACACCTCCTTTCCAGCTCCCGGAGTCTTTCTGCCTGGTTATGCCCTGCTTAGCTGGATGAACAATGCAAAGCCCATCGCCATCCAATTTGTCTTGCATAAAACACACATCATCATCATCATGTAGTGGACACCCGCTCCCAGCGCCACAGGTCAAGGATCCCCTCCCCGGGGGGTGGGCGAGGAAGCACTTTCGGCGACCTCATCATACAAAAAGCCGAGCGCTACCACGACAAGTCGCCCGCTGAAAAATACCAACCAGTCGGGGGCTACCCACCATCGTCTGTCCGCTCCAGCTTTGCATGACAGACCTTCTGCTGATTTCCCTGGGGATTGGAGCGCAACACTAGATTTGTCATGCTAAAGACCCTGTAATTCTAGCATTTGTTATGCTAAACAGCTATGCAGGGCATACTGGTCGAGCGCCGCTTCTTCCTCGGCTTCTTCCACATCGTCATTGATGTCTTCGGACCTGCTTTATCAAGTGATTTATGTTGTTGCATCCATGAGTAGAGGAACTTCAACACACTATACACACGTGTCACATCCGTCCTCCATGAGCATGACAAGTAGCTTCATAAATCCAATTTTGCTTTTATTTGCATCGGTACTTCTTCCATAGTGAGTAGGTACATCGCAGAGCAACGAAAACCTGGGTTCGCTCCCGTCGTCCGAGACATATTCCGCCACTTTTATCCTGTGCAAAAGTATCGCACTGCTCGTATTCTTGCAGTCATGCAATCTTTGTCTTAAGATAAATCCGCATTACAAATTTTATTTCTCATGCTTAGGAAATTTGTAATGCATTTACACGAGTACGATGCTTTTGCAATCCATAACTTCCACCGGTTCCTTATTCGATGTTGTGTGGAACAGCTCCGGCGGCGGGGCCGGCTCCTCTGCGGCCCCCGGATCCTCCTCCTGTTCGGCCATAGTTGGTGGAGAACTTTTGTTGCTCTCACCTGCAGCTCCGTAACCACGACATAATTTTTGCGATCTGATTCTGAGTAGCAAGAATAAAAACCATTTGAGATAAGCCCGCAGAAGTGCTCTCTTCGCGAGCGGTAGGGAAGAGAGGACGACGAGAACACCACACACACACAAAGTATTATACAACAGAGAAAACGGGAAGAAGACGAAAACAAACACCACGGTGAAACAAGATGTGAAACCTGGTCGCTCTTTTTGCGACTCTACTGGAGAGCTCTCCTAACCTCATTTGCATCAACTCGACGGTGCGAAGCAAGATCTTCGTCTCAAGTCTCACTGCCGCACGAATGCCGCTCGTTTGTTGAGTCTCATTCTCAATTCCCTTCCTTTACAATCAATTTACACAACTCTGGTGTTAAAAACGCGTGGTTGAAGACAGAGCGCAGTGAATCAGGAGGAACATGAAGTTGAAGAGAATGACAGCACTCAGTGCCTTTTCGCTTTTCTTCAGCTGAAGATATTATGGGGTCGTCGCAGCAGGACTACTTCTTCACAACAGTGGTCAACAGTAGTTCGTTTCAAGAGACAACATGTGGTCGAGGTTCGTGATATAGTTACAGACAAGATGAAAGTGAAACAAAGAATTCAAATCAATTCGCTGCCTGTTCATCTTCTTCGTCCCCTTCTTCTATCCAAACCCGGTTGGCAGCCCCATGGCTTTCATCATGGCCATTTCCTCGTCCTCTTCCTCCTCGAATTCTTTTTCCATTTTCTCCAGTTCCTCGAGTTCTTTTTTTTTCTCCATTTTCCGCCTTCGCTTCTCCTTCCGATCCGCAATGTTTTTCTCCGCTTCGTTTTCCAGCTTTTCCATCTTGGCAAGAATGTCGTCCGCGGTCAACGGTATGTTGTCCACCTCGTCGCAGATCAGGTTCGGCGTACCATCGGGATTCGACAGCAACCCAAACGCCGCGGGGTTTTTCGCCTTCTTCTGCTGGAGTTTCCGCACCCGCAATTCCTGTATCCTCTCCAACACCTCCTCCAGCGTCGCTGGCCTGGCCGCCATCTTCATACCCATCATTTTCTGGTGCCTAATCCCGTTGATGTGGTCCAGCCACGACTGGGAGTCCTTCACGTGCACCTTACACAGGTGGCAGTAGTACCCCGCCTGGTTGGCCTTGTGCGTCGCGTCGGTTTGCACAATCGTTTTTCCGATGTTCCGCTCCAGTGCGAGCTTCGCGTTTCTTCTCTGTAGGTGGAGACGCTGGGACGCTGGCACGGGTATCGCGAGGTCGTCAACCTCCCCGTCGGACCCCAGCTCCTCCTTCTCCTTCGCAATTTTATCGTACGTCGCCTGGTCCCACGCTCTCCGGCCGAACACGTCCTTCGTTACGCCCTCTTTGATCTCCTCCTTCTGATCCCACGCCTGGGAAATTTCGGTCTTCTGCAGCTCCGGATTCGCATTGTCGAAAAATTTGTTCGCGTTGGCCGACATCTGCGCCGCCTTGCGCTTGCCGGCGGCGGCAAGATCCGCGCTGGAACGCTGGTCCGACATTTTACTGGGGTGGTTCCTTCTTCTACGCGTGTTCTATCAGAAGGACTAGGACATCAGAATAAACAAGGAAATAATTCGCTTGTTCCAGTTGGCGTTTTATTGTTATTCGGGAAGATATTTTTTTTGTGAAAAATAATGCTGGCCCGCCGTCGATGTTGAGAGGAGTTTCGGGACAATTGAAAGGGAAAAACTTCTGCGGGTCGTGTTATTGTTTTACTTTTATTCCTTTTAGTGATTCATCGGGTTTATTCAGTGTGGTCGCTCGTATTACGTACAAATTGGGTGGAAACAACTTTGATTTATCATTCCTCTGGGGCCTGAAGGTAGAAGAACTGAAGTTCTTTCAAATAGCAAGAAATGGTCTTGTTCCTCCTGCACAGCAAAATCCAATTTGATCGACATCTTCGAGAAGAGCGTGTTGTGCTCCCTACTTGTACTTCCCACGAAGATTGTGGCATGATGCTAGCGATTCCAATTTTGATTTGACTTTTTAGCAATGGCACGTTTCTAGTTGTCGACGCAGATATCTAGATCAAGATCTTTCCAGACAGGTGTTTTTTATCATTCGGTTCTAGATTGCTCCTGGAGAACACTGTTTGATGATCTTTCATGATCTTGGGTTCGAACATTTCATCGTGCAGCAGCCCTTTCGTTTTTAGCAGCTGTCCTCGTGTATATGTACTCATTCTCTTACGCTTATAGGTCTGTATTCTCAATAAAAAATAGCAATAGAAAAGTTCATAGCGCGTTTCTATGTGGTGGTCACCATGACGGTATTCTACTAGAAGAAAGTAACGAAGCAGTGATGGAAATCTCGAGAGAGAGTCACAGCCCCCCGCGTCAACGTCTTCATGTTCAATACTCCGCCTGTTTCCAGTATCCCACGAAAAAAGTGTTACAGTTACACATTTGTTGTCAATTCCGCAACACAAATTTTCTCTGCATGAGAGCGAAAACTTGCAATGCAGAAAACATAAGGGAAAACAGGGAGGAAATGAGGATCCAAAGCATTTCCTGCATGAGAAAGGCTGTCTGTGTTGCCGGTCTTGCAACACAAAGTGTAACTGTGACACTTTTTTCTTCCCATATCCAGACTCGAAACTGTGCCTCACTCCCGATCACCGTCTCCAGCACCCGTTCCCACCGGGTCACCGTATCCTGTGCAAAAGTATCGCGCTCGTAGTAATTGCAGTCATGCATTACAAGTTTTTTTCTGCAGCCAAATCCGCATTACAAATTTTATTTCTCATGCTGAGGAAATTTGTAATGCAATTATACGAATACGATGCTTTTCCTTTTGCATTGCATACACCGACTGTTGCAGCGACTTCAAGTTGAACCTTTTCATCACGTTGCTGATCTTCTGCAGACTTGCGATGCTGTTGAACTCCGGAAGAACTAATTTGTGCAGCAAGTCGGGAAGATTGATGAAGTACTGCACTCCCGGGTACCGGAAATAATCCGTGAATTTGAGAATTTCAAACACCGCGTCGACATTGTCTTCCTCGAAGGGGGAGAGATTTTGCTGTAAAAATATTTCGTCAGCAGGAACACGATCTTCATCATGTCGCGCATCGTCCTCGCTGGCGGTTCCCGTCTCCATTGTCCCCCTACCACTGTATGGCCAGAGCTTCAGTCTCCGCGGCGGAGTTTCCCGCAGGAGCTCCGGGTCGCGGAAATTGTACGAGTTATGGTCCTGCGATATGGCGTTCTCAAGCGTTACATTCTCAACTGTCATGCAAAATCAACATCATCATCCACGCTGTGAAGCGACTTCGCATGACAAATTCCCGAAGGGCTACACAGCATTGAAATCTGTACGGAATTTGCAATGCTAGAGGCGCAACCCTCCCCCTTTGACTTTTGCTATTCTTGCATTACAAACTCATGTAACTGTTGAGAGTGTAACGTTTGAGAGTCCCATATGCGAAAACATGTACTTGGAGAGGTGGTTTGGGAGAAACAAGGCGTATCCTGTGCAAAAGTATCGTACTCGTATAAATGCAAGTCTTGCATTACAAATCCTTTTCTTCAGGTGAATCCGCATTACAAACTTTATTTCTCATGCTAAATGGAATTTGTAATGCATTTATACGAGTACGATTATACTTTTGCAATTCATAAGGGGATATTCAAGTGGTAAAACTCGTAGAAAGTGATGAGATCCATGTCGTAGGGAAAGAGAACCACCGACCGGAACTCGGAAAACTCCTCAAAGCTTCTCGTCTGCGTTAGCTGTCGGGTAATGAACTGAAACGGGTAAGTAGACGGAGGTCCTTTCACTCCGGCGGCGGCCTTTGCCGCCTTCATTTTACACGCTTCTTGATTTCTATGAGAGCGCAAACCCCCCCTTGGCCCCCGCAGTTGACGGGCAGAAAGAGGAACAGACGAAAAAGAAACAAAAATGCAGCCCCAGCCTCTGCATGGTAAATGACTAACGCGCAAGAGCAACGCTTCGTTCTTGTTATACTGCTTGGTCTAGAAAAAGTTAAGTACATTTATGTTCCAGTTGCACATCAAATGAGGCGGAGGTCGAGTTGTGCACTCTGATAGCTTTTACTTCCGTACACGTACAACAGGTTGCGGTGCATCACGTCGGCCTGCTGGAGAAGATTGTCCTCCCGGACAATCCGTCTTCCATTTTCCAGCTGCTGTTCCTCACCTTCGCTTGCAGCAGTCGCTGCACCACCTCCCTCTGGCACCACGGTTATTTTCGTGATAGTACCCCCACCTTCTTTGCCGCCGTCTTTCCGCTTCTGCTTCAATTCCCATTTTCGTTTTTTCAAGTATTCCACGTAGCTGCTCGAGTTCTCCTCTTCGCTATGATCGTGCAACTCCTGCTTCGCGTACGCATAATCGCCAAAAGCTGCTTCCGCGCTGTCCTCCGGCTGCTCCTCCTCCACGTCGATTGCGGTTGTAGGAAGTGGCGCTACAACCTGTGCTTGTTTCCCGTTCAAAGTTTTTGCTGGGCCTGCTCCTGAAACCCCACCTCCGGGTTTGTTTTTCACCCCGGCAGCGCAAGCTATTAAATGCAAAAGTGTCTGGGTCTGGAAGTTTGCCAGGTTTGTCATGCAGGTTTTGTATGGCTCATATGGTTTAGAATGCAGCACCCAGCATGACAAATTCTGTAAGACCTCCATCATGCCCGTCCTGCATGAGAAATTCCCTCTCAAGTTGGTAAAAAAGCACGGCTGTTGGTAATCACGCAACACAGATTTTCTGCATGATGCAGATTTGGCATGACAAGTTGTGACCTTCCAGACCACCCAGACATTTTTGCATTTTATACAAGCCCCTTCGAGTCGATTCACCTCCAGCATCTCCGGAAACCTTTCCGGGTGCAAGTCGTACTCCAGTCCGGCCCCCGTATCAAAAGGAAAATAAATCCCCCTCCCCATATCACACTGGAAGTCTGTGATGCGGGATTTGGGTACATAAATCAATTTGTCATGGTAGAATGGAAAAGAAGATGCGGACTGTAGTGCTGGGCGGCGTCGGAAAGCCTTGCATCTTCTTCAACATGACAGGAGGCAGCTGGAAGGGGGAAACAGCATGACAAACTGCCTGCCAACGCGGCCACAACTGCGGCTCTTGGCCTTCTAGCAATACAAGTCGACTTGTGTACTCAAATACAGCATCACAAATTTCGTTTTCGATATGGGGACGGGGGATTTTTCCTTTTGATACCGCGCAAGCCGTAGCCTCCCTTCCGCGGCGAGCTTCTTGTTTTCGTACGGCTTTTTTGCTTGTATCCTGAGGAAAAACGTCCCCACCCCATTACTATCTATTATACAAGATGGGGGTCGGCCGTTTGGCCGACCCTATCTTGATGGACAGTGGGCAGCTAGAAAAAACGGCCCCAAGAAGAGGGCGACTTGACTTCGAAAGAAACATAAACCCCAGCGGCCATATGCCCCCGAGGCCCCGCCAGGGCTTGTCCCCGAGGACAGCGCGAGCGGCTTCCTTTGCGAGCGCAGGCAAGCCCCGAGACCTTTCCCAAGGCCTTTGCTCCGCCTCCCCAAGGCCTATGCCAGACTGCCTCCCTCGCGCAATGCTTTCGATTTCTTTGCATCGGCTAGCAGGCTCGGCCCACCAGGATATGGCGTTCGTAGGCCCTGCAAAGGCTCTGCGCCGCCTCGGCCACAATGTGCGTGGCAGCCGCCTCATTGGCCAGGCAGGAAGGATCTGGCCGCGGCTAGCAGGCTTCCATCCTTCGCCGAAATAAATCTAGCTGCGCCCCCGCACAACCCCGGCCGCGATCAGTGAGCCGGGTGGCTGGCATCAGCTAGCCCGATCGTAGGCTGAGTGGCCTAGCCACTCAGAATCTTGCGCCGGCCTGCCGCCCCTGGCGCCCCCGGGCACCGTCCAGCACCGCTAGGGCCTGGCGCCGGCCGTTTGGCAGGCTTGGCAAGGGCCTGGCGCCATCTGGCTCGGATGCCCATAAATCATGAACTTCTACCGGGAACCAGCTGCCTGGCTGGGTCTCCGTACCTTGTCAAGGCCCGGCGCCGGCCTTGCTTGGAGCGCCCAATCTGGCACCGCCCCGGCATGAATCCGGCGCGCGCGCGCGCCCTTCCGCTAGGACGCCTGTTGGGCGGGCCGGGCATACCACAACAAACGGGCACTGGCGCCGAAAGCCCACCAAGGCCCGGGCGGCCGGCCCGCCCCTCGCTCAAGCAGGCGCGCACACAAACAACGAACTGTAGCCGCGGCCCCGAGCGAGGGGCCCGCGCAGGCAGTCAACAAACGCAAACAAAGAGAAGCGCGCCGCATGTTGCGGCAGGGCCGAGGCGTCCTGGACAGAGAACCGAGGCGGGCCCGCCCCTATTACACCGCAGCCAAGCCGTCGCGCCGGCCCCCGGCCGGCATCCATCTTGTTTGGGGGCAGTCTGCCAGCCAGGCGAAACAGAGGCGGCCTCGCCGATGGGTGCCAAAAACTTAAGCGGCCCAGAGGAACTCGCACAGCGAAAATCTGCGTCACTTGCGCTGGCTCAACTCCGGCCGCGGCCACCTATATTCCAGCGCCGGCCCTGGGCCCTTCTGGTGTGGCTCAGAGCGCTGGGAATGCAGGCGGTTGACCTGGTCATGGGCGCTCAAACCCCCTCGCAGCGCGAGCATCTGCGCCATCTTCTTGCTCCCAAGCCGGCCCGGGCGGCCGCCTACCTTCCGGCACCCGGGGCAGCACTCTTCTGGTGAGGCTCAGGGCGTTGGAATGTTCGCGGCCGGTTGGGCCACGGGAACATCTGCGCCCACGCGCGCCGTGCGCTCAAATGTGGTCCGTCGGCTACCTTCAAGCGCTTTGGGCCGGCCCTTTTGGTCTGGCTCAGGGAACTGGAATTTAAAGAGCTGGCTCGGCCGCGGAAGCTCGCAGGCGAGCCGAGGCACAGAAAACATCTGGGCCACCTTTGCCCAAATCCCGCCGTCTATGCTCCAGCGCGCTCGTTAGCTGGACTCCTCTGGCGCGGCTCAGAGCGCTGGAACGTAGGCGGCTGGTTTGGCCACGGAAACTCGCACAGCGCACATCTTCGCCAATTTTGCTCAAGTGTGTGACTGAGCCCAGGCGGCCACACTCCAGCGCCGCTCGCTGACCCTTCGCTCTGGTGGGTGTGGCTCACGCAAAGCACACATCTGCGCCACTTTTGCTGAAGTGACCGGGCCCGGCCGCCTACACTCCAGCGCCCGTGAAACATCTGGCGTGGCTCAAAGCGGGCGCGGGAATGTAGGCGCCTGGGCTGGCCACGGGCAACTGCAGAGTGAGCGAACACGCGCGCCACCTGCGCTCAAATCCTTCCAGCCGCCTACGTACATTGCAACACCCTGCGCCCTCCTGGCGTGGCTCGGTGCGCTGGAATGAATGCAGGCGGCTGGCTTGGCAGGCCACAGACACTCGCAGAGCGAGCATCCACGTCACCTGCGCTGAAATCCAGACGCCTGCATTCTAACGCCCTGGGCCCTTCTGGTGGGGCTCAGGGCGTTGGGGTGCGTGTAGGCGGCTGGTGTGGCCACGGAAACGCGCAAAGGGGACATCGACGCAACTTGCGCGGAAGTCTAGCCGCCTACATTTCCAGCGCCCTGGACACTTCTGATCCGGCTCAAAGTTGGCGCCGGCCCGGAATCTAGGCGATTGGCCCGGCCTTGGAAGCCAACTCGCGAAGCGAACAGCTGCGCAGCTTCTGCTCAAATCCAGCCGCCCGCCTGCAAGGAAGCGCTCTGGGCCCTGCTGCTGAGGCCAAGGGCGCTGGAATATAGGCGTTTGATTTGGTCACGGAAGCCCGCACGACGAACAACCGTTCGCCGCCTATGCGAAGGCGCTCTGGGCCCTTCATTCTGGCGTGGCCGAGGGCGTTCTTTGGTTGGAATGTAGGCGGCGGCCTTGGGCACGGAAACTCGCACAGAGAGCACCTGCGCCGCTTGCGCCCAAAGCCTGCCAGTCGCCCGAATTCCAGCGCCCTGGGCCCTTCTGCTGTGGTTCAGAGTGAGCGCTGGAACCTACCTAGGTGGCGGGCTTGGCCCTGGACACTCGCAAGGCGAACATCCGTGCTACCCGCGCGCAAAGCCAGCCGCCTCCATTCGTTCCAGCGCTATGGGCCACACCAGAAGGGTCCAGGGTGGTGGAATGTAGGCGTCTGGCTTTGGCAGGGAAGCTCGCAAAGTGCGCGAACATCTGCGCAACTTGCGCCCAAATCCCCCCGGCCAGCTATGTTCCAGCGCCCTTGGTCCTTCATTCTGGCGAGGCCAAGGGCGCTGGAGTGTAGGCGGCTGACTTGGCGGCCTTGGAAACTCGCAAAACAAACAGCCGCGCAGCTTCCGAGCGCGCAAATGAATCCGGCCGCCTACATTCCAGCGCCCGCCCTGGACACTTCTTGCGTGGCTCAGAGCACTGGAATGCAGGCGGCTGCTGCGGCTCAAAGCGCTGGCTTGTATGTAGGTGGTGGGGTTGGCCACGGGAACGCGCGCAGCGAACATCTGCACCGCTTGCGCTCAAATCCAATCGCACACATTCCAGCGCCCACCCTGGGCCTTTGTGGCGACGCTCTTCGCGGTTGCTAGTAGTAGTTGAGCCGACTGGCACCTGCGGGGCGCCCTCTCCTCCGGTTGCGTGGTGCCTCAAGCGTGCCGGAGGGGCAGGAGGCCGAGCCGGCCGCAAAGCGGGCGAAGGAAGCAAGATTGTGGCGGTCGCGAAGCCGAAGGCGGTGCCGAGGCCGAGGCCGAAGAGCAAAGCAAGCCGCGGGCGCGCGGCCCCAAAGAAAGGCGAAAGCCGCCCCGATGGCCAAGGCGTCGGGCAAGCAAGGGGAGGGGCAAAGGCAAAAAGAAGCAAGCGCGCTGGCTGCGTAGCGCGGCGGAAAGAGCCGAAGCGGCCCCGCCCGCCTTGAAACTAAAGTGGCTCCGCCCGCCTTTGGAAGAATACTTACAGACGAAAGAAAAGCGGCGCCGCCCACACCAAAAACTAAACGAAAGAAACCACGGCGGCGCCGCCCGCATTTGAGACCGCAGCGGCCCCACCCGCATACGAAAAAAGCCTTTGGCTTGGCCGAACAGCCCGCCGAAGGGCGTGGCGCCGTGGGTGTTTCGGGTCTTGCCGTTGTTTCGGCCCCACGCAAGTGCGAGACCCGCAGCGCCATCGTAAAGAAAGACGAAGACCCCGCGCGCATTGCAAACCAAACTTCTTGGCGTCGCTCGACGGCGTCCGCCCGAGGCCCCCCGAAGACCCCCCGAAGGCCCCCGGAGACCCCCCGAAGACCCCCCGAAGGCTCCCCGAAGACCCCCCGAAGGCCCCCCGAAGGCCGTCGGTCGGAGGCCCCCCGAAGGCCCCTCGAAGGCCCCCCGAAGGCCCCCCGAAGGGGTGCCTCGAGAAAAACAGAAATTTACTACGCCGAAGGCCCCCCGAAGGGGGTTCAATGAGCCCCCGAAGGGGGGGGTCAACGGAGCCCCTTCGGGGGGCCTTCGAGGGGCCTTCGGGGGGCCTCGAAAAACGAAGGGGTACCCAAGGGGGGTCAATGAACCCCCTTCGGGGGGTCGAAGACCCCTCAACGACCCCTCAATGACCTTAATCATCATTAATAGTAGTTAATTCATGCGAAAGTAGAGGTCTACAGAGGGTCGGAGAGAGGTGGCCGAGAGGTCAAAAAGAGGTGGAAAGAGGTCAAAAAGAGGTCAACAGAGGTGGAGAGGTGGCGCGGGAGGTCATTCGAGAGGGTGGCCGAGAGGTGGCGCGGGTATAGCCCGCTGAAGGACTCACTCTAAAGCTGCGCCTATAAGGACCAGAGGTGGCCGAGAGGGTGCCAAGAGGGTAAGCGAGAGGGGGACAGAGGTGCCGAGAGGTTGCGCGAATAAGGGCGAACCTCTCGCGCACCCTCTCGGCCACCTCTCGGCCACCTCTGTAGACCTCTACCGGCGAGTATAGCCGGACTATTAGCAACACCTCTCGGGAGAGGTGAAAAAGAGGGTCTGCGAGAGGGTGAAAAAGACCCGAATCCGCCCGGCATGCGGCCGATTTTGTTGGGGCTGTTTCATCGCGCAAGCCCACACCTCTCGCGCTACCCTCCCGCGCACCCTCTCGCGCACCCTCTCGCGCCACCCTCTCCCGCTAACCGCTCGCGCCAACAGTTTCCGCTGGGAAGCCAGTTGGGCGGGGGCGGGGGCGGGTGTGTGTGTGATGAACAAAGGGCAGCGCGATCCCAGTTCTGCTTCGGCACCTATGCCGAGGCGGTTTCTCTTCGCCCCCAAGCTTCGCTGCAGCTGCTCCCTGCGCATAGCGCCTGAAGGCGCGGGAAGCGCGCAGGAGGCCCTGCGGGTTGACATAGCGCAAACCGGCGCCAGTAATTCCTTCGATCTGTCACGCTGTCCGTAAAGCCCTGTCGCTGCGGCCCGATCCGCAAATAGTCCTGCCCCGCCCTAACAGCCTTGCGCCCCGGCGTCAGCCGGGGCATGGCTGGTAGTTGTCATGCAAATCTGCATGGTAAAAATGTTTCTCATGCGGAGCCGCATCAGAAGCATTTTCTAGTCGTGTTTTGGAATTTTTGATGCTCGAAGCAGAATGATATGCTAGATCTGTGATGCTGCTGCATCTAGCTAAACAGGATTACACTACGCGGACAAACTTGTCATGCCAAACACCTAAAGCTGGCTGATTTGTCTAGCCAGATTCCCCATCTTGACTCTGATGTGGGAACGTTTTTCCTCGCGATAGCTTGGGGTGGAAAATTGTCGTAGTAGAAGTTCTTGTGCGTGGATGAAGCAGTTGGTCTTGTTGTTGAACCGTCACTTTCAGAAGTCTGACGGGTTTGATGCTGCTCCCTGTTCCCATGACCGTCGTCCCACCGGTCGATGAAATATTGCAGCATGCAAAGCAGCACGGACTCGTGGGGGCGGTCGATCACCAAAATGTCCAATTCCCGCTTGAAGTTCCAGCTCGTGCCGATGGAAATGTAGCTCGCGTGCTGGCGGATGTGGGGGAGCAGGAACCCAGTTTGGTACTCGTACTGCATCTGCAGAAACGGGTCAGACACGGAAAACACGTTGTTTTTGTTCGCGGTCAAAAGCTTCCGGAACTGCCGGAACACGTAGTCCCGCTGCGATTCGCCGACCATGAAAAGCATCGGATGCCCAAAGTAGCCCAAGAGGTTTTTTCTAGTTGTACTTCTCGCCTGTTTGTAGTTCTTTCTGTGTCTGCCCTCATGATTTTCACCCGAGGAGGAAGAGGACCCTTGTTCTTGCTGCTCCTCGTCTCCTGCCGTTTCATCTTCTGGTGGTAAGAGGCACAGAACCAGAATCGTGCAGAGGTAGAAATCGGGCAGCAACCCCGCCTGCACGACGTCCCGGTCCGTCACAATTTCGCGGAATTGCTGCTGGAGTAAGTCAAATTCGATGATCGGGTCCTTGCTGCTCGCTGAGTGCGGGATGTGGTACCTGAACAGCTCTTTCAGTGCCTCCGTAACCGCGTCTACTCCAGGCTGCTGCGGAGTAGTAGTCGTAGCTGCTGGTCCAGAAGAAGTTGCACCAAATTGCTCTCCGTACAGGGTGTTCCACTTGTCGGGGAGCCAGGCGGGATACTGATCCTCGATTAAGTTATCAAATGTAAAAGTGTCTGGGTCTAGAAACTTCTGATGCTGTGTGGCGTATCATGAGGAGGCCACAATTGCTGGCTCAGCATGACAAGTTTCTGAGCTTCTAGGTGTTGCCTATTCTGCATGACAAACTACGTTTCTGCATGACAGAAAAGCGGGGCTCTTTGGTAATGTGCATGACAGATTTAAGAGTCATGCCCGACAAGCATGACAAACTTGCATTCTTCCAGACCCAGACATTTTTACTGTTGATATAAGTTGACGAATTCAAATTTCCCGGTGACAAACGACGCAAAGATGTTGAGCGGCTCCGCGGAGAGGGATGCGTGCACTCCCAGTTCCCACACTCGGAGGGGCCGGTTCGTGATCAGACTGTCGGGATTTTTGATATTGGTCGTATCTACCGTGTTCCTAAAACCTAAACCACCAACAGTCGTGCTTCTCGTCGCTGCCGCTGCACCGACCGCGCCCGGGCCAGCGAAGCCACGCGGAGGGGCGTTGGCGTGGAGATGTTCATGATCTCGCAGGCCATTTTTACCACCAGCACCTGAAGGTCCGGATCCCGATACTAGCATGGATGTTGTAAACAAATCGTCCACATCAACAAACCCTCCCTCCTCATAATCCAACACAATCGGGTTTGCCGGAACCACTACCGGGGGAAGAGACACCGGGTTGCGAAACTCCGCCTGGGTAGTTTCCTTTTGCGAGAGAATGTCCAAGCTCGAGACCGTCCAGTGGCTGGCATCCAGGAAGTCTAGACAGTACCGGGTGTGCTGCCCAAGCAGGAACTTTGCATGTTGCAGCAACCGTTTCCCGTCATCCTGGCCCCATTGGGAATAAGCCAGCACCCAGAGCGCCGAGATCACGCCGTAGAGACAGACCGGCTGCTGCTGCTGCGACTTCTGCGGCAAACTGCTGGGGCTTTCGCTTTCGCTGTCACCGTCCGAAATAGATGCTGATCGTCCCGTTCTTGGCGTTGCTGCTGTATGAGGATCCTCGCCTTTGAAGTCTTTCTGTTGGTTGCAATTGTTCAGGAAATCGCTCATGGCCGGACTGTATCCCATGTAGTTCTCCATTGAAGGTTGCAAGGAGGGGTCTCCGATCCTGCTGACCATCAAGCTGGTCGCCGCCTGTACCAGCTGCTCCGTTGGTTAGATTATCAGAAGCTAACATGTCATCTGGGTCTGAAAACTTGTGGTGCTGGTCGTTGAGAAAGACGAGGACGCCTCAATTGACTGCCAAGCATAACAAGTTTTGGAGTTGCTACAGGTAAAGTGTTGTCTGTTCTGCATGACAAAGAAGTCAGCTTCTGCATGGCAGAAAAGTGGGGCCTTTGGGTCGCGCGCATGACAGACCGAAGAGTCCATGTTAGCCAAGCATGACAAACTCCTTCCCGATCCCGACCCAGGCATATACAGATTTGCATGTGATATCCATGTTGTTGGCCTGCAGCTCCCGCATGAGCAGTCGCCTATCAAATGTAAAAATGTCTGGGTCTGGAAGAATGCAGCTTGTCATGCAAAATCTGAAGCATGCAAGAATCTGTGTTGCATGATTGCCAAAAGTCGTCCAGTTTTGACCAAGTCGGGAGGGAGTTTCTCATGCAGGATAGGCATGAGAGAGATCGCACAGAATCTGTCGTGCTAGGTTCTGCATTCCAGACCTCATGGGTCATGGAAAAGCTGCATGACAAATCGCGCATTCTTCCAGACCCAGACATTTTTACAATCCATATCGCCGGAAGCTGGCCCATTCTGGATCCTGCTCGCAGTTCACCCAATCGGACTTCTTGTGTTGCGGAAACAATACCTGCTGTTCGGAAGCTAGTACCTGTTCTACGCCCCCGTTGCCAAAGTTTAATGATAATATTATGGCGGGATGCAAAAAGAAAAAAACAGTCCTCGGGAAAAGCACTGCACGACACTCCGCCAACACGACCATATTCGTCGTGATTAGAAGACGCAAGTAGAGAAAAAAACCGCGCATACTGCCGATTTTCCTCGTCTAACCTGGGAGTAATAGCAACTTCGTCATCACCATCATCATCTAAACTACCCAGGACAGTGTGCAGCTGGTTAAAAGGGAGGCCTTTTCACGCGGGCGCGTTCAGATTGCGCTCTCAAAGAACTAGCGGCTATTGACAAAACCAACGATCAGCACACCTGGTGTGACAGTAACAAAAAAGTGGAAGGGAAAAAAAAAACACAACCACGACCAAAAGTAAAGATGGCCATGACTCGGATCTTCACAACAATGGCGACTACCAGAACGGGGCCCTTTGTTTTTGGCATGATCAAGGGGTCGTTTGTTCGTACCAGAATCAAGATCGATGCTGATCAATCGATGGATCGGGTCCTCGATCGGCACAACGCCAATCCTCCTCCGACGCGCGGTAGAAACAACTACCATGTGGGCGGACAAAGTATCCAGGAGTAAAACCGGTTGAGGAGCAGTTCCAGCATAATAAATCACAATCACTCAAATTTTTACGACGAACAAAACAACAGAAAGGAAAACAGACGCGCGCCCCCGCACGGGGCGGCAGGGTTGATCATCACTCTCCTCTTTTTAGACATGAAACAAGTTGAGGGCGCAAAACGTGCTGTCATGATCCCAATCGCTTCCGTGCTAGCCACGGATCCGCAGCCAAGGGACTAAATTACATCACTGTCAGTCGAAAGATGAAACAGATGTGAACAAAGTATCCGAGTACAAAATGGCTGCGGGACGAGACGCGCATGTCTTGGAGTTCGGTCTCTTTGAGATGCAGCTGGCGTTTTCAGATTATCGGCGCGCTCAGCTTATCATTTTGTGTGCTTCCTGAAAGTGCAAGTGGCAGCGTCGACCCGGCCGCATCTTCGATGGTTTTACTTATTTCAGTACCTGTTTGTTCAGTCTGTAGTCCCTGCGGCTTTTACCTGTATCGTGCATTTTGCACCTGCAAGCTAGCGGATGCTGCTGCAGGAGCAACGCAGATTTGCACCTGCAATCTAATGCTCATCTCAGGAGCAGGAGCAACGCATACATACAAAATTGCAAACCGGCATGGCCCCTCCATTAACACAAGGGCGCGTCATACCGGTCTTTATTCGTGCCTACATGTACGCAAAGCGGCCTTGCTCATAGATCAAATACAACAAGAAAACGAATAAAATTCACAACACGACTGGCAAATACATTCTTGTCATTGAAATAAAAAAAAACTCCTCCACACTTACGAAGATATGAGTTGACGGAAATGGCCTGGAAAAACCCGGCCAAGAAAGGCGGTTCCATTTTTGAGTATATACTGCTGTAAGTACAAGTCAGTAGTAGTAGTACGAGAACGAGTACCACAACTGCGCGGAAAAAATAAAAAGTGTGACGCTCGTGTCGCAGGAGCAAACTTGCTACGTTAGTGTGCAGAGTCGTACCCGTAATCCTCCGGGGAGAGAAGATAGCTGAAGGCGCGTCAGGTAGGAGCTGGAGGTGGAGCAGTCTTCAGCGCGTTAGCTTGTACGCCGCGCCGGCCAAAGGCTTACCGTGTAACGCGACCCGAGACTTACACAAGAACGGAGGGCGGCCCCTCCCTGTTTTGTAGCTCGGCTCCCACAGCATAGATGAAGAAAAGTTTAATGTGCGTGACCCGCTGCCGGTCCGACAAATTGTTCGTGCCTTTTAAAAATTTCAGCCACGCGCGCTTTTTTTTTGAATTTAAACGGCGTTCGCTTCGGCGGAGTCGGTGTCACCACCCAACACTCACACGAAACCGCGGCCCGCTCTTTCTGAATGCTAGTGCCTAAGCAGCCAAGAGCTTGACCTTGACGCGATCGCGAAGAGGTCAAGACAAAGGTAAATTTTATTTCGCTCTGTAAGTAGACTGAATCGCTCGACTTCTTCGACGGTGCGTTGCGTCTGAGTCCGCGAAGCTGCAACCCAGAAAAAATAAAATACTGAATCGGTAAAAGATAAAGAGGTCAACGCAATGTTGTTCATCTTCATTCTTGAACAAATACAAATCACAAAGGAGCGAATAAATAAATCAATAATCCCATCGGAATGTGTCTACTTCAAGTTCACATTTTAATTTTCCAGTCCTCAAGTTTACATAATTCGGCGGCGCCGATCGGCGTCGACATTCTACTTCCCGGTCGCCTAAGGATTCCGCCCAAACAGGTCGAGCGAAAAAATGTCACAGGCTCAGGCCAAAAGGTAGATAGAAGGCCGGTGCCTTGCTCTCCTTCAAACTTATCCTTTTCGTTTTCACTGCAAAGGCACAGGCAAACATTGTCTTTCACAAATACAAAACAAGGGAGAGAACGCAGAAGGAGTGGCAGAGTGCATTTGTGATTGGGCATCCTTCGGAGCGCATCTGTGTAGCCCTGCCTCGGTTTGGCAGCCACCACACACGGTCAGTGCCGGAGCTCTCAATATCGTCAGACGAAAGCGACGGGTTTGCCCTCAACCATGTGTCTGCATCTTAACAAACTGTCACGAATCTCAAGCATTTCTTCTGTCGCGGCTAACCCTTCACCATGAGAACTGTGACATAATTATTTGCATCCGATAAGTGCCAGCCCTAGCCATGTTCAGCCTCATACCCTCCCGCGCTAGATTCAATCGAGGCTGCACAGAGTCGACGGGTTTTGTGTCACATGCAAATATGAGTGTCTTGGTCTGGAAAGGTGCAAGTTTGTCAACATGCTCGACCAGCATGAGTCTCAAATCTGTCACGCACGTCATCCACAAGGCCCAACGTCTGTCTATCGGGGGTTGGAGTAAGAGGCAACGCCAATCACCACTATAATCCCGCCCCGTCCCCCAACAACTTTCTGTCATGCCAAAACGCGCTTTGTCGTGCTGGATAGTAGCCAACACCTTGCAACTCAGAAACTTGTCATTTTAAACCATCGCTTCGTGTGGCATCGATCATCGTGAACACGACCTCCCACTCTTGGAATCACAAGTAAAGTTCTTCCAGACCCAGACATATTTGCATCCGATACGGGGGCGAGGGAGGAGGCTGAACGGTCGGCGGGATGGGGATGGGGCGGTCCAGTAGAAAAGTGTCACAGTCTCAGACCAGGAGGTAGAAACAAGGCAGGCGCTTTCATCTTCATCCTGCTCGCTCGCGTTTTCAACAATGCAGCCCACGCACTTCATACATAAAATATGAGCAGAGAACGCAGAAGGGGTGGCTCAGTGCGTTTCTGCTGAGGCACACTCAGGAGCGCATCTGTGGAGCCCTGCCCCGGTTTGGCAGCCGCTACGTACGGCGAGTGCCAGGACTCTCAATATTGTCACGCGCCAAGCGAATAATTTGTCCTCAGTCATGTCGTGCATCTGAACAGCAACACACGAGGACACCAAACTCAAGTATTCGTTGCCCTGGCGCGGCAAGGAAAAATAGCACAGGCCCGGGCCAAGAGGTAGAGGATACGTAGCCGCAGCTCTATTTTCAAAGGGCTGCGAGGTGAACAAAAGTTTCGCTCACCTCAAACTCCTCCTTTGCGCTTAAAAAAAAAGAAGAGGCGCACAAAGTCAAGAAATAAGACTGAGAAAGTGCATCGCTTCTTGTGGTCGCGCCTCCTCAAAACAGCACGAGCTACACAGCTCCTCCAGGGTTCTATAGCCTCTAGTGAGGCCACCCGTAATGGCCTTGAATATTGTCACAGAAGATGCGATTTGTTCTCAGCAACTTTTCTGTTGCGTATTAGTTTTTCCTGGCACTACCTCTTCCCTGTGAGAGTTGTGACACATTCACTTGCGCCCGATAAGCAACACGACCACGATGAGCAGCTTCCGCTTTCCGTGGATAAAAATGCTTCTTTCCACCTACTGGCGCTTCATGCCAGATGCCGGCTGGAGGTTGCTGGCCATGAGCAGGCCGACTGCATCATTCTGAAAATGGTACCCGCCACAGGTTCAAGCGGTGGGGAACCCTCTGCCTGGTGGAGCCGAAAGCCCGCGGCTTCTCATTCAAGTGCGCAAACGCAACATTCTGTGTACTCCTTATTACGACACCGAGCATGAGTTGCGCTTCACATTGGCCCGATACTTAAACTTTTTATTTTTGCGTGCGCATAGATAACTGTTACCTGACTGCAAAATGTGCTCCTCCCGCATTGGATGCGGACACTCTACCACTTCGCGAGATCATTATACAACCAGGACATGGGACCAGTTGAACCTTGGGAAAGAAAAATAACTAGTGCTGCAAAGGATATTAAGGGCGCCCGCTGCTGGAGAATAGGTTGTACTGGTCGGGCAGGAGCAGCTGCTGGTGCAATCACTTGTTTGACAACCGGTTGCGAATTCGAATAAAGATATCCAACAAGGTGAAGGTTGGGCTGTGTGCATCATCAGAAAACTATCTTCACCGGATCGCCAGACGGCAATGCAGCTGGTACTAGTGGCGGCACCAGACCCAGAGCCAGACATAATGATAATCTACATCATATAATAACAAGGCGCCTTGCTTCATTACTTTCAGCTTTTTGCAATATTAGCACGTCCAAAATTTCTTTTTTCATGAAAACCAGTGCTGGGCCTTGACTAGCACAAGTGGGTAACGCGCCTGCAACAGGCCCGGCAGTGGCAACAGAACTACTAAGTACAGAAAGAATCTACTACATTAGAGTGTGCTTCGTACCATGCTAAGACTGAACAGGTGGATATGCTTATACTTGTAAGAGACGGCGGCCTGAGAAAAAAAAGCCGCTTTGGTGGTGTTCACTAGTGCGTCGATCCGTGGTACCCGGAGGGAGGGGAGGCGAAGAAAGTTTTCAAAAGGATATCCAATGTTTAGAGAATATGTATTTCGTTCTTTTCCGGTGCAAGTCTGGTTCCGGAACATTGCCGGTCCGATACCCAAACATCTCAATTGTTTTGTCGGGTTCCGTGCATCATCAGAAAAATACCCCTCACCGGATGGCCAAATGGCAACCCAGCTGGTCGCGATAGCATCAGAAGCAGCTAACTACAGAAAATCATATACAGGCGCGCTTTGCCTTAGCTTTTGGCTTTACCATGTGGAAAAAATACGTTTTCGGAAAATCCAGCGCTGTGACATGAAACGACGGGGGTCGGGTAACTGCTTTGATTTTTCTCGACTGCAGCAGGCGCTCCGTGAGCTTGAATTGTAGGGCGACACAGCTGGACATGCTCCTTTCCTTCTAGTTGCATTTGTACGAGAGGGCGGCCTACAAAAAAGTTAAAAACCGTTTTTTTGATCTTCAATCCCACCCGTAGCACCGGGAGAGGGGGCCAAGAAAGTTTTCAACAGGATACCGGGTCATTTTTGAAATAATATTCCCCTGTGTCCTTCGCAGCCTGAAAAGTCGCATCGGCTGTGCCGCCCCCCCACTGGGCGGGGGACGCCCTCCCACTTGCTTCCAGAAAAGCACCAGCCGATTCCTCGTCCTTCGCTCCCGCAGCCAAGGCCGCCGCATTTTCCAACTGTTCCAGAACGACCGGCTCGGTCTTCCCCGAAAAATCCGCCGTAGCGCCGGCAACGGCAACCAGGAAAAACTTCACCGAGCGCATTACAATGAAAAATGCCCCCACCCCCAAAGTTGCAATAATTTGTGATGCAAAGTTTCCAAATGAAAAATTTTTGTCATGCATGAAAGGACTATGAATCTTTCTGATGCAGAGTCTAGGCGTATATGTATATCGCATTGCTTGCATGACGAGCGCCGCTTTTGCTGGGATCTTGCGCAATACAAATTTTTCCTATTCACGACCGGAAATCTGTGATGCTGATAGATGCAAGAGGGCGAATTTTTCATTTGCAAAGGTTTGCATTCGGGGGTGGCGGTGGGGGCATTTTTCATTGTAATAGAGCGGTAGAGCATCTTGCCCGTTGCCGTCCTCGTCGACGTGGTGGCGCAACACTCCGTTCTTTGGTACAACAAGGTGTTGTAGTGGTTGTAGTTCCTCCTGTTGTAGAGATTGACATTGATAGTAGCATCTTCTTCTTCACAACAAGAAATAATAAAAAACGCAGGCAGACGCAGAACTTCAAGGCCTTGCAAAAATCGGGATCCCGAACCTGGCTGAGCAGGAAGCGCAAGGGGAAATAAAAGAAAAAAGAGAATAGTCAAGTACTAGGCATTCGCATTTTTTCCTGTTGTAGTTCTAGCTGCATCAACCAAGAAGAGTTCAGTTGTTAAGTACCAGCGCCAGGAGGCGATCAAATTTCGCCGGAAAGGTAGTCACGCCGTCTGGCACAAGGTGTAGTAGACGTGATTCCTGTTGTAGAGATAGCATGAGCATCACGAACAGTAAGAAATATTAACGCAGCCAGAACTTAGAGGTCTCGCGAGAAACCGGCGAGACCAACCCGCAGCGAGCAAGGAAGCGGAAAATGAAATGCAAAAGGAAAAGAAAAATCAGGATAGGTATTATCAAGTAGGCACTTCCTGTTGTAGCTTCATCAACTAAGAGTGCTTACTTCCGTACCAGTGCCAAGAGGCAGTGAAATATGCCCGTAAAATAGTAATACTTAGTTACCGAGCGATTTATTTTTTGCAGCGCCGCGTGCGCGTGCCTTGCTTTCCCACCTTCTTCTTGCACAGGAAATAGAACCACGTGTGGTGCGCTGTTTGGTTGTTTCGTGAGCTCTGCTTTCGTGATTTTTTTTCCGATGATGTTCTTGTTGTTCCTTTCTTCACGACGTCTTTGCGTGGTGGTGTCGTGATACTGGTGGAAGTGAAGGCTCAACCAGTAGTACGCAGCGTCGTTGCGAAAAGCGGATTTTTTTTGTAGACGTAGAATGCAAGTTTCATTTATCAGTGTGTTACTTATATAAAGAAATAAAGCGCTCCTCCTAGGCGTTGAATGACAATTGGTAGAAAGTAGCTGTCGCGGTGTCTTAGCTGTTGTGTCTTGTGCGTGTTTATTGCACTGGGCACTGTTAAGACTGCACAGGGAGAAACGGAAAGATGGCTACTGTTATTGAGACTGACCTTCAGATGGCAGCTCCAGCGATGTGTAAAATTCAAATTTATCCCGATTTCGTTCTCCAAGACGAGCTGCACCGAGACATCATTCGGTGCTCGATATCGATTGAATTTGAAAGAGTACAAAATACAGGAGAGCACGGACACTGGAGATTACGGACACGGGAGTAATAGAACCTCCAGAACCAGGGATCCTGGTGGTCACCGAACCACCAGTACAAGAGCATCCGATAATACAAGCAGGCACGACCGAGGAAGGCGCATACGCAACCACGTCTTCAAAAGACAATTCAACCGAGACAAAAGCTAGTCACGGCGCGCGAAACCGATAATAGAATGTGTTCTTGTTGTAAGTCAGCCGATTCTGCATTCAAGCTTTGTTTGCGAGGTCAAACCAGTAGAGAAGACCGAGTGATCTTTTCTCCACCTATACGGCAAGTGCATCATTGAGTTCGCGTTATTTTTTGGTTCGTTTATTCTTGAAGCAAAATTATATCATGTTGAGTGTTTCTCTTTTTCTTTGCATTGTACGCACCTCAAAGAGCCGCACTTTTACTTTACTTATACTTGTTGGTGCGCAATTCAAGTAGAGAGTTCTTTTCGGCCAGATAGAAAAAACGAGTTGCGAGATTGCGTAAGTGATATACTGAACGGCATAATTCCTTACGTACTGATAGATAAGGTCGAACAAGATAAAAGACTTTGGCTTCAACTTCTACAAAGTCGACTTCATCAATCGTGGGGAAAAAATGAACAGAATTGTAGTACTACAAACATTTATCTTTTGTAAGAGAGTGAAAAAGTGAATCAAAATCAATCGGGTGCTCGCTTCTTTTAGGCGGGCGAGTAGCTGTTTAAACGTACTACTACTTGAATCAAAATCAATAATGTGGTGAAATGCATGTAAACTGGGATAAAACTCTTTTGCAGAACTCCTCTGTTTCTCTGTACTGGAAAAACATCGGCAAAAAACAAAATTTTTCACAACCTACACGTTGAGACGACACTTCGCTTCACGTGTAAGAACAACAACAAGCAGCGGAGACAGAAAGACACAAACCACTACCACCCGCAGCGAAACAGTATCAAAAAGAACCAGTTCGTTTTGTCCTGCTGTTCTTCCCGCCGTCACTGCATGTACCTCAGGCCATCATCACCGCGTCGGCTGGCGTTGGTCCCCTGGCAAGGGAGCCAAAACGAGTCCGTGCAGAAGGTTCTTCTTCAGGTCCGGTGTTCATCTTCACGCGGCGATCATCATGGCCAAGTCCCAGGTTCGTCGGCGCGTGGTCGTCAGGGTCAGCATCAGGTCCGGGTCCATTGTTCGTCGTCGCGTCATCACCACGACCAGATCCGCTTCCGTCGGGACGAAGAGGCTCATCTGGTTGACCAAAAGGTGTCCCGTCCGTTTGGAGGAAAGCGGAGGAAGTCGGAGGATCGAGGATTTTTTCATCCTCGTCCCGTAGTTCTTCTTCCTGTTCGGCGGGCACCACGCCTGGGTAATCTTCATCAAGGAACTTCGCAGGTTCGACCGGAAGGAAGCCTTCTTGTTCGGCCAGTTCGGTGTTCATCGCCCGGTCTTGTTCATCCTCCGGACGAGCAGCTGCGGGCAGGGAGGAAGATGGACCACCGGCAAGAGTGTCCGCGGCAGGGGCGAAAGCGTCTTGGAGGAAGGAGTTGGCCAAGTCTGGACGACGGAGTTCTTGTCGCGAAGGAACTTGAAGACGTTTCGGATTGGGTAACTGCGCCGCCGGGGGCTGCCTTTTAGGTGGAAGTGCAGGTGCATGAGAATTCGGAGGCGTTACTGTCACGGTGCTGCATCCTCAGAAAAAGACCCTTGCCACAAGGCCAAACAGTAACAAACGAAGCTAGCCCGGGTACCTAGCTTTGATTACCAGATCATTTTCAGTGCATTGGTGATTCGCACAGGTCTTTGGAGGTCAAGGGCTGCAAAAAAGCTACTTGCTCGAAAACGCTAAAAACGCGAAAAAATGGGTCACTGTGTCGACATGACCACCTGAATACGAAGACCATGCTATGTGCATGTGATACTGGAGTTTTTCTTTTTCTTTTTTAAAAGCATAATACTATGAATCATGCTGCACACCCAACATACTATTTGCTCGAGGAGCTTCGCTCTTTGACCCAGGGTCAGAGTCGACGGAAGTTTTCCTCACGATACAGGTGGCGGCTCCGTGTCCCACAAGAGATGGAAAGAAATCTGGCGCTTTCGCTTGCGACCGTTGTGGTGTCCGCCAAACCTTTCGGCGCCAGGCCCCTCAGGGATCTGACTGTCGATGGCAGCGATGTACCCGGTGCCCACAACTACAGTCGCGCCCCCGCGACCTCCTTGAGGGCCAGTGGTAGCAGCAGGACGCGAAAGCCATGGCTTCGCCACGGCTTTGATCCTGAACATCGGAATGTCCTTTCGTCGCCGACAATGGGACACCGCCACGCGACACGCAACCCCAGACTTCATGAGGTCCATGACGATGCTGTGGTCCACATATGACCTGCAAAAATGTCGCACTCATGAACATTTCAGCAGCATTGAGTACGCGTTGGAGGGAAGAATGAGTCTCATGCTTTTAGTACAAACCTTCACGACTCTACGAGCGACACAACAGATTCATTTTCCTGCACACACAAAGTGCCACGGATCTGAAAAATTTCGTTCCTGTATCTTCGACACATTGGTGCATAGTCCACTCAAACAAAAAAAAAGTTGGATGGGTCTGATTCGGCCACTACATCACAGACATCAATCATCATGCAACTGCAACACATTTGCGCTTGATATGATTTCAGCAACTGCCATGCCGGTAGGACGATCAGCTCTTGTGGTGCCGGCGTGAGACGTAGTGAAGTCTCGAATTTGTAGCGTCTTCTTGTCCTCTTCTTCCTGCGGTTCGTCGTCGCCAAGAATGCTTCTGCTCTCGTAAAAATACAAGAAATTGCCACCGAGCCAGTCTGGATGCGGGGCCTCGCCCGTGAGCAGTGACGGTGTGTCTGACGATCCGTCCATCTTGGCAGTCACTGTCAGAGCGCCATTCGTAAAGATTCGATTTGAGACCATCTGCTTCTTCTCGTTTGGTGATAGTGGGCGCAAAAAGTTTCCGCCGTCCCCATTGTCGTTCCGCCAATGGTTCTGCACGTGGTTAGAAGTGTATGCGCCTTTCTTTCCGTCAAGGGTTTCCACGTCCGGCAGATGTACCAGAATTGGGTCCTGTCCTTCTTCAAGAACCTGTGGTGCAAGTTGGCATTGCGTTGTAAGTCTTTCTCAAGCTACTTTCCTATTCAAACCTCATGGATGAACTGTTTTTTTTTTGACTTTGAGGTGTTACCAGGAAGGACAGGAATTAGGTGGTGATTGGCGGAGCCTCTTACCTCAACCCTCGATAGACAGGCGTGGGTTTACATCTTTTCACGACCTGGCACACGACTAGGAGGAGGCAGTGTGGACGCCTATCTGCCCAGAAAGGTAGACTCGAAACTGAAGCCACGCACTCGCAACTCCAACCTCGGTCGTAAAATAGTGTGTTTGCGTTTCGCGTCGGATAGAACCATTTTTCAGCAGACAACAGAACTGAGAGACTTGGGGACCCTTGGTAAAACTAAAAGAGGTTGGAGATCGTTGTGTATTTCGAAAAAACTAGAAAACTTTTTTTACTATAAAACTTGGGAATCGCTGTACTGGATTAAAACTTGGAGCTTAGTTTAGTAGTAAAGTTCCAGACTTTTGCAGATATTTTCCTTAAAATCTTAACCATCATTCGCACGGAATGTCCGCCATAGCATGGGGACAAGGCGCGCTGTTTGGACTAACAAAGATACAGAAAAACGAAGCACAGCATCGGCGTTTGGTGTGCTGTTTTTGAGTAAAAGTTCTGTCGTCGAAAAATAGAGTCGCAAACCCGCCGACCTGAGTACGCGTCTTTTACATCGCCGCCCATACAAAAACGTCGGAACTTCCGATTTAGCTCGGCGGAACTAGGACAGCAAATAGAACTCTCTCAAAAGCTTGAAGCACGTAAATACTGCAAAGAGAGCACGGTCGGTCGCTCGGACTGGCTCACTGCACAGTGCCGTCCTTCGAGACCGACGTTATAACGTGTCGGTCGAGATGGAAACGGAAAAAGTAAAAAAAAGAAAGACAAGCTGGAACGCGCTTGGCTTTTATATAGAAGAGAGTTTTTTTTTTTTTGTGTTTTTTGTATACAGTACGACCGGAGCTAATCTAGACTACATCGCTTTCAGACCACATTCACTACGCCTTCTTTCTTCTTTCTCGGTTTCCGTCGTGATTTCGTAGCTGCGATAAACGGGGCCGGGTCAACTAGGATCTGCGTCTTGAGGGCTATCGCTGCTTCGAGGGCCAGCGTAGCACTATCGCCATAGGCGGCAGGGTCGATGGTGCGCGACACGGTGTGCTTCGAGCCGTCTGGCAATCTCGCATTCGTAACCTTGACTTGTAGCACTCCACCCCATCGTCGATCTGCGGCTCCAGGTATCTTCGTGTTCCACGTTATGCCGGTCGGCGGGCGGAGAAACGCGTCGCCATCTGGCTCTAAGAACTGTTTCTGTAACAACTCACCGACGTCAAGCACCCGATCGCTGTCGTTGTCAGTAGCAGGGGCCTGCGACGGGATGAGCTTCTTCGACCTCTCTGGTGCGGCGTCGGGGTCGAGGCGGTGCACGGGCTTAGTGCTCGACGTCTTCTCCTTGGTCTTGACGGGCGGTGGGGGAATGAGGGCTGCAAACTCAGCTTCTGCGCTCTTCTGGACCCGATAACGCAAATGACGGAAGGCGGTCTGGAGGGAAGCAAACGATCTCTGTGCAGCAGGAGGAGTAGTAATCTTAAGCGTGGCCGGGTCGTCGCACTCACTAGCTTCATCCTCGTTGGTGCTAGAGTTCTCGAGCAACTGTTTCGTATTCCTTACACTGAACTTATACCTGATGCTCTCAAACCACCGAGCGTCCTGCTGGGCAGGTCCAAGTTCCTGAAAATAAAGCCTTGTGCTGCATCTGCATGTAAAGAAGAGAGCTGAGCAAGACTATATACAAATACCGTCCAAAAGTCGATTCCGGCACTGACACCTTGCCAACAGCCATGCAGTGACCACAGCGGTTTGCTCATAATTCTACAACACGTTGCTGGTTCATTCTGTGCCATGATGTAAGTATGAATCTTTGAAAATTATGAAACAGTGGTCGTGCTTTGCTGTAACCCTAACTTAGTCGTATGCCGCTGGAAAATAACTCAAATATATATAAATATTTTATAGGATTGAGTAGAACTCATACCAGGTTGACTTCCATTTTTGGCATCTTTTCCGCCACGTAACTGGAAACTAATTGATCGAATTCCCGCTTGTTCTGTTCGTCATCGTCCCCGACCCGAAGGAAGGCCAGTTGACGTTGAAGCTCCACTCGCTCTTCCACACTCCCCCGAGACTTTTTTCCATCGCGATCGATCGCCACCTCCTTGTTCCACAGCTCCACGGCTCTTTCGACGTCGGCCTGCAGCTCCGTTTTCTCCTGGTCTTGCATCTATACATGGGCACTAAGTAAAGATCGTGTACATAGACGACATGGCACTAAGGTCACACCTGTCCTAGTAGCTGGTGGTGACGAGTCGTGAAGAGACAATGTATATAGAAAAACTACTACTCGTTTTGGTTGGAAACCTAGTTTTGCGCTTGTTTTCTAGTACGAAGTACACGATAATTTATTTTCTGCACATGATAGCATCTCTCCTTCGGGGAATTCAAACCCGTTGTTTTCCCGCTCCCGTCTTGCCATTTCTTCATTCAGCAACTGTTCCTTTTCCTTATCTGGATAGGGCCAGTGAATCGCGGATCTGACGGCAGCGCGTTCGGCGGGCGGCAGCGCGCCGTACAATTCCGCATATCAAACACGAAACTTGTATGCTAAGCCTTGGCGTTTGGGTTTGCGGGACCCTTTAATTATCGTAATTCTCTCATTAATTTAGTAGTGATTTGAGTACAAGGGTGCTCGGAAAAACGAAAACTCAAATCGCCCATAAAAAAAGAGGACTCAAGGGCGTTCTGCAAGTTTATCGTTTTTCCAGGCCCAGGCCAAGCCCCAGACGACATACTTATTTGCACTACATAGCTTCCCGATGTCTTGTTGAGAGGTCGTGGCTTGGACTTGGGGTCGCGGTCGCGCGCTCGTTTGCATTGATACCCTGGGAAAGTTTTTTTGCTCCCCGAACCCGATCCGAGATACTCAAGCGCATGCGACCAGTGTAGTTGAAGATTGCGATCAGGCACTACTCCTACTTCAATTTTTTCAATTTGATTCGCGATACAAGAAACTGATAAATTCCGTTTCGGCCAGCTGTTGATGGCCCACAACAAACGAGAGTACCCACCATCCAGCGCTGTATGAATTCAAAAGTTTTTGCAGGAGTGCAGGCTAGTACTTACCGCCCAGAATATGGCTCATCTACAGCAGAGTATGAAAATGAGACCTCAATGATAAATTCAGATTTGTTTTCAAATAGACATCGGCAGCACAGTCGCGCACGATGTGATCAAATGACTTTTACAGCATTGCCACATCCACTTGATTTGTACACCTCGCTTCTTGTTCAACAGACACCAAAAGGAAGCCCCTCGAGACATAAATAAAGAACTTAGCTCGGGTAGGGGAACATGGTCTACGCATTTTATCTGATACAGTGGGAGAACCTCCTCCTCCACCTCCCATGTTCCACACCGCCCCCGAAACTGGCTGCAGCGCTGCATTTGGGGGAGGGTGCACAAAGAGCGCCGTGCCCTTCGCCTGCTTGTCCGACTCCATCATTGCCACTGCGGGTTGTTCATCATTAACCTCGCTCGCCCCCGCTTCACCAGTTTCTGCCACCCCATGCAAAAATTCCTGCTCAGCCACAGGTTCCGAAGAGGACAGCGTATCCTCTGAACTCTCCTCGACACCAGCAACCTCGCCATCGTGCTGCCCGCCAGAACCCCCCGCATTAGCGCCGCCAACGGTGACCAGCGCCGCCCCCGTGAAAAAAAAAAGCGCGCCGGCGGGTCGTGGACATGTTTGGTGTGAAGATACTGAATGTGAAGTACTTAGAAATGGTTTTTACAGCGTGCTTGCGAGTTGTCAGAAATATTGGCGCTTGAAATACTTAAAAAGTGTTCGTACGTGTTCGCGTGGGTGCGATTCGTACTAATTGAAGTGCGTGGTCTTAATAGCTTTTGTGTCTCGAGCGTTTCTGCCCTGGGCACTGTTACTCAAGACTGAGAAAGAAAAGCACTACAGCAGCTGGAGGCGTGTTCACTAGTACTCGCAAGGCTGCCATGACGAACGCTCTCCATCGGTTTGGCAACAGACGGTATAAGCGACCGCGCAAACAGCCTGAAACAAAGCACTCTCTCGTAGTAGTACAGAATATACCGATAGGCCTGACGCGCGACTCTACCAGAAGAGGATCGCGGAAGAGAAACCGAATGAATGACGCATTTTTTCAACTGCAAGCAAAACCGAGACTGCAAGACACACCTCTACAAGCCAGTGAAAAAGTGGACGATGCTAAAGCAGATGCAGATTCGCGACCGAAGGTAAACATCATAGAAGTCGCGAAACATCACCGACAGGAATCGGAACGCAAAAGATCGACGCTTCGCGAACTTCCGAACCACGAAAGGTGAACGTCACCTTCTTGTTGTTCCACCGAAGTTAATAAATACCAGTATAGAAGTCATCAGCACGAAGTACCGATTGTGGAAACTCAATCGTACTAGCTTCAAGTAAAGCCAAGGAATATAACCGAATTCCACTCTACTTGCTCGTCGTCCAGAACATTCTATTGCTATAGTTTCAGCCTTAGGTGGAGAAGAATGGACCATACAAAGTTCTTTTTTTCTTCAGCACGTAGATAAAAAACGAGGTTCGTTGTAGTAGGAAGTCGTTGTTGAGAGTCGCATTGTCCTTGTCACACTTGCAATCTCGCTCGGCCATGATACTGCATGCATCTTCCATCATGAGATTCAATCAGAATGCAAAACAGCACGAAGCCGCGAACGAGCTCTACTGTTTATCTCAGACCTAGACGGTAGATTCATTCTTGGGAAAATCACTTCTTCTTTAAAAAAGCTCGTCGCACTGGGAAAATAAAGGGGAATGGGGTGCACACTTTCTCATCATACAGATGACGCGGTTCTCGTTCCTGCGTCCGTTGATTGTCAGCATACTTTGAGGGGGAAAAGATTGCTCCACCTCATCGATCACGATGACGAGCTAAACACAGGGGAAAATCAAAACAAGTATGAGTTAACAGTTCAACACAGCCCTAGTGCAGAATTCAAGCTTGATTCGCAAAAGACAAGGAAAAAATTAGCTAAAGGGTCAAAACAAAATCATGCAAAACAGATTTAACGATCTAGAAAATGTCAGTACTTGGTTCCACGCTAGAAACTGGTTCCACGCTAGAAACTGTCAGTACTTGCGATGAAAGTAGAGTGCTTCGAAGTTTGAAGAAGATTCGAGGCATCTTTCTTCAGTGAGCAGGTACTTGTCAAGGATGACATAATCTTTCCAGTACGACAGCGAAGTTGCCATGTGCGTCAGCGCCACAGCAGCAACTAGTGTGACGTTAATATCATACAACAAGTGGGCGATCCTTCTTTTTTGTACTTAAATGCAGCACATCTTGTTCGAAGCGCTAGTTGTACAGAAGGAGAAGCATTGATAATTACACAGCTCTGCGATGGTAGTGTAGCCAAAAGCAAAACTTCTATCTCGTGATAAGTACTAGGATCATTCAAAGGAGTTCTAGTTTGTAATTCCAAAGCAAGCGAATCGAAACAGCTCGGCGATGGTAGTGTACGAGAACAAATTAATTATGACTCGATTCGTCCTCCAGTTGTGGAGACCGGGGACCTGCTGCTAACGTGTTCATCCCACCTCCGATTAATAATGCACAACTCCGATTAGACAACCTACTAGTAGTTCGCACTATCGAACGGCAAGACGACGTAGACATCCAACTCCTTCTCCTGCGGACCGGTTGGTCCTGGCGGAGGTCTCTTGACGTCGTTATCCTGGTCCGAATTTTCCGCTTCCGCTGAAAAGATACCCAACCTCTCCTCCTCGTCCGACCAAATTTTATGGAAACCAAATCTCGTCGCGCTACAACTGAGTCACTGTTCTCGTGTTGCGCCGGTTTCGCGAATGCATTTTTGGACAACAGGAGTCACGCATGACTGTCCTAGTACTTAGATGAAGCATGCGAAAAAAAAAGACATAATTTTGTACTTACTTGACTCAGCAGCAGCAACAATTTCATTTTCAGCTCCCATAAGTTTCCTTGCTGTTGTTTTCCGTACCCCAGTTCTCGCCTTCCCCCACCGCCGTAGTATCCAAGCAAAAAAGAATGTAGGTGTAACTCTTTTTTGGAGGAACAGCATTACAAATCTTTCTGGCATGTTGAGACCAAAAACCTGTCATGCGCAGACAACACTTCAAAACGCGCTTGAATGGACCCTGCAGCATAAGCATGGCATGTCCAGCATGACAGACGCAATCATCTTGCGTGTTGCGCATCACAAAGTTACACAAAACAATGTTTTTTTCTTCGATAAGTAGTTCTCGGGGAATACTGGACCAAATCGGAGAAAGCCGTGTCGCTGTCCACGAAACATCCAGTGTTACTATCGACCGTCGCGTATCAATTGCAAAAATCAAAATGTAAGGGTCTGGAAAATTGCCAGATTTGTCTTTGTCATGCATATTTTGCATACCCCATGACGCCTGTAATGCATGACATAGCATCACAGATTTTTAAAGCGCCCTCTGATGCGTATTCCGCATGAGAAACGCCCACTCCGCGTAGCACAAACTGCACTCCTCTTGCTGGTCATACAAGAATACAGATTTGCTTTACCTTCCAAAGGCAGCATCACAAGTTGCAACCTTCCAGACCCAGACACTTTTGCATTTGATATCGCGAATTCCAGGAGATGCAGATTCGACCGCAGGTGCTCGTACTTTTCGTATCAAATGTAAAAATGTCTGGGTCTGGAAGGGTTGGAGCTTGTGATGCAAACTCTGGAACACACAAAAATTTGTGTTGCGTGAGCGCCAAAAGCTGTCCATTTCTTGGCACGCAAGTAGGAAGTTTCTCATGCGGGACAGGCATCATGACGCGTGCTCAAAACCTGTGATGCTTTTGCCTGCATCAGACGCCATTTGCGTGATCTGAAATATGCATGACAAATCTCGGAATCTTCCAGACCCAGACATTTTTACAGTTGATATTTCGAAGCTATTCCGGATTTGCTCGGGATCCGGGATGGGGTTTGTAATTGTCGAGTTTTTGTTTTTCGTCATGCTCGTCGTGCCGTTTTCACCACTGCGATTCTTTTCATTATCGTTCTTCCACTTGTTCCGCATGAGGTGAAAATAATTGTCGTCAAACAAATTCTTATTGCACAGAATCTGCTCGCGAATGTCGTCTGCGAAACAGAAGCGCACGAACTCTTCCAGCGGCAAGTTCGGGAGTTTCGCGAAGGGAAAGGTGGACAGCTGGTGCAAAATCATCACAAACAGGTTCTTATCCGCGACATTCACGAAGTTCAAGTGGAGGTATTTGAAGGGGCGGGGAATGCCGAAACGCAGCCACAGATTGTTGGACGATAAATTGTTCTTGGAGGGTCTGTTGTTCAAATTGTTCCTGGCAACAGGACTGCTCTCATGTTGATCCTCAACGTTGTCAAGTTCATCATCCTCGGGAAAAATCCCCCTCCCCGGGAAGTTCGCGACTGGGGAGACGAAGATGCAGGCACCGTTCACTTCTAACAGCAGGTGCGTGTTGAAGCGAGGTTCTTGCTCTTTTTGCTGTTCTTGGTGTAGTTGTTCTTGGGTCGTATTAGTTTCATCTGTTCTTCTTGCGGTTATTATCTGATCCTGATGAAGAAGATGCTGCGGCTCCTGCACGACCCGTCGATCCTCATGCGGTCCTCCGGGTGCAGCTTGCTGCTGCCCTCGCTGCTGTGCAAGTCTGTCACGCACTCCTCCATGATCTTCTCCGTTTTCATTCCTCGTCCTTGTCCCCGCCTGACTCTGTCGGAGAATCAGCGAAACATAGTCGTACATCCGATCGTATGCATCGCAAATGTGTCTGGGTCTGGGAGGATGCAAGGTTTGTCATGCTTGTCAGGCATGACGGAAGAGTTTGTCATGCGTGTCCAAGAAGAGACCCTCTTGCTTGTCCCGCAAAACGCAGCTTGTCATGCGGAAAGCGCAACGGTAAGCCGCGCAAATATTTCTCATGCTTCGCTGTGCATTACAGAGAATTCACTGTTCACAGCTCAGCATTACAAGTTTCCAGACCCAGACATATTTGCATGTGATAGATCACCCCCGTGGTTAAACGGGCGACTGAGGAGTAAATTCTTTTCCTCGAAGCACTTTCGTGCCTGAAACACCTTCGCGTTAAACAGCATCCGCTCCCCGGTTTGTCTATCCTGTGCAAAAGTATCGCATTCGCACTCGTAGTAATTGCGGACATGCATTACAAATTTTTTTCTCAAGAAAAATCTGCATGAGAAATTTTATTTCTCATGCTGGGGAAATTTGTAATGCATTTATATATACGAGTGCGATACTTTTGCAATGCATATCGTCGCGGCTCCGCCAACGTCTCCATCGCGGATTGGACGAGAGGTTCGTGCGGCTGGCACGCCTGGGAAAGTTCTTCCTCGAACAGTTTCCGGACGTCAGAAACTCGTTGGTACTTCTTCATCGCGGGCACTGCAGCTTCGGGGTTGGGCGGGGACGGGGTCGTGGAAGAGGTCGATAAAGTTTTAGTACTCGCATCTAGATCTTTTACTACACCCGTGGTATTTGATATTTCACTTCCCTGCTGCTGGTCTTGTTTTATGTCCACGGTAGTTTGATCCACCATCTCCACATCATTCGAAGCGGCGGCTCTGGTTGTTTCTTGGCCCCCGCTGCTAGAGGAAGGATTTGCGCTAGTTGCGGCAGTCGCTCCTGACGCTGTCCTGTGGCTTTCTTGTCCGAACGACGTTCCACCACCGTGATTCCTCGACGTGGTTCGTCCGCTTTCGACGTCCAAGAGGTGCAACATGTCCATTTCCTCGTCGTCGTCAATTTTCAGCCAGAAATCCGGTGACTTCTGCTTCGATGCGAACCGCTCGTCTTCGTGGAGATGGTTGTGATGATGATCCTCGTCCTCCTGCATGCTGGTCCCACAATTCGTCCCACCTTCATCGTGCTCAACCGTACTAGTAGTCCTCCGGAGGTTACAATTCATCGGCGTTCGGAGGTGCATCATCGACAATTCTCCGCCTGTAGTTGTGCCGCTGTTGAACAGACCGTCGGAAAACGTAAACGTCATATTTTTACCCCTGGTGTTATCAACATCGTGGTAAGAATTGTTCTTGCAAACCGCCGTTGCACGACCAGCTGACGGTCTACTTCTTCCCACGTCCAGTCGGAAATCGTCTTGCTGGAGGAGCTCGTCCCGGTGGTCCACAACCTGTTGATGCACCAGAACTCCCCCTTGCTTGATATTTTCCTTGCTCACGACGGTGGCAGTGCCGGTACTAGTATCCCTTGGGGAGCTGCAGGCGGAGGTTCGAGGGGACCACATGCGGGCGGAGGCAAGTTCCTCGTCGCCCATATTTTTGAACGTTAAGGACAAAACGGGGATCGTCATGTTGTAAGTAAGCTCTACGTACTTGACGATGCTTGCAGCTCCTAATGGGAGAAAAAATCCTACTTGCGTACGTGATCCTGCATGCCTACAAAAGCACCATTCGGACTGTAGGAACAAATACGCTCATCAGATACAGAATCCTGTTTCAACATCCCGCACGAGCCTATGTTTGGTGGACTATGTTGAGCTTGTTTGTTTATTGTGTTCCATCTCTACCAGTACCATCGAGTCTTCTTCATGCCCATGCGAGCATTATGTTATACTCAAAACCAAAACCGAAATCAAGTCAAGATCGACAAATCATCGAGGGAGTAGTAGGGCCTGTTTTGCACATCACAGTCGTATGATCGATAAAATGCGTCGACACGAGACGTAGATCGTCGTCGATTTGAACAAGGACTAAGGATCTGGAGCAGTCAGCATCAAAATCGATCAAAAATAAACCGAAGTAGTACGAAACTTCGCTCAAAAACCCCAGCTCCTGCGGATCTGCGATTTCATCCCTCCTGCTCGTGATGAACACGTGGTTCACTCGGCGAAAATAATGCGGCGACTCTCGTATACATAAAGCGAATCGACGCTCATTCGAACTTGCTTCTCTCACCGGCAAAGAACTTTTTGCGAACTTATGTACAAGTTCAACTAGTACTGGCAGGCCCTTTTCTACTTGGCTACTTAAGTCCTTTTGCCTTTGCTTCCCTCACAAAATTCATTCATGCGCATGAACCTCCACTTTCTTTTGGTTTTGTCAAAAGTATTTCCCAAAGAGGATATAAATTTCCTTCATTTCCTTCTCCTCTACGAGGTGGAGCTGCGAGGACCACAAAAAGATGAACCTTATTTTCACAATTGCAGCACTTCGCATTTGCTGAGATGTCCACAATACACCATCGCGTTGCTCATCGGGACGTGCGTTTGCGTGATCAGCTTCACAGCCTCCTGCGCCACGATCCCGCCGACCAACGAGGACGTCGTGTGCAGCTCTCCCTGGCACCGGGAAATTTCGTCTATCACCTTCTTCAAGTGCGCGAGAACTTTGGGCGGCGGAGGGGAAAGAGGACCAGAGTTCTGCTCCTCGTCTTGTCCTTCAGCAATATGTTGGTCTTCTACACGACCACCCTGCGGATGATCAGACAGTACAGAGTCGACCTCCATGGCCACGGCTCCTGCGCCATTTGATGCAGGCACTCTATCGTCCGTCGTATTCGAAATCTCCATGTTTCTCTGAAACAGCTGTAGAAGCTCCGTCTCGCTGATGCTGGAATTATTATAAACTGGTGATGTGCCTCTGCCTGCCGTCCTGCTGGTGGTTGATGTATTTTCGTTGTGATGCAGAGAAGCAGTATCAAGAAGATCCTTGTTCCCATCAGCCATCAACTTTTTCTCCCTCTCCAGCACAATTTGTAGTCCGACGAACCACGGCAGCAGCGATTTCTGCAGCTCCTCCTCATCCTCCTCGAGCATGCAAAATTCGTCCCAGGAGTCTGCGTATCAACTGCAATAAATATATCGGGGGCTGGAGAGTTGTCATCCTAAATCCTAAAACCCTATAGTACACTTCAATAGCCAGTCAAGTAAAGACGGAACTTTTATTTGGGGTGCTCGTCCGTGTTGCGTATTCCGCACGAGGCGTCGCACTTTTGCAATGCAGACAGGATGAAATACCCTTTCGCGTCTACATGCACATGCAACACACCCTGTACGGCGGGCATGATCATGTTCATGATCATGTCAGACAAACATTAAAATTACAAGCCTCCACCTGCTCCAGCCCCAGACATATAATCAATTTCCGATGCATACTGCGGGTAGATACGGTGTCTTCGTTTGCGGCGAAGTACTTCGATCAGGAGAGGACATCATCTCGAAAGTGTCCCTGTCCAGTGGTATCAGTGGTATTTTCCGCAGCGAGAACGCATTTTTACACAGCGTCTCGAGCTCTTTCAAGTCCTCGTCCGCAGAAGAGGAAGAGCCTCTCGCCGCGTCGTTCATCATCATCTCTTCATACTTTTTTCTCACATACTGAAAATCCTCATTTGCTTTCTCCCGAAAAAACTCCTGGAGCTTCACGTAACTTTCCGTCGAAGTGGTCATGTCCGGCAGTTGGCCGGATAGGGGCAAGCAACGAAACTCCTCGCAAAAACTCAAAATCGCCTTGGCTTTCAGCGGCAGACGAGACAAACTTGGGTCGCCGGCGCTCAGGCTCTCGAGCGCGTCTCGTGTGTCGTCTGGGACTGTGGAAGCGGTTCTGGAAGCTGCTCCGCCGGGCTAGAGAAAGAAAGTTTTTGGAAAGTGGTCTGAACATATGATTTCGCGGTCGTGGTGGTGGTTTTTCAAGCGTGCTTTACTTACAGTCATCGAACACGAAACGAAAGCTGGCACGGGCTGTGATGAAGTACTCAAACTTTAACCAAAAAAGTACTAAGTACCTGGCGGTTATGATCGCCATGATCAAAGAACTGAAGAACATTTCACATCATGACTTCTACTTCTACATGGCGTACGATACAATCAAATTGGAATGTAATATTACATACCAGATCGTGCATCAAGTAGCTGTAGTCCAGGGCTTCCTGAAAATTCAGCTCGTCTACCGAATTCCGGAAAGACTTGATCACCTCCTTGAAGGAATCCTTCTCTTCTCTCGTTTTCAGCTGTTTGTTCCCCAGACTCTCGTATTTCTTTTTTGCGCAGTAAAGAATCACGGGGAAGGGAACGTGTGCATGGATGTTGGAATCTTGAATACTGTATGACAGTGCACAACTACCCCTCCCTCTCGTTTGTATAGCATAAACGGCAATACAAGGCTTGTATATGTATTACAAAGGCTTTTGCTGATGCTTGTATTACAAGCATCAGCAAAAATGCCGGCTTTGCATGACAAATTTACACTGGAGTGGAGTTCTGTCCGGGCTACCAGAACTTGTCAACGTGTAAACAGTGCCACGAGGCAGAGCCTGGATTTGGGGTTTTGCATGACAAACGAGGGGGAGGGGGAGTTGTGCACTGTCATATACTGGGGAGAAGGTTGATAAAGAAACTCCTCTCAACATCTGATGTGATTTGCGACTGCGCCTGCGCTGAGGCGGGCGTTGTCGTCGTAGCTGCACTAGCACCACTGCTGCTTCCACCGGCTTCTGTAGCGAAAAGCGGCAGTTTTTGATGTTGCGCTGGAGTAGAAGTCTCACTCAACAACGTCGTCCTTGAGCTTTTCTTTGGGTTGCTTGCACCTGTTGATTTGGGTGAAGTGCTGGCCAGCTTCCGTGGTTCCGGATCGAAAGTAGTGGATGAGGATTGATTGGCAGATGGCTGACTCGTCTGTACTTGTACCCCGCCTACAGCACCGCTGGTGCAGCTTGCGCTAGTATTTTTGTATTCTTTCCGAATGAACTCCGCGATTGGTGGCTGCAGCGATGAAATTTCTTGTTTTCCTACCTGCTCTACTGTGGTGGTTGTATTGGTACACCCGCCACGAGAAGTCAATACCGTCGGCACCACCAGCCGCAGCTGGTGTTTCAGCAGCTGCTGTCCCTCCGGCTTCGCGTCCAGCACGATGTGGTCCGATGAAAATGATGATGTAATCGATGTCGAAGAAGAGGTACTAGTACTAGTAGAAGAGAAAGAATCTTTTCCAGCACTTCTCCTTCCTGGAGTTGCGCACAGAAAGCAGCCGCCCACGAAACCTCTCGACACGCATCGAATCACGACCTTCGTGTTTGCGATGGCGTTTCGCAGTTTGACACAAGTCGAAGTTGGTGAAGACAGCAGCTTGCTCAGCAATTTGGAATTTTTACCCTCGTCGAGGATCACCAGATCGAAGTGGTGCATCGTGCTGCTGTCATCCGAAATTGAAGAGTTGTAGCCATCATCGTTCTTCCCAGCAACTGTTCTTTCGGTAATATATTGAGAGGAAAAATCCCCCCTCCCTATATCGAAAAGGTATGTTTCCGAAAATTTGCGTTGCTGATTTGAGGTCACAAATCGCATCTGTCTTGCAAGAAGACAAGGGCAGAAGCTTCCGCCCCATTATGGAAGCGATTTGTCATGCTGTTGGGCCTAAAGGTCAGCCGTTTGTCATGCTGAACAACTAGGCCCATGCGCCCCTATCTAGCCTGGGGATCTGGCCGCAATGCCTCTCTGCAATACGTTGCTGATTCGTGTACACCAATCCAGCATCAGAAGTTCCGTTTTGATATGGGGAGGGGGGATCTTTCCTGTCGATATAATATCAAAATGCTTCCCGACAACCTCGCAATCAGGATTCAAAATCTGCAGGCTCTGCGCCACGACTTCCGCACGGCTTGGGCTCTTATTTCTCAGTGTAGTTCTTGTCGTCGTCGCATGCTGGCCACGATTTATAATCATTCCTGGCGCAGATAAATTTGAATTTCCTTCCTGATTTCGACCCCCAGCAGCACCTCCTCCGACACCACCACCTCCACTGCAAATAGCATTTTTCCTGGAAACGAAGAAGTTCGTGCGGTAGTCCGTTTCGGTGACCACTGCATCGTCCAGTATCAAAACTTTCCCCACACCTGGGAGAATCAGATTCTTCGCCACCTTATGAATCGCAAAAGTATAGTATCGCACTCGCATAGATGCATTACAAATTTTCTCAGCATGAGGGATAAAACTTGTAATGCTGACTTACCTTAAGATCAAGGATTTGTGACGCATGATTGCGATACGAGTATCAGATACTTTTGCACAGGATACACCTCACAGAGGAGGACGGAGGACCCGAGAACAAGAACATTCGCTTTCGCGAGCTGCTCCTGCCCGCTGGCGCCCCACAACCGCTTCTGCCGGTCATACTTGTCGTCGGTGGCCATTGATGATGCGTAAGTTGCTCTTTTTTGGATATTAATTACGGATTCAACTCAAAGGAAATCAAAATAACAACCAAGTACTTTTTAGATCTTAACTGGAAGTAAAAACTACAGCCAGGCAGCATACTTTATTGAAATCAATTCTTCTGCAATCTATCCGAACAATCGTTCTGAAGATGAAGATGCGGTGGATCACGACATCTTCTGGATCCCTAGTAGCCACTTTTTCAAGTTGTACCGTAGAAAGAACCAGGTAGAATCGGACTTCTGAATGAAAAAGAGATATAATGAGATCGTTGACGCTGCATAAAAACTACATACATACATACAGATGCACTTTGCCCTGTGTCTGGGGTACGTGCCGCTCGATTTTTGATCGTGACACCGAGAAAGCGATCCACCCAAACGATTTGTACGGACGAGCAAGGGTGTGAAGCTACCCTCTGCGTTCGCCATGGGGCTGGCTAGGCCCGGCGAACAGCACAAGAGGTGAACATCGGAGCCGGGAGGAGCCTATGCGACCCCTAGGGGGGCGGGCGTACTTAAACGCTCCGGCAGTCTCTATTCCTTGTTCCTGACGGCCACATCAAGGCGATTCTCGCTGCTGGCGCCGTGTTGCTCGATTCTGCCGCGAAGTGCCGGCGCACATCGGTCACAAGCTACTAGCCTGTAGGTGATGCGGTCGGGGGGCATCCTGCGCTTCCGCGGATGCTTTGCGCCCTCCTCGTCTGCCCAGCTTCTTAGACAGAAGAGGAGGGGCGCCGCAATGCTCTCCCGTCTGGGCTCGGTCGCATTCCTCACAAGGCCCGCGCGATTCGAAAGACAGAGGGAAGACAAGCTACTAAAGATAACGGGTCCCCGGCGAAGCCGGTGCCACCACACACAGCAGTCCTGCCACGCGGGCGAAGAACTGGGGCAGCTCCCGGCTTCCTCTTGTTGGTTCTCGGCAGTCGCGGCCCTTCGTGCCGTCAGCGCCTGCGCTTGGCGTGCGTCCCTATTGCTGCAGAGGCCGCGTGCTCTGACGCGCCACCTCCGCCTCAGGGTTGCGCCGTTGCGCCTGGTGCTTGCGAGCGCTGAGGGGCGCGCGCGGTAGCTAGCTAGCTGCTGGCCAACCTAACTGCGTTGAGACCCGCACCCAGGAAGCCGGGGCCGGTGTGTCTAGCTCCCTGCGGGAAGCAGGCTGCGTCTCGCTCAATGTCTTCCGCTACGTGGTCGGCTATGCGAAGAGACTTTTGCACCAGCTGCGAGCTCGTGCTAGGCGCCCCTCCCTACAAGGGCGAGGCGTTTTGTTCTAATTAACTAGCATCCGATAGCTTCCCTTCCCCGCAAGGGCGGGCTGTTCGTTAGCAAGACTGACAGACTTTCTGTGTCCGAAGTCTGTGCTATGATGTAGTTCGCAGCCGAACAATTGACTACCTGCTGGTAGCCCCCCTTCCCTGCAAGGGCGGGGTGCATAAAAACTACGAAAGTACAACTAGCCACGCTTCAATCATATGAGTATGAGAGTTGCACGACTATAAAGTGATCCCTACTTGATGAGGTGTCTTCAAAAATCATCCTTGCGGGAGCCGACACGGAACAATTCCCTTCGGAAGCATCAACATCATCCAGAGTGAGCTGCTGTTCATCAAGACCATGACCACCTGCAGCTCCCTGTTGATAGAATTAGAATTGGAATTCCACGGTGTTGAAAATAAACACCATCGACACGGCGGTCGTGTCCATGAAGATCATCATCATGATGTCCAGGATACAAAGTCCTGAAGTAAGAGCTCCTGCAAGTCTACTAGAACGATATTATATCAATCGGTTGCAGCTCGCGAACAGTCCAACCACACCTCTGTTTATTCCCGGGCCGTCCGACGGTCGGGCTGGTGCCACAGGTTCAGCTCTGCACAACGAACTACTTTTGTTTTATTTTCTCGTATTCTGTTGACATTTTACACGTTTGCTTCTCGGAGAACGACCCCCTGGTTTTTCTTTCTCTGTGTGCATCTTCATTCAAGGCTAAAATTGTACAATACAGCTAGTAGTTTTATTGCAGAATCTTCGACGGAATACGTCTTCTGCTGCATTCTTTTTATGCTTAGCGATTCCAACTCCAACATCCGATTTCGTGTATGTTACAAATACTAGCAGCCGAAATTTTTCATTTCGATTTCCACGTAGAGAAACAAGTCTATACTAAGTACTTCGTATGATGATTTTACACATGCAACATTTTGATAATTTTACAAGTGCACCCTGAATGTTCGAGGGTCACAGACCTCACGAAACCGAAAGTAATACAGGATCAGAGTACATGAAGATCATGTTGCGCACAACACCAGCAGCGTCACCACAACATAAACCGACAGCTTTAATTATTCTATCTTTTTTCTGGAAGTCTTTTCTACAAAAATCATACAGAAACAGATTCGACTGCTGTAGTTCTTGCGGCCAACAAATCATACAGAAACAGATTCATAAATCGAAAAACAATAAATATAACTATTTCACGCTCACGCAGTGATACAACAACTCTGCGTGAAATAGAAATACTAGTACTACTCCTCGCTCCTAAAATAAAACACCAGCATAGCACTGCGTGAAACCGAGAAAGTTCCACTCCACTCCTTCGTTTCACGTAGCGTAGTTCGCTTCTTCTTCTCCTTCTGTATCTGTTCTCTTGCGAAAGTTGTGGCCATTGTCTTTGTTATTCTTGTTCTTTGGAACTAAAAAAAACCGATCGCCGCTGCGCCTTCGCACCCTAGCAGTACTTCTTAGTTGGAAAACGGATCACCTCCCACTGGCGCCACCGCCCTCCCGGCGCCTCGCTGCGCGCGTTGATGTGCCCGGATGCTGTGGGTCTGGTGCTTGGCGTCGGGAAAATCGTCGCCAAAGACCTTCCCCGCGGTTTCGGGAGCAACACGGTCGCCGTGGCGTGTGCGGTGCACTGCTGATGTGTTCGTCGTAGTGGCCGCTCCTTCGGTTTGCGGCTCCCGCTCGACCTCTGCGCCGCGCGCCTCCGCCAGCATGTCTGCCGCCGCGCGCGGATCCGCGTTGTACCAATTCGCCAGACTATTGCCCGTGAGTTTTTCCCAGTCGATTTTCACCAAATTTTTCTCAATCTGCAGGTACCCCGCGAAGGCCTTCGCCCTCTTTCATGGTAGCCCGCCCTTGGTCAAAATCTCCGCGACTTCTTTCTCGAAAATTTCGACAAGCTTCGGTTTCTCTCCCGAAGTAGATTCGGCATCAGCTTGTTGCTGACGCGGTTCCGTCAGACTTTGCAGCCACTGGTCAGTGTTCTCCAAAGCATGCGATAGTTCCTCCCGTTTCTTCTCCGCCGGCCATCGTTCCGGCGGCTGCCCAAAAAGCCTCGTCTTCCACTGCTCGGCGGACTTGGTAGTGCCTTTCCCCTGGTAAAACATCTTTTCCTTGTAGGCCAGAAAATCCGCTACGAGCCACAGTTTGAAGGTTTCCAGAAAATAGTCATGTAGGTTGTTGTTTTCGACGCCCTGCTGGCCCTGTCTCTTCTGATTCACCAGCGCAAGAACTTCTCTGATAAACCACGTGGTTGCGGTGGCTGTTGCAAACCGCAGGGCATGAACACCCCCATTACGCTTCTGCGTTACAATGTCGCTGCGGAGTTGCGTCGCGAGAGATTGGTCCGCTTTGGTGATGTTTTTGAACGCGGCTCTATACGTCCCTAAAGACTTCAAGTCTTTGTAGCTCAACGCGCCCTGCTGCTTTGCCAGTCTAGAAAGCAGACCCCGCAGCTCATTCTGCGGAGCCTGATGCCGCAGCTGATTCTCTCGTGTGCGCAGAGCCTGATTAGTACTATCATGGCTCGTCCCACCGGCGCTAGAACTAGTGCTCCGCGGCACGTTGCCCGCTAGCTCGTTCAACAGCGCACTTTTCGCGACCGCATACGCGTATTTCCCGGTGAGCCGCTTCAGCGCCAGACATGCCAACATATTAAATGCCCTTCCCGAGGAAGTTGTCGGAGCAGTGGGCACGACTGCAAGAAGACCTGCAGAAGGACCCGTTTCATGCACCTTCTGGTTCTGAAGCTCTGCGCAACTGCATTTCCCAGGAATCAACCCTTCCTCAGGTTGTCGCCCTGATCTGGCAAGTCCATGTAGGCGTGCGCGAACAAGAATAGCGAGGTACTAGACGTCGCACCAGTGCTATAAAAATTCGCGGCAAAAGGATCGCAGGACCACGACGAGGAGAACTGGAAGAAGAACGCCCCCGTCGTGAGCAGCATCACAGTCCGAAGAAGCTGCATCGCCTGTGCAGGTTTGTTCACAGACACGGAGCTATTAGTTCCTCTTGACCACACCATGGGTTTTTCTTTTATTATTTTTTAGCTTTTTTTAATAGTTCGATAAAGTAGTAGCTCTTTATTCTACACCGAGCCCTAGGAGAGCTGCTGCCGCTGGTATGTATCTTACAATCGTTCGAATAAAGAGCAACAATCAGATGTCCTGACGAGGAAGATCTTCTTCGTACAAATAATAATTGCAGTTGTTAATACGCAGCGCCTTCACAACGCGGCGAAAGGCTACTTGTCGTTCTTGTCCACCGGCGCCCCTGCCGTGCTGGGAGCTAACAAGAAAGAAATAATCTGTTTACTACAACTCGAAATGCGATTCGTACGTAAATATTAATTGTTTGTTTGTTTGTTTGTTGTTGAAGGTCATGTGGAACCGTTTGGAAGTTGGTACTTCCTCTCACATGGTTAGCGCTATTTCAAGAAAAAGGACAGCTTGGCAGAGCTACTTTGGCCTCTGCCTCGTCTTGATTACAACAAGCCTCTGCCACGTAAATATTAATTCTTTCGTCTTGATTACAACAAGAACAAATCTATGCTCTAAATCTAATTGTGCTACTTTGATAGTAAAAAATGCGAATCTACTTATCGTCTGTGCGACGAAGAGGTGGATGTTTTGAAAGTCGATGTCGAACCGTACTTCTACTTTATACAACGTCTGTGCGACGAGGACGATGTTTATTTTACACTCAAGCTGATGTCTGTCGGAAGAAGTAAGAACATTGATAAAGCAAAAATCAGTTCTGCAATAGAAAGAGCAACAGGTCGGGCTGTCCTAATCTATCATCATCTACTCAGGGTCACCGGACGAGATATTTTCTTCCTCTTGACCACGGCCAGCGGTCATTTCTGATCTACACTCTCGACTATCAGTCAGAGTAGATCACTGCTGCTCACGACCAGATGTTGACACAGGGGGCTCAGCGATTTTTATACAGTGATCTTTTTTTGTCCGTCTAATTTATTATTTCTGTTGAACTCAAGCAAGATCTTCTCGCAAGAACAGTTCTTGTGCCTGGTCGTGCAGCTCGGCGAGTAGGTACCTACTATGGCCGCTGAGCCCACCGAATAATTTTTAGAATCCGTAGACAGCATTACAAGTTCCACTCTTCCAGACCCAGACATTTTTACATTCGATAACATCTGCTCCCTGACGATTCTGGACAATGTTGCTGCGTCCGCCTTCGTATCCATTGCAAAAATGTCTGGATCTAGCAGATTCTGAGACTTGTCACGCACGTTTTGCATGACCCATGATAATGTCTGTGATGCATACCCTAGTAGCATCTCAGATTTTTTGCGAGCTTCTTGATGCCTATTCCGCATCGCAAATGCCCTCTCCGCGTAGCAAAAACTATAGTGCATTCCCTTTGCTGCTCATACAATAAAGTAGATTTTTTTGGAATTATCGAAATGCAGCATCACAAGTTGCATTCTTCCAGACCCAGACATATTTGCATTTGATACTTCGCGTTCTCTTGGTCGTCCCTGGTGAGTTTGCGAAAGGCGGTTTTGTAGGAGATACTTGCAGGCGCGGACCTGCGACGTGATTGGGGGAAAATCAGTTCCAGGGGTATCTCGGACCCGGAAAGCGCGTCTCGCAACTTCTCCAGGACTTCCCTGTCTCCTTGGGCCACAAGCTGTTGCAAAATTGGATTGGACCCGACGGCATAAAGGTATTTCCCGGCAAGCCTTCTGAGCGCGACAAGGTGAAGTGTGCTGGATTGTGCTGCGGTGCGGAAAAACCTTGAGGAAATGATCTCGTGGTCCAAAGTCGGAGGTACTGCCAAAGCAGCAGAGCGCCCACTTCTAGCAGAGGGTGCTTCTCCCTCGTGTTGCGGCGCAAGCTGATTGTTCTCGTCCTGAGGGGCTTCAAAGTGTGGCACGTTGCGACGAGGACGAAACCTCTCCAAGCATTGCAGACCCCGACAAGAACTTCCACTGCTCACCTGAGTAGCAGAAACGGGAGCGGTACTGGTGGGCTCCTCGCGATCGTGCTGCACAAGACCAAAAACGCCAATTTTTGACGCCGCCAGAAGCTGCAGGGAAATAACGCCACTTGCGAACAATTTGCGCAGAGAGTAGCGGTGCTGCGTCAGCACCTTCATGGTTGTGAAGTAGATTGTTGCCGTCGTAATGAGTATTTCCGGCGACTTTCAACTTCGCTTTTGAAGATTCTTATAGATTTCAACTCAATAAGTACAAATGCTTTTGCTTCTAAACAACTCCAAAAGAAAAAAAAAACTCAAAAGTAATCATACAGTTCGGGATTCCTTGTGCAGCTTCTTACTCGTCTTATACGTCTTTTCAACAATCTTGTATGTGCAATAAATAGGTCCTTTCGATTTCCGGTCTACTTCTCGAGGAAATTTTTTTTCATAACAGCTACAAAGACTGTGGTCGGAAAGATAAATGACGGTGAAGGAATTAGAATTTCATTTTTTGACAATCTATGCAAATATCAATGTTTCCTTTTAGATGATCTCAGGTGAAGAGCCCGCTCTATGTCCCGTCCCAGCATTGGTGATCGAACGATCCGCGCGCTTTACGTTCACATTCTAGATACTTTTTTTTAGTCAATTTTGTCAGCGTAATTCTACCGATAGTTGGAGACCTCGACCGATAGAAGGTGGTGCACAGAAGAGCGATCATGATCAATACCGACACCAAAATGATCTCTTTTGCAATTTTCGGCGGCCGAAAATATCCTCAGTTATACCGATGAATGGTCGTAGCTCAATTCCAATATAAGCACCACGAAAAAAAAGCGTCACTGTGAAGATGATTTTGGCAGCTTTGCAGAATCTGCATCTTCACACGTTCACATTCACTAGTACTCTGCGTCTGCGATCCGTGCTTTTCAAGAAAAGAAATAAACACGACTACATCTCCACTGTGCTGCAGTTGTAGTTCCTCCTCACAAGACAAACAATTGCGGGCGGGATTTTAGTCTGCAGTACAGGTTCACAGTGAAGACGCCGAATTTGCGCTGCTGGACTCGCAAAGAGCGACGTCTTTGGTAATACCAGGATACAAGAATCGAGGTAGTTCAGGTTTCTGTATCTCCATCTACTATCATCTGTTATCGGATTTGTAACGCCCATGACGCAGGAGAATTTGACCCTGGTCAGCACGCACGAATAAAGAGCTGCTGCTTCTTCATGATCGTCGCATCGTTTTACTTCTCTCGCTTCATATTTCATCACTGTCGACGTTTTTCTTTATTCTTTTCCTGTTCATCTTCGAGGAATTCTCCTCCACCTCTACGCACGACATCCTTTTTGATTCTTCACTCCGAGAGCGGTGAGAGCGAGCCCCGTATCAAATGCAAAAATGTCTGGGTCTGGAAACTTGTGATGTTGGGTGGCGTATCATGAGGAGGCCACAAGTGCTGGCTCGGCATGAGAAGTTTCTAAGCCTCTAGGTGTAGGTGTTGCCTATTCTGTTTCTGCATGACAAACTGCGTCTCTGCATGACAGAAAAAAGGCGCGCTTGGGTAACGCGCATGACAGATTTGAGAGTCATGCCAGACAAGCATGACAAACATGCATTCTTCCAGACCCCGACATTTTTACACTTGATACCCCGTCCGCTGGTACTATCAAAGTGGTTTTCGGCAACCGGAAAGTCGTCTTCTTCCAGAGAGATCGTTCCCTCATCCACGCTCTGCATGTTCTGCTTCAATTTCGACCACAAACTGTTAAAGGTGTCCAGCGTCTGTGCCGCAACCGCCTGACTTGCGGCGGAGGAGGTCGAAGGGGCGGTAGAAGCTGGCAGCTGCGCGACCACGTTGTCCTTGTTTGGGTCCTCCTGCTGTGGTCCAGCACGACTCCGGGTCGTCGTGTTCACCGCTGTGCATGATCCACCAAGACGACCTCCACCGCCCGCTATACTACTTCTTTGATGCGGCTCCGTGAAGGGCTGCAGTACCTGCGTCTCGTTGACGAAAACGGGCAGCCTATCCTGATCAAAAACATCCCCACAGCACCAAAGTCAAGATGGGAAATCTGCTTGACAAATCACACAGCTTTGGTTGTTTGGCATGACAAGTTTGATGTCTCTTAGTGTGATCCTGTTTAGCTAGCTCAGAAGCATTACAGATCTACCACAGCATGCTGATCCTAGCATCACAAATCCCAAAACACGAATAGAAAATGCTTCATCCCATAGGACTCCGCATGAGAAACTTTTTTGGCATGCAGAATTGCATGACAACTCTGGGGTGGGTATGTTTTTACTCAGAATACAGCCACAGGTCCTCCGGCGTCCGAACCCAGCCGCGCCGGTACTCGCAGCAGGCAATCACTTCCTTGATATCAACTGTAAAAGTGTCTGGGTCTGGAAGAATCCAACTTGTCATGCTGATTTTGGATTATAAAAAAATCTGTAATTGCATGAGCAGCAAAGAGAGCCCAAGTTTTGCTACACGCAAAGAGCATTTGTCATGCGGTATAGGCATCAGGAAGCCCTCACAAAATCTGTGATGCTAGGGCATGCATCACAGACATCAGGAGTCATGCAAAATGTGCATGACAAACCTGGCAATCTTCCAGACCCAGACATTTTTACATTTGATAATTGAACCGCGGCCCCAATTTGGACAAAAGCTTCGCGTGCAGGTTGCCAAATTCCGTGCGGTACGCGACCCCCTTTTCGTGGATTACTTCGTAAAACTATCCTGCGTAAAAACGTCCCCACCCCAGAGTTGTCATGCAAATCTTCACGCCCAAAATGCTTGCCATGCGCAGCCCCACGAGGAGCATTTTATTAAGGTCGCGCCCGGAGGGCGATATTGGTAACCAAATGCGTGCGCGAAAATCTAACCAGCGCGAAGGCCCACCAACCTTTTTCTAACATCGCCGCGGCCCGCGCCGCGAAAGCGCGGCCCTGCGGGCCGCGCTTTCGCCGCGCAGCCGCCGCCAGAAACGAGAAAAAGCACCATTTATTTTTAGTTCCTAGATTCCCACTTCTTCTTCTTGGGNATGCAAAATGTGCATGACAAACCTGGCAATCTTCCAGACCCAGACATTTTTACATTTGATAATTGAACCGCGGCCCCAATTTGGACAAAAGCTTCGCGTGCAGGTTGCCAAATTCCGTGCGGTACGCGACCCCCTTTTCGTGGATTACTTCGTAAAACTATCCTGCGTAAAAACGTCCCCACCCCAGAGTTGTCATGCAAATCTTCACGCCCAAAATGCTTGCCATGCGCAGCCCCACGAGGAGCATTTTATTAAGGTCGCGCCCGGAGGGCGATATTGGTAACCAAATGCGTGCGCGAAAATCTAACCAGCGCGAAGGCCCACCAACCTTTTTCTAACATCGCCGCGGCCCGCGCCGCGAAAGCGCGGCCCTGCGGGCCGCGCTTTCGCCGCGCAGCCGCCGCCAGAAACGAGAAAAAGCACCATTTATTTTTAGTTCCTAGATTCCCACTTCTTCTTCTTGGGTCGCGGGCCGCAGTTGTGCTCGCGGCCCTTGGGCCGCGGGGAAGTGGTGGAGCCCGCGGCGGCCCGCAGGCTCCTGCGATAAGCATTGAAGGCGAAATCCGGTCTGCTATTGCGCAGCGGGGCATCCTTTCTAGCCCCCTGCATGACAAACTGGCCACCTGGCCAGGAAGGTATGTGGGCCGCGCTCTCATCATCTAACCAGGAAGCAAGGGCGCGCAAAAGAATGCGTTTTTTGGCGAGCAGAACACCATCGCGAGTAACATTATGCACGAGGGCACGCTGGCCAGGAAAAAAGCGCAAATTTCAAAAAGTTAATCAATTCGCGCCATTTCCGGCAGCCCTTTTGGGCCACCCAGATCGAGCATTTCCAAGCGGGAGGAGGCTCACAATTTTGGACCTCATACAGGTCGAAAACCGTGAGGGGTGGACACACCTCCACAGGCTTGATAATTGTGTTCTTGTCGTCCAATCCCGGTGGTACGAGGCTGCGGAAAATTTCGCGAACCCCTTTTGACCGGCAATTTCCAAGCGGCTTTTACTTTTTCAGCAAAAATTGTCATTTTCAATTTCCAAGCGGTTTCCGGGGACTGGACAAAATCGGTAAATTTTGTCGGCCGCTTCTATGCTGCGAAAAACTGCATTTTTTCAACGCTTTTTTTCAATTTCCAAGCGGCTGGAGCTGCCCGGACGTGACGCATTTTTCGCTACAAAACCCATCACACCATCGGCCCTTTCCAAAAATGCCACTATCTTTTTTCAGCTTCAGACCGGGCGGAGCTGCAAAAATGATCTTTTTTACCCTTTTCGCACTTGATAACTGCTGTTTTGGCTGCTTTCGGTAAAATTCCCAGAAATTCTGCCCGATTCGCTTTCTGAAGGCAAAACACACTTGATAATGCCCGCTTTTTCCACCGATTGCATACCCCCGAGTTCCTCCCATATGGCAACGGCAAAGCCTTCGCGCTGCGTTTGCGATGGATGAGCATCTCGCAAAGAGCGCTCGCTTGCGCACGCTTTGGTTACCAGATGATGCTGTTTTGGGATTTGTCATGCTCGAATCAGCATAATGTAGTCGATTTGTGATGCGGTTGCTCCAGCTAAACAGGACTACCGTAAGAGCCCAAGTTTGTCATGCGCGACAGTCAAAGGTTGTGGATCATTTGTGTAGCAGATTCCCCCATCTTGAATGCTGTGGGGTGGGGAAGTAGTTTTTCCTCAGGATAAAAACTGCAGCGACTCAATTTCGGACTTGACTTTCAGCTCCACCAGTTGCTGCATCAAAAGAAAAAACGCCCCCACCTCGGATGCTTCAAAAATTTGTGATGCAAAGTTTCCAAAATGAGATTTTTTTGTCTTGCATAAAAGGACTATGAATCTTTCTGATGCAGAATCTCGGCGAGTAAGGCGTCTTTTACACGACAGGCTCGGTTGCTGCTGGGCTCTAGCGCAACAGAAATTTTAGCTGTTCCGCATTGAAAATTTGTGATGCTGATATATGCAAGAAGACGGGGAATGTTTCGAGATGAAAGGTTTGCAAGACAAACTTGCCAAGCTCTGGGGTGAGGGCACTTTTCATTGTAATATGCTGTCGCTGCTGTTCCAAGAGGACGTGTTGTTGTACATCGAGGTCCACCTGGTCCGACCCGTGGCTGATTCCGTCTGGCTGCTCTGTTCGTGTACTACTACCGTCCTTGTGGAGTTCCTGCTTCTTCAAAAACAAAAGCTTCGTTTCCAGCTCTACCTCCCTCTGCGCGACCTTGGCCGCCTTGTCCTCCAAATGGAGCTGAAGTGCAGTTAATGCGGTTTCCTCGGAAATGGGCTCGGCGGACTCGGTCCTATCACACAGAAAAAAGCTGGCAGGGCATATTTGTAATGCAAAAATAAATACACAAAAAAATCTGCATTGCATATCCGAAACAGCATGCTATGGGGCCACCCATGGCAAGCGTTTCTGTGTATCTATTTTTGCATCACAAATATGCCCTGCCAGCTTTTTTCTCTGGGATAGGTCCCATCCTCCGCAAAAGCCTTGACGAACGCCGCGGCGTGGGCTGTATCAAATGCAAACATGTCTGGGTCTGGAAACTTGTGATGCCAAAATCTGGATGACTGAAACGCTTTCGAATGCAGCCAAGCATGACAAGTCCTTGCAAAGCTGTTTCATACGTAGCGCGCATGACAAACTGCGTTTTTGCATCACAACGAACGCCGTGCGTTTGCTAGTCATGCAATACAGATTTTCTTGGAATGTAGGGCCAGCATCACAACGAACGCTGTGCGTTTGCTAGTCATGCAATACAGATTTTCTTGGAATGTAGGGCCAGCATCACAATTCCAGACCCAGACATATTTGCAATCCATAGGCTAAGGTCAGTTCAAATAAGTACGTTGGAAACGATCCATGATGTCGTGGTGCTTCATATTATGAAGAAAAGCCAGCCTATCAATCTCCATGTGGCCACAGGAACGGCGTCGTCAAACTCAAAGCATGTGAGGTCATCGAATAAATCACGCAATGGCATTTACAGGGAAAAAAGGTCCGTCTTCAGTCGACGCACCTCGCAGTCAGTTGTGCTGGGAAAATCGTATTTCTACCCCCGAACTACTAGACCTCTTCAATTCTAGGGAAGACGTGCAGCCTACGTAAAAAATGACATCATAGCATACCTCTCTTCTCCTTATCTGTCTTAAACGCCTGCACCTGCTCCCGCAGCAGGCGCAACTCATTATCGCAAGGAAAAATCCCCCCTCCCCATATTGAAGAGGCAGGTTTTCGAAAATTTGCGTTGCTGATTTGAGGTCACAAATCACGTGTGTGTTGCAAGAAGACAAGGGCAGCAGCTTCCGTCCCATTATGGAGCCAGTTTGTCATGCTGTTGAGCCAACATCGCGGACGCTTTTCATGCTAAGCGCCTAAGTCAAAGCCTCTCTATTCAGGCTTGATATGGGTCTGCAGTCCTCTCCAGCGATTTGCGTACTCAAATACTGCATCACAGATTTCGTTTTCGATATGGGGAGGGGGGATTTTTCTTTTTGATACTCATCCTCGTGTACCTTCCCCGCCTCCGCCCTCGCCTGCACTAGACCTTCGGCAAACGCAGCCCGCTATGGGGGTGTCAGGATTGAACTCGGCAAAATCGAAAAACTTGTAATGCATAAAATGTAGGGCGCGCAAGGTCTGTGTTGGGGCGCAGGCAAATGAGACCGATTTCAAGCCTGTTTCGGGGAAACAAAGGCGATGCGCTGCCAGAGTAGCATGACAGAAGCAGTCTTCCTTGCCCAAACAGCACGACAGAGTGGACTTTGGTGCTCCCGAAATTTGTCATGCGCCACTTGGACACTGAGGCTCCAACTGGTATCGATTTTATGCATCACAAATCATTTCAACTTTGACGATTTCGATCTTGACACTTCCATACCCGCTCCTGCTCTAGTAATTGCTGTAAGTCCGTGTTTGCGGCCTTCAGCTTCGCGACATTATCAAATGCAAATATGTCTCGGTCTGGAAGGATCCGAACTTGTGATGCGTGTTTCGGATCCTTCAAAGATCTGTGATGCAGAACGTGCAGAAGATGTTGCCCCTTTCTGGCCATTCTCAGAGGGCATTTCTCATGCAGAATACGCATCACCTCCAAGGAGCTGCAGAACCTGTGATGCTAGGCCCTGCATTCCAGACGTGGGGGAGCTTGAAAAAACTGCATGACAAAGACAAATCTCGGAATCTCCCAGACCCAGACTACATTTTTGCACTTGATAGACATGTTTCGCATGCAACTCGTCCAGCTGCGTCTGCATGATTCGGTTCTGAATGGACGCGTAGCTGACAGTATGGATTGCAAATATGTCTGGGTCTGGAAGGATGGAACTTGTGATGCTGTGTTTGGATTCTAAAAAAGATTCGCATTGCATGACAAGCAACAGGAGTCCAGTTTGTGCTACGCGGGGAGGGCATTTGTCATGCGGAAAGGGCATCAGGAAGCCTGCTAAAAATGAAAATCTGCGATGCTAGCTCATGCATTACAAGCATCATGGATCATGGAAAAGCTGCATGACAAACCTTGCATCCTTCCAGACCCAGAAATTTTTGCATTTGATAGACAGCGCCGCCGGCGCCGCCACTGCTCCCCGAGCTCTGTGTATTGCCGCTGATCTCCCGACCCCAACTCGCTAAGGACAGTATCAAATGGAAAAATCCCCCCACCCCATATCGAAAACGAAATTTGTGATGCTGTGTTAGTACACAAGTCGGCTTGTAATGCTAGAAGGCCAAGAGCCGCAGTTGTGCCCTCGTTTGCAGGCAATTTGTCATGCTGTTTCCCACTCTCAGTTGCTTCCTGTCATGCTGAAGATGCAAGGCTTCCCCACGCCACCCGGCAAGACAGTCCGCATCTTTTCCCTTCTAGCATGACAAAGCTGATTTGTGACTGCAAATCTGCATCACAGATCTCCGTTTTGATATGGGGAGGGGGGATTTTTCTTCTTGATAGACAGCCCGGAATGCTTCCGGGGGGGCGGGGTTCGTGTGTTTGGCAGGGCCGGAGCAGGCGCCGGGCCCGGGGGATAATTCTTTGATAAAATCGTCCCGGAACAAGGGATATCATTATTTTGCTCGTTATTTCTCACTACCTGCTGAAGTTCATCGACATAGGGCCCCCGCCGCGTAGGAGTTGTTGTGACGTGCGGTCCTGAAGGAGATATTGACGCCGGAACGTTTGCTGGATAACGAAAATCGTCAGGAACAAAATGACCACCGGACTGCGACTGGGGCGGGAAATAAAAGGCTTGCTCTGGTGAAGACGGCTCTGCTGGTCGTGGTGCGACGCCGGGGAATTGCTTTATTTGTTCCCCGGTAGCTTGGCTCAAGGAATAAAACGTCTGTCCATCTGCTAGTCCTCGTCCTGGAGGTTGTACTAGTTGTTCTTGCTGACTTATTCTATTTCCATGATGTACTAGTTCTTGCCTCAGCTGAGATGAGTTTGCGCCGGCTGAGGTCGTTTCACTAGTTATTCTGCCCTGCTCGCAAGCACCTCCTACCTGCTGCGTGGGAGGACCACTCTCAGAATCTGCGAAATCCGTCTGAGCCATTGATCTCCTTTGCTGGGTCCAGGTTCAGATCTTGTTCAGATATTTATAAGTAGGTGACACTTTCGATTCTCGCATCCAATTCGACAACTTGGCCTCAGAAATAAATTGTGTCAGAACGAAGCCAGCTACTCGCGGTTGTCGTCTTTCAAACAAGTGTCAATATCAACAAGAGCGTCCTCTGTTGTAATACGCCGAACGAAAGCACTTTGTTGATCTCCCGGGCCAGCTTGGACATGGCTTTCATCCGTTTGTGTACTTCTTAGTCGAAAGATCGGCAACGAAACACTTCACGAAAAAATGCAACATCGATCGTGGAGGCCGAGTGTGGCCATCGACTACGATTGATCCTCCAAGGGCGAAAAATAGTATAGAAAATGGTCTCTCGAAAATAAAACCACTGTCTTTCCAAGGCAAAACAAGAGGAGCGTCGACTCAAGTAGACGTAGTGGTCTCTTGAAATTTGTTGGAACTACGGGGAGCCACGAAATCAGTCGGCTTTTTTGTTCATGATTGGCCAACTTTGTTCACCACGACAGTGATTGCGACGTATGAGAAACACACAACTACTGAACACCGGCGCCAAAAGAGATCAAGTTTTACACTGAAGTTTTTCTGTAGCAAGACCGGACCCCTATTTTTCCACTGTCACAAACTCTGTGCTGACCTATGACGAGATCGCACCATCGGGATGTTTATTTTAGAGTCCTTCAATCTTGGTGCCGTACTTCTCTCGCAGGATATGCCACGGGGCGAGATAAAATGTATGGAGCCGGCTAGGCTACGAAGCATGCAGGCTATGCTATACGGTCGGAAAGGCAAGATATCCGGGGAAAAAAAAAGTGTGAAGGAGGATTATACTTGTTGGGGTAGAGTTGATACTGCGAGAGATGTTCTTTGACTGGGAAACTTTACTGTGACTCGCAGATTTTTTTCTGAGATAAAGGTAAAGCTGCGCTTGAGGGCTGTGCTTCTATTGTTCTGGTGGCAACAAACACGAAGACTCTCATGATCGTGCGAGATCTGGCACCCGTCTACATGGATACTAGCGGTCGGTTGATGAAGTGCCACCAGGAAGATCGTAAAAAAAAACAATGCAGACCAGTGCCCTTGAGCAAGCATAAAAGTAAGTAATAGAATTCGGTGGAGAAGCGACCCGCCTGAAAGTCGGCGCAAAACTTCCCCGCACGGATCCTACATGCCTACTTCTCTTCCAACTCACGCCATCCGAAAGCAAAACAAATTAAGTATAAGTAAGTAGTATCAATCCAGAGGTGACAACCCATATTCCAGAAAAGAGACTGAGCTAAACTTCGTACGTAGTCAGGAGAAAAAAACAATGTAAGCATTTTGCAACAAATGAGTATTTTTTTCAAACGGGCATCATCAAAACAGATTCAAAACAAAAATCACAAAAATAATTCGACCTTCTGTGAACACGCTTTGCCCACTTCTAGGCCAGTGAGCAACGTCCATACTGCCAATAGCATGTCTGCTAAAGAGGCAAGAGTGCCGCCCCTACGCCTGCAGTAGCAGCAGCATTTGCACACAGTTCCGGATTGTCAGTGCAAGCCTTCGTACCCGCCGCCGCAGCCTGCCCCGCACCCGAGTTATCTACCGCCTGCTGCATCTGCGGGCTCATCGTCTGCTCCCCCGTCGGGACCCATCTCTGTTCACCCGTCAAAGCCCCAACCTTGTTCATCTTGATGCGCATCTTGGCCTTCGTCGCTTCATCCACTGTTTCACCTGCCAACGCCTTGTGTCCCTTCTTCTTCTTGTGCGCCTTGGACTTCACCGCGTCAACCGCTTCGCCGGTCAAGGTTTTACTTGCCTCCTTCTGCTTCTTGTCGACATCCAGAAACGCTTGCTCGATTGCTGGATTGCTGGATTGCTGGATTGCTGGCGCTGTTTGGTACAATATTTAGAATTTCAGAAATCACCTCTATCGAAAAGGAAAATCAGACGTAGTCGACGGCCCCATCTCACCAGACCGATTACATTAAAATATGTCTGTGTCTGAAAAAGTGGAACTTGATCGAGTGTGTGCCTACTTGCATTCGATTCCTGAGCAATCTACATTGCATGACAGGCAAGTGTGCTACTTTAATCGTCATGCAAAAGCGCAGACTGTGATGCGCGCTACGCATGAGACGACGTCAGCAATCATGCTCGAGTGCGCTTCAAGGTGGCAGGCTCCTGCTCCATCGTAAAGCCTCACAAAATAAATTGAAATTCCAGACCCAGAACACATATTATTTGCAATCCACTCACTCGTAGCAAATCCAATTCTATACGGGTTTCCAGTTCGACGGGCTGATCGGCGGCGTGTCGGCCTGCTCCAGCAGCCCCTTGATTTCGTGGCCGCTCCAAACCATTTTTTTCGCACGGTCCTCCTCCATTTTCTTCTCCGCGGCCACCAGGGCGGCGGAGGAAATGAACAGCTTCTGCGCAGTCTTGGTCATCCTGGACAGCAATAAGATGAACCTGTTCGAAATTGTAATTGAATATTGGTCGTTCACCTGCATTAGAAATTAAAATGATGACTTCGCAGAGTGCAGCCGTACTTTAAGTAATAAATTTCTGCAGCGCACAAAGTAAGCGGCACCGATCCCGCCACGCATCTTTGATGTTAATGTTGATGATGCTGATACATACTAAAGCATGCTACTTGCGCTTATGAATTAAAAGTCAATCGCTATATAACAATCAGAATACCGGACGCCTGACGGTTCTGCTAAGTGCTGTGGAAGGATGGGACGAAAGATGTTGCTCTACTTGTGTCGAAACAACTCAAGACGGTGAGTGCCTGTTATTCGAGTTGTTCTTTGCGTTTTGGTTTCTTTCATCAAGTCAGCATCCGTTTCTAAAAAACGAGATGAAAATGAGAGATGATTAAAGCAAAGCGCTTGATTTATAATCGTATTCACTGTTACCTCGTCGGCTTCTACTGAAATCCGAAGGAATGCCATAAGAGAAGAGTTCCTGCGGAATCCAAAAAAAAAATCCGATACCTTTAGCTTCACGTGAGCGGTTGCGTTTCGAAGGTTGCGCTGCGTCTCCACCGGACGAGTGCGCTATTTTTGTTGTTTTCCTGTTGCTCCTGGGAACAAAAAAGAAAAAAATCCTGCTTGTAAGGTTGCTGTTTTGGGACCATAATATAAAAGTACTTTGACGTCACAACTTGTCCACACTTCTACAGGGATGTGGATGACAATCTACTTGGTTCGGCTTTATTCGTATCTCTAACAGCCCGGCCTCTATCTTCCTACAGCAACGTACGCAACGAGTACGAGTCTTCGCACGAACCGCTTGCTCTTGATGATGTAGAACGATGCGCGATCGCGACGGGGAAGTCTAGGCTTTTCAACGAGGAGGACTTTTGGACGTCATCGTATTTGTACGCTCACGAGACCCTAAATTCGTCCTACTGGGCGACGACGTGACGAGTTAGTACGATCGGGCGATTATAGAACAAATCATCATCTATTCGGCTTTGCACTGGCACGATACTATTACTAGTATGACCGAAAGTGTCTACGAACGGCGCGTTCGCTTCTACGATGTTTTTATCTTATTAGAGTGGCGTTGCAATTGATGAATGTATTCTGTTCAGCGGTGTCGCCTTAGAATGTCCTTCGGGGAGTAGCGCTGCAATTATTTGCTTCAGCTTGAAAATTCACGTTTGCAGAACGAACAGCCAGCGTAACAATCATGACAGTGCCTGTGGTCTAACAGTGGCGCGTCTTTGGATTGACAACCTGCCGGATGTACAACATTTGTCTTTTTGTAGAACAAGTCAAGAAGTACGCACTATACCCTCCTCGTGCTTATTGTATAATACGACACGAGCGAGAAGAAACGCACAGTTGCACACACCGTGGCGAAAAGAAAACAAATCCGCAGCAGGGTAGTTACATACTCGGCTGCAGCTGTGCCAAGATCTTCTGCCCTGCTCGCAAGCACCTCTTCCTTGCTGCGTGGGAGGACCAGGATCAGAATCTGCGAAATCCGTTTGACCCATTGATCTCCTTGGCTGGGTCCAGGTTCACGTTCCGATCTTCTTGTTCAGATATTTATAAGTAGGTGACACTTTCGATTCTCGCATCCACTTCGACAGCTTGGCCTCAGAAAAATGCCGTGTCGGAACGAGGCCAGCTACTCGAGCTCGTGGTCTTTCAAACAAGTGTCAATAAATATTAAGGGGGCTCTCTGTGATACGCCGACGAGCAAAAGCAGTTCATTGTTGATCTCCCTGGACGCGACAGTTTGGACGTAACATGGGTTCATCTGCTCATCCTTTTGTGTACTTAGCTGAAAGATGAAGATCGGGATCGGCAACGAAACACTTCATGAAAAAATGCAACATCGATCGTGGAGGCCGAGTGTGGCCATGATCGACTACTACTACGATTGATCCAAGGGCCAGAAATAGTAGAGAAGGTGGTCTCTGTAAAATAAAATCGCTGTCTTTCCAAAGCAGAACATGAGGAGCGTCGACTCAAGTAGACGTAGATCGGCTGCAACAAGGCCATGTCACGATGAATCCAGAATGTACCAAATATAGCCGCCGAGGCGGGGGTAGTGAGGTCCAGCGGGGTCTTTTTGCCAGACTGGACGACGCTGGGCCTTTTTGCTCTTTTCAGAGGAGAAACGCTTTCCCGCACGCTATGGCCCCAGAAGGGCCTCCGCCAGGGTCGGCCCTGTGGGCCGCCAAAATCGGGACCATAGCATGCGGGTTGGCCTGCTGCTTTTGGCGAGGTTTGCGTCCTTTGGTTTTTTTTTGTTGAAAAGCCGCGCCCCTGCCGCCTCCTGAATCGAAACGCTTTCCCGCATGCTATAGCCACCCAAGGGCCCCCACCAAGCCCGCCGCCCTGGGCGCCCCACATCGGGCCCATAGCATGCGGATTGGCTGAGATTTTGGCGAGCTTTCCGCCTTTTGTTTTTTTTTGTTGAAAAGTCGCACTTTTTGGATTGTTCCCCGCATTACAAATGCCCGTTTTTGGTGGCCGTCTTTGCGACCTCCAAAAGTGGCCAAAAATGGTGGCCATAGCATGCGGATTCGCAGCTTTTTTCGGCTTGGCATTTTTTCGGCGCCCCTTTTTGGGCGCCCCAAATCGGCGGAATTAGGTGCGCTGGGCGCCTCAGAAGGGCGCCCCTTTTGCCGGCTCCTCTGCGTCGTTTTTTAGATCGGCGACCGATAGAATCCGCCGGCGATTCGGTGCCGACACAGCCAGAGCCGACTGATAAATGGGAATTTTTTATGTCAAAAAACGCTTCCGGCCGATTGAAAACTGCCGGCCGTTTTGCTGTCTGGCTGTCAAAAAAACTCCCCGGTTAGAACCGTTCGGTGACCTCACTACATAGATATGAAAACTAAACAGGTCACAAAAAAAAAATCTCTAGAACAACAAGCTCCTGGGAATTCAAACTGTCCTTCTCGGACGTCGAGCAGGAGGTGGTGCGAGGTGATCAGAGTCGGGCTCAAGATCAAGAACGTAGTGGTCTTTTGCAATTGTATTCTGTAACCGGGAACCACGAAACCAGTCGGCTTTTGTTCATGGTTGTCGGAGCTAATCCCGAACCAAAACACACGAATGCTGAACACTATCGATCGCCAGACCGTAGTTGTAGTTCCACTGTCATTGTAACAATGACAAAGTGTTTGCTGCATGAGCATTCCTTATGTGGTTGGAAATCTATAGCGCATCATGCGTAATTCGTATGACTCAAGGACTGCGGAGTACGACACGGGGGCTTTGAGGAATCGCATTCATCTTCACACATGTAGCACATCTGTAACATTCCATTTGCTTTGTACTGCTGATTGTCACATTTTTATATATATGCATTGTCTTCTCTCTTTGTTTTCTTGTTTTCTTGTTTCGTTGTTGTCTTGAGATCTGACAGTTTTTGGTGATTTACCACCATTCTGGGTCGAGTGTTGAGCACTTTCTCGCTGGACAATGTGCATACGCTGACAATGGTGTACGTGATCGTGAAAATCAAGAATTGATGCTTCACGGAGGAGTTCTCGTCTGTCCCAAGACTATAATTTTCTTCGTATCTAGTACAATTATACAAAATACTTATCTCCCTCTTTCAATAAAACACCTGTCCGCCCTTAGTGTTCAAGAGATCAAAGACCAATCCCTATCCACCGATCAACCCATCGTAAGTTTTCAGCGAATGACAAAGATCCGCCAAAGCCGTCGCCACGTGACAGAGATGACAGACGGCGTTTTTACAATGAAGAGATACTTACTTTAAACTGGCGTTTCTACAAGCAGCTTCCGTCATTTCAAACGCTGTCGTGCAAACTCTTGCACCTCCTTCTAGAGCATGATTATACATTTTTAGAGCTAACTCTTGCACCTACATTCAACAGCATGATTATACTTTTTTAAAGCTACAGGTTGGATCAGTAGGACAAGTGTAGTTTATTTCTCACGACTCTTTTTGATTTTATTCCACCTCCCGACGAGACGCAAGAATTGCTTGTTCCCTCGTTCAAGTGCGTCGAAATTGTTCGTCTGCACGGACGGCATCTGCACGAAGGTCTACTTCGCATCATGGCATGTTAGACGACCATCGCGGAATTTTTACAGGGCGGCTCTAACTTCGACCTCCCCCCAATTGATATTTGTCGGGACGAGATTTTCCCGGATTTTCAAGGTCCCCTTCAGCCGCGCCATAGCCTTGGCGAAGCCGAGTTGCAAAGCGCCACGTGTACGCACCTCGGTCGCCTCTTCTTCGAACACCTGTTGCAGCTATGCATTGCAAATATCGTCCTCGATCTGGGTTAGCTGGATTTGTGATGCAGGATTCGTATGACTATAAGACTGCAATCGGTCGTTGTGCTGCGTGAAAATACTTACTTTTTCTGAGTACCTTTTTGTCCTCGTGCTGAGCGGCAATTCTCCGGAATGCGACTTCTTTTCACGAGTGAGTCCGCAACTACAACCGGGCTTAGAAACTTGTTACGGTCATGCGTTATTTCATATTGCGGTTATTCCGTACCAAAAGGAGTTTTATTTAGACCTGTCATGCAAGAATAGACTCCACATGACAAGAACTTCGTCGTGCTTTTAGTTTTATCCCGCTGAGGACCCCGACTTTTTATATTTGCAGTTGGTAGCAACACGCTCGGTGAACTACGACTAGAAGCAGGCAACCCGCCCTCCTTGTCCGCCGCCCCTGTACACAAGCCCCTCACCCAGGTCGCTTTGCTATCCATCGCGAACTCAACGGCCCTGACTTCAAAGGCGGCGGGGTCGCGCGAAATTATCCCCGCACTCGGTCGTCGGACGGCTCCACGTAGTGCGGCCCGTCCTCGCTCCTTCTCCTGCTGCTGCACGACATGGACATACGTGAGGTACTCCCCCACTAAGTAAAACTCGAAGGCTTCTAGGAAGTCCGCGCGGGCTTTCTGCAATTCCATGTCCTTCTCACTCATGTGGCTACTTTGCGGCTGCGCTCCCGCCCGCTCCTCGGGGTGGTCCCGGATCGCTGTAGCCGAATTGAGGATCTTTGTAGCCGCCTTCAGGAAAGTTTTCCTCGCGACCCCCTGCAGGTCACGGAAAGATCTATCAACTGCAACAATGTCTGAGTCTGGTGTCATGCACGTTTTGCATGAGCCATGATGTCTGCGGTGCATGCCGTAACATCACAGATTTTTTGAGGGATTCTTTTTCTTGATGCCTATTCTGCATGACAAATGCCCCTTCAGCATCCGCGTAGCAAAAGTCACATTCTCTTTGCTGCTCGTCATGCAATACAAATTTTTTTAGCATCCAAAAACAGCATCACAAGTTGCATTCCTCCAGACCAAGACATTTTTGCATGTGATAAGATCTTCGTGGACCGTAGTTCCGCTTGAACCACGTCGAGTACTGATTGTCGAATTTCGTGTAGTACTATCCAATGCAAATATAATGTCTGGGTCCGGAAGATTCCGAGCTTTGTCATGCATTTTTTCCAAGCTCCGCCAGGTCTGGAATGCAGGGCCTAGCGTCACAGGTTCTGCAGCCCCTTGGTAATGTCTTTTCTGCACGAGAAATGCCCTATCAGCATGCCCAGAGAAAAGCGCCTTTTGCAAGCCATGCAATACAGATTTTTGTGTGATCCGCAAAACGCATCACAAGTTCGCAGCCTTGTTCCAGACCAAGACATCTTTGCGATGCATATGTACCGCCGAAAAGCAGTGTCGTACGTTCCAACAAGCTTATAGTTGCTCGTGCCCGCGATTTTGTTTCTCGAGAAAGAGACGCTTTCGGGACTAGAAAACGTCCTGTTCTCCTCCTCTCGTTTCGCCACCCGGGATAGCGCCTCGTTTTGCCCGATATGCTTTGCAAATCATGTCTGGGCCTGGCAGATGAGTGCGATAAGGTTTGTCATGCTTGTCTGGTATGACTCTGAGGTATGTGAAGATCATGCAGCTGCCAGGTCGGTGTACAAAAAGTAAAAGACAGAGAGCCGCCTCCCTGTCATTATGAAACCGCAGGAGTAGTCTCCCATAATGTGGCATTAAAGATACGGAAAAAAATAACGCGACACAAAAAGTTGTCATGCCATTGACTGCGTAGTGCAAAACTCCATCATCGTGAACAGTTGTGCAGCCTAGCAGGAGCGTCGTTACAACCACTTATTTCCACCAGAGGACCACACCAGCACAGACCCAGGGTCTCCACCAGACCCAACATTTTTATTTATGTTTGCATTCGATACCCGATAGCATAGGCGTATTTGGCGAGCAGCCTTCGCAGCACGAGATATTCAAAGGCTTCCGCGTCATCCTCAAAGATTGTCGCGTCGGCTACCGTTCTTTCTAGTCGTAGCTCAAAAGCACTGCGACGACGATGATCAAGCGGGGTGGGGGTCCCAGAAGCAGGACGAGCCAGAAAAGCAGTGTAAGGGGACGATAGGGTGGCAGCTCGATCTAGTTGTACTTGCCTTTCGTGATGTGCAGAAGTGATGTCCCAACTCGCCGGCCCGTGCGGATAATCACTTGCATCTTCTGAGCTTCTACTTCTATCAAGACAGGGCATTAAGCGTTGCCGCCACGACCGCCTTCCTCCGGTTGTACCACGACCACGGCCCTCCGTACTAGAGGTTGTAGTTCTGGGCGGCCTGTAGTTGACGACGTCAGAAGCGGTGGCGGTGCCTATCCATTGCAAATATCGTCCCTGGGGCGTGTCTGGAAGGATACGAACTTGTCATGCGTGTTCCGGATCATATAAACATCTAGTTGCATGGACGTATGACCACTTGCAAAAAATAACTAAAGGGGGCCACTTCTGGCCATGCTGCATTGGCTCATGCAGAATCATAGGAAGGCATCATCACCTAGAGGCTGCAAGCAGAGCTTGTGATGCTAGGCCCGGCATTCCAGATCCAGACGTGGTGGAGCAGGATCAGGAACTAGACCTTGGACGAAAATAAATCTGCATGACAATAAAACTCGGAATCGACCCTCCAGACCGAGACCAGAACACGCTTGCATTTGATAGAGGTGCCGTGAATTGTTTGCAGAAATTCTTGTCCCGCAAATTCCAAACGCTCAACTTGACCAACAACAGGAGGTTGCTGCAGCCCTTCTCCTCGATGATGCTCTTCAATATGGTTATGAGGGAAGTGCTGCTTTCGGTCGGGTGTTTGAGCGGGATGCAGGAGGGACTGACGCAGGTACAGGTTGCTCCTCTCGTCCGACCGAAAGCCAAATCCGAGCCCGGCAGCTTCACGACGATCATCACGACCAGGACGATCATCCGTGGAGCTACCAGGACGATGAGGTCCCAGTCCTCGTGAAGAACGAGCCACGACCCCGGACGTCTGTCCGAGTTCCAAAAGCTGCAGTAGAGCAGCGACCCTCAGCAACATGGCAATGCCGCGACGAGAGCTGCGAGAGGTCATGGTCATCGTGAAGAACATAATTAAAATTGTAAAGTTAATGTAAATGTTAAGTTAAACTCACAGTAATAAAGATCTACAGAAAAATAATTTTGTTTGGAAATAGATAGTACTATGTGTGGAAAAGCAGGTTGGGATAGGGAAGATTAGTTGCTTGTCAATAATTCGTCTTCAAATACGTAAAAGGGAAAGTTCTTTTGGGCGACAGTTGGTAAACCGCCAGCAAGAGTTTTTTAGGTTTTTTTTCGTCGCTTTATGTACAAGCTATGGTGGTTTGTCTTTGTTCTAGTTGTAGTTCTACTTTTCGTTTTCCAGCAAATAATAAACTGTACCAGTAGAGGCGCTCTTTCGGTTGATTTGCGGTGTTTATTCCCATTCTTGGTGCATCAAACGATCGTCCTCGCACTTTTCATTCACATTCTAGATGGTACTTTTGGTCAACTACATTTTTGTCAGTGAAAAAATTCTACCGAATTATCCATCGGCCTAGACCGAGAGTGCACAGAGGCAGAAGAGTAGAGTAGATCCTGATCAATTATACCGACATCTCTATACTTTTGCGATTTTCGACGATCGAAGATATTCTGCGGAGCTGTTGAAGACCTCCTTGTGGGGGTTCAGATCTTGTTCAGATCATATCAGTATCGGACGCTGATTCTCGCATCTACTTCTACAGCCTGGCTTCAGAAAAATGCTGTGTCACAACGATGAAACCAGCTGAGCTACTCTGGGTGGTCTTGTTTCAAGCCACTGTCAATAAGGGTCTGTATCATTGTCGACCAAAAGCACTTTGATTGTTGATCTCCAGGGACATTTGGACGTGGGCTTTCATCCTTTTGTGTCGTGCTGAAAAGATCGGCAAACAAACAGTTCACGAAATCAAATGCAACATCGATCGTCGAGGCGTGTGGCCATCGACTACGATTGATCCAAGGGCCAAAAATTATTTACAGGTAGCCTCTGCTGGAAAAAATCACTTCTGTCTTTCCAAAGCAAAACATGAGGAACGTCAACGTCGCCACCGAGAATTCGTTTGATCAAGACGTGGATCAGCATGGCATCGTGTCCTCACGAAGCCAGAAAAATAAAAAGATCAACAAACAAGAGACCGTAGCCGAGAGGACGTCGAGCGGCGTAACCCGGAAAAAAACAAAAGCACTCCTCAACACAGTAGCCGCCGTCGTCCCGCGGCCCACTGCATCGACAGTAGAAGCCACAGTCGCGCCAATTTTCCTCTCGCGGTCTTGCTCAAGTCTGCAGGTGATTATGTCATGTCTTGCTTTGATGTCAATGTGTGCATTTTCAATACATTCGTATTTTGGAGGGCATGAGAATGTTATCTGAAATAGCATTTGATCATACCTGAGGACCACTGGGACAAAGACAGCTGCAGCTCATAAATTAGTTTCGCAACGCTCTTTTTTTTGTACATGACTACTGCTACATGGAGCGAATGTTTGGTACATAGCGGCGGTAGCTGCGTGTAAAAACTACTCCGAGGGGGTGTAATACAAAGCCGGGGGAAATGAGCAATAGAATATAGAAACAAGGAGCGACGTTAGTATAATTTCGTGTACTTCTACTAGCAGCTGTGCTGGAACTACACTGGGGCGCAAAGCAGATATATACTGCAATCATGTAGTAGCGTAAAAAGCCCGGCGCCGCGTATCCATAATAGTACCTAGCACAGCCGTTTCTACTCCGTGGTCCATTTTTTGCTAAATAATCATAAATGAGTGAAAGTTCAAATTGTCCATTAAGCTCCTCCTCGCTCGGAAATTTTTTGTGTTAAGGAAAGAGTAGCGGTGAGCTAAACCAGTAGAATTTTACCATTAAGCCCATTGGGTTGTTTGTTAAAATTTTGCATTTGCTGCTAAAGATCCTGGTAGTAGAAATAGCACGAGCACTCGCCACAGGTGGTGCTTCTTCATCAATTTTACGTATTGATGATAAGTTACAGCATTTGTGTGTAAGTACTTCTTTTCTTCCCACCACGAAAAAACTCAAAAAGTATCCCTCACACCGCCGCCCGTTTGATTTTCCGAATCCAATCCGAGAGGGGCCGCATCTCCGACTTCTTATCGGGGTACTGCTGAAGAATCTGCTGCAGCAGCGGTTCGAGATCCTGCAGAAAGGATTGCATTTCCTCTTTCCCTCCGCTGAAAAAATCCTGCCATATGGGCAGAAAGTCCTCGTTTTATCCTATGCAAAAACGTCCCCGCCCCATAGTCAAGATGGGGACTCGGCTAGACAAGTCCACAAGTTTTGGCTGTTTTGCATGACAGATTTGGACTCGTAGTGCAGTGCTGTTTGAGCTAGCTCAGCAGCATCACAGACCTAGTATATCATGCTGATTCGAGCATGACAAATTCCAAAACACAACTGGAAAATGCTTCTCATGGGGCTCCGTATGAGAAACATTTTCAGCATTCAGATTTGCATCACAACTCTGGGGTGGGGACGTTTTTACACAGGATACGTTCTCCGCTAACTTTGCGAATCCCTCTACGGCAACACCTGGAATTATATATTTTTGTAGTGTTGCGTCGTGGTATCTATTTCACATTGTCCCTGAGTTTATTCTTCAAATTCTTCTACAACTAGTACGACCTTCACGTCGAACTACCTCAGCAAACAACAATAGATGCTACCGAGGAAGTCTATCTGGTAGTCCCCCTTCCTGGCGACCACGTGGCGCAAGACGAGATAAAGTATTCTGTGTTCCTTCAGTATCCAAGAAATAAAAACGTTGCTATTGTAAATTTGTGATGCGCAACATGCAAAGTGATTGCGTCTGTCATGCTTGGCATGCATCGTAGGATCCATTAAAGGGCGTTTTCGCGTACGATCTGCGCATGACAGGTTTTTGCTGTCATGCCAGACAAATTTGTAATGCTGTTCCTCCAAAAAAGTTACACCTACAATGTTTTTTTCTTGGATATTCAGCTTCGCCAGGAGCTCCCGGTTGTTCAGTTGCTCGGCGTGCTTCATGAGGGCCGTAAAGTAGTAGATGACCACATTTTCCTGGGATTTCAGACTCTCCTTGTACACGTTGTCACCCTTCCTATCGTGCGCGGTTGTGAGGACCTGACGAGAGGACATTTCGTTCATGATCTACTTCCGTATTCGTATTGATTCACTTTTGTCATGCCAGCATTGCAGTTGGAAGCGAGAAAAGCGTGCCAACGTCCATGCAAAGAAGAAAGTAAGTATACTATACCGTGGCGATATGCTCGATGAGCAGAATGCAGTCGGTGAGCTGCAGCGTCTCCACGTGCATAAAGCCCCGAAGCAGTAGGAGCCCCAGCGATTCTTCAAACAGATTGCATTTCCGTATTGCAGCGGGCCTAAAAATGTTTATTGGACAATTTCGTTTCCAACTCATAGTAGATGCCACAACCAGTAGAAGCAAAGCGAACACAATGCTGCGCAAGGAACTACTTACTTTCACGCCACAACACATTCACATTCCTGAAAGAAATCATAATGATATCAGAAAAAAGGAATCCAAAGTCCACACTAGAATCTGATTCTAGTGTGGGTTGATTATCAACAGTACTCGTCCATGTTCAGCTGCGCGCATATCTCTCGGAGTCTCCTGTCCTGCGCTATCGTATCCCCCACGGCAAACTGCCACTCTTTGTAGTCTATCATCATCCGGAGGCAGACATTCACTTTCGCTTCCTCTACCAAAATCCTAATCGCGTCTTCGTGCGCCGCTTGGTCCCACAACGTGCCCTCGGAAGTAGAAACGCGACCTTGGAATTACAGTTGTAACAGAAGGTTTAGGGATAGAGAATTCTTCTTGTCACCATCTGCACCTGCATGGTCGCCCTATCTGTCATCAACATGCAAATATATGCGAATGTGATTTCGTCACTCACGTTTGAGTAGCAACAATGCGCCACGATAACTACATGAACTTCTACAAGCAACGTGTCACTGGATCTACCTTTCTGCTCCGCGACGCTTTCTTCACTTGGTATCAGTGACTCCAGCTGTGCTAGCCGCGATAACTGCTCCAGCGAATCCACCAGAGTGAGCCAGTTCATGCACAGGACCTATCAAATGCAAATATCCCTGGATGTCTGCAAGAATGCAAGTCTGTCATGCTTGTCTGGCATGACTCTCAAACCTGTGATGCGTGAGCACGAGAAGGCTGTCGTCTTGCGTGTTCCGCATGACATGCGGAATACGCAACACCTAGCAGCCCAAAAATTTGTCATGCTTGGCTGCGTATTGCAGTGCGAATATCTTTCATTTTTAGCACTACCACTTTCCAGACCCAGACATATTTGCAACGCATAGGACCGGGTGTATCCTCAATTGTCGGACGCACTGCCGCGCGGCCTGTATCAAAAGGAAGAATCACCCCTCCGCATATCGAAAGCGAAATTTGTGATGCTGTATTTGAGTACACAAAGCGACTTGTATTGCTAGAAGGCCAAGAGCCGGAGTTGTGGCCTCATTTGCAGGCAATTTGTCATCGTGTTTCCCAGTTCCAGCTGCCTCCTGTCATGCTGAAGATGCAAGGCCTTCCCACGCCACCCTGCACTACAGTCCGCGTCTTTTCCCTTCTAACATGACAAAGCTGTTTTGTGTACACAAATCCAGCATCAGAAGTTCCGTTTTGATATGGGGAGGGGGGATTTTTCTTGTTGATAGCCTGGGCTCGGACTTCCGATGCATCCGACGTGCGGTCGTCGTCCGACTTGGTCTGCGATTCGTATTTCTGCGATTTTGTCTTGAACATCACCGTCATTTGGGGGTGGATGACGAGGGAGATTGGTTTTTCTTTTTACAGGCGGTGTTTAAACAATAAACCTTGTTCCGAGATGAAGATACCGCCGACTCATGCGTGGAGAGAAAAAATGCCGACCCCGGATGTCTGGAATGAGCTTGTTCTCCCAGGTGTCGGCGGGCGCTTCCGCGGCAGGCCGTTGGTTCAACCGGATGGGAGAAGGAAGTTTTCGTGGTTGCGATATTACGAAAGACGCTTCTACTAGCGGTGGCGACGCAGTCGCAGCATCGAAGACTTCATTATGTTTTACTACTTGTTTGATGTTCTTGTGTGGGTTTTTTGCAACGCTCTGCTGCATGCTCATCATACTTTTTTCCGTTTTAAGGAGCGTCCCTCGTGCGTCCCTCAGTTCCGTGAGGATGCGCTCATCCTTTCTTGGCGCCAGGGTCTTTGGAGGCACTGCTCCGGTGAAGAAGGCCTTAGTGCCACTCGCTCCCAGAAGCTGTGAAACAACTACACGCAGAGTCATTTGCTGATGTTGTTCCATATACACGACACTCCAGGCGGGCATAGCATTAACATCTTCTTCGCTCAACATCACTCAAGTTAGTTTTAGACACTTCAAGAAGCCACCTGGTTAGAGGCGACCAAACCACGGGGAAAAAAACTTTCTACGAACGCAACTACACGGATGGACGGACAGCTAGTACTTCTCGGTACGGCAAGCAAGACGGCTAGCGGCAACCGGAAAAACGGCAAAGTTTGTCGCTCATGAAGCGTATGCCGCTCGATAAAATTTCTTGTGTACAAAACATTTGCCATGTTGGATGTCATGCAATATTCGATTTTCGAATGGTGTGCTTGTGAGGATCCGCTTGTTCCTGATGTGTTCTCGTCAACATCATGAAGTCATGAATTTTCCTTGCAACAATCTACTACAACTGTGACATAATTCTCTGTACAAAAGACTTTTGTTTGTGTTGACCAGATCAACATGAAAACGACGACATGCTTCTAGTTTCTCTAGTTCTAGCACCACCATTATTATCATGGGGTTACTACGGTCTCTGTATGCTTTCAGGGCCATTAGCAGCCCATTATTATCTATGTAGAACTTATGCTTCTTGATTTTTCGGAGGGTGGTAGGATCGATCTTTTTGATCAGCTCGCGAATGTGATGGATAAGACCAAAACACTCGCCATCAAAAGAATCAGGATCCGCTTCTGGGATCTCTGACACAATGCCACAACAGCTCACCACCAGTGGTGCGGGGGTCTCCTCCTGGAACTTGCATCCCGACCAGGAGGCACCGCCCCCGCTGCCCGTGTCCCCTTTTGCTCCTCCGTCTGTGCATGAGACCATTATTGTTGGATCTGCGATGGCCCGCTGGATCTCGGCCTCTGTGATCTGGGAGATCAGCAACCTGCACTTGTCCTTCAGCTTGTGGTCGTCTCCGCATGCTGCTGGGTCCGGGACCCCGAAATCCGCCGCCACCGTGCTCATGTCGCGCACACTAATCTTGTCCACGCCTCGCCAATACTTCCTACCGATGCTGAGCGCTACTGCTGCCTCCGCTAGTTCCCTAAAGTCGTCGCTCAGTGCTATGCGGTTCATCCTGTCAGACCAGGCCTCTGTGCACGGGGCCCACAACGGGTTGACAAACTGCGCGGCTCCGACTACTTCTCCCGGATCTCCTTGTGCGTGGATGTTCGCTGACGAGGGAAACTCGTCGGCCTCAACATCTTCATCAACTTCTTCTGCATCCGGGGTGCCGGCGGTGGGTGGAGGAGAGGGAGGACGCGCGGCACTACTGCTACTGCTACTTTTACTGCCTACTGCTGCTGAGGTTGCTTCTCCCGGGGGCGCCGGAGGATGAGGACGGAGCGCCGACGCCCTGACACTATCTGACTCATTACTGCCGGATCTATCTGCAGCTGGCGGTACGGAGAGGTGGTGGGAGCTGCTACTGCTGCTTGACATACCGGCCTGCGGCAGGGAGGACAGGAGAAGGGAACTACTACTGCTACTGCTGCTTACCTGTGGCGCAGGTGGACGTTTGCTACTGCTACTGCTGCTGGGGGCGCTTTCGCCAACTGCGACATCATTCCGCGGCGGGGTGGGGAGGGATACAGCGTTACTACTGTTGCTGCTGCTACTGCTGCACAGCGGCGCCGGCGTGGGAGGAAGAGGGCCGGCGGCTGCAACAAGTCCTACGGCCGGCCGGAAGCTCGGGATGTTGTCACTGCTGAGGTGGAGGCTCCATAGCTGCTGCGCCGCGCCCTTGAAGAACACCATCAACGCGTCCACCAGCATGTAGTCGATGGGAGGGGCGAGGCCGGTAGTGTGGAAGAGGACGGCATTGCTAGTATTCTTCGGGAGGTCGAGGCGTTGTTTGATTTTACTACTGAAGGCCGCGCTGATCTCTTTCTTGGCCGCCAGCGTGAAGAAGGGAAAAGTCACCACCGAAATGGAGGTGACTGCAGGATAGGCGAAGGCGTTCATCAACATTATAAGCTGCTTGACTCCCCACCCCGTACAAAAGACTTTTGTTTGTGTTCACCAGGAGCCTTCCTTCGATCAACATGAAAACGACGACATGCGAGGAAAGGGACAAGGGGAAGGGGCCGCTATGTGGCAGGCCATACAGCTACGTACAGGCGCACCGGCCGGGAAGGCCTCGCGGCCCGCCAGGAAGCCGCCGGTTTGTCCTCAGACACGGTGGGGCGCTCCATTTTCTCCGGTTGGGGGCCCCTCCCAACCGGAAAAAATCGAGCATCCCACCGTGTCTGAGGACGGGCCGGCGGCTTCCCGACGGGCCGTCGAGGCCTTCCCGTGGCGCCTGTTGCTGTTCTTTTTTCGCCCTTCCCTTCGCATTTTCTGTGGCCTTCAGGTCGGTTCATTCCCCCGCCCCTCTTCCGACCTGACTCAACATCTCGCGACCTTGGGGCAGACAAGGGCGGAGGAGTCCTCGTTTGGCCCTCTACTAGCTTTACCCCACACAGAGGGCCGCAATGCTTGGTCCGACATTCGCACGACTTCCCCTCGGCACCGCTACGGAGCCTGCGCGTCTGTCAAAAAGCGGCGCGTCTGCTTTGAGGGTGCTTGTCGCAAAATAGTCCTCGCGATAGTCGCTAAGCAGCACGCCGGTGGCCGGACAGCCCAGAAGGCATGCGCGCACAGCCGCGCATAGAAATTCGCGCTGCTCCCGCTGGTGCCACCGAAGGCCGCCAATTGGCACACGGAACGAGGGCGCGCGCGTCAGGGTAGAAGGGGCACAACCTGAAAAGGCCGGGGCGCTCTTGGGCCGCCCTTTCGTGCTTTTCTGCCCCGTTAGTTGCCGTTTTGTTTTCATTTGGTCGGCGTTTAGGAGCCTTTTTCTTTGCTAGGCCGATTTGTTCCTAAGCCTTCCTTCGATCAACATGAAAACGACGACATGCGAGGAAACTGAACCTTCCTCTTCCTCTTCCTCTTCCTCTTCCTCTTCCTCCGACAAATCCGAGCCACGCCCGTTGCTGTCACTGTCGTCTTCGTCACCATGCTCATTTTTGAACTCTGCAAGCATATCGAAGAGCGACTTCCCGGTGAGCCAATCGAAAGCGAAAGTGTTGGTGGAGATGCTAAAATCTAGCGACGCATACCAAACCTCGCCCTCCCCGGCAAAAGCTTCGAAAATTTCGTCGAACGTGTGCCCGGGCGTGCGCGGGATCGCTGGAAGGGCGGCATGGAACTCGTAGCCGCTGCTGTGTGATGGCCGGTGGTCCAGCTCCTGAAAACTCACCGACCGGCTATGCCCCTCGCAGGGTGACAACATGTAGATCTTGTCCACCTGCGGTCTGTTGCCCGCCCCGGACCCCGAACTCGACATACCACCAAAAGCTAAACCGCTGTTCCCGGAGGCCGGGTCCTTACCGAACACAAGCGCACCAACACGGCCGGAATCCCTTGCGTCCTCTGCGTGCAGAATGGTCCGGACAATCTCGCGTGGCTGCATGTCTCGTTCAAAGTCGTGCTCTTCGTACGCCATCTGCAGCGAAGTTCCCGCCCAGGAGCGCGGCGCCTTGCACGCTCGCGTGCGGGCATTTGAAATCTCCTGCTGACTTTCGGTCCAGTACTTCTGCAGAACGGCCAGTGGTATTGGCAGCTCCGGTCGGCCCGAAGCCGTTCCTGCGGAGGTAGGCCCCGCCTGCGTAGCCGCCGTTGCCTCCCGGCTCAGTGTCTGTCCCAAAGCGCTGGCCTGGGCCGGGCGCTGCGCTGCTGCGGTAGTGCTGCTAGAGTTGTTCACCCACTGGACCTGGCCGCCCGCGTCGATTACTACCTGTCCGCCCCGTGAAGAAGAATTTGCCGTGGCGCCACCGCTTCCGAGAGCCGAAGTGGAGACTGACTGTGGTCCACCGCCCCGTTCCAAGTCGGCCTTCATCCGCTTCGGATATGGGGTGCGCAAAATCCATCAAAGTCAGATAGTGTTTACAAAAAAGAGAAATGGTAAAGACAATTACTATCTGAATCTACATCGCACTGCAAACTGGGTGACCAGATGAAATTTGCGCACCTCATATCCGGTCGGGCTCGTAAATTGCTTTTTCTTCCTCCGGCATTTCTTTCCACCTTTCCGCAGCCTGATGGAAGGTCTCGCGCGCCTGCGCCTGCACGGCGCTGCCGAAGGCTGGGTCAAGGACATCAGGATCGCGAAGGGTAGGGAGGCCGCGAACATCATTGCGCCCATCGCGTATCCCTTGGCAGCATCCAGCACCGCCGTCGACAACATGAAACCGACCTTCCTTCGATCAACATGAAACCGACGACATGCGAGGAAACCACAACAAGAACGCTATTACGAAAGTATCCGTCAACACAAATTCCCAGTACGACATCAACGGGTCCACATATATTCCCGGTACGACAATAACGGTGAGGAGAGGGAGGTGGTGGGTGGAGGAGAGGGAGGACGCGCGGCACTACTGCTACTGCTACTTTTACTGCCTACTGCTGCTGAGGTTGCTTCTCCCGGGGGCGCCGGAGGATGAGGACGGAGCGCCGACGCCCTGACACTATCTGACTCATTACTGCCGGATCTATCTGCAGCTGGCGGTACGGAGAGGTGGTGGGAGCTGCTACTGCTGCTTGACATACCGGCCTGCGGCAGGGAGGACAGGAGAAGGGAACTACTACTGCTACTGCTGCTTACCTGTGGCGCAGGTGGACGTTTGCTACTGCTACTGCTGCTGGGGGCGCTTTCGCCAACTGCGACATCATTCCGCGGCGGGGTGGGGAGGGATACAGCGTTACTACTGTTGCTGCTGCTACTGCTGCACAGCGGCGCCGGCGTGGGAGGAAGAGGGCCGGCGGCTGCAACAAGTCCTACGGCCGGCCGGAAGCTCGGGATGTTGTCACTGCTGAGGTGGAGGCTCCATAGCTGCTGCGCCGCGCCCTTGAAGAACACCATCAACGCGTCCACCAGCATGTAGTCGATGGGAGGGGCGAGGCCGGTAGTGTGGAAGAGGACGGCATTGCTAGTATTCTTCGGGAGGTCGAGGCGTTGTTTGATTTTACTACTGAAGGCCGCGCTGATCTCTTTCTTGGCCGCCAGCGTGAAGAAGGGAAAAGTCACCACCGAAATGGAGGTGACTGCAGGATAGGCGAAGGCGTTCATCAACATTATAAGCTGCTTGACTCCCCACCCCGTACAAAAGACTTTTGTTTGTGTTCACCAGGAGCCTTCCTTCGATCAACATGAAAACGACGACATGCGAGGAAAGGGACAAGGGGAAGGGGCCGCTATGTGGCAGGCCATACAGCTACGTACAGGCGCACCGGCCGGGAAGGCCTCGCGGCCCGCCAGGAAGCCGCCGGTTTGTCCTCAGACACGGTGGGGCGCTCCATTTTCTCCGGTTGGGGGCCCCTCCCAACCGGAAAAAATCGAGCATCCCACCGTGTCTGAGGACGGGCCGGCGGCTTCCCGACGGGCCGTCGAGGCCTTCCCGTGGCGCCTGTTGCTGTTCTTTTTTCGCCCTTCCCTTCGCATTTTCTGTGGCCTTCAGGTCGGTTCATTCCCCCGCCCCTCTTCCGACCTGACTCAACATCTCGCGACCTTGGGGCAGACAAGGGCGGAGGAGTCCTCGTTTGGCCCTCTACTAGCTTTACCCCACACAGAGGGCCGCAATGCTTGGTCCGACATTCGCACGACTTCCCCTCGGCACCGCTACGGAGCCTGCGCGTCTGTCAAAAAGCGGCGCGTCTGCTTTGAGGGTGCTTGTCGCAAAATAGTCCTCGCGATAGTCGCTAAGCAGCACGCCGGTGGCCGGACAGCCCAGAAGGCATGCGCGCACAGCCGCGCATAGAAATTCGCGCTGCTCCCGCTGGTGCCACCGAAGGCCGCCAATTGGCACACGGAACGAGGGCGCGCGCGTCAGGGTAGAAGGGGCACAACCTGAAAAGGCCGGGGCGCTCTTGGGCCGCCCTTTCGTGCTTTTCTGCCCCGTTAGTTGCCGTTTTGTTTTCATTTGGTCGGCGTTTAGGAGCCTTTTTCTTTGCTAGGCCGATTTGTTCCTAAGCCTTCCTTCGATCAACATGAAACCGACGACATGCGAGGAAACTGAACCTTCGTGCCGCTCTTGCGGCAGGCAGGGGTCTCGAAAGATAAAATATTAAGTTTTCTCTGTTGATATCAATTGATATCAAATGATATCAAAAGATATCACAGAGAAAGTTGAAAGCAAAACAGAGAAAAGTGTAAACAAGAAACAGAAACATAAACAGAATGAGAAGAAACAAAAACAAACATAAGCAAAAACATAAAGGATACACATATAAAAACAAACAGAAATGGCTGCTTGCGCATCACAAACTGCCACTTCTGCACAGAAATACCTGTCGCGGCCTCTGAGTTTTCTCTGTGGCGAGAGGAGTTTTCTCTGTGATACAGAGAAAACTTCCCTCCCACAGAGAAAAGTCGACCTTTGCCGAGGGCCGGCATTTCTACTGGAAATCAGAGTAGAAACGCCAGGAGGTCTGGAATTCCTACCGAAAATCCAAGAAGAAGTGCCAGCCTGGCGGAAATCCAGGTAGAAAAAATGCCAGGAGGCCCCCCCCTGGCATTCCTACCGAAAGTCCAGGTAGGTAGAAACGCCAGGAGGGCTGGCAATTCTACTGGAAATCAAGCTAGAAGCGCAAGCGCCATGGCATTCGTGCCAGAGATCGAAGATCCCTACAGGAAATTTAAGTAGAAATGCCAGCAGGCCTGGCATTCCTACAGGAAATCGAAGCAGAAATACCAGGAGGTCTGGCATTCCTACAGGGAATCCAGGCAGAAATACCACCTCAGCCGGCATTTCTACTGGGAATCAAGGCAGAAATGCAAGGCCCAGCATTTCTACTGAGAGAGAATCAAGGTAGGCAGAAAGGCCCGAGCCGGCATCCTCGCCCGGAATCCAGGTAGAAATGCCTCGGCCGGCATTAGGGTACCCGCATCGCGCGCGCAGCGCGCGCGAAGAATTATTTCGCATGGCCTTCCTTCGATCAACATGAAAACGACGCTCTTTTCACCGCTTCGATTTTCTTCGGGGACTACGCGGCCGACATGTCCTCAGGGGATGGGCAGTCGATGACGCTGTCTTGGCACGAGCTGGACAAGGGGGGCATGCGGGAATTCCTGAATTTTGATTGGGGAAACCAGCCGTGGAGCGATGCCGTCCTTGTATGGAACGATGTTCCAAGTGTTTTGGTTTATTGCAATCAGGCACACTAGCCCAGTAGTGCTTGTCGCAATGACGATTTCAATTTTGTAGCAGAAGCCCTGCTATAAGCAAACGCGGAGAGAGCTGGTACTGGTAATGAGTCTCATCCAAACATGTTTTCATTCACACAAGAACTCGTAATTTTTGTGCCAGCCGTCTGTTGTGCACGCGACTGTTGATGACGGTCACTGACACTGTTCCCAAATTGAAGGGTAGTTGCCTTGTTTGCCGCATGCGTTTTGCCAAAACTCCCTTTGCCCTGGTTGATAAAGGGAAAAGGGCTTGATGTCGCCTGGCACGCCCGCCGTCGGACACACGGGTGTCGTCCAACTCCTGAGCAAAATCGGCAGCGGGCGAATCATCTTCTCGCATTTCTTTTTTTGTGTCACGTACTTATACTCATGATCCTATTCCTAATCCTTCCTCTCTAATTTCGCTTTTGTTGTACCAGTTCGAATTTTGCACACGCACGCGCGGGTCTGCATGCAGTAATTACTTGCTGACCCGACCGCCGAGCAATTTCTATTTCTACAAGTTGCAGACTCGGTCACAGCTTACTTTGTAAACTGACACTCACTCACAGTAACCGACGCTATTATATATGGGATCGTTTCAACGCTTAAAATAAAAAAAATTAATTTTTTGCAATTCAAGGGGTTATATAAAATGAAAATCATCAGAAGGTGATGCGGGAACTGCCGCCGTCGCGGGCCTCCCAGGTGAACATCTCCGGCTTGTGTTTTGTTCATGGTAATGAAATTTCTAGACACGTCCCAACTTAAGCTAGTTGAAATGATATGGAAGCTGGAGTCTGTCATCGCGGCAGTAGCAGTTCTAATACCAAGCGCCTTGGTATGGAGAACGTCGCCAGGGCGATCCGGGCCAGCGGGGAAACTGAACCTTCGTCGTCATGGTGACCTTCGATCAACATGAAAGCGACGACATGCGAGGAAACTGAACCTTCGTGCCGCTCTTGCGGCGATACATCACCATGACATAAAAAACAACCGTGAAAAATCACGAATCCATTCGAGCAAACAAAAGGAGCCCCTTGCTTTTTCAAGCAAAGGTGGAACCATGCTGCTACAAGTGCAATAGATTCATGAATTTCTAGATTGAATTATATTGAAACTGAAACCATATTGAAGTAACGAAAAATCATGTTGATGTAAATGAGCATACTGTGAAGTGAAGCAGCTTGAAACATTCCTCTGTGAATTTTCTGTATCTGTTCGCACAATCAAGCTGCAACATTCTTGAAGCCATCATGTGCCCAAAAAAAATTGTAAATAGTATATTGACTTGTTTAAGAAACAACTATGCTGGAAATGGACCAGATTTTGATTTTGTGGCTCGTCTGACTGTGCATTTTTTCTTACCTTGTGCATGTAAAAACTCGGAGGATGGCACATTCCATATCCAATTCGAGTTGAATTGGAGATAATTGAGGTACTCGTTGCCGTACAACTTTATTTGCCTAGAATTGGACTTTTTTTGCGAGTAAGGAGGTGAGTCAGCATTATTTTCATTTTTCCTTCTGCAAGGTAGTTGACTTTCTTTCTAGCCCGGGGTCGTCGTGACAGACGTGTTGGAGATTTTTCATAGTTTAGGTTTACATGTGAAGAAGAAGTACTAAACGCGGAAAATTTTTAGATGGAAAGTAGACCTGAAAATCGTATTCATGGTGTACAACAACTCGTCGTGGTTGTGCTAACGAACAAGCGAGGAAAGAAATCCAGTGTACAATAGCTGTTTTTTACGCACTCGACGCCTGCAGGTACTTGTTCTCCTGTTCGGCAAAAGCTTCGCTGAGCTGCTGACTCCCCCCGAACAACCGCTTGAAGGCTCGGCGATCCAGCATGAGCAGTGTGGAGTCCTTGACCGCGGTCACCGTTGCAGCCCGCACCTGGTCCTTAAGCAGCGTCAGCTCGCCAAAGAAATCCCCCGCATGGTAGTCCAGCGCTTTGTCTGATTTTATTTTATATCGGGTGTTCATTTTATTTCTCATGCGAGCGATTCTGCATGAGGAACAACCAACATCCTGATCCTTGTCATGCATATCGCGCAAATAATAAAACTTATACCTTCCATCCCCTCCTTCACGGCTTTGCACTGCCCGTCTTCCACGATGTAAAACTTGTCCCCGGTGTCCCCCTCCTGGATGATAACTTCCCCCTCCTTAAACGCCTCGGCCACCAGACCCTTATGCATTGCAAACATGTCTGAGTCTGGAAACTTGTCATGCTGGGTGGCGTAATATCATGAGGAGACCACAAGTGCTGGCTCAACATGCCAAGTTTCTGAGCTGCTAGGTCGCGTTGCCTATTCTGCATGACAAAGACAAACTGCGTTTCTGCATGACAGAAAAGCGAGGCTCTACTTGGGTAACGTGCACGACAGATTCAAGAGTCATGCCAGACAAGCATGACAAACGTGCATTCTTCCAGAGCCAGACACTTTTGCATTTGATAACCCTCGCAGATGTGCGATCGCTCGTAGGAGTCGACGGTCTTCAACAGCGGCACTTTGGCGAGGAACCCCTCGTATATGAATGTGCACCAATCCCCCTCCCTCTCGTTTGTCATGCAAGATGCCCAAAAATCCAGGCTGTGGTGTGCCTCTTGGCACTGTTTGCATGACAAGTTCTGGCAGCCCAAGTTAATAGCACTGCAAACCTCCTCTGCAAATCTGTCATGCAAAACCTGCATTCTCGCTGGCGCTTGTATTGCCGTTCATCATGCTACACAAATGAGGAGGAGGGGAAGTTGTGCACTGTCATATCGTAGCGCTCCCGCTTTTTCTGTGCGGACTCCTTCACGATGGCGTTGAACGATTTTCGGTCCAGCTTCCAGAGCACGCAGTCGGTCTTGGCGTCCACGTTTGCAGCCCGGACGGTGTTATACAAAACCGCCAACTCACCGAAAACGTCGCCTGAGAGGTGATAGATGAGGAAGCCGCGTTGGACAAAAAATTCAAAATCTTAATCTCTATTGCGGTAATTCCATCAGAATTTGTCGTGCAAGAACAGCATGATAGATCTTCTTGATCACATGAAGTTTTGTACCTTCCTCCACCGTTTTCAGCAAAGTGTCCTTTCCGTTGATTTCCTTTCGGCACTCCAGTGCCCCAGATTCGATCACAAGTATGGATGTGGGAACGGTTCTTGCTGTGCTTCATGCGATTTTTGCTTTTTCTGCATCACAAACTTTCCTTCGGCGTGACAAATTTTGACTTTTGAAATTTAAATTTCATGTGCTATGCAGAAAATAACGCATGAGAAAACCAGCATGTCCCTTGATGTATGGGAGTGTCAGGATCGAAATCGACAAAATCGAAATAATCTGTAATGCATAAAATGCTACGCAGAGAGCGACTCTATTGCAGAGGATGCAAGGAAGGCGGATTGTAGTCCTGGTAAGGGTTAAGTATTGGGCTGCTGACTAGCATGACAGAAGGCAGCTCTTTTGCCCTAAACCGCATGACAGATTCGCTTCCAGGACGAGGAGAATTTGTCATGCGCCGACTACAAACTGTGGGTCTAACTGGCATCGATTTTGTGCATCACAAGTTTTGCGATTTTGACAATTTCGATTCTGACACTTCCATATGATGTGCCGGAAACATAACGAACAGAAACTCGCCGATATCGCCTATGTTGATCATGTATGAACTGCAAAAGTATCGTAGTCGTATAAATGCATGACAAATTTCCTAAGCATGAGAAATAGAATTTGTAATGCAGAACTGCCTTAAGGACAAGATTTGTAATGCATGATTACTTAGTACGATACGATACTTTTGCATTTCATATCATGCGCTCGCCCTCCTTTGCGTGCACCTCCTCCATAGCGCCAATAACCTAATTATAGGTTTTTACTGTTTTTCGCATGACAAATTTGCTGTGTCATGCCAGAAAGGATGAGGGAAAAACGATTTATATCTATACATCGACTTGTAATGCGGATCATGCAGCTGAAGTGGGATCTGTATTGCTGCTTTGCATCACAAAAAACGAGTTATAGCAATACCTGCTTCATCTCTTTGGCGTCCAGTGCTCGGAACATAAAGGATTTTGACAAGGTCTCCTTTAGTCGGCTCTCCTGGTCCTCCGATTTGGGATAGACTGGTACTTCAAACGCTTCTTTCTTGTTCCACTCACCGTAGGCCTCCGCCGACACGGAACCACCTGATAGATCAAATTTTTCGAAAGTGTTGTTCTTGCAGTGGTTTGCACATGACAAATTACAGCATTCATGGTGGTTCCTGCATCACAACGTCATGTGCTCCTGCGCATATCAATTTGTGATGCAGAAACTAGCTACATCAAAAAGCAAAGCACTTCTATACGCATCTTTGTGCTGGCTTTGTGGTTGAAGGCGGAATCGGACATGACGTCATCGTCGTTTATCCTGTGTAAAAACGTCCCCAGCCCGGAGTTGTATGTAATGCGAATCTGCATGCTTAAAAGGTTTCTCATGCTCGCGGAGCCCCACGACGAGAAGCATTTTCTAGCTGTGTTGTGGACTTTGTCATGCTCCGATCAGCATGATATACGAGGTCTGTGATGCTGCTGAGCTAGCTCAAGCAGCACTACAGTAGGCACGAGTCCAAATTTGTCATGCAAAACAGCCAAAACTTGTGCATTTGTCTAGCAGATTCCCCATTTTGACTATGGGATGGGGACGTTTTTGCACAGGATATCGTTATCCTCCTCTTCTTCTTCGAGATCTGGATCCACAACCTTCTCAAACTCCTGTTTGCTGGCGGAGGGTATGGCAGGGGAAAACACAACTACTTGAGTTCCACAGACAAAGGAATTCCTGACTCGATGCTTCCACAGGCAACAACGGCTGCTGCAGCAGATTGGTATAATTACCGCTACACTTCCTTGGCTCACTCTGATCCGAAATTCAAAATTGTCATGCGTTAGTGCATCAAGCACGATCATCACATCCTTTCTTTCTAGTAGAGTCATGCTGTTTTCCCCACACCATACCCTTCTGATCCGTGTCGCCAACCTGGTTGGCCATCTTGGATCCCGTGCACCCGCCCATGATGGTTGTAGAAGAGTACTTTTGAATGAAGATAAGAGATTCGAAGATGACAGGATTTTATCAAGAAAAATCTTGGCGCACTGCTATAATTCTCCAGCTTGAAGAAAATGTAGAGAGACAAGTTTTCACCCTAAGCCTTCTAGTATTCTTTAGTGTTCTTCCAACTTCTTCTTGTTGCTCCTCATTAAGTTGTAATAATATCCGCCTCGTCTTCTTGTCATTCTCTCGCCCTCCAAGGTGATAGGTAGGTTTTACTTTTATTTGTCCTCGCTTTTTCAAATATACACAGCATGTCGCTTCGCAGCTTTGATTCACAGGGAGTGTAATTACGGGCTGTCCAGACTAACTGTTATGCCACAGGTTTTGTGCCACATGGGTGTACTTATTGTGCCACATGAGTGATTTGGGTTTCCATCTGCACTTCAGGTAGACGAGAATGCTCATACTACAGTGGGCTACGTACTGGATTCAGAAGACAAGAAGCAAACAACAAAAGCAAATTTGCACGTAACAAAAAAACATCCGAAAAAAACAAAACCGAGACAAGACCGAGTGGGGACGTAGAGGACGCAGAAGTAGAATGTTGTAGACGTAAAGCGAAAACTTAGACACCCTTTGCAACATCGACGTGCTAATTTGTATGACTTGCACATGGACGGCCTTTTTTGTATGTACGGTGGCGAAAAAACATGGTTGTGTCTGTGTCTCGCTCCAGCCAGTCAATTTCAAAAAAAACGTCAAGCAGAAGATACAGGGACTCTCTCACATGGAACAAGTTTTTGGAGCCACAGTCAGATACGCATTGTGAAGTACCCATCTCCTCGACTGTCGCGCGGAGAGCCACTCAGACAGCCATGTAGGTAGAGGCGCAAGAAGTGCAAGCACACGCGTGAAAGCGTCGCAAAAGCCAGACTGCTGCGTATCCATGTCGACACGCAACAAAAGATAGCACGCATGAATGCGACCCGGCCTGCTCCCGTGCCAGGAACAATCAAGTGCGCTCCACAAAGGCCATCGTACCAACACGCCTGCGCCACTGGGGCGGGCTCGTCGCGGGGCCGCGTCCATTCATAATTAAAAATGGTAGAGGCCGGCTGCCTCCGGCCCGGTGGCCGGCCGGGGGGCAACCAAAGGCGTGCGGCGCGGGCGGCTTCTGGGGCGCGGCGGGCAGACCTCGGGCTGTGGCGGGCCCGCCGCGCCGGCCAGGCGGGCGGCCCACCTCCCGCCCTCTTTCCGCTTGATAGAGCCGGGGTGGGCTGGGCGCCAAAGCAGGGGAATGAGGCGCGCGCCCCCGGCCTCGCTACGCATGTGCGCCGGGTAGTCCTGGAAGCGATCGGCCACGTTCGCGGCAAGGGAAAGAACTGTCGCTCCATGTCCTTTCTGGCGCGTCGGCCGGGCGCACTGCGCCGACGGCGGCTGGCCGCCCAAATATTGCGCGAAAACTTCCGCAGCGAAGCCCGCCTCTGCCGGTGCCAACGCACAGACTCGCCGGGCACTTCAGGCGGGTGCGTTGCGTCCCCCGCCGCGTTCTTTCAGCAGGAAACCAGCGGCGCCCTTCCTTCGCGCGGCCCAATGCGCCTGGGGACGAGACGCGGGGCAGAGGTCCCCAAAGCCGCGCAGCACAGGCGGGGCAGAAGCCCGCCGCCGTAACTGCCCCGCTGCGCCCAGAATAGCGGGGCCCTGCAGTGAAACTGTGACGGCGATAACGACATCAATCACAGAGGATGGAAGGCAAATTTGGAAAGCGCTATTAAGTAGGTGTCCCTCAGGTAGAGCTCTCGCAAAAACGGCTCGCTCGCGAAAGTTACGCCTGGATCTCTCTAAAAAGAGCAGGAATGGAGGCACTCAGACCGCCCGCATAGAACAACAGCTCGGCGCACTTCTTTGCAGGTGCAAGCCCACCACAAAAGCGACCACATGACCATGCGCAATCGCTCTGTCCAAACTTCGCCGCCGACATCAATTATACACGAGCCTCGTCATAAACTCGCTCTCCTCCGTATCTGGTCTTTCCGTAGCACGTAAAGCTGCAGGACCAAATTCACAGCAGAGTCGACCAGCATGGCTAATGAGAGCCATTTCAGAAATGTGTCGTCCTCTATGTGTAGTGCTAGCAAGACAGCCCAGAAGACAAATAGCAGCGCTATCACTGTCCACTTGACAATGTGGATTTTTCTCTTCTGCTCACTTGTGAGATCCTCCCATTCGCCAGCCCCGACCCGTCCGGCGTAACACGCTTCGCAAGCGAAGAAGAGAAAAGCGGTGAGAACCATGATTCATGTTTCACCACTTCATGGTGGAGATGATGACGATCACTCTTCTGCCTGGCACAGAGGTTAATGATCGCATCCGCGCACGGGTGTTGCAAAGTTGGGTGCGCTCATAGCTTCTTTGCTTTCTCAACCCGCACATGTGAACACATGAACATTTGTTCTGTACCTTTAGCGCCTCGGCCGATATCCATGGATCCGTGCCTTCTCACGTAACTTGATGGAAACAACAAAGGGCGGGGCGGCAATCCGCATACACAATGCTTCGCAGCCGGCAGAAAAGAGGCGTCAATGAATGATCTATCAGTCACTCTAGGTGGTCCGGCCGGCGCGCACGTCGATGAGGCTGGGCGGGCCCGAAGTCCCTCGCCCGGATGCAAGACCCCGGCCCCCGCGGAGCCTTGTGCCCTGATGCCTAGGCTCAGCCAGAACACTCGGCCCGGGCGGCCGCGGCGGCGGGCCCGGCCGACCAAGAGGGCCAGCGGCGGCAACCGAAAGTAAGAGCCCGGCGAGCCCGCCCGCCGGGCAACATTACCGCGGGGGAATCCGTGGCGCACAGAGTCCGGGGGCGCTCGGGGGCGCCCGGCGAAGGGCCCACAGGAAGCCCACGGGGCCCAAGACGGGCGGCACCTTGCAGCCGCGCGCGCGCGCACCGCCTTGCCGCGGCGCTCTCTCTTCGCGCTTCTTTTTTTTACCATTCTGCCGGGCGTCCGGCGAGGTAAAAACCCAGCCACACGCCGTCCACAGGAGCAGCGTAGCCAAAGGGCCCACGCCGTCCCTTGGGGCCCCGAGCCTGGGCTTGTCGCTACTTCCTTCACCGCGTCGCCGCCGAGCTTGCCGGGACGCAACCCAAGCAGCGCGGAGCCGGAGGCACGGCGTTCGCGGCTCCAACACATTCTAACCGCCACGCTCGTGTAAGTAAAGCTGCTTGCCCCCTCATCTTGCATTACCAAGCGGTCGCTCATACACTACTCAAAACGTGCTCGTCGCGCTTGTTCACACACACAGACTCGCTCTCACTACTCACCTCGCGCTCAACAAAGTTTCAAAACACAAAAAGTAGCACCACGCCTCGCTATCTCTCATGGACAATAATGTAACACCTTCCTACTTTCCGAAACATAAGAGCCGGCGCCAATGTTCGTCTTGGCTTTTTCCTCCCTCTTTGTGTTGTTCCTCAAGGAACTTCGCTTTCTGCATGGCAGATTGAATCCCGTCGCTCTGCCTGGGCGCCCCGGGCGGCGTGCGCGTCGATGACACTGGGCTCGGCGCCCCCGGCTGCACGGCCCGGGCGGGCTGGCGCGCGACTGATATCTATAGCCAGGCCGCCCGACGAGGGGGCCTGGCCAACACGACCAGCGGAGCCTTTTACCATGACAGACTCGGCCCAGGCGGCGGTGGGCTCGCTGACAAGGCCGGCAGCGGCAAGCCAAAAAGCCACACAGACCCGCCCACGGGGCCACACTGCAACGCAAAACACGCAACACACCGCAGGCCCGGGGCCAGCCAATGCAGGGCATCCGGTTGGCCCCGCAAGCGCAGTGGGCGCGCTGGCTTGGCAGGCGAGGCGGAAAAGAGGACAGGCACGCGCGCCACGGCAACCAAGACGCTGCGCGCGCGACTGCTCGGCCGAGCCGGCCGATGTGTCGGGGCGCGCGCGCCGGCGCCGCGCGCGTCTTCGTTCCTGGGCTGCTTGTTGGCCGACGGTCGCCGCACGGGCTGCCCTCGCCGCGATATTCTTCATTGCCTTCTTCGCAATATTCTTCATCGCCGTTTTCGCCACGCCCCCGCCGGGCTTGCCGGGAAGCAGCCCACAAGACAGGCAGCGCGCAGTTGGAGGCGCGGCGTTTGCGGCTCCGTAACATTCTAGCCTTCCTGTTCGTTTGTTTTTGAGCGAAGCTTGCCCTTGCGTTACTCAGTGCCGGTCGCTCATCAACTACTTACTCAAAAAATGCGCGCGTTCTTTCACACGCACAGACTCGGAAATCTCTGTCTCTCACCTCCTGCTCAACAGTGTTTCACAAGACTAAAGGCCTACGTCTCCTGTCTTTCATGGACTATACCTTAACACATTGCTACTTGCATTCCAAAACAGCAGAGCTGCCGCCAATTTTCGTTCGAGGCTGTTCCTTCCTCTTTGTGTTGTTTCTCAAGGAATTTCGCTTTCTTCGAAAAGTTGTTCCTTGGTGAGGAAATCTTGAATGAGAGAGATGAGAGACGTTTCACTTTGCGAGCTTCTTGAGAGATGATGAGACACAGTAGACAGTAAACCTAAAGAGAGATGATGAGATGAGACGCAGATGGTCTTCATCTGTGCGAAATCCCTATCGTTATCACCCGTTGGTTGGAAACAAGGATAGAGAGTTCTGCCTGTAGTTGAAAATGATAAAAGAGAGAGATGAGAGATGATGAGTACAACAGAAACAACGTGGCTGCAGAAACGCAGTTCTTCGACATGGTGGTTGATGTATCACGTATTGTACAGTACAAAAGCATTATTGTACAGAAGAGTAGTCTCCACCGGGGCTATTGGTACATTTTTTTGGGAGGATCATTACAGGAAGTAGTAGAAACAAGCATTTACAGTTCCATTTAGCAGCGCATTACTTTTAGGTGCAAAAACACATACACAGGTGTGCAACACGTAGACGTAGCAGGAGGAGCCTGACCAGCAATTACAGCTGCAAAGTCATGGCTCTATTATTTGAAATGCAACGCGTTCCACCCTCCACTTCCCTTCCAGACCCTGCAGCAAAACGACCTTCTATCCGCCAATCTTCTACACGATCAGCTGATATGCGGTTTTTTTCTCCGCGAGCTCGTGCAAGGCGCCCGGGCCACCGGTCAAGCGGTTAAATGCGTCCCGGTTCAACACCAGCAATTTGCAGTCCGTCACCGCTTTGATCGTGCACTGCCGCTTCTGGTCTTCCAGTAAAGCTAATTCTCCAAAGAAATCACCCGGTTTCGTGTACTCCAACACCTGTTTTTCCTCCCCCTCTTCCCCTTCCTTTTTCAACGCCACGCAACTCCCCTTTTCCAGAATGAAAAACTCCGAGCCGACCGCGTCTTGTTTGATGATAATTTGTATCAAATGCAAATAGGTCATCTGGGTCTGGAAAGATGCAGGAACTTGTGATGCTACCTTTGGATTCTACATAAAATCTGTACTGCATGAACAGCAAAAGAGGTGCAATTTGTGCTACGTGGAAGGGCATTTCTCATGCGAAATGAGCATCAGAAAGCCCTCGCAGAATCTCTGATGCTAGGGCATGCATCACAGACCTCATGGGTGATGCAAAATCTGCATGACAAACTCCTGCATTCTTCCAGACCCAGACATTTTTGCAGTTGATAATCTGGTTTGCCTTCACCTCCCGTTCCACGATCCCGTCTACGATTTGCGACTTCTTCGTCTGCTCGATCCTCTGGAAGAGTGGGACTTTGTTCAGAAACTCCAAAATCATGTCGCGTTTGCTTTTATTCGTGGTTTGCAACACGGCGTTGTAATTTTTCCGGGTCAAGTTCCAAATAATCGTCGATTCTTTCGTGCAAACGACGGTGAAATCCCGGTTTTTCTGGTGCAAGACCGCCATCTCGTCGATGATGTTGTTGTCGTTTTTGTTCAAAGGTTTTGGCGTCACAATTTTCACCAACTGCTCATTTGGATCCGCGAGATCATCGTCTCGTAAGTGAACTTCGCCGTGATCGAGAATGGAAAGGTAGTCTGCGTTGGCGGACTTTTTGTACAAGACATCCCCGGGTTCTAGTGGAACTTCCTCCATCGCGTCGATGAGTTTCTGCAAAGATTCCTCCGAAAGCTTCTCGAACAGGACGGACCTTACCTGATAGAACAAGATGAAGATATTTATCCACGACCGGATCCCGAAGATGATCATCACAGGGAAAAAGCAAAAACTTCGATTCCTGTATATTAAGTTATTGCTAATCTAGCAGCTGTAAAGCGTGGTCGGATACTAGTACCATGTTGACTACATCAAGCTCAAAAAGAAACCAGAAATCAGCCTACAATCTATCAATTATCCGTAGTAGTTCTAAGTATATTTGTACCAGCGTATTCCGCAACCTCTTCCTTTGGCTATCGCTTTTCGCGAATACGGGCACAACTTCCTCACCCTCCATGACCGGCCCGGGCGACAGTCCCCTACTTCTGGGCGACGACGCCACCGCTCGTCGTTTTTCCGCATTTCTATTCGGTGCGACCAAATCCGCGTCGTCTAGAAGCAACTCGTCGTCCGTTTCCAGTCCCGTCATCTCGCCAGATTCGGGATTTATCCCATCTTGTCCCGCCGCTTCCCCCTCCCCCTCGACCGGCTTCGCCAACGCCGCGGCTTCTTCCTGTTCCTGTTTCGCTAACGCTTCCTCCTCCATCTGAATCCTTTTCTCGACCGCGGCCTTTTCCAAAGACCCTAACGCCCGCCCGCATTGGTTGATCTTCTCGTTTAGCTGCTTGTTTTCATCCAGCAACAAGTCGTACTGTGTGGAGACCGTGTTCTTTCGCAAATTGCACCAGGCCAGGAGGTAATTTGTCGGATCTTGGTCGAGTTTGGCGCAGAACAAAGCGTCCATCACCATGTCTTCGAGAAGGGGGTTCAGCGTATCGCGGACGTATTTCTTCTTGGCGTCGCTGATGTTCAGCTTCTCCAAATCGTCGGAATTCACGTTGCCGGGCGGCATGGTCAGACTGTGGATGTGGTGGAGTTTTTTTACGAATCAAAATTATGGGGCTACTGTACAACTGTGAGAACCAAGTGCTTCTTGGGGAAATAATGTACTGATAGCGCAGAACAATGGGAATGAAACCAAGTTGAGGTCCTGATGTTCAAGGAAAAGTAGAGAAAGCGACATGTTGCACTACTGTTCGACTGACAGTTTGATGAGGCATAGGCGCCGCGGAAAAAGAATCCGTTTTCGTACGAGGATCCGCAAATAAATGCTGTACGAGGGACGATGTGGTCTGAACGAGACTTCTTGTCAGAAGGTTTTATTTCAGTCCTTAACACAGGCTTAGTCAAGCAGGAGCTATCGATGGACGAAATGAACCGAAATAATGGACGAAATCTTCACACCGATAGTAAAATCCAAATCCTGTCTTCATGCGTTTCCACAAACCGAGAGGATCTGAGGAGGAGGCACTTACAACTCAAGGACAGACCGATTATTGCTGTGTTGTCTCAAATTCAATTTCATCTTCTAGGGCGGGCTTTTCATCCTGACACTCTACCTTGCGGATACGGAAACAAGGAGCTTGTTCCGTGCAATTGCAGACAGAAACAAATGAAATCGACTTCGACAGCAGATACTGACTGGTAGTTACAAAAAAGAAATTATCAAACTTGTGTCGCAAAAGAAACAAGTAGTTAGAAAACAGAAGTCAATACGCATCTCCCCCCGCCGTTTCCGCGTCTGTGATTCCGTTATGCATTGCAAAAGTATCGTACTAGTAGTATCGTACTAGTAGAAATAGCATTACAGATTTATTCAGAAGGAAAAATGGAATTTGTAATGCTGAATGAGCTAAGGGACCAGATTTGTCATGCATGACTGCAATTACTACGAGTACGATAAATATCCCCTCGTACAAAGCACCAACGACGCTCATGAGCAAAAGTCTCTAACTGGTACGAAAGGAGAAATGATGTAGGTAGGTGCGTGGAAACCAACTAAACCGACATCAAATGGGAGACACAGTCTGCACAACCGAGAAACACTTTTTGGAAGTCAACGTGCGTAGAGCGGGCTCCGAGACGGGGATAACACCGATCGAAGTCCGGGGAAGATCGCAAGGTCTGAGTATAACACGCACGAGGACGGTCTACAACGGCATGCAGAGCTACTAGGTGTCGTAAATGTCGTAGCGTCAGCAACATGGGTGAGGAGAAGCTACGACACAAGTCGGAGTAGCTTAGCGGTGGGAGTACAAAATACAAAGTCACAAGAGTCTAAAGCCGGTGGTAGAAACAAAGAGAACAGGTAGAGACGAAATGAACGACGTTGGAGCAGTTTCCGCATGTGTATATTTATCTTAGCAAATATCCCCTCGTACAAAGCACCAACGACGCTCATGAGCAAAAATCTCTAACTGGTACGAAAGGAGAAATGATGGAGGTAGGTGCGTGGAAACCAACTAAACCGACATCAAATGGGAGACACAGTCTGCACAACCGAGAAACACTTTTTGGAAGTCAACGTGCGTAGAGCGGGCTCCGAGACGGGGATAACACCGATCGAAGTCCGGGGAAGATCGCAAGGTCTGAGTATAACACGCACGAGGACGGTCTACAACGGCATGCAGAGCTACTAGGTGTCTCATAGTCGCTGGCTAACGCAGCACAAATGGTTTGATCACGCCAACTGTGACCGGGATCTACGTTGCATATGTGGAACGGGATCAAGATCAAAGAGGAACGACGGAGGGCAGGCATATTTCTAGTATCGCCTGCAGTACTCGTGGCCATTTGTGTGACGGTGTTGTGTCATTATGAAAAGTGCAGAAATGTTCACAAAATGATGTACATTCAGCTCGAAGAGCACAGCACGCTGAAACATGATTTCATTTGTGCAATGCGAGAAGTTTGAAACAAAGCGCGAAACAGGTGAAATGGTGATAGCTCTTTAGTGTGAAACTTCGCTACCGCTAGCATTGTACAAACTGAAGAAGGACACAACATCCGTGCCGGAAGCAGCATGCGTCTGCGAGACCATGCGGGCTTCCGACTCGTTCTGGAGGGGACGATGGATCGGCTTGTAGTGTCTCTGGTGGATGTCGTGATCTTCTACTGTAAAATGCGCTTGGGTAGCTGGGTGAAGGTCGAAGCGGTGGCGGAGATAGAGCTCCGCGTCCACGGAATAGTCGCGCTCCCACTCGGTGGAGTTGGGCGACCAGAGAAACCAACTATTGACCTTTTCCTTGTATGCTGCGTACTGGGCGCGCTGCTGGGGTGTGCCGCCCGGTAAATAGCCCAGCATCATGGAGCGCAGGCGTAATGCGATCGCTAGGCCGCGGCGGATTCCATACGGATTGGTTTTCAGTGTGGCTGCTATGTGCTCCAGGTCACTCCTGGATGCTGGTAGTACGTCGGGAAAGAAGATGCCCGCCGGTAGGTGCACCTGCAGTGTGCATCATGATGGTAGTGAAATAAAAGAATGATCTACGTTGCGAATCCGGCCAGAAAGCCAGTTCATCGCTGAGGCTGAATCAAAAAAGGTTGAAGAAGCGTAGGAGTACCATATTGAGTTCGCCCGGAGACTCGTCAACTTTAACATCCCGCGCATGCGCCATCACATGGCCTGGGATCTTGCTGCTCGGCAGGGCTTTTTGGCCGGAGATGCTCTCGAAGCTGATGGGCCTCAGGCCGCTCGTCCACCACATGACGAAGATCTTCTGGTGTCTCACGGATAGTTTTGCAGTTTCGGGAAAGGAGGGCGGGCAGGCTCGGGTGCGTGTGTACTGCCGCTGCATCCTCTTAAGCGTTTCGTACGTTTGCGATTGGCACTGCTGCCTCCACGGCTGTATGAAAGGGTGAAAAACCGGAGGTGAAGGCAAAGGGAGAGGTGACATTGACAACTTTTGCACTACTACACCTGAGCCTGGGCACAGGATGGAAACGAAAGAGGAAATATACAAACTCATGCAGGTTCATGCGAAGATGGCTCAGCGGGGGTGGGACATAAAACAGAGGCGCACCACCTGGATGCAAGATGAAGATCGCAGCCTACCTCTCCCTCTGTATTCATATAGATTTTCACTCTGGATAGGCTGCTTGCGCTCCAAACCGTGCAGGCTGCGGAGCCTCTGGCACACGAGGGAGACGCATGCCTTCACGTCCTTGTACCCATGCTGGACAAGGTAGTCGGCGAAGTCCAGCACGTCGCTGAACTTGATGTCGGGGTGTGCGTTTTGAATATCCTGCACCTGCTTGGTGGTCGTCACCGTACGAATGTCAAGGAGCCAATCCTTGTGGTTTTGCGTGAGGCAGTAGTGCGACCAGAGTCGCCAAAAAGCGTTCCGCTGCGCCAAGGTCTTCGGCGGGTACCACTTCTCTTCTGGCCACACCAGGAAGACAGTGGCGTCGTCTAGTGGGTACTGATCCCGGAAGGACGCCGGCACCAGTGCTGCAGCACGGGTGTTGTCGCTCTCGCTGGACCACTTTGGGAAATCAACTCGCACTCCATTGTAGAAGTTGCACTGTCTCCCAGCTGCCTCGCCTATAGGATCCTTAGGCAACTGCTTTGGCAATTTTGCTGCTGCTCGCTCGTGGTCAAGGAGGGCTAGGCCGTCGGTGAACATTTTTCCTTCAAACAAGCTCTGCCCTGTGCAGAGCTAAGATGGTGCAACGCGTGCGCCGCTCAATCCTATCGCGCGGCCTGCTCAGGTCTGCGTGGATCACTTGATTCTACATAAATTATACAACGCGCAACGTGTCGCGTTTTTTGGAAAAGTTTGTTACAAAACGCGATGGGAAAACAGGTGTCGTGCCAAGTTTAATTTTTACAAGATAAGAACTACTCCAGAAGTAAGTCGACCATGTTCTCCTCCATTTCTTTCGCAAAAGCTCGGATCTCACTCCAAATCTGCTCATCTGAAAACTGAAAATCTACATTGTAAGTCTTTTGTAAAAGCTCGAGCAGATCAGTGCGGGTCGTGGCGTCCGCAGGGTTGACAGTAGTGTTGATGTAGCAGTAGTGCCACAGAGTTTGCGGGTTCTTGTGGGCCCAGGCACAAAGTGCACTAATTGCACTAGTGCTAACAGCGTTCTTCAATGACCCCGAGCAGATGCCAGCTACTGCGCCTGCATTATCGCAATGCAGCAGCGAGTTTTTGCCCTCGAGGTGTGTGGCAAAGAGCCGCTGCGCGATCGCAGCAGCCAGAATCTCGTACGTAAGTATGGACCCTCTGCGGAGGATCGGGGGCAGTTGTGACTGCTTCGTGTGAAGCGAGAAGCCAACTGTCCGCTGCTTGTGCTGGAAGAGAGTGGCGCCAATGGCCACCTCGTCCCGCTTGAAGCTGGCGTCGCTCATAACATGGGCACGCTCCCGGATCATTCCCAGCCTGACGATGTCTGTGGTGTCTCGTAGCTGGATGATTTTCTTGACCTTGTTCAGAATGATGCACAAGCTCTGCCGTGTGGTGGGCTGCGCTACTAGGCGGAAAAAATCTTTCTCCGAGGCGGTAAGCCGGTACAAGTGCTGCAGGATCGGGATGCCACGCCGGAACTTCCGGCTGTGCATCACATGGATCAAAAGCCCCTGCATGCGCTGGAGGTTTTTGAATGTGCAAAAATTCCGGCACTTGTCGGCGGCGAAGGTGGCCACTAGCTTGTCACACTCCTCCGAGATCCGCGCGACCTTCTTTTCCGGGACGTAAAGCGAGATCTTCGCGGCGGTTTTGTGGCAGGCGATGCCCAGCAGCTCGCAGGTCTCACCCGTGCGGCAAGTTTCGTGCTTTTCCGGTGCTATGGCCACGCCGATGGTGGCGAGGAAGCGCCGGAATGCTGCCTCGTCCACTGGGATCAATTCGTCTGAACCGACGTACATGATATCATCCACATACACAAAGCAAGGAATCCGCAAAACTTTGTTGACGTAGTGGGACACCAATTCCGACACTGTTCCACAGAATCCGTAGATACTGTGAACATTGCCGAAGTTCAGGGCGAAAAGCTTGCCGAAGACCATCTTCTTCTTGAAGGGGTCGAATATCTGAAACTTGTTCAGCTCCGGACGCTTCACGGCGCATTGGAAATACGCTTGAAACAAGTCGTCTTTTGCAATCGCGGGGAGAAAGCTGTGACCTTTAAAGTCCGGCTTCGGCTTTGGCAACGCCTTCACATGCTTCCAGGTGTACTTCTCGTTGTACTTCCGCGCGATCTGCCTACCCTTCGCGATGGACTGGCTGACATCGGCGCGGTCCTGCCAGAAGGCGTCGGAGTACTCGGGGTTGGCGCAGTATGCGACTCCCTCGATAATTTCCGGCAACCCCGGCAAACTCATCTTCTCGCTTTGCGGTGACAGGTGGTCATTGACCGGGCCGTCGTTGGAGATCGGCCGGACCTTCGCGAACGCTCCGGTCTCGTCGTTGAGACGCTGGCCAAGGCCGAAGATACTGGAAAACCAGTCGCCTCGGCTCTTGGCTTCCGCCAACTCCTCCGGCGTTAGCTCGACGGCCAGACCGGCGTCAATGAGCTTTGAGTACGCTGTGAAGCTGCGCTGCTGCACATCTTCGGTCTCGAAGGACCTGGATGTGCAGTGGGCCAATATGACATGTAGTCGCGCTAGAAGAAAACCTCGCAAGAAGGCTAGAAAATGGAACTTGCTCAGGCGTAAAACAGAAAAGGAGAAAAGTATAAGAATACCACGGCCCCGACCGTATCTTGGCAAAAGACTGCAGACCTGCATGTCGCTCGGGGTCGTAGAAGTCGAACTGGGTGAGGGTTTTCATGTACTCAGGCGAGAGGGGCTTGGCGTTTTCCCATGCTTTGAACACAGGGACGCGCCCCCGCGTCAGGAAGCCCGTGTTGATGAAACCCGAGGCCCCGAAGGCTCGCCTCCTCGACCACTTGTCCCCGAAATTGGCGTCGCGCGCGGCGAGTAGCATCGCCATCGCGTCGCACTCTCGAGTTGGAAACAGTGGGTCCTTCCCGATGTACATCGCGTTCACCCTGCGCACGTGGTCGGGCTTTGCCTTCGTGTACAAATCTCGCAGCTCTGTGCTCAGCTGCACCCTGCGATCGAAATCGGACAGGACGCGATCTAGCCGCGCGGTTTCGTCGCTCACCGCCGTGCTGGCGGGCAAAGCGTCGACGCCCCGGAGGTGGTCGATCGCATCTTTTTTGAACTGGGGCAATTTTGGCATTTTCGAGGGGGGGGCGAAAGCAAAAAAGGAGAAGGGCTTGCTGCTACACTAACACTACTGTCGCTGCTATGCCACGATGGAAATTCTCGAAAATACTAGTTCTTTACTGAGAGCGGAATGTCGAGTACAAAAGTCAAGCCGTGCTAGTTACGAAAACGAAGCGTGCTCCTTACGAGTAGAACTTCCCCATGTTCATGCACTGTGACTGCTGTGCGCGACTTAGCCAACCCCCACGACAGGCTACTCTGCTGTGCTCTGACCCGTCTACTGACACAGAAAAATCTCCCGTATGTGTAAATAGTAGGACGAGAACTTCGTAGAGCGAGCCCCACCGAGAACGCTTGTAGCGCAGCGAGAGTCGAGAATGCGAGATGCTTCAAGGCGTTGCACCGCTATCACAATCAGAGAGGAGACTAGAGCAAGCCCGGGCATTTAGCTCGAGCCTGGGCACCTGAATCGCTTTCAATTCCCTGCGTTGCATCTTGCTTATCGCTACTGTGATCAGCACAAGGCGATCCGGTAGGGTCGTTGCCAATTCGCTTGCTCCGTCGAGGTCGTACAAACAAGCGCTCCGGTGCGTTCGCTAAAAACTGTCTTCCGATCGCGATCGGAAAAAATAGAGTCGGTGTGATTTCTGGTCCGAAAAATAATACAAATCGATAGCCATTCGGCAGCGTCTTAATGCAGAGAAAACTCGAAGAATCGTAGTCGAACGTGAGCGATTCATGCTGGCTGCTACAACATCGGTCTTTGCCGCAAAGGTAGTGTGGGTGGTAGTCAAATTTTAAAGATTAATTCTCATCGACAAGAGCGAATGCGTGTCACAAACTAGGGAGCGAAAGATCTATAAGCGAGCTACGGCGGGTGCTGTTCATGCTTTCCGCCTTTCTTCCCTTTCTCGCCCTTCGTCTTCCCGTCGCCCTTGCTGGCCTTTTTTCCCGCGCCTTTCTTCCCGGCGGGGGCGGGCGGGTTGGTCCACTGGGAGATGTCGACCGTGGCGTTGAAATTTTCCGTGTGGTACTTGGTGCTTGCGGGGTGGCCGCCATTATCACGCTCGCACTTGTCGCCCCATTTGCAGTACATCACGTCGTCGCTCCCGGGCAGGCGGAAGCCGCACAATCCGCCGCAGAACAGGGTGCAGATGGTGGCGTTCTTCCGGATCGTTTCCACTTCCGTGCAGTACGCTGCCGCGAGGCCCGGCCGGGTGAAGGAGAGGGCGGCTGCGAAGCCGGTCTCCGTGCCCCTCCCCGCTCCCGGGGTATAACCTGTGGCTATTTTGTGAATACAGAAAGAGATGCGTGATTTTTAAGCGTAAACGGCCGTCAGTAGAAAATCTGCAAAAACATGTGCAAAAACTAGGAAAACGCCCCCGCGTATGTGATCGGGATCGATGGTTTCTAGGCGTAAACGGCTACCGAAATTGAACAGCAAACTACAAGGGAATAGCTAAAAAGCTGCACCAGTCGGCGCACCCGCCGCGGCGGCTGTGTGCGTGGCTGTCGGTGCTGCTGTGGCCGAAGCGCCACCAGTGGTAGCGGAGGTAGTGCTAGTGTTGGTCGATCCAGTCCAACCGCCACCACCCCCCGCACCTTTCGTCGTCGCCGCCTGCTTTGGGGCCGGTTTGCTGATCTGGTAACCAAAAGTCCCGTCCTTCTCCTGTACCTTGCGCAGCTCCGCATGTGCGGTTCTGTCGAACGGCCGGACATCATCAGCAAGGCCCGCAATGGCCTTGACAAACTCCTTGGTGGAAATTTGCGGACTATTCGCCTCCGTGGCTATGCAGAGTTCGGCGTAGAGCAGGATCAGGTGCGGGAGAGAGCAGTCGGATTTCTCCCCGGTGAACTTCTTCAGCGTCTTCTGGTCGCTGAGCCGCTGTCGCAGGCTCGTGTACTTGTCCAGTGCGCTGCTTTTCCAAAGAGACGTCCCGGCGAACGGGATAAGCAGGAACAGTTCCGGGAGGTTGTGCTTGCACAGGAGTTTGTTCACATTTGTCAAGTCGCCGTGCTGCACATCGGATCCATGCATGGTGCTGAAGGATCGGCATTCTTCGAAGATCTTCTTCACCAGCACCTTGATCTCCAGAAATTTCACACCGGGGAAAAGTCGCTGCGTTTGCGCGTTCAGTGCGCCCCGGCCGATAAGGACCACCTGGTGGAATTCATCGATTGTTTTTGCGGTGCGCGGCCATCCGAAAGGAACGAGCAGGTCGGACTTGGAAACTTTCTTGCTGACGTTCGCGCAAAAGTCGTCGAAACTGGGCTCGTCGAAGAGGTTGCTCATCAGGCAGAGGACCATGTCCTGCACAAAGTTCGTCTTTTCCAGGGTGGAAACTTTGCTACTGTATCTGCCAAGCACACCCTGCGACAGGATGGCGCCGCAGATTGGGTTCCCGAGGTCCTTGCCGACGTACGTAGTGCCCTTCCGGGCGCACTCCGCGGCTGCTTCGAACTCCGGCTGTACCTCTTCGCAGAGGAAGCAGAAAAACCTGCGTGCGTAAAACAAGAGATATTGTTGGGTGGAAGAACCGGAAATGCAAACGAGCTCATAAGTGGGTGGCCTGACAAATGTGTAGCATAGAGGAGACGGAGCAAAAGAAATATACGACGGGTTCGGGCGTCCCTTGTTGTTCACCAGCAGGCTGCCCCAATGCTTCAGCGGTGGGTTGTATCCGGCTGGTGCCCTGGAGAAGTACTTGGTGAGGTAATCGTCGTCGTCTATCCACTGCTGTAGCCCTTCTTTCGAGCGCGGCTGGAAGTTCGAGCGCATGACCTGGCCGGTACTCAGGTTGACCAGTGCGAAGGTCCCGGCGGATGCTGGTAGCTGCTGCTGCTGCTGCTGGGCCCCCGCCTGCTGCAGCATGCCGATGCCCTGGTATGACGCGTCCGCCAGGAGTCCCATGGGGTTTGCCTGGGCTGGCTCGGCGGCTGCTGTCACATCGGGTTTGACCGCGTTGGCTCGGCGGAGCTTCCGCAGCGCTAGACGGTCTGCTTGCGATTGGAGGCCACCTGGAGGACAAAAATTGCATCAATGAATTATATATCCAGGGAAGCTTACGCATACGCTGTGCTGTGAAATGCTAGCGCAGAAAAGACGAAATAGGAAGCACGTGTAACTGTGTACAGTTCTGCAACCCAAAGTGCTTCCCGCGCACCGCTCCTGAGGAGTCGGAAGATGCTCCGCCGCTGCTAGGCGGGGAGGCCACGCGCGCCCTTTTGTTTACGTTCTGCTGTGGTGAGGCGGGCATCGGTGGGTGTCCCATGATCGGCTGCGCGGCGCTGGTGTCCGTGTCGCCTCGCGCTTTCAAGTCTTCCTTCTTCTTCTTTACAAAGTCGTCCATGTGCTCGCGAGCTGCTTGCACTTCGTTCGCCGAACAGCTTTTGAACGGCCAGTCACGCGGAGCGGCGACTGGTTGCTGCTGCTGTGCTGCTTGCTGCAGGTTCTCGGGCTGCTGGGGCGGCGCCGAGGAGGAGGACGCGGCCGGAGCCGCTACTGTGGCATTAGCTTTCGCCTGTGCCACCTGGCGCTTCGCTTCCAGATCCGCGATGGGGTTGGAATCCAGTAACTGCTTGGCGAAGGCGGCGGTGAACGGGTGCAAATTTTCGAGGTTAAGCCTCCGGTCGTGGTGCAGCATCTTCAGCGCGATGTTGCAGCGCATGAACGTGAGCACGAGTCCGTAGGTTCCGACATCGGAGTAGTTGCCGCCGCAGAACTGGAAGGCCTGGCGGACCGGCGTTGGCCACTGTGCCAGGGCCCGCTCGAGTGGCGACCGGAACCACTTGTACATGATGATCACGGTGCGAACATGGTGGAAGATGTTCCCCAGCCCGCCTGGAAAGAGGGTGAGAAACTCGAAGACGTCGTCCTTGGTGTCGTTGGCAATCGAGCTGAGGCCGTCCGCGTGCGCCACAGTCGACAAAGCGAAAACGCCGTGCAGAATCTTGGCCAGGATGCTGCCAACTCCGTCCGGCTTCTTGGGGTCCATGCAGGACCGGTCGGCCCGCAGTTTCTGGGTGATTTCCGCGAAGATGGACTGTGGTCGTGTTTTCTAATCATCAATGCCAAATTAATTCACGAGCACCCTGTTAGTGACCAAGTACTGCAGTTCTTCCGTTTACCATGCTGATCTTGCAGCAGCATCGTGCAAAGCTAATTTTCATGCATATCTTCCGCATGATCACACGGGTACAAAAATGTATAAGATGCGTAGGAATAAAACTGCAGTCGGGTAATCATCAAAGCCACGTACCTTGCTCTGCGCGCGCTTTGTCCACTTCGTGCTCGTGGGGTCCATCAGCTGCTGCTGCACTTCTTTGTACATTTCCTGCACCCGGGCCAGGTCGAAGGACTCGCCGGGCGGCACGATGTCAAAAGGGGCGAAGAGCTTGTTCTCCAGCACTGACTTAAGCGCGGCGAGTTGCTGCGCGTTTTCCTGTGCGGATTTTTGCAGCGCCAGCTGGCTCACGTCGCCGGGAAACAGTTTGCTGGGCGAGGGGTCGCCAATTCCGGGCAGGTTGGACCCGCCCCCGTGTGGGGAACCCGGCTGCGACGGCATCGTCTACGTAGTGCGTGTAAAACTGGTAGTACGCCTGGTGGAGGTCAGGCCGCGGAGCCAAAAACATTGGCGCGGCTGAGAACCATCGGTGATAAGATGGATCGAAATGGCTAGAAGTAGTAAAGGTAAGTATTCGAACTGCAACATGGGCACAGGTGTGCGCGGTATCTCTCGAGGCTGGGCGACGAGAGTACAACTACGCTCACGGGTGTCGCTCGCGGTGGACGAGAGTGAAGACGTGCGACCCGGTCGAAAAAACTCTCTCGATGACGGCAGAGGAACTGAAAAGTGATCTAACGACCCTGACCAAACCGAAGTAGAACAACAACTGGCGCAGTTCTAGCAGGTGCCAAAAGTGCTGCTGGTGCGGAGGGCGCGCGTCGTGAGCGCGCGGCGAGTACACGGAAAACCTACTGAGACAGTCTATGGAGTCGAACAACCGGACAAAACACAGTTCTAGCACGTGTAAAAAGTGCTGGAAAAGGGGAGGGAGGGGGGACAGGGTGCCAGGGGTGAACACACGTGTGGCGGGAACACAAGGTAGGAGAACACACGGTGCTATGACTATGGGGGTGCGGAAGCACTGCCAAAGCCAGTAGCACTGGAGGGGAAAAAGAGATCATATGTCGCAAGGAATAAGGGAGAAAACCACGTGGCAAGAAGCTCAGCCTTCTGTGGGCTGGCTTAGTGGGTACAGCGCCCTAGCTGTCCCGAATGAAACTTGCAGTGGGAGAATAGGTGCATGTGAGTAGTGCAGTGGAATAAAGTGCACGAGGTGTGTGGCACCAAGCGCAGACGGCCCCTGAGGTTTTTCATCCATTAGACAGACAAGTGACAGCTACCACGAAGTGGTAACCCAACCGGTCAATGAGTCCTCGACTCTAAAGACACAGGCAGGTATCCATCGTCCCCTCCAGAACGAATGTCATAGCATGCACCAGATCACATCGGCAGTCCGCAGGGAGCGGACCGCAGAATCTAGACCCGGTGCGTGCTAAAGGATGCGACAAAATACAAAGTCACAAGAGTCTAAAGCCGGTGGTAGAAACAAAGAGAACAGGTAGAGACGAAATGAACGACGTTGGAGCAGTTTCCGCATGTGTATATTTATCTTAGCACTTTTGCATTGCATATCCGTATTTTTCCAACAACTTTTTCCGTTCCTGCTCCAACACGTACTGGCAGTTCGCCTCCACGATGTTCTGCGTATCAAATGCAAATATGTCTGGGTCCTCCAGAAGATTGCGAGATTTGTGATGCAGTTTTTCCAAGCTCCACCAAGTCTGGAATGCAGGGTCTAGCATCACAGGTACTGCAGCCCCTTGCCCTTGGCCGTGAACGTGATTCCTCCGTTGCATGAGAAATAACACCCTCCGAGCAGGCCCAGGAGACGTGGGCATCTCTTGTTCTTGCGAGTTATGAAATACAAGATTTTTGTATGCTCCGCAACACGCATCACAAGTTCGTATCCTTCCAGACCCAGACATAGTTGCAGTTGATACTGCACCTTCTTCCGCAATTTCACGGATCTGAAGTCCTTCAACGCAAACAGCCTTTTGTTCTCGTCCTTCACTCTTCTCAGCCTTTCCGCTATTCTCTTCTGCTTTTGCTTCTCCTCTAGAAGCTTCTCGTCCATGGTCAGCATCGATTGCCGGTTCTGCTCTTCGATGCGCAGCTTCAGTTGCGAAATTACTGCTTCCAAGTCCTTGTTCAGCTGCACGATTTTGTCGTGCTCTTCCAGCAGAACCGCGGTCTTCCGCGCGTCCGCCTTGTAGGAGTCTAGAACCACTACAACGTTGTCCATTTCTTCCTGCCAGGCGGTTCGCTGTTCGGTGTGCTTCACCCGCAACTTCCCCATCTGGGTCTCAATTTTTAGTTTCTCTTCGTTCAAAAATTCCATTTGCCGCCCCTTGTTCTGGATCTTTATCGTGAAGTCTTTCTCAATCTGGACGATCTTCTGCTTCTCTAGATCCACTTCAGATTATCAATTGCAAAAATGTCTGGGTCTGGAAGGATGCAAGGTCTGTCATGCTTGTCTGACATGACTGAAGAGTTTGCGATGCGTGTCCAAGAAGAGACCCTCTTGCTTGTCATGCAAAACGCAGCTTGTCATGCGGAAAGCGCAACACGAAGCCGCGCAAAAATCTCTCATGTTGGCTGCGCATTACAGAAAATTCACCATTCAAAAATCAGCATTACAAGTTTCCAGACCCAGACATATTTGCATTTCATACAGTTTCCTTCTGCTTCAAATCCGCGCTCCACTTCATGTGCTCCTTTTTGTATGACAGTGCACCGCTCCTCCTCCCCCTCATTTGTATAGCATGAACGGCAATACAAGCATCAGCAAGAATGCCGGTTTTGCATGACAAGTTTGCACTGGATTGTAGTTCTATTTGGACTACCAGAACTTGTCATGCAAACAGTGCCAAGAAGCAAAGGGTGGATTCTGTATTTTGCATGACAAATGAGGGGGACACGGGGAGTTGTGCGCTGTCATATCTTGTACTCAAGCTTGAAAAACTCGTACTCGCTTTCGATTTGCTCCTTCTGTTCCTGCATGACTTGCTCGTTGTTTAGCGCTTTCCGGACTTTTAAGTTCAAACCGGTGACCAAATCCTCGTGCTTTTGTCGGATTTCGTTCAAGATTAATTGGTGTTTGTTCTTCTCCTCCACCATGTCATGTTCGTATTTCTCATCTTTCTCCTTCACAACCTGCTGCAAATCTTCCACCTTTTCGTCCCGTTTTTCGGCCAGGTAGTCCTGCGACTCGATAAACTCTTGCAGCTCCTTCTTCAGGTCGTCCCTCTCGGTTGTCAAAGTTTTGATGATGCGGTCCAGCTCTTCCTTGTGCAGGTAGAGTTTCACGTAGTTCGCGTCTAAATCCTCGTACAAGAGATGTTCCCTCTCCCGGGTGAGAATCTTCTCGTTCGTCATCGTATCCACAGTATCCACATGATTTCTGTAGTCCTCCCAGATTTGCGAGTACAAGTCCTCCTTCCAGTGCGAGTCCCTCTCAAACTGCAACAGCTTCGCATCTTCGTAATTCTCTACTAACCTACGCCGCTGCGAGAGGATGTCCTCGATCTGGTAATTTTTCCTTTCCAGTTCGAGGAGCTTCTCCTCCTCGTTCGTTTGGATTAACCGATGTCGATGCGACAAGTAATCCTCGTAGCCCATGTTGAAGTTTTCGCGCGCGAGAACCAGTATTACAATGAAAAATGCCCGCAGCACCCCCGAACTTGGCAGCGTTAGAACATGCAAACCTTTCCAATAGAAACACTCCCGTCTTGCATATATCAGCATCACAAATTTTCCATGCTGAATATCTCAAATCTGTGTTGCAAAGGAGCCCAGCAGTAGCCGGATCTGTCATGCAAAAGATACGTTCCGCAGCCAGATTCTGCATCAGCAAGGCTCGTAGTCCTTTCATGCATAGATAAAAAGTTCTTCGTTTGAAAACCTTATGCATGAGAAACTTTTGCAAAATCCGGGTTGAGGGCATTTTTCATTTTAATAACCCGTCTTTCTTCTTTATCCATTTCAAAATTCTCCACCATCCGCACCTCCTATCCAACGGAAAAATCCCCCCTCCCCATATCGAAGTGGAAATCTGTGATGCAGGATTTGAGGTACCAAATCGAGTTGTCATGCTAGAAGGCCAAGAGCCGCAGTCGTGGTCTCGTTTGCAGGCAATTTGTCATGCTGTTTCCCACTCTCAGCTGCCTCCTATCATGCTGAAGATGCAAGGCTCCCCCACGCCACCCAGCACTACAGTCCGCATCTTTTCCCGTGTAGCATGACAAAGCTGATTTGTGACAACAAATCTGCATCACAGATTTCCGTTTTGATATGGAGGGGGGGATTTTTCCTCTCAATACCTCCTGCGCGATCCCCTCTTCGATCAGCATGTTTTGTCGTTCGCGGTTCCATATCCAGTGCAAAAGCGTCCTGTCGTACTAGTATGAATTGCATCACAAATCTCCTCAGCATGAGTAATGCTGATTGTGATTTGCCATTAGATCGAGAATTGTAAAAATGCTTGACTGCGATTAGTACGAGTACGCTGCTTTTGCAGTGCATATTCCAGGCGACCTCCGTTGTCCAGCGGAGCTCCCATTTGACTTGCTGGTTTCGCTATTGAACAAAAAAGTTCATTTGGTAGCGGTAGCGATCTTACTACTCGCACTCGCGTTCTTGCAAGACAAACAGTCGCCGACATGCACGGTATGCAATACAAATTCCGGTCGTAGTTTTTGCCTTGCCGGACAGCAAGAGAAATTTCGCTAAAGCTAGAAAAACTTTATGTTGGTGTGATATTCGCCAATCTTCCTTCATCATCTCTTGCTGTTCCCGGTTTCTTTCCAATTCCAGCATCGCTTTCTGCAACTCCTGGTCCAGAAACTCCGCTTCTTTCGTTTTCTGCTCGATCATCAACTGCAAATCTTGCTCCAAATCCACCGTTATCCAATGCAAAAGTATCGTACTCGTAGTTAGTAATTGCAAGCATGCAATACAAATTAATATATTTATATAAGGCAAACTTTGGGGCCGGAGAGGGTCCGATAGAGGTTGGGGAGAGGTTTCGTAGAGGTTAGACAGAGGGTCGGAGAGGTAAAGTAGAGGGTCGACCAAAACAAGAGGGTCGGGGAGAGGTAAAGTGAGAGGGTACGGAGAGGGTCGGGAGAGGGTGCGCAGTATAGGGGACCGTATAGCGGCGCTATACGCCCGAAGAGGGTGCGTAGAGGTTGAGTAGAGGTCAAGTAGAGGGTAGGGGGAGAGGGTCGAGAGGGTCAGAGAGGTTCCACAGTATAGGGCGACCCTCTAAGCGACCCTCTATGTCGACCCTCTCCGGGAACCTCTTTTTTACCTCTCGGCGGACCCTCTCGGGACCTCTTGGACCCTCTCCCGGACCCTCTTCGCGACCCTCTCCGAACCTTTCCCGGACCCTCTCCGAACCTCTCCCGGACCCTCTCCGGGACCCTCTCCCGGACCCTCTACCAGAACCGCCCGCACAGTGAAGCTCGCCCGTCTGCGCGCAGTGCCTGTGTCCTAGAGTAAGAATAAACAAAGCTAGGGCCTAAAAGTTCAGGCCTCCCCTGCAAGTTTTTCTTTTTTGACTCCAGGGCAGACCAGGGCGGCTGTTCAAAGTGCATGCGCCGCTCTGCGTCCCCCGGGGGGGGCGCGGCGCCACGCCTTAACGTAGGCGGCCACCTAGGGTGGCCGCAACTTCACACAGTGCCCGCGCGCGGGCAGCAGGTGTTGCGTCTTTGTAGCGGCGCGAAAGTGGTTGCGACTAAAGTAGCGACAGCTTTTCTCTGCCCGTTGTCTCTCGGCGCAAGCATAGCGCATTAGCCTTCGCAAGCACATGCAGGCCCCGCCGCGTGCTCGCTGCCTAACAGGATTCCAGCTCGCCACCTTGTAGAAGCGGCACTCCCCCTGTTCAGGGTGCACCCCTGCAACCAACTCCCCTTCCAAGAAAGGCCAACAACCCCCGGCCCCGGGCGCTGCTTTTTTCGCCAACAAAGAACGCAGGCCGCGGAGGTATCGCTGCCTGCGTGTGTGCGCTGCGCTTTCTGGGCCAACCCCGTCAGACCGGCGCGGCCCCGCCTGCTTTTTTGGCTGTGCAGCGGCGCGCCACCCTTGGCATCGCCTTCCCCGTTGGAACACCTCCTCCGAACAGCCTCCCTCCCCGGCGGCCTCCGCCGGGGGGTGGCTGGTCTCTCTCTTAAGGCAAATCAGCATTACAAATTTCATTTCTCATGCTGAGCAAATTTGTAATGCATTTATACGAGTACGATACTTTTGCAATGCATAACCGTGTTCGCCCGAAAACTCGTCATGGTGGCGTCCAAGGTTGTGTGCTGGTCGGTTAGCGTGGACAGTTGCTGATTCAACTCTTCGATCTCCTTCTGCTTCGCCTCTCGCAGATCCACCAGCTCCTGCTGCAGTTTTCCCTGTTCGTCTATTAATTGATTTTTCTCCGCTACAAGCGATTCCACTTCCGAGGTAAGCTTCTCCACCTGAAGAACCCCCTCGTCGTGCCGGGTCTGCATATGAACTGCAAAAGTATCGCACTCGTAGTAATTGCGGTCATGCATTACAAATTTTCTTTTTAAGGTAAATCCGCATCACAAATTCCATTTCGCATGCTGAGGAAATTCAAATAATTTGTAATGCATTTATACGAGTACGATGCTTTTGCATTTCATACTGCAGATCGGCGTGCAATTGCTGGAGATTTTCCAATTCCGCTTTGACGTTCTTGTTTTCGTTCTGAACGACGAGGGTGGTCGCGGACAAGAGTTCTTTTTCTTGGTTTAAATTTTCGATTTTTTCCTCCAAGTCGTTTTTTGTCTTCTCCAACTCCTCTTCAACTTTCTTTTTCTCTTCGATTAAGTTGTCCCTTTCCTTGGTGTATGAACTGCAAAAGCATCGCACTCGTATAAAAAATGCATTACCAATTTCCTCAGCATGAGAAATGCAATTTGTAATGCGGATTTACCTTAGCAAAAGGATTTGTAATGCATGATTGCAATACGAGTACGATACTTTTGCACAGGATATGGTGACGGCCTGTTCGCGCTTTTCCGCCTCTTCCTTCTCGCTTTTCGCCCTCTTCATTTCTGGCTCGAACTCCTCCCATTTTTTCTGCAGTTCCTCGTTCTTCTCCTTCAATTTCTCCACTTCCCCCTGCAGTTTTTCCGTCTGCTTCTCCGCCGCTTCCTTTTCCCGTATAAAAACCCGCTCAGGTGTCACTAATATCTCAAGCGTTACAATAGAATCTGGAAATCTGTGATACAAGAAGTGCATGAGCTAACCCGCTCACGCAGGATTGCGCATGACAAGTTTCGGAGCCCCAAACCGCACTGGAATCATCTGCCGGAATTTGTGTTGCAGAAAGTGGAACGCGCTGCCGCGATTCTGTCATGTACAGCATGCAAGACAAACTCCAGATTCTATTGTAACGTTTGAAAAAATTGTAACATCGGAGCAAGCCATATCCCGGACGGCGGTCTTTTTCTCGTCCTCGAGGGTTTTCAGTTCTTTATCCTTCTCTTTTATTTTCTCCTCCAGTTCGTCATTGGTTTTTTCCAACTTTTCTCGTTTCTCCACGTGCTTTTGCACGTCTTCCTCCAATATCAAGTGCCAATATGTCTGGGTCTGGAAGAGTCATGCTGCTTTTGCATGACAGCGAAGGTCTGGCATGGAAGCTCTAGCATCACAGATTTCGAGAAGCTTCCGCAATGCCGACTCCGCATGACAAATGCCCCATTTTGGTGACAAGAAGCGGGCAGCTTTTGCTGCCTATGCATGAGAGATTTTTTTATGTGTTGTGAAATGCGCATCACAAGTTTGCATTTTTCCAGACCCAGACATATTTGCGATGCATATCCAAATCCGTGATTTTTCGCTCTAAATCCTTTTGCACCTTCTCCGCCTCCTTTGCAACTTTCTCTGCAGCGTCTTTTTCCTTTTTCATTTCGGCCATTTCTTCCTTGTTTTTCTTCTTCTCCTCCTTCATCTCCTCGACCTCCTTTTCTTGCTTTATGCAGAGCAAAAGAGTGCTGTGCTGTGTAAGCGTACTTAACATGCAGAAGCAGATGGTGCAGGTGCACATCAACAGCGCAGTAAATAATTTTGTCTGAATGTTGAAAGGTGCTATGCTCAGCGACAGAGAGATGTCTGTTCAGACTGACACGCAGTATTCGGCACAAGAACATCATTCAATACGCGATTATTTTTAAGCACTTCTCTTTCACTCTGGATACTTTTTTCCATTTTGTCATTTGCCTTTTTCAAATCGTCCTCCGCATTTTCCTTTTCCGTCTGCAGATTGTCCTTGTCTTTCTTGAGCTGCTTTATCAAATGCAAATATGTCTGGGTCTGGAAACTTGTGATGCTAAAATGTGGATGATGGAAACAGTTGCGAATGCAACCCACCATGACAATTTTCCAGAACGCTTGTTTCTCATAGGCAATCCGCATGAGAAACTGCGTTTCTGCATGTACAAAAGAGGTTACGCAATACAGATTTTCTAGGTATGGAAAGCTAGCATTACAAGTTCCAACCTTCCAGACCCAGACATATTTGCAATCCATATGCTTGATCTCTTTTTCATTTTCCTCGTTCTCCTCTTTCAGCTCGTCTTTTTTCTTCGTCACCTCCTCCAGCTGCCCGCTCAGCTTCTCCGCCCGGGCCGCCTCGCGCTCCTTGTCGTCTTTGTTGTTGTCGTTTTCCTCGGTGAGCTTGTCGTGGTCTTTTTTCAAAGCGTTCAAATCTTTCTCTAATTGGTCGCGCTCGTCGTCCAACTTGTCGCTTTTCTCGCTCAGCTCCTTCACCTCGTTTTCCAATTTCTCGACCTTCTTATCCCCGTCTTCCTTCGCGTCCTTCAATTTGTCCCTTTCCTCCGACAAATCCGAAACTTGCTTCTTCAAACTCTCTGCCTCCTTTTCAAACCCATCCTTTTCGTCATCGAGCTTGTCCGCTTTTTGCGTCAGTTCGGTGACTTCCTTGGTCAGCTTTTCCACCTGTTTGTCCGCATCTTCTTTCTCGTCCGTGAGTTTTTCCTTGTCGGTTTTCAGCGTATCAACCTCCTTCTCCAGCTGCTCGGTTTTCTTTTCAAATTCTTCCTTTGCGTTGTCCAATTTGTCGGATTTTTCCGTCAACTCAGCGACCTCCTTCTCCAATTTTTCTGCTTTCTTTTCCGCGTCTTCCTTTTCATCTGTGAGCTTTTCCTTATCGGTCTGCAGCGAATCTTTGTCCTTTTCCAGGGTTTCGACCTGCTTCTCGAACTGCTCCTTTTCGTTTTGGAGTTGATCCTTCGTCTTTGTTAGCTCTTCGATCTCCTTTTCCTGCTTTTCTCCCTTCTCGACCGCGTCCTTCTTTTCATCGGTGAGTTTTTCCTTCTCCGTGTTGGCGGTATCCAGGGTTTTCTCCAGTTCCTCTATTCTCTTCTCGCCCTGTTCTATCCCACAAAAAAAGTGTTACAGTTACACATTTGATGTAACTTCAGCATCACAAGTTTTCTCCGCATGACAGAGAAAACTTGCAATGCAAAGATCATAAGGGAAAACAGGAACGAAACGAGGCTCCAAAGCGTTTCCTGCTCTCGCATGAGAAAGGTTGTCTGTGTTGCCAGTTTTGCAACACAATGTGTAACTGTAACACTTTCTTCCTCCCATATGTTCCTTCTCCGCCTTTAGCCCGTCTTTCTCGGAGTTGGCTTCCTCGAGCTCCTTCTCCAATTTACTGACTTTCTCCTCCCCGTCTTGCTGCAGGGCGGAAAGCTTTTCTTTTTCGTTCTCCAGCTCCTCCTTCGCTTTCCCCAGCTCTTCCACCTTTCCCTCGGCGGCCTGCTTCTCCCCTTGCAGCCCATCCCGCTCGGACTCCAGCTCTTCTTTCGACTTTTCTAATTCCGTATCAAATGCAAATATGTCTGGGTCTTGAAGAGTCGGAGTTTGTCATGCACATGTTGCATGACGCGTGAGGTCTGTGATGCAGGTCCTAGCATCACAGATTCTTTGACGGCTTCTTGATGCTTATCACGCATGAGAAATGGCTTCTCCGCGTGCCAAGAACTGGACCCCTCTTGCTGCTCATGTTGCAACACAGATACTTTTAGAATCCGTAGACAGCATTACAAGTTCCACCCTTCCAGACCCAGACATATTTGCATTTCATATTCCGCCAGTTTTTCCTCCGCGGTGGTCTTCTCAGCGAGCAAGGCTTCTTTCTCTGCTTCCAATGCCTGCTTCGCAGTTTCGGTTATAACCCGCTCAGGTGTTACAATCTCAAACGTTACAAGCAAGTCCGGAATTTGTGTTGCAAAATGCGCAACATCTGGCCTACTCCCACAGGAGCGCGCATGACAAGTTTCGGAGAGCCAACCCCGATGAGAATCTGGCGAAATTTGTATTGCGAAAAGCCCAAGTCTCTGTATGGCACTCATGCTGTTTATGCAAGACAAATTGCAGACTCTATTGTAACGTTTGAGATTGTAACATCTGAGACAGACATATCGGTTTCCTCCGCTTTCTGGTCCGCGGCGGTTTTTTATGAGACTGCCCAACTCCTCCTCCCCCTCATTTGTATGGGATGAACGGCAATGCAAGCGTCAGCAAGAATGGCGGTTTTGCATCACAAATCTGCACAGCCACAGGAAACTTGTCCTATTTGGACTGCGAGATGAACTTGTCATGCAAACATTGCCAAGAGGCACAGTGTGGATATGGGATTTTGCACGACAAATGAGGGGGAGAACGAGGGGGGTTGTGCTCTCTCATACTTTTTCCCCCTGCAACCCATCCCTTTCCGATTCGAGTTCTTCCTTATCAAATGCAAAAATGTCTGGGTCTGCAAACTTGTCATGCTAAAGCTGCATGATAGACGCACTGCAGTACACAGCTATGCATGACAAATATTTTGGCTGTCATGTCTTACGTATTCCGCATGGCAAACTGCGTTTTTGCATGACAGGTAAAAGGGCTTTCTCGTGCCTATGCAACACACAGATTCTCGAATCATGCCAGACAAGCATGACAAACTTGCATTCTTCCAGACCCAGACACTTTTACAGTTGATATTCCTTCTGCTTCTCCAATTCCGCGACCTTCTCTTCCGCGGCCGTTTTCTCTGCGGTCAGACCCTCTTTCTCGGATTCCACCGCTTCCAATTTCTTCTCCGCCGCTTCCTTTTCGCCCTTCAGACTATGTATTGCAAAAGTGTCTGGGTCTGGAAAGTTGGAACTTGAGATGCTACCTTTGAACTCTACGTAAAATCTGCATTGCATGAACAGCATAAGAGGTGCAATTTGTGCTACGCGGAGAGGGCATTTCTCATGCGCTATGAGCATCAGAAAGCCCTCGCAGTAGAGACTCTGATGCTAGGGCATGCAACACAAAATGCACAAGTTTGCCATGCAGATTTTCCATGACCCAGGGTCATGGAAAATCTGCATGGCAAACTTGTGCATTTTTCCAGACCCGGACATTTTTGCATTTGATACAGACCGTCCCGTTCCGACTCTAGCTCTTCGATCTGCTTCTTCAGCGCCGCCGGGTCGTCGTCGTCGGACGGCATTTTGCCTGCTCCTCACGGGTCGTCGTCCTGTCCTTCAGCACAGCATTTTTGGTACAACTAGACGGAGCATGACATCGATTGTTGCTGCCGGTGCTGAGCTCCGGGGTCCCCGATTTTTATCTTATTGATGTCAGCAGAATTTTGCTATATTTAAGTTTTTCCTTCCCAGCTTGGAAATAAGCTCCTGCAAAGTGTGGTACTTATTATCGCACATGATAATGTATGCGGAAGCTCATAATTTTTCTATACGTAAAGCAGTGTCGGATTCAGTTGTTACTTATTGCAACGACGGCGCGAAAGAACACAACTATAAAAGCTAGAACCATGCGAAAAATGAAGGAAAGGCAATTGACACGATCAGACGACAAGTCAGCGAAACAAGAACCAGGTATTCACTATGAAAGACGGCGAACGATGATTTGTTCAGACGACGAAAATTCTGTGAAAAAGGCTACTTACGAGTTGTACTACCTGACGTCGAAACAGGTGCGACAAACGAACGTTGCGAAAACGATCTGGTCAACATCTCTTGGCACAGCTAAGCGAAGCAACGACAATTTGTGATCGTTTTCGGCCGGCTTTGGAGGAAGTAGGAGGTCATTCGATATTTATGGACACGAATCGTGGTCAACAAAACTCTCTCTTCTTCAGCACGGAACGGGAACAGAAACTGTCAGTGTGTAAACCAACGCCGCTAGAGACCGTCGATGTTCGTCCTTCTGCAGTCTCAGGAACACTGCTATCCCAACATCGAACAGCGCCAGACAATCGGGTACAGAGAGAGAAACTGAAAGCGAAGCTGGAGGTGGAGAAGGAGATCGTGATCGAAGAGTTGCACTATTTTTACAGTATCTTGCTGTTTTGACCAGTTGGGAAACATGTAGTGCAACTGTGTGTCCTTTTCCACTCACACACCACGTCGTACAAATCCAAGCAAAATGCTTTTACATCATGTTGTCTGGAACTCCTTACTTACTTTCTAAAACCTACTTTCACTAATTTTCCGATACTTAGTCGCTCTTGTTTTTCACATGCTAATAAATTTTGTTTCGAATTTGACTGATTAACGTGACAGTGAAACACATATCATACATCAAAATCATGCCAACATCGCTAAAGTTATCAGAATCTCTCATTTTTTCTTTTTCGCAGCTCGTCCTCCCTGATCCTCATGATAATGATATGTAGAAGCCCTATGGCTTCATCGTCTTTCCACTAGAATTGCGGCACCACAGCCCCCGCGCCAGACAGCGCCAAAGACGCGTTTTTGGGCGTTGTGTCAAAAAGACTCAGTTGTCCGGTCAGCGACAAAGGATTTCTATTCCTACTCGATGATGATGAATTCGCTGGCACGTTGCCCGTAAGGGGCTTAGCAGCTGTGCCAGTGGTGCCTAAGTTCAGGCTCAGACCGAAACCGGCTGGTTTCTCTACCACTTTATTGCCGTTCTTCCCGTCGACCAACAAGGTTGGCGAATTCGCCAGAATCTTCTGTCGCTGCACCTCTCGCCTTTCCTCCTCGTAAATCCGCCGCGCGGTCTCGCGAAATGGGTTCTCTTTCAGGTTAGAGATGGAAGAGGGTGTGTGCTGGCTGTTTAACTTCCGCATGGAATATGGAATGCAATATTTTTTTCCTTCTACAGTATGATCAAAATGTATCAAATGCAATCAAATTTTTTGTTCCATGATAATACGACTTTAATCTGGTACAAGCAAGTCGTCGTGATTCAGATTTGCATTGCTGAATCCACGCCTTGATACGCGTCTTCGCTGATGCACAGACAACATCACGTCGATCACGGGAAAAAATAATTTGCGAAGAGTATCTATCACGAGAAAAAAGTCTTACAGTTACACACTTGTTGGAGTTTCTGCATGACAAACAAGGTCCGAGCGTGGGGACAGGGTCCCCACGCGGGCCCTTGGCTTCGGTTTCGGCTTGAGGATTCGGCCTGGGGGTTCGGCCTGGGGTTTCGGCTTCAGGCGACGGCGACAGACAGGCGACGGCGTTGGACTGTGGTGCGCCCCGTTCAGAAATGCCACCGCCCCAGAGGCGTAGGCCGAGCGCTGCGAAGTTCGCCGAACAAATCTGGACGCTGGGCGCCGCTCTCTCGCATGAGAGCAAGGGCCGAGGCACGAGGCCAGGGCGATAGTCGGGGAGGCAAGGAACAGAGCGGGGCAAGGTTGGCCCGCTGCACTGCTTTGCTTGCGGCCTTGGGTTTTCGGCAGAGGGGCCCAAAC